TCGACGGCGCGTATCGTTGCGCGGCCGAGGAGGCATGTTGACCATGAGCACGAGGGGCAACAGCCCAACATGCAAACACGGCCACGGACTAACGGATGCCCACGTGTGTCTACGTCGACACGCCGATCCTGAACTCTTGACTCCCCGCAAACTTCGCGAAGGAGATCGCCCGGCGGTCGGAAGTCACACATCAGCTGTCGAGCACGCGCGCGCTGCTCGACAGAGCGCATCGCGAGCGGGAAGTTCTGTCAGTGGCTGTTGCGCGCCGCAAGGTAGTGTGCTGGTGAGTCTCGCCCGCCCGCTTTCTCTCGCCCCCAGCCATTCCGTGCTCGTCTGTTTCACCTGGGGCTTGGCGTGCTGCCTTTGAGTTCATACTCGATGCCGGTGCATCAGTGCGCATTGCGTCTGCACGCGTCGATGAAGCGATTGAGGCTATCGTACGGACAACACGGAGGGCGAGTACGACGTCAGATGATGGTGTACTGTACAGTAGACGATGGTGGTAATACTGTAGTGTAAATATGCGTGAATTGATTAGAATAGCAATGCACTTTTGCATTGCGTTGAGCTCATTTTTGTCACCCGTTTGACGTGAATTTGCGTGAATTCGAGCAAATTGAAGGGGGGGGTCAAGGTAATGGGGTGTCCAGGAAATTGACGCAAATTCGCGCGAATTTGCGGATATTCGCGCGGGGTGGGTTTCCTGATGCGTGCGCGTGACAGTTGGCTAGTCAATGTTTGTGTGAGTGCCTAGCTTTTGTCTGTACTACTCCTGCCTCTCCTTTGTTCTAGTACCGCCTATAGATCTGTGATTAGTATATCTGTGTTTGCTTCACATGGGCATACAGTCTTGCTGTCATCATGTAGTGCAATATATCTCTTTTTATGTAATGTCATGCTGTGTGACAGTGAGCAGAGCATATGTGTACCCTTCTTTGTGATCTGATGCATGTATTGTGGACTCATTGCAGAGTGAATGTGTCTCATTAGAGTCTTGTTATGAAGGACTGTGTCTTACATAGTGTACATTGTGCCTCATTCATACAGAATTAGCACAGGATTAGACAGGATTATGGACTAATTAGGGCAAATTAGTTTTGGGGTTGAGGAAAGTTCACTAACAGCTAATGTCACTAATTAGATCTATTTTGTCATAAGTTTGTCTCATCTGTTGTTATGAGATCTCATTAGGGAATTCTGGTTTTCCTGATGCACGTCCTGCACAACTTCGTACTCCTGAGAGATCTGCGCGCATGCAGCACACATACACGTTTTCCTTCGCGAAAATCTGCAGTGTTCTCGCCAGGGCGTGAGTATGACACCCTTGCTCTTCCACACGACAATCACTTCGAAGGGACGGACGGCGCAGTGCTCGATCGGGACCACAGCTCGGAGCGAGGTAAGATTGTGGTGCTTGTCTGAGGCAGGCACACAGAGACCGGGTCTTCTGCCAAGCATTGACTCAGTTGCATACCATTAAACACGTCGGCCGTGCTCCACGAGATCCAGACGGACGTCGTACCGCGTAGTCGAGTCGCAAACAGTGAAGATAATACGCAGACGCGTGTGCTGAACACGACGCGGAGCGCGTTGTTTACATCTATTTTCCACACACGTGACTCGGCCTACGGCCGAACGTCGCAGGCCCGCATACCCGTGTCCAGTGGTACAAGACTAGCAAAGCGCGCATCGGGTCTCAGCCACACACCTTGCTCCCGACCATATCATTATGCCGCACGGTTGGCCCGTAGCCCGGACCCCGCTGGCACCAGGTAGACTGTCCTAAGTGATCTATGGAGTGCGCTCACGCCCAAGATCTGCGAAGTATCTGAACCATGAGAAATACCAACCGACGTCGCGCGAGGCAGTGTTGTTGCGTACGGAGACGCGCACACGAAACACTGGCCGACGTCCTTCAATGACTACTAGTAAACCCCTCTTCAGCTCTCTCTTTGCTCGCCAGGCGATAAGCATCTAAAGATATCGTTCGCGCTAGCTAACAACAGACCTCTATGATGTTCCTCGAAACTGGCTCATGACGCCGCCGGGCAGTACCAACGGAAGCATCGACATCTGTAATGTGTGTTGCATAACGATGTTAATCGTACGTGTCTCTTTCTAATCCAGCAAATGATAGCTAAACCCGTCAAAGTAGAATAAATCAATGGAAAAACACTGCAAAGCAACATTGTAACGGTTGTGTGACCGTACAACGAGCGAGGAATGCTAGCAAATATTAACTGTGCGGTGAGCATCTTGATTCTTGCTGATGCATAGAAGGGAGGCTTACCCACATCTTCGTCCGGGTTACGCAAAGGACAATGTCTAATGCCCTCCTGAGATGTGGCATTGCTCGGTGAGCTCACGCACATCATGTCTCCAAACACCTGCGTCCTGAATCACTCTTGGATAGCGCGTCCAGATAGCGGCATATTGTCCTTTCCACACGTGTTTGAAGAGTTGCAAGACGTATTGCTCCTGAGAACGCAGGAGTGCAGGCTCCGCAGAGCCGGACAGGCTCGGGGCACTAAGCCCAGCTGCCACGCAAGCACTGCTCAGCGTGACTGGAAAGACGACGACAACAACTGCCCTTACCGGTACGTCTCAAAGTCTGAATAGTGTCGCGAACGTGATTCGCGAGAGTGTCTCTGACTTCCTCATTCGCTCTGCAGTGGTGACAGACGACGTAGGCAAGCGGCCTCCCCGCCTGGTCGTCCGGTTCCAGATTGGCTGCGATGATCGACGATGCGTCGAAAGTCTGCCTCAGAAACGCGATCACGTCGATAACCCAGGCGAGCGGGCGCGTCGGCAGACAGATCACAAGGGAGCCGCCCCAGGCGATGTGCTGCAGCGCCACCAGCAGTTGCGCATATATCAAGTAGATGTCGCGGTCGATCCACAGCGTAACGTCATCGGGCAAGGCGAGTGCGGCGCTCGCCAGGACGAGGTCGAACCCCTCGGGAGGGGTGTTTCCTGCAATATGCGTGAGTGAGCATCGGTGTTCCCGAAGCGATTCGTACTTACTGATAGCAGCTTGGCCATCTGCGATGCGGCATACGTCCTCACCGCGCTCTGGAGCCTGGAATTGCGCATGGAAAGGGTCAAACTGCGTGCGGATGATGGTTGCATCCGGACGAAGGTTGATTCCCACTCCATGCGCACCCCCATTGATGCCCAAGAGCGAGGCGGCGAAGCCGCTCGGGGCACCGTCATAATCAAGGTCGAGGACGTGGTGTGTGTGGCCGAGGCTGTGTTGTAGGTGCAGCGGGGCTGGGATGCCCGAGGGGGCGGCACGGTTGTGCTGGCCCTGCGGGGTGACGGCGGGGCCGGGGGCGTCGCCACGGAGGCGGCGCACCTCCTGGTCCAGCACCAGGAGGTTCTTAAAGGTGGCTGACGCATTGAAGAAGGGAAGCTCGGCGCTGGTGAGCTGAGATGCGATGTTGCTGTGGGTGTCGCTCATTGTGATGGTCGGTGACTAGCGGTGAGTGCTATGACAGCGGAGGTGAGCAACGGGGCTTGGGGTGCAGACCGTCGGTTGTGGTAGTACTTATGTTCCTCTGCAGAGAGCCGTCAGCGAATGCATTCACTTACATCACTGCGAGCGGTGCACCGCTATCGCGACACGAGGCTAGGACAGCAGAAGCCTCAAATGAACCTGGTATCCCACAAGTGGGCTGCGGATCGAGTAGCCAGTCGGAGGATCGGAGACCTCGTCCGCACCACCGCAGTGCCTAGGTTTGGTATATGTATCTGACTATCCCATCGTACTGAATGAGATGCCTAGGACCATGCGGTGTGTGGTGTTTCGAGCTGCGCGGTGCTTCGTCAACATCGCCCATAACCCGCAAGTGCTCTGCCAACATGAGCAGCTCCGAAGTCTGTCAGAGCTCGTTGTATGCGTCATACTATATAGCCAGGTACGCTCGAATAGCCAAGGGAGCCTAGTCTTCTCACTGCGAAGCGTGTACTGTTCATCATCCACTTGAGCCGAGCCGACTGCGCACTACTCGACTCGGCCGCCGACATGAATGAAGCCAATCGCAGATGGATATCCCACTGTACAACTGCGCGTCGAGCCACCAGCACTCCCCAATCCATCTATCGAGAATGTTGTCTGCTTCGTGTACAGCGGTACTCTGGGGCTATGAGACCGCATACACTGCCTGTCGGTGCGAATAGAACCGGCAACCCGGAGGCTGAGCGCGTCCGCAGAGCCCCTCAAACACGTTTTTGGAGCGAGTACAGACATCCCTGATCTGGATGTAAATGTGGAACCTGGATCAACGTGTGCACTGTGGAAGCTGTGGGTGTTACTCGGACGAACTCTTTGGAAGGCGCGAGAGCTCGTCAGGTACCGTGCGTCACAGCCTGAACGTGAGCAGTACTTGGCCTATGCCTGTGACTCCGGAGTGTGCCAAAGTCAAATGCGTTGTCTTCGTTGGTACTTGGATTGCATACGTGCAATGTAGTGCAGTAACACACGTAGAGATAGATGCACGGTGTGAGGAGAAACCCGGCGTGACGTCGGACAGATACGTTCCTTGCTCTTTTGATTCGATTGGGTGCTACTACTATACTACAGACTCTGGATCTAGTACGGTACGAACCATCCACTCGATACGATGCTCGACGACTCTACCAGCGCGCCGGAGACTTGAGAACCGCACCTGAACGGGGGCAGGTCGTCTCGGGCGTTCCAGACTCGCGCCGACAGCGGTCGCTCGTCGTAGCTTGACGGGAGTCGAAGGACATTGTCACCCGGGCGGGTGTCTTCACGTTCGCACTTTCTCTTTATGGTAGTCCTCTTGCCTGTTTCGGTTCCGGCTCGTGCACTCCTCACGTTTCACACTTTCAGTCAGTTCACGTCATTTCACTTTCGTCGTGGACGTCATTTAGCTCGAGCGAGCTCCGCATTTGCCCGTTCAGCGTGTACTTATACCGCGGGCCTGCGCCGCGGGGACTCATCGAATCTTCCCCCTTCTCGCAACTCTCCCTGAGGACGTACAGACTTCAAGAGGCCTGACCGCGGTCCCTACCTAACTTCAGTACGTGATACTTACAGTATGAAAACGCTGGTCGTCGTCGTTGTCTCTAGTGGATCGAGGTTTCCTTCCTCCCTCTCCCTCGCCCGCCAGACATACATATGATGCTCCTCGACATGCGCACGAATATACGACTTATTCTCCGACGGGGATATTCGATGACTCGGAGGCTGCTACTAGTCCTAGGTCAGTCTGCTTGTTACACCTCTACATACCTTCTTAGTGTTTCAACAGGTCGTGGTAGTCGTGGTGTTCCAGCTTGAGCGCCAACCCCCCTCGCCGTCGGGCTCGGTGTGAGTCATTCGAGATGACAAGCGCGTCGCGGTTCGGTCCCCGACGCGCGCCTGCTGCTCCAACGTCAGCCGCCATTTGACCGCCATGATCTCAGCAGGTACCATCCATGCCCTCTTCGCTTCCCTCTCACCATGGCCCACACCCCCGACGAAAAACGCGAAAACCCACAGGAAACACCACCGAGGTCGCGCTGGAAAGTCTGGCAAGACTGGGACCTCCCGCCATGGATATCGTCCAACTTGCGCTCGACGAGAAGTTGGAAGATGCTCGTTAGGTGCTGGGTTGCGTCGTGGGCCGCGTTCATCATCTTGCTACCGCACGCCTCGCTGAGCACGCTGGGAAACACGTACGTACCATTTTGCGTCGCATATATGCGCACTTCTGACGCTTGGGGAATCGACCCGCAGAGCGTTCTTCACCCTCCTGGCAAGCCTGATGGCTCCGCCGAACATGCCCTTACAGCTCTTCATTTTTGTGAGCAGGTCGAACGCTATCCTTCTGCGGCTGCTCTATATTGACCACGCTCGTATAGGTCCTCATGACTATCATCATCGGCCTGTGCCTTGGATGGGCTTTGGGGGCGGCGGGGATGGCTGCAGCGCTCGCGGCACGTAACCAGTTGTTGCTTAAGTCAGAGCTAGAGAGGGTGCAACAGAGGTACGTACGCCCAGTCTCTTAATCGGCACCGCCGTTCCTGTGCCTCCCACCTGTTCCACTCATCCGATGCCGTTTTGGTGCGCAGTGTTGCAGGCTTGGCGAACCCAGACGCGCTTTTCGAAGCAAGCATTTTCGAAGGCGCATTCCTCGACACACGCTCGTCTGTCCTCTTCGGCGTCTTCCTCGCCATCGCTGTCTTCTTTCTCTCCCTCCTCCGCGCGTACGCCCCTAGGTTGACGATCATGTCCATCTTCGGAACGATCGCCGTGGACATCTACTGCGTGAGTGTTATATTATGAATGTTCTTTGTATCTGTGTGGAGGAATGCACTTGTTCGACATGGACTCGTACGACGGTAATACTGATTATGCCTCCAACAGAGTTATGGGCCGCTCTTCCCGTTTGCGCAATATACGATCCTAACCTCGTTGCTCATCTCCCTGTCTTGCTACATGGCCATCGGCCTTGTCGTCATCATATTCGTTTTCCCGGAGACCTTGAACCACGCGACACTTACGACGGTCACGACTCTATTCGACAAGCTGGAGGCTCTCATCATACTGCAGGAGGAGGTTCTATCTATCGGTGGGCAGCCGAACGATGGATCGTATGACGAGAGTACTAGCAAGGGACCGACAGAGCAGACCCTTGGCGAAGCACTGGCGGAGGGAAGTCCTCTCCTCACCAAGCTAGCAGGCGGTCGGGACGCGATGTTGGGCGTGGCGAAAGGCCGTGAGTGCTTTTCATATTGTATGTGTCGGCGCCGTACTTAGTATATCGCAGTGGGCGGACAGCTGCCCATGCTCAACCTCGAGTTCAGCTGGGGGAAGTGGAGCGGAGACGACATCAAGACGCTCGAGAAGCCGATAGAGGGCGTTGTCGGACGGGTCGGTGCGTCCTGTGCCTCGTGCTTGCAATGCAGACGAATGCTGACCGACGTCTTCTCAGCTGCGTTGCAAGGGTTCGGGCGGATTCTCGGGAGCTCTCTCCACCGACATTCCCCATCCCAGTCCGCCTCGCGCATGTCCACGCATGACGCATCCACGGGGTCGGCCGACACTGGCAGCCGGGATTCAGTCATGGGCGACACGCAGCTCTTCCGGGAACTGCGTGGGTCGCAGAGCCGCTATACCCCTGACCTCGTCCCGTTGCCCGAGCTCATCCCGGTCCTGCACTCATGCACCGCGCCTCTGCGTGCCGCCGTGGTGGAGGTGCTCTCGTCCACGCGCGCCGTGCTCGACTCCGTCAACACGCGGCGATACAAGCGCGGAAGCACCGCGCACCTCGACGAGTCCCTCGTGCAGCTTGGTGCCGCAACACAGTGCCTGACAAGTGCCCTCGATGCGTTCCGCACGACGGACCGACTCGCGCTCCTCGAGCCATTCGCGCCGTTTCTCGACCCACGCCCCGACCAGGAGCTCCCGAAGGCGGGGTCCACGCCCTTCCGCTCGCTGTTCATCGTCTACGTCTTCGCTGCGAACCTCGTGTCCGTCGCCACGGCGGTGCGCAGCCTAGCCGAGAGCGTAGCTCGCACGGCGGGTGCGCGGCGGAGAAATAGGTTGTGGGGCCCGGGCGCGATTGCGCTCGGCAAGGTTCTCGGGCGCCGCCGGAGAGGTGAGGGAGGTGGCGTAGACAACGATCTTGGCGGACAGGGCGCCCTGGGAGAGGCGCCGCAGGGACCGGTGGGACAGAACTGGGAGAGGGAGGAGACAGTATATCGTGAGTTACTCCTTCTTGACTTGGACTGAGTGCATACGACGGGTGTGCTGACGTGCTGGGATTCAAGGCAGAGACCCGGATGGTCGGCCTCCCAGTAATCCTGTCCAGTATGTGATGAATGCCATCCATCGAGCGTGGTTGTGGGCGCAAACTCCCGAGGCCTTGGTGAGTGTGACTCTTGTTTCAGTGGTATTTGTAAGCTTACAATCTTCCAGTTCGCATTCAAGATGGTGTTTATCTCTATTGCTCTCTGGATTCCGTCGGTTTGTCGTAGCAGCGCCCGTAAGTGTTCTCATCCATGTTCCGTGCACCCTAAGGTCTGATAAAAACGTCCCTGCCTCTGCAGACTTCGTATACGAACAGAAGGGTTTATGGTACGTCCGGCTCGGAATGTTGCTGAACGCGATGCTTACTAGCACGCAAGGGCCTTGATCATGGCGCAGACAACGCTGAACATCTACGCAGCAGATCAGATCTTCAAGTGCGTGTTATCCACAATTGGCCCGGAACTGACTGGTGATGTTGTTCATGTGTAGTATCTTTGCACGGACACTCGGCACATTCGTCGGTCTCGTCCTTGGGCTACTGTCTTGGTATCTAGGTGAGTCTCAGTTTGCCATTCCGTGAAAGAGCAGGATTGATAGAGCATCGGTGCAGGCTCCGCCAAGAGCATCGGTAGTCCGTACGGCATGGCGGCTGTTGTTGGCGTGTTCCTAGTGCCCGTTCTGTTCTTCAGGTTATTCACCCCGATGCAATACCTGTCGGGTGTCATTATGACTGTGGTGCGTTTCTTGACTACTCTCACTCAACGAACAAGCTAAAGAGCCTGCTGCTGACAGGTTACCTGGGCACTTATAATTGGGTACTCCTGGCTCGATGGCCATATCGCCGTTCTCGGGAATGTCGGTATTGGATGGGGCGTTGCTTGGCGAAGATTTGTGCTTGTCATCATTGGTATGTTTTATACCCGCGATTGAAGACACACGTCGTGCTCATGTCTGACGATCATACTGCTAGGCGTCGCAGCGTCGTCCATCATGATGATACTCCCTCCCCAGTCTGCACGTCGCTCCGTTCGCCTCCGTTGTGCCTCGACAATGTCAGCGATTTCCTACCTCTACTCCCACCTCACCGCGGCGTGGATATCTCCGAAGCCGTTCTCCGAAGGAGACAACGATGATGCAACTGGCCCGGGCAAGTTGCTATGGGTCCAAGAATACCGCGAGCGCTTCCTCGAGATCGCACAGCAGCTCCAAGTTTTGAGAACGCAGGCGGGGATGGCGAAGTTGGAGGGGAACGTGAGGGGCAAGTGGCCGGCGGAGGAGTACGCGCAGCTGGTCCAGGTAGAGAGCGAGATGGCCTGGGCTCTAGGCGTCGTGAGTGACGTCGCTGATTCATGATCAATGTGCCTTGAACTGACCACTAGAGCAGCTCGGTGGTTCGCTGAGCCAACTCGACGATGATACGAGGATGGGGCTGTTGAAGCATACCGTGGCCGTCAACCCGAACTTCGTGAGTCAATCTGACGCTGACTTCCTGCCAGTCACTGAGCGGCCTGCTATGACTGTAGATTGGCGATGTGATGTCGGCATTCCTCCTGGTCTCCCAGTCGCTCCGAACCGGCGAACCTCTCCACCAGGCACAATCCGAAGACCTCATCGAGCGCGCATTTTACCACAGCACTTCGCCCACAACGATGCCGGGGCTGGATGCGGAAGCACTCAGAGATTCGCGGCTGAAGCGGCTGCAGTCCATCACTACGTACGAGTACATGTTCTACGCCAGCGGGGTTGTTGCGGTATTCCGCATGCTCGAGGTGAGGTGCTATATGCGCTCTATTGGGTCGAGGTTGCTGAACGTTGGATTAGGGCTTGAACGAAGCGAGGCAGATCACCGCGAGGCTCTGTGGCGAGATTCCTCTCGAAGGCTTTGATGCATGGAGGGAGAGGTACCAGCAAATGGCGTAATGCTACTACCCAATGTATCTATCAATTTTTGGTATGCCGTGCTAAGTGCAGGTCGGTGGCATAATCAATGAGCTACAGTATTAACTAAAGACACGCGCCAGCCGAGACAGCTCGGGGTTGTAGACATGCTTGAACGGCATGAGTGCTCGTAGATGCACTATTCTCCTGTCACTGCAGCGTTGTCGTTACGAACGAACATTGCGCTCCTCCAAGTCGAGAATGTCCACAGTAGGCAACACTGTCCGAACCACATAGAGATGGCACGTCTCAACGGTTTGACCACTGTAACGCTGCCGTCGACGTGAAGAGACTTTTGAGTCTCCGCCGGATGCCAGCGCGACGACTCGGAGGCGGCGGACTGTTCCGCGACGTGAGCACTGGTCGGAGCACGACAAGATCTCTTAAAGGGGCTCTGGCGGACTAGTGTATGCTATACGTGGACATGATCTTTGTTCTCAGGTACTATCATGTACCAGATCTGACGACGAAGCAGCCTGCGAAATATCCTCAAGTTGAATTGTACGTGTATATTGTAATCCAGCAGGTGACAGTCACAGCCTCATCATATCGTACACACCCCGGGGCAAAGCAAGAGATACGCGACAACAAACATGATAGCGACTTGGCAAAACAAAGCAAGAGAAAGCACAGCGAACAAAGCAGAGACGGAGCAGCATAGCACTGATCAACTACATGTACAAAGGCGCGGCATGAAAAGCAGAATGACGGATGCTAACATCGGTACATATGGACGGCGCGGTGAGTGCGCTGTTCATGATTTGAAGAGAGGCTTACCCATTCCTGTTCAGATCGCCTAATGATCTCCATGTCCACCTACAATCTCGCGGTGATCAGTGGACAAGTCCGTTCATGATGCTGCACAAGAAAGGCTTTGGAAGCACTCACGTCCTATCAAGGCCAGATATTGCTTGTAGACAGCATCGTGCTGGCCTTTCCACACGGGTCCGAACAGCTTCAGGACGAACTCTTTCTGGCGGACCAGGATGTCGTTCTCTGGGACGCCGGAAAGGCACGGGGCGAGCGGCCCACTGCTGACACCTAACACAGCGTCCATGTTAGCATGACAAGCGCAGCCTCGAGGACGAGCGCCCTTACTGGTGCGCCTCAAGGACTGGATAGCGGTTTGAAGGCGACTAATGTGTATGCGTTTCGTACCATCGCTGGCTCCGCAGCGGTGGCAGACGACGTATGCAAGGGGCCTTCTTGCCTGGTCGTCCGGGGCCAGATTGGCCGCGGTGATGTGCAACTCGTCGAAAGCCTGCCTCAAGATTGCGATGATATCGACAACCCAAGAGAGCGGACGCGTCGGCAGGCAGATCACCAGGGACCCGCCTAGGGCGACATACTGCAACGTGACGAGGAGCTGCGCGTATATCAAGTGGACATCGCGGTTGGTCCACGACGTAACGTCTTCGGGCAAGTCGAGGGCAGCGTTGGCTAGGACAAGGCCGAAGCCTCCGAGAGGGGTGTTTCCTGTGTTCCGTGCGAGTGAGCAATGATATCCGCACAGCGGCTCGTACTCACTGATAGTGGCTTGAGAATCAGCGATGCGGCACACGTCCTCGTCCCGCTCTGGATCCTGAAACCGCTCACGGATCTGGGGGTCAATCCCCGTACGGTTGCGTGATGCTTCCGGACGGACACTGATCCCCACCCCATGCGCACTCCCATCGATGCGCAAGAGCGAAGTGGCGAAGCCGCTCGGGGCCCCGTCATAGTCGAGGTCGAGGATGTGGCTCTGTTCAAGTTGTAGGTGCAGCGAGGTTGGCATGTTCGAAGGGGCGGCGCGGTTGTGCTGGCCCTGCAGTGTGAAGGCGGGGTCGGGGGCGTCGCCGTGAAGGGCGCGCATCTTCTGGTTCATAGTCAGGAGGTTCTTAAAGGTGGCTGAGGCACCGTAGAAGGCTTTTTCGAAGCTGGTGAGGTTCGAGGCGATATCGTCAACGGCGTGGTCCATGGCGATGCTTCAGTGGTTGGTACTGGTGATTGCTGTAGCAAGTGAGGTGAGTTTAGGGGTTGAGCTGCAGACCGTCGACTATGACACTGATATTTATGCTCATCCACAGCGGGTCAGGCAGTGTACTCACTGCTTTCCCCTCGGACGATGCGCCGCTACGGCGACACGAGGCTAGGACAGTAGAGGCTCGTATGTCCATAGTGGGCCGCGGAGCAGCCAGTCGGAGCATCGGAGGCCTCGTCTGCATCACCGCAGTACCTGGCTCTGATGAATTGGTGTTCCGTGGTACTTGATGAGGTACGTATTATGGTCGTTACTATACTCACGGTGCTTCGTCCACATCGCCCGCCGACGCGAGAAAGGTAGAACTCGCAAAAATGGGACACAGCAATCATTCGTGAACATGACGCACTTTTCAAAGTCTCGAACGGTAATTCACCCTGATTCTGGTACGCTCTCATTCGCTTGTTGTGGAGCAATGGACTTTTGGCCTCCAGGGAGTCGCTGGCCAGTGCACCACCGGTGGTAGCTGTACGCTGCTCACATCGTGAGCGGTGTACTACGGTAAGTACCAGGTATTGCTTTCTGGATCGGCAAACCCACCCTAGATCGTCTTCTGCAACTGGTTTCCCTGTCAGGGTTGGCACTGTCATTGAAATTCATGCATTTCCTCTATGATAGGCCTTGGCGTCTCCCATTGGCGAATTTCGGCTTTAATCTGCTTGAATGCATCGCCCCCTTGCTGTGTGAAGCAGTACGTACTGCCCATTGTCCACACTAAATCACAGATACAACCCGAGTCAACTACGTATTCCACTCGACCGCCGAAGCTGATCTCGAGTCACCCAATCCACACTCTGTGCTGCACCGAGTCACCGGCACGGTCGTCGAAGGCGCAAATAGTAGACGTTCACATCGAGAACGCTGCTTCGTATGCGGTACTCGGGAGCTACTCTGAAACCGCATGCACTGCTATACCGGTGGAATTGGTTGCCTAGGCCGTGAATAGCATCGAAGCTGGGCACATCGACATGCAAACACGTTTCCGGACCGAGTACAACTATCCCTAGCGTGCCTGCGGAATGGATCAACGTATTCAAAGTAGTAAAAGCGCTGTACTTGGGGGGAGTCCTTCGAAAACGCAGGATCTTTCCAGGCGCAAAACATCCTTATGCCAAAGGTTCTAGGTCTGGGCTTCTGCCAGTGACCCGTACATCGCAGCCTATACGTTCACCCAAGGAATACATGTGAGGAAAACATTCAAAGCTTCGAATTTCGACGGAGGGGGGACTCGCGAGGGTATTCGCGCGGGTCATTAGTCGGTCATCCTCCACCGTACAGAGTTCCTGATAACCACAGCGGCATACGTCTGTAACATCCCCGTGCTCTATGGCCACACCCCTTTGACCGTTTTGGGTGTCTTGCAGAAGATCTTGTGCTGCGGCCAGTGTTCTCTCTGGCAGATGGCAGGGCAGTACCTGTGCACTGAGAGGTGTCAAGCGCACATAAGATCTGCGTATGCTGCAAGGCTGCGCGCCGCATCTTTTCATGGGAACGTCCGCTATCTCTTCGCGCTGGAAACCCGCGCAGGCAGCCGTGGGTAACAGTGGGAACTCGGGCGAGTCCTCCGGGGCAGGGTGGGGTTGCGACGAGAAGCCCATGGCACGCGCCGTCTCTCAGTGAAGCTGACGGACCTTTTCCGCACACGGACCAGTGCTTGGGTCAGAGACGAGGTGGTACTGTGGCAGATGATGGAGCCGATGACCGGCCAGATCAAACAGCTACTATTCTGTGAGTCAAGACGAAGACGTACGTATATTGTGATACGTGGCATGTGGCCTTTTCCTGCTGCGACATCCTCGCAGAAAGTTGTCCTCGGGGTCAGCCACTGGAGATTGTCAGACAAGTACTGATGGGCTTACTGACCGCAGAATCCGCAATACCATCTCTGAGTATGCTTGATACTGGGATAATTGATTGCGGTGAACTCATTGGCGTATCGTTGAGTCTCTTGGGCAGGAAGGCCTGCCCGCGTTAGCTTGAGACACATCTCAGTCTCGACGCGCCGCTGTTGGTCTCCAAGCGGTCGTCAGAGGCCCTAGGGTCATCTTCCGACGATCCATACGCAGTTAGTGTAATGTGTATGTAGTACTTCAAGTTCAAGTTTGTGCTACTGTGCCAAGGCCGGTGCGCCTCGGTGGCGCCCAAGGTGCTCGATAGTAGGCGCTTGCCCTTGCGTTATACCGTGACCGCGTCCGAGTCGATACTACCGAACGGCAGCATACAGTATACTTCGAACTTGCGTTGGCACATGTCTCAAAAACCACTGCCAGATGGGCCGGAGTACCTCCATTTACTCCTGCTGCTCTACGGCTCGAAGAAAGACGACCAATTGTCCGACGACCGCTTTGGCCAGGACCAGCGACGCGTCGAGGTCGACCTCCGTCTCAAGCTGCCGCGCACAGATATGCATCCACCAGAGATTGACCGGTATGCGCGCGAGTTTGTCTGGCTCAACTACGCCAGTGTCAAGCACACGCAAAAGTGGCACTGAGTTCTGTGGTACGTCTGCTGGGTGTCCTCAATGCACTGGTGTCTCAGGCCAAACGCGCCCGCAGACAAGCCTGCGCGAATGTCGCAGCAAGACGCCGCGAGCTGGGCCCATCTCAAGCCACCGCGCATCAATCTCTACGTGAGTTACAAACCGGATCACCATTGTGCTCAGACCGACCCTCGCACACTTGTCCACCGCAGTTACACCTCGTCTGCGACCCCAGTACAGGCCCATGCGCCTTGAAGCTCCGGGAGGCGCATCTCTTCATGGCGGCGACAACTGGCTTCCCGCCGCAGCCACCTGGCCCACGCGAGAATCCGTTTGAATATTCGCCCATGGCCGTCTGCGCAGGCTGCCAGCGCGAGGAGACTATGGACATGCTCACGAAGAAGTGCAGCGGGTGCGATCTCACCAGGTGCGTGGGCGGTTGTATGCCTCGACTTCTGAATCGCTGAACTTCGTGGCGACAGGTACTGCTCGCCCGACTGCCAGAAGAAACACTGGCGCGAGCATAAAGCGTTCTGCAGGACACCCAAGGCGGTCAAGTGGGTGTGGCCGTAGAGCCTGCCAAGTCGGAAGGACGGATGAACTTGCAATCATACCGGTTCCAACACGACGGTACAGCCTGTAGACGACCTTACCATATCGCAGAAGCTTGGGACCTTTTTCGGGGTCTACGCGCCCACAGCCCGGTCGTCTCAGCACGTGCCATACTGTGTATGAGTATTGCTATTCTGTACGACATGTTCCCTGTATCATCACCCATTGACGCACTATCTTGAACCAGGGTGCATGTATATTACTCGAAACGAATCCGGCCGAGCAACCTCGGCGTATCGCTAACCAAGCGTGGTACACCACCACCGGCTTGATCGTTCAGACTGCCACTCTGCGCTGCATGCATTTCATCCCGCTTTGTATTGAAGGCGATACCCCGAGCACCTGTAGAGCTCGTGGCATAGTGCCAGCCTTCAGTCTGCATCGTGCCGGACATGCTCTTGCGTCTTCCATAGAGTTCGCAGAATCCTGCATACCTCCACATGTTGATACATCCCAGTCATCCACATTGAGGCCCAGGTATACGATAGCTGTACGCGCTGCGGAAACGTGTTCGAGGAGCTGCGCAGCCCCAGGTCTACCGAGTCTCGAGGGCCTAGCCCTTCGATTGTACCGATATGCAGCGTCTGCGGTTTCATGGTACTTAGCTCCCGAGTACCATCTAGACGAAGTACGCAGCGTTCTTGACATATAGGTTGGCATGCGCCTTCGGTGACTACGCCGGTGACTCGAAGCGCAGTACACGTTATCTAAAGGGACCTAGGATCAATTTCATGTCGGAGGCAGAGTAGGATGTATAGTCGACCCGGTTCGTATCTGTCATTCAGGATGGACTGTGGAAGTATACACTGCTACGCAGCGATCAAATGAGATTCCCTGGGCAATTCGCGTGATCAACACCTGCGGAGCTGAATGAAGAAATCCGCATACCTGCCGCGTCCACAGGACGTACTTGCAGTGACACCGTAATCCGGTGCAGGAGAAGGAGTTCCGGCACGAAGTTCCTGTCGCAGCGAGTGAGACTTCGTGCGGGAAACCTGCTCGCAACACGGGCGGTGGACAGCTGTCGCCGGTGGTGCATCGTGGTTCGATCCCCTGCAGGCTGGTCATCTAATGCTCCATAATGACTCAGTGAGAGCGCACCAGGCTTGGAGCGGCCCACATGTGGACATGTCCTAGCTTTCTAGGAGATCGCTGTCTTTGTGTCATGATTGCATTTGAGCAAACTTCATCGCCTCAACGGCTCCTCGCTGCCATAGCCATGGTGGGCGATGTCGACGGGGAACCCTGCGCCCTACTGAGGCTACCAGCGGTACTGCGCGACCTAGGAGGCACTGTGTTCAGCGCGAAAGAACACTAATGGATCAAACCCAAGTACTGCGGGGGTGCAGACGAGGTCTCCGATTTTCCGACTGGCCGCTTCGCAGTTCATTTGGGGTACACTAGATTGAGTTCAGACTTCTGCTGTCCTAGGCTTGTGTTGCGGTAGCAGCGCATCACCTGCAGGAACATAAATGTCAGCGAAGCAGTGAACAGTCTGCAGCCCAGGTCCCACTGTTCGCCTCTACTGCCATAGTGCTCGCCAGTACCAACGTCACGATGAACTTGCATGACATCTACGACCATATTGCCTCCCAGCTCACCAGCTTCGAACTCCCCTTCTTCAACGAATCAAACACCTTCAAGGATCTCCTGGTTCTGAACCGGGAGATACGCCGCCTCCACGGCAATTCCCCCGATCCCGCCTTCACCCCGCAGGGCCAGAGAAGCTGTCCCGGCACCCCCTTGAACAACGCAGCCCCGCTGCAGCTACAGCAGAGCCTCGGCCGCATCCAACAGCTTCTCGACCTCAATTGTGACGGGGCCCCGAGCGGCTTCGCCACCTCACTCTTGCACATCAATGGGGGTGCGCATGGAGTGGGGATCAATCTTTGTCCGGACGCTCCACGCATCCGTACGCAGCTTGACCCCCCTCTCCGTGCGCGGTTCCAGGATCCAGAGTGTGGTCAGGACGTATGCCGCATGGCCGATGGCGAAGCTGCTATCAGTAAGTGTGAACCGCTGCGGGAGCATCATTGCTCATTGAATGTGTTTGTTGTAGAGAACACACCTCGCGTAGGCTTCGACGTCGTCCTGGCCAACGCTGCACTTGCCTTGCCCGAAGACGTTACGTCGTGGACCAACCGCGATGTCCACTTGATATACGCGCAGCTCCTCGTCACGTTGCAGTATGTCGCCCTAGGCGGGTCCCTGGTGATCTGCCTGCCGACGCGTCCGCTCTCTTGGGTTGTCGATGTCATCGCAATCCTGAGGCAGGCTTTCGACGGGTCGAAAATCACCGCTGCCAATCTGGAACCGGACGACCAGGCAAGAAGGCCGCTTGCTTACGTTGTTTGCTACCGCGCAGCCAGCGAGGGTGCGAGGAACCTGCTCATGAGTCGCCTTCGCGACGCTATTCAGGCTTTGAGACGTACTAGTAAGGCTACGAGTTCTTTTGTTCTTTTAGTAGTGCTTATGTGCGGACCCGTGTAGCTGGGGCTGTCACCCCGAACCTGTCTGGTGCAACCGAGCCAACGATCCAGGTGTCCCAGCAACAGTTCGTCCTGGAGCTTTTCAAACCTGTGTGGAGAGGCCAGCACGATGCTACCATGAAGCAACATCTGAAAGCGATACAGGGTGAGTGCACTCACATTAGCCTTCCTTCGCCAGTATCAAGAGCAAATGCGACAGATCGAGCCAGAAAGTCCTAGGTGGTCAATGAGACCATTGAGGTCACAAGCAACCTGCCTGGAGTCCTGGACTGAACTGCGTAAGCATTCCTTCACTCGAGTATTGTATTTCACTGTGAGCTCACCTCGCCCTTGATGTACTCGCATCTCTCGCCCTGCATCCCACTCTTCGTTGTTGTACGCCATTCAGTGATGTCTCTGCTTTCTTCGCTGTGTTATATCGTGCTATGCTTGCTTTCCCGTATGTCTGAATTTTGGTCCCGGAGTGTGTACGATATGACGAGGCTGTTACTATCATCTGCTGGATTACAAAGAGTCATGTACGAACGTATTTGCTGGCTGCTGGCCGCATGCAATGCAAACGTTGACTGGTCCATTGCTGGTATCCACATTGGTAGAGGCGGACTCGCTCTACATACTGTTGAGTGTTTCAATTACGTCTCCAAGAATCAAATGAGAGCTTGAAGATCCAGTATGAATTCACTACAGACAACGCCAATGAACGACAATGCTTGAAGTGGCAGGCCCCAGGTTAAGTCAGTGGTAAGAGGTGGTAAGTTATGTACAAGGAAAGTCGGCCGCCGGCGGCTGGTCGCGTTCGGCCTTGTTCAGCCACAGCGCTCGGGCTGACCGTGACCGCAACTTAAACTTGTTCGCAACCATGCCTGTCTTTCCGCTACCTCTGCTAGCTGCCGTTCTGTGCCGTTTCTCCATCCCTTGCATTCACTCACACCCAGTCACCAATGAATACTGAACTTACCCTGAGAGGCGACTTCAACTCTCCGGGTCTCGTTTACGGTTGACGCGTTGACGGCGTATGTCTGAACTACGACGGTCATGGCTCGAAAGCCGCGTACGCTCACCGGTAGGGACAATGGTCTATCTACGGTGCCCCGATTGCTACGATATCAAGAGGGTCTGATAGCTTGGAGTGAGGGGTTGGGTGTCATGAGGGTGCGTATTGAATATTGCGAAATGTTGTGGTTGTACCGGTCGTCGACGTACCCGGACTGATATCGTCGAGCATGGCAGACGGATCGATGTTCTGTTGCTGTGCTACTCCCAGCGCGTTTCAATCGCTCATTGCGGAGTTATCTAGGATTCCACGTCCTGGACAGCCGCATACAGAACGACTCCGCCGGACGAAGAGAAATCCTAGACGGTGCATACACCCTATGGTCCTGAACGGAATCGTGAAGCGCTTTCACGATGCTAGGGCTATGCTTCGATGTGCGCATGCGTCGAGATTGCGACTGAAGGGCTGGCCTTAGAGTGTCGTGCCCCCCTTCCGCCCGTGGAGGTTAGCAGCGAATGATACGGGTGATATGGCGTTTGCGAACGTGGCTGTTATTCGAACGTCGTTCCTGATGCAGATTCATACATAGCATAGCCTCAAATGAGGAGTTGACGATGCGTTCTGACAGCCACCTCCTTCTCGCAGGACGATTGTCAAGAACTGTCAGCCCCGTTTCTTCAGCGCGATTGAATGTGAGCCGGTGTATCGGTCTACGTCTATTACTGGAACAGCCATGGTCCTAGGGATCCACTTTTAACAGAACTAACCCGTGTATTTGGGCCGGTGCTCGATACCGCATGGCGCCGTTCTCGGAAGTGCTGTGCGTGCGTAGGCGAACCCTCATACTGGAAAGATGCAGAAGCCGCAGCCAATGCGCAGGCACTGTCGAGTCATGACGGCGACCGGTGGATAGTTGGTGGGTTCACGGTCACTTGTATGTGGTCACGCCGCAAGCATAATGGCTGTGACACGAGTCGCAGTCACTCCTCATGTATATTTGCATTGCACTGGTATGTCTGTTTACCGTTCGAGTCTCTTCGTGTCAGCTTACGCCGCAGTCCTTCTCTAGCGCAACCCGGAAGCACGTACCAAATCGCAGTCCCGTCGAAGCGCAGTCGGTACCTAAGTCATCATAAGACACCTTCGCTCCTTCTCGTTCTCGAGGAGCTTGTATTAGAACTGCCGGGCGCAGGACGGGCTGTGCCGCGCTCCACGGTTCATTCGTGTACACTTCCAAGTACATTACCCACGACACCAGGAATGGACTGCCTACTTCGGCAACGATGTGTTCCACCGAATGTATGGCCCAAATATGCCGTCTATGGTATTCTCTCGCCCTAGAGGAGCTATTGTGGATCGAGTCGTATTGCTGCGCGTGTCCGTAGTTAGTAACAGCCTCGTCGAATGAACTGTCATATTCGTGGAATATGCATACAACGTGTAACTGTCCGCCTGGCGGTCCTACGGTCCACCGCCGAGTGGGCTGTGTTCATTGAAGGCTTCTGCTATGTCGTGGTACCGTCAGTGTCAGCGTCGTCTTTACGCAGCACACTGCCTTGAGTCCACTGGTCTACAGAGAAGGAATAAGTATCGGCATTCCAAGTAAGACTGCAGGGGCCAAACTCTTCGTTCCGTTCGCCATGATTTCTCGCTACAAGACTATCGCCGGCGTCGACGCCCATACCGACCGCGTACTGAATGTTAGCCCCATCCCCATCCTACCTCGAAGCTCACCAGCTTCGAACTCCCCTTCTTCAATGCGTCGCCCGCCCTCCGCCTACTCCTGGCATTGAAGGAGCTTTGCCGCGCGGTCCGCATCAACGGCGGATCCAAACGGGCCTACCGGCGGGCGACCCACTTGAATGCTGATTTCGGCACCTAGAAGACTTCAATCCAACTATTGAAGAAATTATTGAATTAACTACTCACCATCACTGCAGTCCGTAGGGACTGCAACCTGGGCAATATCCACCACTTCCTTGACCACGGCTGCATACTGCGGCCAGGCAACTTCCCACCTGGCTCTTGCGAAATACATCTATGCTGAGCATGGGCATCACTTTGCTGAAAAGACCGGCATCCCGGTGCATAGTGGTTTCCGTACCTGCAAAAGCATGGACCACTATACAACAACTTATCCCAGATCGCAAAGGAGCGATCAGCAACTAACTGGGAAGGTATGTAGTGCAATCATTCTCCTACAAATATATTGAATCGAATCAAACATGTAGAATACATCCCATCATCAGGCTTTGACCTGACGGCAGCAAACGCCGTAATCATACTCGCGGAAGGACCTGTGTCATCGGCCAACGTCAATGCGACGGCCATCTTCCACCCCTCCCCCATTCCGATAGGGCGACGCTCACCTCCGTAGCGAATGCATGTGCATCGGCTTGGGAGCGCCGACACGACGCAATCCACCTCGACTACGATTGAGCCCTCGACAACAACTTCTCAGGTAGGAGTCCAGCTCCAGTGGCAACACTGCGCGATGCTGATCGTCGTTTGTATGTTACAGCGGAGTGGCCCGGTCACCAAACATAGGCGGTTTGCACGACCCACACCCGTTGTCCTTCAGCAGACACGCGCTGCGCAATTGGACGCGGTTCGACCAGTCGGCGGAGCCACCCTGCCGTACAATCTCTTCACGACCACGCCCGGAAATCGAACGGCGGGAGCAACGACCAATGGCGGGGAATAGCAGTCGTTCATGCTACTTAGCCTAGTTCATGACAGCTGTGAGTATGCTCGACCATGTGCTGATGACTTACTCACCGTTACCGTTACCGTTTCGATAGAGCCCGCGTTGCCCTACACTCCTACTTGTCTGGCCTTTCCGTGTCTCTGCTGAACAATTCTGCAAGACTTTCCTTCGATTCGTCTTACTTGCCCTGCGCTCAGCTCGTCTGCAGTCGCCGGATCACTTTGCCTGTTCAATTGTCGCCCTGTAATGTGTATATGATAAGCAGAGGTTGTCCTTTCGTTATTTAGTTTGCTCTATTGCTGTCCGCTCGTCCATTTCGTGCTTGGTTAACGACTATGCTTGGCCTTCATTCCGTGTTTCCAGTTCTGCTCGTGTTTGTTCAATGCTCACCTGTACCTTTACTGCCGGTCAGTAACCGTGGACGTCGCCCTTCCCTTGCTTGCTTGGTCTGCTACTCCGGCGAACGCATGGCTCACAGGGCCGATCGTCCGATGAACCTGTCAAGCCTGCGATGTCTGCAGAAAGGAAACCTAGTAACACATCTATTGGTTACAGAGCGCGACTCACCATGTCCTTCATGAGATGTCACCGCCCTCGTCTGTCCTTAACGAGCCTCCGCAGAGGCTACTCGCGCCTTGCATCGACGCGATCCGTGAACCGTAGCTCTCGCTTGATGTACTGGCTAGCTTTGAACCTAGCGACGCTGGGAGCTCCTCAAGACATGTAGAAGGTCGACAGGAAGAGCGTAGTCGTCCGTGGTTTGTCCGTGGTGGTGGTAGTGGTCCAACGCCGCTGCTGTTCAGCGCTTACGCTCGGCCGCAAGTTATCCGCGCACAACGACCACACGCTCTGACAGGAATACGTACTGCTGCCGGCACCAGTTTCCTTTCGACTTGATGTGTCTATCGTCGACGAGTTGGTAGGCTGAGATGTTCCTTCAGCTGCTGTGGTTGTCGCTCGGACTGTGCTCTAGCGTTTCGTACGCGTTTGCCGTGTCGTCGGACCTGCAGAACGTCTTCCAGGCGTCGAACAACGTGGACATCGGAGATGGTGTACTGACGACCATCTCTGCTGAGGGAGCTGATCTAGAGGATATCTTAAATTTGGCAGAGGTGAGCACGTTCAGTCAGGAAACCTATGTTCGTGCTTGAACGAACGTGCAGGCCGCGAATGCGGACGTATGGCGCATAACTCGCTCCGAGGTCGATGTCTATTTCCCTACCGCCAAGGGGTTCACTTCATCGCCTTTCGATGACGACGCCTTCACCCACAACTCGACATACATCCCTCGTTCTGCGCGACCTACGAGACAGGCATCTGATCCTTCGTCGTGGAACCTGACGTCTTTGGCCAATACTACTTTCCACTCGGAATATCATCCTTTGGACGAGATAGAGGACTTCGTTCAGGTCATGGCAGGTATGTACCCCGACCTGGTGCAGCTGGTGAACATCGGGCACTCGGCGGAGGGTCGGGAGATGGCCGCGATGCGGATATCGAAGCCTGGCACCAAGACGAAGGTGAAGCCAGGCTTCGTCTTGACGGGTGCGCAGCATGCCAGAGAGGTGCGTGCGCTTTAGCAATACCTGGCGATGGACGGAGCTGACGACTGCGCAGTGGGTCGCAACATCGACAGTGCTGTATCTGACCCACGCCCTTGTGTCGAGCTCCTCTGAGGCCTATGCGATGTCTTCGCTGCTGGACCTGTATGTGCGTGTCATCAATGGTCTCTTCTTGTGACCCGAAGTCCGATTACGAGGCCGACAGGACTTCCACATCATCCCTGTGCCAAACCCAGATGGCTATGTCTACACTTGGGAGCACGATCGCTTCTGGTATGTACCAGATAGTAGACACAGTTCGTTGTTGCCGAGCATGATAACTCCAGGTACAAGAACCGTCAGATTATCGGACCCTACGAGAAGTGTGTTGGCATAGACATGAACAGGTATTCCTGCTAGTTCTTCACTCGTACGCATCCAAGCTCACATAATCCTATTCAGGAACTGGGTACGTAGTGAAATCCCGAACACGCCCTGACTGACAGGCTCCGCAGGGTCACAAGTGGAAAGCCCGAGCAGACTTCCCAACTGCAACAATCAATAAAAAGTCCAAGACGCCGACGGACCCCTGTACGCCGTGGTACCCAGGCCACCGTGCATTCGAGTCACCGGAGGTGAACAACATCGCGAACTACATCACGACGCTCCCCGCGCTCAAGGCATACCTCGACTTGCGGAGCTATGGGCAGATGGGTGGGTTGTTATTGTCTTGGCGGGGCACCAGCATGACTGAGCGGCGACGCGACAGTGTCGACGCCATTCGCGTACTCGTGCAAGAAGACGGCAAAGGATGCGGAGGACCAGATTGAGGCGGCACTTGGCGCTGCGCGGGCGATCAGGCTCGCGCATGGGACGTCGTTCACTGTCAGTCCTTTATCGTGCATGCGCCGTTCAGACACCTGACAACAGTCTATCCGCAGGTTGGTAGCCTCTGCTCTATGCTTTACAAGTGAGCGGTCTGCTGAGTGCGTCAGTTCGGCGCTGATGATCTATGATAGAGCTCCAGGTAACGTCGTCGACTGGATGTACGCCAAGGCGGGTATCAAGTACTCATACGCCGTACACTTGCGCGACACCGGCACGGTATGTGATCGCCACCCACCAGACATACTACGCTGACGGTCTGTGTTCCTGCAGTATGGTTTCTCGCTACCGCCGGAGTGGATTAGGCCTGTCGGCGAGGAGACAGCCAGCATGGTGCAGTTCCTCGCGGAGTTCATCATGCTCACTAAATGTAGGTAACCTACCGCGTGGTTTATTGCGAAAAATAGCTAACGGTCGGTTTGAGGACATTGAACTGTCTCGGACTCGTGATGTGTGCGCTCGTGCTCTTTTGCTCTCAAGGCATGAGTTCTCTCAATCTGTTGTACCCATCTATGTATCAGTTCCATGTACAATATTCAACCGTGATGAACCTGGCTTGAGCTAGCACGTCCCTCGGACCGATGTCGAGATGAAAGAACGGAGGGTCGTCTGGATACCACCCTGGATAGAGGCCACAATATGACGTTGCCGTCATTCTCAATGCTACTTTCGCAATCAGTACTAGTCATGCATAATATTGTGAACAGTAATACAGCGCAACGTGGGTGCAATGTCACAGGGAACGCTAGCTTCGGGACATGGATGTGTGCCGTGTTAGCCACTCCCAGCCGGGACACTCGTATAGCTCAGCCCTCCTGAACATGACCGTACTTTCCGGCCAGTGATCAGAGACCACAGGGTTCCCTCCCAGGTATTCGACGCCGTGTAGTCGATCGTTGCGACCTATGACCTTCAGATTTCGGGACCCAGTAACTAAATCCTCGACAGACTCTAGGCCGGCGAATGACCGTACGTGGAAATACTCCAATTGTGGACAGGACGACCACTGGTACAAAGGCGCGTGAGCGATAGGCAAGGCGACGTATGACGAATGAGGACGCAGCGTACGTACGATTGGTTCAAACGACCCCGGTTCAATGTCAGCATTGAATGTGAGTGCCAGGGCAGCAAGATCGCTCGGCAAGCACGCAGCGAACGAAGTTATCACGTCGCGTGTGACTCGCAAGTCGCGTGTGATTCGATAGTGTTTCAGCACGAGCTCCAGCACTTCAACATTCTTCAGTGTATGCAGAACGCCTAGGAACTGGTCCCGATGGGACCAGGAAAAGGTGTATAACAGACGCAGTCGTCGCAGTTCACATCTGTTCGAGAGGATGTCCGGTAGTACTTGGAGGTCCTCTGGCGTGAATTCATAATCTTCGTCATTGGGGTGTAGCAGGCAGAGCGAGGTTAATCGTGGATGATGGATGCGTGACGAGGCAAGTAGAAGCAAGACTGAGTGAACATCGCCTTTGCCGACGTCCATCGTGAGTGACCGCAGTTGCGATAGTTGTGCAAGGAATGATCCCAGAGTTTCCAAGCACCGTGATGGTAGAAACAACAGCTCGACGCATGTGAGGGCGGGCAATACGTTGGAAGATATGACATCTGCCCAAGAACCTGGGATGCAGATTTCTCGCAACGAATCTCCGGGCACGTCTATCGTGGAACGTTCCACGATATCATCGTGACGGTATCCCGCGAGATTCATGTGCGTCCCGCTAGGAACTATCGAGTCCAGACTCTTGACGTTGCGCAGGGAGAGCCTCTCCAATGCTGGACATCTGTGAAGGCAAAAAAACGTATTAAATTTAAATACGGACATGAAGGTGGCCATTGACTAGCACTCACGGGAGAGCAATCTCGTGGAGCGAGAGGCATGCCTCGGCAAGGGTGTTGACAATATCCGGAGAAGGGAGCGGACGTCCCCCGTACCAAACCAGCGAACGCAGATTGTACATGTTCTTTAACGCGAGTGATAGACAGCCTGGAGCATATCAGACAAAATTTGGTTAAGAGAGACCCTAGTCCGTACTACACAGATATTACTCACGTAGCTGGAAAGCGGAGTCTTGACCATCGAAGTAGTTGAATGCCAGTATCTCCAGCCTTCTCACTGCTTTTGCAAACCCGCGATCCACCATGATGCGGTGCAGAATATCAGCGGTTATTGCACCGCGTTCGTCGGCAAGTGTCCGGAACGATTTCGAGAAATTCGCTCCGACTGCCGGGTGAGAGACACCGTAACACCATCGCTCCCAAGCTCCAAGATGTATGGTCACTCTTGAAAATACCATAGGAATGGCAAGATCATGGAAAAGTCGAGAGACGAGTAGACAAGTGCGCCTCGCTTCTCGGGGGGCAAAGAGTATGATTTGTGCCAGGATCTCAAGCGGTGGAAGAAGGTTGCGTTCCGCCATTGTTGGTTTTTCAACTGAAGGATTATGCCTCCGATAGTGAACAACGGTGACAGACAGAGATATGCAAAGGCCCACCTGAAGTATTGGCAAGAGCCTGAGGCCTGAGGGCGCGCGCGGTGTCGACGAGTCGCGGCGCCGAGTGACACGTCACGGCGAACTTCAACACTTAATGGTATAAGAGCTGCTATGAGAGCCTTGTTAGTGATTGATTCTTTATCATGTTGCAACGAGCCGTCTCACTAGTCCTTAGCGTACTTCGAGACTGTATGAGAATTCAAGATCAAGGTAGCTCGGCGAGTTGAGATCCTGAATGGACGATACTGCAACAGTGCAAGCGCCACGGTCACACTTGCCTAAATTGGACAGGCGCCGGGCCCATCGGTCGCATCACAGCCTGAGTACATAGACACTGTGCAGCAATGTGCGTTGTCATTCATGCTGCTGCGAGTCAAGTAATATAAGCTTCGAGTCATTGCGCCCAATCGCCCCTCTGCGCAATGAAGACGTCGCCCACCGCCAGGTGTGACCGTTACCCGACGGCGCTTACCGAGAAGTTCCGGCTCAAATTTGGACACCCCACAGTACTACATAAGTTAGTACGCCTATAATGTACCCGAAAGCCACAATTCACATTGATACAGGAAAAGATCCCGTAGCACTCAGCAAAATATGACTTTAATGAGGGAAGGTAGGATTGGAACAAGGGTTAGCTATAGACAAGCTATAGACTATTGACTTGAAAAGTTAGACTGTCGGCTGAATTACTTAGCTTACGTAAGCAGACCAGCCACATCGATCGGTAATCGAACTGTGGCCGCAGTGCATCGCCAAAAGCGAGAAAATGTTACAAGGGCATACAAGGGCTTGTAAGATGGCATCAGCAATCTAAGATACAGCATTCTGACGGTCGAGGTTGCAATAGATTACCGCGCACCTACCGTCTGGCCAATGTCTCCAAGCGATGTAAGAAGTGCCAGGCTGTCTGTCCTTATACAGTTTTATATCGCTTTGCAATGCCAGGGCGGGGACGGTGCAGACGAGCACAATAAAATTCATTTCTCAATTGTTTTGCCCTCATGCTCAATTATTAATCACAGCTGTCTCGAGAGGTTCATTGATAAACAATCAATAATTGCACATTCTACGTATGACGGTACAACTGGTACATGACCCTAGTACTGGATAGCTCCCATTCAGCCGGACATGTCAGTATGGTCTGCAAACCCGAGTTCAGTACGTACTACGCACAGACGAGATCTAAGCAAAACATTAGTTAATACGACACATGAGATCCAGTCAGTTGAGGTACATACCAAGCAGGCAAGACCGTAGAAGAGGAGTACAGAACATGTACTGAGTTGTGTAGTCTCGCCGCAATACCCTGCACATAGCATGCAGGGATTACGGCAAGGCAACACAACTCATCCAAGTCGTCCTCACCGAAGTCTCTCAAAGGGCATGAGACATTTCCGCCCACGTCTCCCTTTCTTATGCGCGGAGGTAAGGCAGTTCTGGGGTCCTGCTATGCGGCTAGCTGTGCTGCGCGGTTGGGGTGGCGACATCGCGACGGGACGTCCGCGCGACTGATGCTGCGGGCGCATCAGATGTGTCATATCCAATATGTGGGTGCTTACCGGAGAATTCGTAAGACTCGCCGAGCAGGGATCAGCGCTCCCGGTCGAGGCAACGGTGGTATCCTCTCCGAGAGCGGGACGATCGAGTGCCAGTGCAGCTAAGCACGTGGCGGGCGTTGGGACTGTCCGACTTGGTATGTCCGGAGCATGCGTGAAGAAAATGGCAGGATAGATCGACATCGCAATTGTGCGAGGCGTGGGCACCGCCGCATCGAGGACACCGCGTTTAGAACGTGACGTGAGGGTGCGTCGAGCACGGCGGGTTGTGTCGGACACCGTGACAATGACAAGGGTACGAGTAGGGACTTCGTGCATATGGAGAAGTGTCCACCGTATTGGACACTCAGTCGCGCCCGTTCTATGCGACTGTGGCCGGAATCGACCTTACAAACTGACCCTACATTCTTAATATGATACACAGATGTGAGAACTGTAGACTGACGTAGGTCAACATAAGATTCCCGAGGCTTCTGTGGCGTGTTGTAAGCACAGACGCAAGCGGATGGTCATGGTACAAGGGGATACAACGGAAGTCGCAGCCTGACAAGAGCTTCACAACGATGACGTAAGCCTGGGGCGCCCATATAGGATACCCCATTTCTGCGTGATCGTACAAGAGCTTATAAGACCACTTATAAAGTCATTACAAGCGGTACTAAGTCTGCTATAACCTGATAAGTTATCGACGACCATAGCAGTTTCCCCCGGTTTTGCTGATGTGACGGTGGCTTTGTGCCACTGGCTACCACTGGCACTGTAGTGAAAGTCTCTCAACTTGAACATCGAACTGAGCGAACTAGTTGATAAGTGTCTTGGAGCTCTCATCGTCGCGCTGACCACTAGACCAAATGATACAGAACCTTAGACTGAGGTGAGTTGCTTGCTTGAGGCAAAGGTCGCACCGTTTCAGTACTACTACTATCAGGGCCCTTGGAATGTCTTCACTACCCCCGGAACTTTGGCAAGAGGTGTTCACTTGGATTCCTCAAGATACGGCGCGTACATGCTTGTCTGTCTCAAAGTATTTCCACGGGCTTGCCCTCCGCGTCGTCTTCCGCAATATCACAATCTTCTTCGGTGCATGGGAGTCCGCACAGGCGAAAGAGGAGGTGTACCAGGCAGATAAACGCGAATACGACGTTCTGGAGGACAAGAGATCGTCCATGTCGTCCGCGATCCTTCATCGGATATCTCATGACCCGTCTTTCGCTGCTATCGTACGGGCCGTCGATGTTCACGCGTACAAGCGTGATGGCGCCAGAGGCGCGTTCGAACGAGGTGAGCGTGTTAGTGCTGGAACTTGATGATGGTCGCTGATAAAGCTATCAAGGATGTCTGATTGAAGCGATCCATTGTTTGCACAACCTACGCTCTTTCGCTTGGCATGGTGTGGCGCCAAGTCCGACGCCCGAAGTCATCGAGGCCCTCGCATCAACATGTACATTGCTGCGCCACTTTTCCGCACCGTAGGTTGCGACAACCATGATTACTCAGACCCTGCGCTGAATCTTGCATAGACTTCGCACGCTGCCTAAACTCCCGCTGGAGAAACTGCAGACGCTGTGGTCCATAAGCTACACGTGGAAATGGTTCTACGACACCACCCGCGGTCAGCGCTCACGGCTTCCTGACGAACACCGCGACCTCAAGGTCCATTGCGAGCGACTGAGGGAACTGCAGATGCCCTATACGTCGCCTTCCCACATCCCCTTCGATCAGCTCCCGATGCTGACGCATCTCGAGTTACTGTCAATCCAGACACTCGATAAGCTGGGACCTCTCCTCCGCAAGGTTCCCCGGCTGGAGTCGCTCTCGATATTCTGTACTAAACGCCAGCACGACGTCCTGTTTGACGCCCTTGGCTTCCTGAAGTCCAACCTCTTGAACCTTCACTCGCTCTGCCTGCTGTCGCGCCAGGAGGGCGCACTCGAGAGTGAACACGCGCAGATACTGGCGGACTTCCTTCAGGGCCGGAAGTGCCTGCGACGGTTCCGCTCGACATTCAAGTTCCGCGAAGGCACCCACTTATCTTTCCTAGGCGCCATAGCTAGCCTGCGGAGCCTCGATACGCTGCATTGGGACGTGCTCGCGGAGGATCTCGACCAGGACTTTGTTCGCATGCTTCTGCAGCACCTTCCCCCTGATATGCTCGCTTTGAGCATCGCCACATACGGTGGCCTCAAGAGTGTGGATGCGCTCGTCGACCTGGTCAGTTCTCCAGCATTAATGATCCAACCTTGACTGACCGGATATGCTCTCCATCGCAGTGGGCGCATTGCCCAGACCTGCGCTTCCTCTATGTGCGCACCTGGGGATCCGCAGACGAGCCCGCGGAACGGCTGCTGCGCGGCGCGAAGCGCCTGCAGGTCGTTGGGTACAACGGCAAGTTTCACGACGTCGACCTACAAGACGGCCAGGTCCGCCTCTCGCCCGCGTGGTCCGCGCGCAGGGTCGCGTTCCGGTGCCCGAGCGACTTCGGCCCTGGCTGCGAGAGCGCCGAGTGGCTCATGCGTGGTCTGCGGATCAGGAGTGAGGTCGAGGAGGAAGGCCAGCCGTGATCGAGGAGCTGAGACGTGCTCTGGAACGAGAGGATCGCAGGTTGTAACTTGTAAGAATGCTGTTGCGATGAAGTTCGAACACCTTTAAGGGGACGAGTGACTCACCGAGCGCACTGGCCGTGCAACCGTATTCCAAATAACTTACAGAGCGTACGATCGAGTCACTGCGGACCTGCGATGACAATGAGTTTTGAGTCGAGTTTATGTACTACTGTGGCATCGATTAATGCATTTACTGCTTGTTACCGTGAGTCACTATGATAATGGAGCGTCGGCGCTTGTTATACCTTGCGGGGTTTAAATTTGTGTTAAACCTACGTCCACCGTCTACTATACTACAGCTGACCTCAACGTTCAACGTTCTTCAACACCTGCCTCGTTTCGGCGGTCCGAAGTTTGGACATCACGACGATTACTAGGTGAGATCATGAACTGCCTCACTGTCCCATTCACTTGACAGTAACACTGGACAACAGCGTGCCTGTGCCGCAGTCACTCGAAGTGATGTCGACGTCCGGGCAGATGGACGGAACTCCGAATGAATGCATCCCTCTACCGCCAGAACTTACCTCCCAGATCATACACCTGCTACCCAGAAATAGCAGGCGGGTATGCCTCTTCGTATCGCGGCGAATGCACGACCTCGCCTCTGGTATTCGCGAGTGTCACCATCCATCTCGGCGCATGGGAGGCACATTGCCCCGAGGAATGTGAATAACCTGACACCTCTGAAACGCAATGGACTGCCTTATCGAGTTCTCGGCAAGATTTATCTGCGGAGATTCTACACCATATCGCTCACGACTCACAATTTGCTGGAGTGGTGAGAAGGCTTGAGGCGCGTGCTTTCGAGCATCACCTTGACTGTGAGTTTTTTGAGAATTGCGGCTATGTCATGTGTGAGTATTGCGAACATTCAATCAGGTTTCCCCATCTAACGAACGCTCAGCCGAACCAGGGCCTTTATTGCCGGCTATAGATGTGCTTTCCAACCTGCGATCCATCGCATGGTACGGGATCTGCCCTGTTCCTTCGCCGGAGATCATCATTAGACTTGCGAAAGCATGTCCATTGCTCCACTCAATCGCCCTACCGTAAGCGTAGTCCAGAACGATGTTTCAGTCATTTTAAATAATCATCTTGAATCTGCAGGCCTGTCATGTCATTAGCGACACTTCCTTTGAGCCGCATTCAAAGCTTGCAATCGGTCACGTTCTGCGGGATGCAGCTACCCATAAGTCCAGCTTCCCTCCTTGAAGAGATCGATACCATGGATGTGGCTCGACTGCAAGATCTTCGAGAGCTCCATCTCAAATATGTCGGCCTGCCAAATGGTGTCCCACTTTCAATCATCCCACCGACTCTTACGCATCTCGAGATCTTCCGTCTCCGATCGCATGATTCTTCGGCACCGTTGCTTGGCCAACTGCCCCACTTACAATCGCTCGTGCTGCGCTCCAAGGTCTACGCGCGCACACGGACCAAGTGCTACATGCGCTAGTTCAAGCGCAATCCGACCGTCGTCCTCGATTAACCTCGCTCGCCCTGTTCTTCCCCTCGGAGGACTTGAGCTTGGCGCAGCTGCACCTTCTGCTCTGTGTCCTGCAGAATCAGCCAAGGTTGCAACGCCTTCGCATTGCCTTGAGATGTGCAAATGAGGGCTGGTTTCAGCTCATGGAGGGTCCTGCAGGTCTCAAGGACCTTGAGATTCTTGGTATTGGAATGCTTAGGACTATGAGTCTCCGGGATGCGGTTGATGTCCTCTCAAAGAATGCACCAAACACGCTCGCCGCCCTTTCATTGAAAGCCTTCGGGGGAAATTCTGCAGGAGCCTTCCGACCACTGGTACGTTGTGTTCTAATTCTTTAAGCCATATTCTTCTGCTGATTCCTCGCTTTTGAAGTGGCAGCGTTGTCGCCAACTGGAGTACCTGCACACTAATTTTTTCTTGAGGAGTCGTCGATCCGCGCGACTTGAAGTTCAAGACATCATTGATGGTGCACAGTCGTTGAAGGTACTGGGCTACAGATATCGATTGTACAACATCAGCTATCAAGATGGGGAGGCAGTAGTCTCCGACCGCGGCGAACCCTGGCCATTGCACAAGATGTTTTTCAGACAGGACGAAGATGTATGTAGAGGATGGGAATGGCTGCTAAAGGATGAACGTATGTTCTAAGTAATACTAGTCAAATGACAGTTCCGCTGGTGCGGCGATGGCAGTGGCTGATGCCAGCGTCACACTGCATTCGCCGGTGAACACTCAGGCTTGTCATACCTTGTTTCTCTTCAGAAGACCCAAGTCCAAGGCACTCGAATGGCCAGGCGACCCTCACTCTGCATTCCTGACACACTTCCGCAATCATACAGTCGTCATAACCACGACCAGAGGTGAGACGCATACTGTCCGATTCAGAGCCCAGTTTTACTCATGAATCCACGTCAGGCTCAGGCTAGGTATCGTATACAACGGGCCTAGCGCCATAGCCTATCCGAAGTATCGGGCATGACGGACAGACAGCCTTGCAAGACCGTACGAATACGGCGACGACCCACTGCAGGCAATCATTGCAACTGGCCCATCGTGCGACGGGGGGACACCGACATGTGAATGAGCGTGTTGGGCAGGGCCGCATCTTCCGTAGCTATCGCACGCACGTTGGCGAGACACCCGCAAGGACGACGCTACTCAGGCGCTATCCCGGCGTGTGAGAAGCTGTGAGAAGGTTGTACATGGATAGACTCGCTGGCCCCCCGCGCTGCGCGCCTCGCACACTTGGAAGCGACGCCGTTCCAGCTCAGGGGCTCTCCAGACGCGGAGGTAACCCCGGAAGGGCCCAGCGTCCGGACTCGCAGGCGGCCACGCTCGGGTCTTGCAGAGAACTTGTTTCCCAATGCGAGCAGTCCGCACGTGCGGCTTTGTGAACATCGCTCAGGTATTAGGCAGCATGACAGGCCTCGACATAACCGCAGTGGCAAGCTGCTACAATTTGATAGAGAAATGCATGAGTTGTTCGGCGAAGCGATACGCACGTAAGGGCATACATATTCATTCCGGTTTCTGTTAGGTTCTGGAGCAACGATGTGCATACCGTGGTGCGGCGGGAGGAGAGAGGTTTGGAGAAGGGTGGTCATGGCGGAGGTAAGTTAGCCAGGGTACACAGTAGCGCCGGGCCGAGCCGAGCCGAGCAAGAATGAGATCACACCGTCTCGGGGCAGCGGGCTGCATATATAATCGGGCGCGTCGTCGTCGGGGCCCTGCTCTCATCTCTTTCCACCACCATCTACCATGACCACCTCACTCGATCACCTCAAGCAGACTGGCACCGTCGTCGTCTCCGACTCGGGCGACTTCGAGTGTGAGTACGGTGCCCCCAGCCGATGCGACGATCTGACATCGATGTGCAGCAATCGACGTGTACAAGCCCCAGGATGCCACGACCAACCCCTCGCTCATTCTCGCAGCGGCGGGCAAGCCGGGTTACGCCCATCTCGTCGACGCTGCCGTGAAGTTCGGCAAGGAGAAGGGTGGTGACCTCGAGAATCAGACGAACGCGGCGATGGACCGCCTGGTAAGTACAATCGCCGCTCTTCTCGCTAGCACCCTAATACCCCATCCCCCAGCTCGTTGAGTTCGGCAAGGAGATCCTCAAGATCATTCCCGGCCGTGTCTCGACCGAGGTCGACGCCCGCCTGTCATTCGACAAGGAGGGCACGAAGAAGAAGGCTAAGGAGCTCATCGCACTCTACGAGTCGGTCGGCATCAAGCGCGAGCGTATCCTGATCAAGATTGCCTCGACTTGGGAGGGTATCCAGGCCGCGCGCGAGCTCGAGCGTGACGACGGCATCCACTGCAACCTCACCCTTCTCTTCGGCTTCGGCCAGGCAGTGGCCTGCGCTGAGGCGGGCGTCACGCTCATCTCGCCCTTCGTCGGCCGTGTACGTGGGCCCCGTCCTATCGTCGTAAACCGACATACTGACTGTCTCGCAGATTCTTGACTGGTACAACAAGAACCAGCCGGGTAAGGACTACGCGGGCGATAACGACCCAGGTGTCCAGTCCGTGAAGAAGATCTTCAACTACTACAAGCAGCACCACTACAAGACGATCGTCATGGGCGCATCCTTCCGCAACACAGGCGAAATTAAGGCGCTCGCGGGCGTCGACTTCCTCACCATCGCGCCCAAGCTCCTCGAGGAGCTGAAGAACGAGACCACGCCCGTGCCCAAGAAGCTCGACTCCCACGCCGCCGCGCAGGGCCAGCCCATCGAGAAGGTCACCTTCGTCGACAACGAGGCCGAGTTCCGCTGGACGCTCCTCGAGGACCAGATGGCCTTCGACAAGCTCCACGAGGGTATCAGGGGGTTCGCCAAGGACGGCCAGACGCTCAAGAATATCCTCCGCGAGAAGCTCACAGCTTGAGTGTGTTGGGGAATGCATACGGGGTGCGAAGCAGAGGCAGCAGAAGCATGTAACGATGTATAAAATAGAGTCGGAAGCATAGATCTTTGTCGTCATTGCGTGCGTGTAGACATCTGAAGCCAGCACGAAGGTGACTCGTCCGCGTCATGCACTGTCACATTGTCGTCTTCCTTATACATTGGCTCCAATGTGTCCGATGCACAACCCGAGTATGATAACTGCAAATTCAATAATTGAGTAAGACCGAGCTACGACGGATATTGGCTTCCCGTGCAATATCACTGCAGCCAGGTGGGTAGGTTCCGGATACATGGCATAAGGATGATTGCTTGCATAAGACACAGCGCAGAATGATTTCATGCTTGCCGGCTAGAGCTGGTGGCAGATGGGAAACGGGATAACGGTGGGGGACTCACTTTGGGGGCTTCTGTGAACGGTTGAACACTTCGCCTGAGCCAGTTGGAACTGGCAACCGGCCAAAAGAATGGAAGGAGGTGTTTGGTGAGACTCGGGTCGCAGTTCGCATCGACAACGGCATGTAGGCGTGCCTATACTGGATTCATCTTGAACGTCCAATGCACGGTACACATCACGTAGGCGTAGCTGAAATAGACGTCAATCGTATGACAAAAATATGACAAGCAGGCATTGACACGCCTTCGTCATTCTGTCCGACAAGCGGCAGGATAAAGTTGAGGTATACTGAGCGTAGCGATACCACTGCCACCGGCGACAAGAAAAAGGGTGATGTGTCAGAGGAGCATATGGTGTTCATGATTGTCGAATGAACTGCAATGCATCAGCGTAGGGAACTTGTACGGTGCGCGCGAACCTCAAACAGTAGCAGCAGCGCACATTGTAGCATTAGAATGACGCTAGGGCAGTGATACGACCTGCGCAAGGCTTCGCTGTCGGCGATGTGTTCTGACCGCATCGGCGTGAATGGTACCTCGTTAAATGCAAAGCATGAGTTACCGAGGCGTTTTGAATGAGATGAGATTTTGAGGCAAGGCTTACCTTACGTGCGGGAACCATGGATCTAACTCCATGAAGACGAGCGGGCGATCATCCCCCCGTTCTATTGTCCCTGATACGCAAACGGGGACTTCATTCGGTCTCAGCTCGGAGTGTTAGGGATCCGTCCAGACAAGAGACTGCGCAATTCCGGCGACGTGTACTCAGGGTCCATTCCCAAATGCTGCCAAGCATTGGATAGCACCGAGAACGCTCAGGCGAAAATTGATCAACAAGCTTCGAACGCACATATGTATGAGAGCCAGGAAGTACTAGCATCAACAGCGCCCGAAGGTGGGATTGTGACGAGACAAGGTGCTTCCAGCCGCTGCATATGGTCCTGCAACGGAACGGAGGTATCGGCAAATCCCCACCGATCACAGTATGATCTCACCGAGATCTAGGAGCGCGAATCTAGCATCAAGGACCTGGGTGACCGCCGGCTACGCCTCGAGAAGCCCGAACTTCCTAACCGCGGCGCGGGAGCTCTGATATGGTCCTTAACAATATTCAATAACGGTCTAGCCTCCGAATATGGCAAAGATGACTTACGCTGGGCAGCGTAGCCCCAGGGTACAGCTCATTCCTTGCACAGCTGCGCCAAACCGCCGGAGCCGGCTTGCAGCGCAATGCGGGGGTTAGATAGGTGCAGGAGTAAACCCCCGGGGATGCGGGTTCCATATACGACGACCGTGATCCAGCGGTCTCGTACGACACGCCTCGAGGATGAGAATCCTACGGCAGTCGTGAGCCGCAGCGAGCCACAATGGGTATGCCCGCGCAAAGCTACGCCAATTCGAGTGACACTGGGCGCGATCACGATCAGCGCCCACGGCATCCTGTTGCTGGCGACGCCGGGACCGTACGCAAAAGACGCTGGACCACCCAGCTGGATGAAGGGAATTATGCTGCACAGTCGAGCGGTGAATCGGGTGATGATGCGCACAAAGTCAATGTAGCGGTGGTGTAGCCATCGCAACGAGGATGCATCCTCGGCGAAATTAAAGAAAGAAAAGACCTGGAACGTTGAGGAACTATCTGAGCGCATGTTTCCGGCTGCAATTCAAATGTATCATTAGAATGGGACGGCATACGTCGACATGGTCTGCATGGGAGGTTTGTTGGACTGTCAAACTCAACTGAAGTCGGTCATTGATTTATTGAGGCTCTAGACGATTTGCCTTGCAAGTGCCCGTCTTCGATATGTGATTGCAGAACAGTTGTGGGCCTACCATAAGCCGACTGTCGTCTGACCAAACGGAAACTGTGCCGAGAGGCAGCGATTCGGACTCTTCGCTCGTCGGGCGGTCGAGTCAATCGTCCTACAGCGCACTAAGCTCCTGGCTTGGAATGGGAAAATTCATTAGCAGTGTGCACGAGACAGAGAAATGGGGTAACACTCAAAAGGGCCAAGCGAAGCTGTTCGTCATCGCCATCGACGCACAGCATGAGGTGTACTAAGCAGAACCTGAGACCAGATACGCGCAAAGTGTATAAGACGTACAATATTTTCGCCTTTCTGTGGTACTTGGCTATTTCAGCGTCACATCTGACTGAGGGTATGAATGTCATGGCAGAAGTGATATACTGGGTTCGAGCGGGATCAGCCGGAAGAGCGAGAGATCTAGACGATGGCCAACGCCAACAAGATCTCAGCCACAATCTTGGTACACGGATCTCGGCCATCACCACTGTGGCTATGATAGATTGTCCCGAAAAGGAAAGCTATCCTAGTGTTCTCGTTGTGCCTACCCCTCACCGAGGGCTCGCACGGAGCGCCATTACTCTCTGGGTTGAGGCTGTCCCGCGTAAATTGTTGCCAATTTCTAAAATGGTGAATTCATGCGGTGGTATGACGTCGAGCCGTCCTCAAGGTCGCCCTATGATGGTGATGACATTCCAGTTTTGTGTCGCGAGTGAAAAGCAGTCCGAGGCTCCGTTGTGTATGACTCCAGCGCGCCCAGATAGTCGCGCTCCGGCACTCTGCTGCACCTCGAATCACCGGTGACTACTGAGTGCGTTGGCAACGCCGTTCGGCGATCCTGCGTTTGGTCAGGTCGACGTAACAGATCTCATCACCATCCCAAATTCGGCTGCGATGTGGCAGCCCTGGCCTCGACTATATATTCCGCCCCGACAGTACGGGATCTTCTGTATCACCCCATTACCCATCTACCTAATCGTGTAATTAGTAGAGAGCACGCCGACCGCTCTCGCCAACGATGTCCCAGCCACTCATTACCTTGTATGACGTTCCCGCTTCAATCCCACAACCGTGGGCTCCGAATATCTGGCGTGTCCGGTTAGTATGTTGCCACTCACTGTGTCACCACCTAAACATGTTGCAGCTTCATCCTCAACTTTAAACGTCTCCATTACCGGACGGTGTGGATAGAATTCTCCGACGTCGAAGCTACACTACGTTCTATCAACGCACCACCGACCGCCTACAGAAGCGACGGGAGACCAATTTACTCACTCCCTGTAATAGTCGACTCCCTCCGCTCCAGATCCCATCCCACCGTACTGTCCAACGCTAATATCATCGCCGAATACCTCGAGGTCACCTATCCAGCTCGGCCAATCTTCCCAGATGGATCGCGCGCGGTCCAATCGCTCTTCGTCCACTACATTCAGGAGGTCTTCGCGAAGCCACTCCTTCCCATCCTCGTCCCCTTGACCCATCAAGTGCTGCCCGAGCGCAGTCAAGCCCATTTTCGCGGCGCTGGAGCTGGTGTACAGCTGACCGGCGCGCAGCGGGAGCAGGCGTGGAGAGCGGTGAAGGAGCAGTTCGATTTTCTTGCTAGCATTCTCGACAAGAACAACGGCGCCGACGGAAACGGCGTCGTAGTGATGGGAAACGACGTCAGCTACGCGGACTTTGCCTTGTGCTCCGTGCTGTGAGTCGCTCGTCATTTTGGGAAGGGTCTCTACTAACCTGCGGCGAATGCAGAATTTGGATTGAGCGTGTATCCCCTCACGATGGCTGGGCCCGAGTCAGACAGTGGAACAACGACAGATGGGTGCGTTTGTGGAACAAATGCAAGGATTACATGGACGTGTTGTGACGGAGACATGACACATCGCGCCGCTGGCGGCATTTCCAAACTTGTAGCGCTAGGAGCACATCATCACCTCTCATTGTATACGCTGGCATAGATTAGCGACCGCTAAATTATCTAGACACCACAGCTCGTTCGCGGCTCACCGTTATTACCATAAAGCCTTAGATAGATGCCACACGCGGGGCACCGTAATAGAATGTCAGACACACTTATTTGCATTGTCACTTCAGCGGACAAGCTTTGCGACGAGGATGCGGCAGTTCGTCTTTCGCTCCGACTGCGCAGATGCGCCGGGCGCTGAGCGCCCGGGCTACGAACGGACTAATAAGTCTTCTCTTCGCCATGATCCGCTCAGTGTCAGGCCACTGGTAGAGATGGTCTGCGGTTGAATAGCTTTTCAGATACGTTAGTGCCAGCTAGCCGGTCGACGTGTCAATCCTGGGCCACTCACTTCGCGGAGTGAACCACCATTTTCTCACATTTCCACAACTCTCCCAGTCGGATCGTGCGAGGGACGGTAACACATGGACTCCAAAGTCCTTATTACCTCCGGATGGACTCGCCCTTAGCATCTTGGTATGCCTTCTTCCGGAGGCCCGGGCAGGCGGTACAGATAACGTCTACCGTGACGGTAGTTGATAAAATCAGCTCTGCGTCACAGATTGATGCGGTCATTGACTCATAACGACCATCGCGACCATGCTCACCGATCAAATTCACGGCGGGGCGCTTTGTTCACATACACTTCAAAACAGGCCTCGCTGCATCGTGTGAGAAATGCGGTGCAAACTTCCTCGCTCGACTGAATCTAAATCTTCGGTGACAGAAGGGTCCCACGATGTGCACTTTTCAAATGACAGGGGGATGTCTTCCGGGTACATCAGCTATCCACATAACAGCCTTCACGGGAACATAGTAACTCACCGGCTACTCGTCTTGCAAGGTACATTTATACTGCTGGTGACTTCGCGACTGCCCTCGGGCCAAGTCATGCACAGGCTTCATAACACGCGGGTGCATGCGTCCTCCATATACTTCATCAGCATTGGTATATGTCAAAAAACGCCAGCATGTCACAGTCTCCATGGGTGTAAAATGTATAATTTACAACTTCACCTCTACGACGGTGAATTCACGTCGAATCCGTCAACTCCAGAAAGCTCCTGATTTCTCGCATGTAGCTGTCCCGCTCCTCCCAGAACGGCATATGGCTCGACTGTTCGAACGTCAGCCACTTCGCCTTGGGAATGCGCTCGAAAAACGGTCTTGCCGCGAACTCTTGCGCGAAGTCAGCCCGCCCATTCACAACGAAGGTGGGTACCTTGATGAGATGCAGTCGATCAAATATTGACCAGCCCTGCAGGTAGGGAAACCTGGTCTTATGATCAATATTCGGTGCAAGGCTCCGTGACGGACATGTACTGATTAGACATACATTGCGGCAGCGACAGTGAGATCACGATTGTCTCCGAAGACGTATTCGAAGGTCCGCGAGAACTCGGCCGGAAACGGCTGGACGGTGCACCCATGGACCTCGTAGAACTTCATGAGCCCGAATTCGTACTTCGGCGGATCGCTGATGCCCAGCCGAAGCCCTTCCTGCACTTCCGGTGGGAAGGCCTGGGCCAACTGGGCGAGCGATTGGTTCCATAGATCCATGGACGCGAAGGAGTTGCTCAGAATGAGATGCCGCAAGCCTGGTGGCTGCCGTTCGACGACGTATTGGGCACCCAGCATGCCGCCGTACGACTGGCCAAGGATATCGAAGGCCTCGCCGATCCCCAGGTGCGCGATGAGGTTGTCGAGCTCGTCCATGAATAGTCCCATGTTCCAGAACGACTGAGGCTTATCTGGAAGACAGGTCGAACGGCCATTCCCGAGTTGGTCGTAGAAGATCACGGGGATCGACCCATAAGTGGCGAGGTCGCAGAGAGGGAGGAGGTAGTCATGAGAGAGTCCCGGGCCGCCGTGCAAAATGATAAGTGGGGGGCGGGAACGAGTCGGTACGTCTCCGACGATCCTGTACCACGTTTGATGGACTTCTCCGTCAATAACGAAGGACGCAAATCCTTCGCGGTCAGGAACGCAATTCTCCATGTTCGGCGATCAGGGCTCCCTGTGGATATCGTCAGCTTAGAGCTGAGCATACGCGTAGACCTCAAGCAAATACCTTGAGAGAACGTAGATAAAGGCACGTCCCTCTTCACAGCTCGCGCACTCGAGCTTGTGCTGCCCTGTATAAAGTAGTCGCATACACAGATGGAAGCACTGCGCCGCTGATCGGTTGAGAATTGAACTGCCGGTCAACGTTCCAATGTGTGGTTTGCCCGGCCGACCGCGTCGTTGTTATGTGGAAGAAAACAACACGGGCTTCATCTCCGCATATCTTTTGTGCTACCGCATACATAATACTAGCGGGAATAGAAATCTTCTAGAGGTCATCCACCGTCTGATCCGCCGACTCCGACACGGGATGTCTTAGAATTGAAGTCAGCGATAATAGTGAAGGAATTTCTCAATTTGTTGAGGATGAAACAGCATATTACATACCATAGCTAATCGACGCGTTGGTCGGTGAACAAGAGACCGATAGAGACATCAGCATTGACAGACAGCACGGCCCCTGCCGCAGTTCAAGTACATAGAATGTAGGATGCGGACTCCGAGTCCGGAGTCGGGACGCGTGTGGCGCCAGATCAGATCACGGTCACGTGGACAGTGTCTGGCGCGTCGTCCGACGCGCATTGTTGGAAATTCAATTTCATAACTGGATCCCAGAAAGGACCAGCATCTCCTCCTACGCTCCCCTCGACCATCAATTTTTGTTTTCATAGAAACGGAGGCACTCTCATCTCACTTTTTCACGTTCACAACGACCCATACAGTCTCAACAAGGCCATATGCGAGAGGAGTCAGGACAGCGGCACTGATTAGCAGCGGGCAGCCTTGTGGTACATCCCTCATGGCACGCGCGAGGTACTTGCTCATTTCGCTTCGTCAAGGCATTCCAGCATTCCAGACGGACCTACATACGCAAGTACTGTACAACACTACCATCTGCACTTTGCCTGACCTTCACACTTCCACACAGCTCACAGCTTCCAACTTATCACGGCACGATGACCGCACGGAAGCGCGCCGAGCTCCGGTGGTCGTACGCCTCCTGCGCCTTATCGAGCGGGAACTTCGTCACCATCGTCCGGATGCCGTTCGCCTGCGCAAACTTGACGCAGTCCTCGCTGTCCGCCGCGGTGCCGGACGGCCACCCACGAATCGACGTGCGCTTCTGGATCAGCGCACCTGGGGAACCGCGCGTCGGTCAGTCAGGCACGCACGGGAGATATATAGACTACACACTGAGCGGGATGCTGGCCTCGTCCGCGATCGCGAGAATGAGCAGCTCGCCGTTGACTGCGAGACCGGGAAGGAGCCCGCGGATGGTCTCCGAGTTCGGCGCCGTGCACATGATGACGGCAGCGCCGCCGAGCTGCTGGAGCGCCTCCGCCTGGTTCACCTTCGAGCCGTCGATGTAGACCTCCGCGCCGAGCTCGCGCGCGAGCTCCGCCTTCGCGGGCGACGAGGAGAGCGCGACGACGCGGAAGCCCATCGCCTTCGCGAACTGGATGCCCAGGTGGCCGAGGCCGCTGATGCACTCACGCGTCAGACTTGGATTGTGGATGGTCAAGAGGCAGACGTACCCGATGCCCTGGATGGCGACGTATTGTGGAGGCTTGCCGGACATGTTGCGCAGCGAGTTGAAGGTGGTCACGCCGGCGCACATCAACGGAGCGACCTCAGCGGGGTCGATACCCTCAGGGAGCGCGACGACCGCCTCCGTGCGGAGCGTAACGTACTCTGCGTACGCACCGTGGCGCGTGATACCTAGGGACCGCATCACACGTCAACTCTGGCGCACACCTGTCGAGAGGTTTTCCGCTCACCATTGATGTCTTGCTGCTCACAGGTGACGAAGTCGCCCACCGAACAACGGCTGCAGGTGTGGCAGTGGCCGCCGTGCCAGCCGCTGCCGACGCGCTGGCCGATCTTCCACTTCTTCTCAGTCGGTGGAATGGCGACGACGTCGCCGACGACCTCGTGCCCGGGCACTATGGGAAATTTGATGCCGGGGAAGGCGGCGTACTTCGCGGCTTCGTCACTATCAACAGGCGTGAGTCAATGTTAGTAGCTTGCGAAGGGATTGAAAGTTGCAAATGCAGAACGGAGGTGTCTACGTCTATCAGAACTGTCAGCGCAGAAAAGCGTCCTAGTTCGGATCCTAAGTGTCTGAGTCATGTGGCTGGAGTGAAGGTTCGGTGAACCACCTTCGGGCAGAGAACTGCATTCCCGAGGTATGCGCGCTTTTCTGTCAACATTGACGTTGGCTGCGGTGGCCTAGGCCGAAGCTCTGAAGGACCGCAACAGATGGGCCACTCAAAATCCACTTTTGACGTCCTCTATCTTGCCTCTATCGCGCCAAGAGCAGCGCATATAGTCCGACTGCACACTTCCCCGTGAGGTCGCAATCGACCGGTATATTGACCACAAACGAGCAAGCACGCTAGAATGGAACTCACCTAGCGCATACACCGCATGCAACGACTTTGACGATGACCTCGCCCTGCTCGGGATCGTGCCAGTCGAAGGTGATAGGCTTGAGTGGTCCGCCCTTCTCGGTGAACCCGTAGGCCTTGTAACTCTTCGGGTGAGCCATGGACTTCTGGAATGGATTCGCGGTGTCTGAGATGGTGGTTCAGGAAGAGAAGAGGATAGAGGGATAGAGCGGCCGTCGTGCAGTATTTATACGTCCCGGGGACGAAACGGATGACGCAGCGTCCGCCGACCTGCCAGAAAGGGAACGACCTCGAAGAGACGATCGAAGGCCAGAAAACGCAAAAAATTGCCCTCATTGGCACCAAACTTCTAATCTTGGAGCCAACTTGGAGCACACGTAAACAAGTCCTGGGCCAGCGTCGTGAGATAAGCCTAATCAGTACTCTGAATTGGCGGTGGACGCGGTACGTACTAGTTCACATACTAGTGACCTGTGCTCCTACGTCCATTTCACGACCCACTCGCATACTGCTGAGGGTCATGCCCCAGGGCCGACTCGGTTTCAGCGCGAATGAAAGGCTTGCATACATCCTGGAGTATGATAAGTAAACAGTAAGTACCAAGACTGTGGGGGAGAACGGTGGCGCTGCGATGACGCAGCACTGGTCAGGCTCGGGCATAGACTCGGGCATGGATCCTCCGCATTTATGCCGAAATGGTAGGTCTGGCAGTACGTTCTGACAATGACTTGTCCTATACGTCAGTCACAGAGGCTGCCGTGTTGTATGCGTACTGCTGCGGCAGAGGCGATACAATTATGTGTGGGCGCAATCTTGCAAATTGCTCGACCGCGCGCGGTATCCCGGTCAACGACTCGGATGACCGAGGTAGGTAGTACCTTGGCAGATACATACGGAAGCCGGTTCGATCTCAGGCCTCAGGCTCAGTGGCGGGATGTCTGACCCGTAGGTTCGACACAAATCCCACACGTGGCGCCGTGTGGAGGGTCTTTGGTTTGGGACTAGCCTGGCCCGCGCGGACTGACATCCTAATGTGGAGGTCTTGTTGTTACTGAGTCATTCGTGCCGGAGTAGCATGGAGGCTATGCTGATCGCGTCCATTCAAGGCTTTCCTCAGCAGACTCAGCTTTTTCATCCAGCGACGAGAATGTAGCCACCAACCAGGCTGGAGCAATCCGTAGTATGTGAATAGACACATGCCATGAGTTTACGGTGCGCCAAAGCTTCCAAAGAGTCGTCAGATAACGGCAAGAATGTGGAAGAGAAAACTCACACGAGCTTGGCACATCGCTCACGCCTATTTCCTGCAAAGCTTACCTCGCCGTCGACGCACCAGGAATGCGTGCCGATCTCACGTCGCATGATCCCCGCATTGACTCGGAGGTTCCGCACCCATCGACGGTCGCGATCGACCTTACATTCAGTCGCCCTCCCACCGGAGCCCACGCCGGCGCGGGTTTCGTTCCTGCAGTGATCGACACTCGAGATCGGTGCCCGCGCTGTCACGGAAGCCTCGATGATCGAACGGCGTTCCCCGGGTAAGCTGGGTGTTTGGCAGGTTTGGTTCGAGTGGTTCGGAAGAGGAATATAGGACACGGCGCGGGATGTAGATACGGGTGGGAGGAGAACGGGGTGTGGAGTGGGTTTGTTGCGAGGATGGGCAACGGTTTTCCAGGTCGGCGTTCGAGAAAAAAGCGAGGTCCTGAGTACAGCTTGCAAAGGTCCCAGTCTGCGGTGTTGTACAAACCGGTAGAGTAGCATGGTAGAATGAAACAAGGTGAGCCTATAGAACCCTAGAACCCCCCGTCTAACATACCTCCAATTCATTGAACCTGCGCATGCATATCTGCTAGCATGTCGCACGGTAAATTGACGGCGTCGCTTGCAGTGCACCACAGCCCACTTGAAAGTAGCCAGCCACCACAGCACAAATAATGTAAGCGCCTGGCTGCTGCCAGTGGCGAGCCTCCGCTCACAGCACAAACCGAAGCACGATTCCTATCACGAACTATTACCATTACAAGTATCATATTCAGTACGAATGAACCACACAAAAGCACTAATTTACCTGTCCGTCGGCTACACTGTCCACCTTCCACCCATCAGCTGCCCCGAGACGTCTCCCACAGGCCCATGCATGATCCTCAGATGACCCACGGTTCAGCAGATACGCTGCGGTCGGTGTCCCGGGTGGGAAGTGGGATTTGCGGATCGTCCGAGTCAAAGGGGCGTTTACCGAGGGCTGTATGAGATGCGACCGGATGTCCGGTCGAGATCGCAGGTACAGGACAACTGGGCGGTTGATTGGAAGATCCACGCGTCGTCTGTGGAATCGCCCTTGCGTTGGCGAGAGCACATTTAGGACAAATTCCTGCCGACTTGATCAACGTGGCCGGAAATTATTTGACTTTTGTACAGTGCAATTCTCGGCCTTCGGGAGCATGTGCCTTGATCTACCCACAAGTTGAGTCTTTGCGTACGACGAGTACGCACAGTGACTCACCTCTGTAAGCATAACGACCACGGGCCTCAGAATTGCCTAAAGCGATGTCGTGGCCGTCCCGGTCGTAGAAGAGTCCGGAAGGGTGAAGTACGCCGACAGGACGTACATGAAGTCCTCATCAGGTACCGTCGGCGACTCGTCGAACCGCGAGATCGACTCCCTCGTGAGCGGAATCTTTCTGCGCACCGAGCTCGGGTGCATCATCGTCCTACAAGCAAAACCCACCCACCCTACGTCAGCGCACTGCAGCAACAGGCCCGCACAACAGAGACTCACAGATGCTTGATCAACCCATCCCTGCTCATCGTCTTTTGCTTGTGGCACAGCGGACAGAGCCAGATAAAGCCCCGCGCAGCGGTGCGTTCGCCGGAGCGGAGCTTCCACCGTCGCGTGCGCGGCTGCGGCTCCCAGGACGCGCCGTGGAAGTGGAGATTCATCGTTGGCACGCCGCCGCCGTCGAAGGGTGAGGGCGATTGGGTGTTCGTCCGGTCGGTGACGCCCTCTGAACAGGATGCACTTAGGGCGGGGCTGAATGCTGAGAATGGAGAAGCTGGTGCGACGGACTGGGATGCAAGATGTGGAGGTTTGGGTGTGGGTGTGGGGTCTGAGGGGGGTAGGGGAGGTGGTGCGGATGTGGGAGAGGTGGGAGTGGCCGCAGTCACAGACAGAGTTGGACGATTGCAGACGACGCTGGTTGCAGGCTCCTTGTACGGAGAGTCTCGCCTCTCTGGATGCAGCCTCGGGACAGGGGGTTCGGGGCCCACGACGTACATCGACTTCAAGCGGCCTTCAACGTCCGAGTCGGCAGACGATACCTCGTTCATGAGTTGCAGGGCATCTTGAGCCGACGAGCTCGCGCTTGGGTGAGCGACATCGTCGTCTTCTACAGAGTCATCGTCCGAGTCTTCCTCCACATCCCGAGCCACCGACTTCCAGCTTGCAGGGCGAAGTCGTCCCGCAGGCGCCACCTCCGGACTAACGTGCTGTAAGCATTCAGCAGGAAGTAGGTCGCAGAAAGTTCAATGACTGACTTCAGCGTGTCCCAACTATCCTCCTTACTCTTAGTACATCGTGGTGAGGCCGTACACCAAGGAGCGCGGGGCTTCCAGGTTATCCACGAACGCCCGACCGACTCGGATGTCATAGCGCAACCTGGGATGGGCAACGCATCCGTGGGTTCTGCTTTGCAATCAGCTTTGAGAGCGCCTGAGCTACACGCGTCCCAGCGCGCTCGTTTACACGGGAAGGCGAAATACGCGTCGTCTTCGTTGACCGAGATTCTCTTCATCGCGCGGGTGGCGCGTCAGGTAACAAGCGCAAGCTTTGTGGACCCAGGGGCCAGAACTTAGCAAGTGTAGGCGAGAACTTTTGTTGAAGGGACCGCAAGCTGTGATAACACAAGAGAACGGTGGCCACTGACTGAACGGTCCGGAGAGTGGAGGCGGAACAACTGGGAACAACTGGAATCCGAACAACGCAATTTCAGAGAGCCACCGACGCGGTATGATGCGATCACGTGAGGTGTGGCCGGTTCGCGTTTCAGCCCGGCAAGCGCTTAACTCGACGCGTTGTGGCGTCTTCCGAGTCCCGACTCTTCGCCTGTGTGGCGCTTGAAGGATGTGAGTAATGCCACGCAGGATATATTCATAGATGACTAACATAAAGGCTACAGGAGGCATAGGCTGGCATAATATCGCATACGTTTATGAAAGCTAAACAGCCGCGGTCAATCGGCGGCGCCGTCAGCAAGGTGCATGCCACATCAGCCTGTCAAGGCGGCAGGTTTCGACGTTCCAACACACTTGCTGGGACTCCGAGCCAGACCCCCTTTCCCAGATCGGATAGCGTACTCAGCCTCGAGCCTTGCCTTCATCGCAGCTTGAGCTTTCGCAGCGCGGTCAGCTCGGTTAGCCTTCTTTTCCGCTTGTGTACTCTCGTCTTCCCTGCGCTGAAGACGCATACTCTTCCGTTTTGACGGCGAGGACTGAGGGGTCATCGTCGTCGATCGTGGCTTGCGGCTCGGCGTGGCGGGAGGAGCCCTGAATTCGGGCATTTTAGGTTGTGAGTGTTCTCTTGCGACGGGATCGAATCTAGGGGCCGACATCCGTGCGTTGAGATTCGAAGCGAGGGATTCTGAAGGCGCCTGAGAAGGGGCCCTCGAGGATAGGACAGCGTCGGGGTCCAAGTATTCTGTGCACCACCCCCTCCTGTGTGCAAATATGAGCATCCGTCAACTGCGGAGGTTGCAGGTCATCACAAACCATTCTTCTTCGGTGGACATGCGGGGACGTGGTGTTGATTCCCGGACACTACCCCCACAGTCATTCGCGTCACGCCAGAATAATCGTCAGGTATTTAACACTCACTATTGTTCCGCCTGATCTGCCGGTAGGGCATCGACGGCCGCAAATAGTTCTCTACGTGCCAATGCATATCGCGATTGGAGTTGAGGCTCGACGGTGGCAGGTAGTTCGGTGTTGACGACAAAGTCCACGGGTTCGATGCGTTCCATGGCCCAGTGTGTGACTGTTCCGATACAAGAGAGCTCGTGCGCGCCCACATATATACACGGCTGGTTTGTGGCCACGCAGAGCCACGTGTGGCCCGATGTCCAATGTTCCATATCAGGCATGGGCATCACGTCCTGATTCGTTTTCTTAATGGCGTGGCTCATCGCTTTGACTCTGATCGCTTGTCGGTAACCCGCGCGGTAAATTGGATGCCTGGCGAATTCGGCAAATGCTCAGAGAGGCCACTCACCAGCAAGGGCCGCCAAATACTGCAGGGGTGTTCCTGCACATACTGGGGCATATTGTACACAGTTAAGTGGTCGTAGAATACATGAATTGGAAGGTCACAACGATTGTCCAGCTCACCGCCCCATGTTCAACGCATGATCCCTCACCGACCTCATGAACTCGGGATCCATCGTGCTCGTGGTAACCTGAATCGAGCCACCAGGAGCTCCAGGGACAGGAATGTCGATGATCCGTCCAGGGCCGCAGGCCTCGTCATCCTCGTTCGTAGCCGTGCTGATTTCTTCAATGGGCTCCTCCTCCTCTTCGTCCTGTGCTTCACCGCCGTCCTCCGGCTCCCCGAGCTCGAAGAGCGTGTGCGCTTTGACCTTGTCTTCTTCCGACATCTTCAGAGTCTTCCCGGTCGAGTTGGGCTTACAGATGCCCTTATGTCTGGGCCAATCCTGTCGTAAGGACCCCATGAGCTTATCATGAGGCATACACGATCAGAAGTTCAGGCGCACCTTCTTCTGGCACCCCGGGCTGCAGTAGGAGGGTTTGAGGTCTGGCGGGCATCGTCCAGAGCAAGCTCGCAACACGCTCTTTTGCTCTCCCTGAATGCCGCACCCCTCAGCGGCGCAGACGTAGACATTGGGGCTTCTGTCCACCTTGCGCTGGCGCTTCCGCTCCTCCGAGTGGATCTCCTTGCGGCGACGCGCGATGGCACGCAAGAGCGATCGGAAACGTTTCCCACGTTCCGCGGTCTGGTCGACGTTCGCACCGAGGGCGTCGCCTATGTCGTAGACCCTGAACCCGACTAAAAGCACGGCCGGAGACACGAGCCCGAACTTGACGCTCTCGTTGGCGTGGTGCGCTGCGAGGAGGAAGTACGCGAGGGGCGACGCGTCGGCGCCCAGGGGCTGGGTCTCCGGGCGGGCGAAACGTTCCTCGTCCGCTAGGATGTCACTGCGTTCGGAGTCGGGTGCGAGATACTTGAGAAAGTATGCGCGGGCGGCACAGGAGTGCGCCTGCGCAAGCATCGTGCGGGACGCGTTGTGGCCTACGTAACCATGATCACAGGAAGGATCGAAGAAGCTGTCAAGGACGTAGAGCGCTCCTTCCGAGCTCTGCTTTCGCACTCCACATCCGCTGAGGTATCTAGGAGGTGAACGACGCGTGTGAGTGACATCGGCTATTCGAAAGACTATTCATTGCGTACCTGAGCGCGAGGTCAAGAATTGCATCGGGGTCGCCTTCATTAGCACGACCGTAGAGGGCCTGGCCCTGAAACTTTGTGAAATGGTACGATAGATCCTTCATCCCCTTCTCAGCGTCGTGCTCGACATGGTAGCTGAAGAGGCAGGAGACTTTGACTCCGTAATACTTGTCCATGTCCTGATAGAACGGCACATCTGGGTCGAGCCTCCGTATGTTGACTGTTGTGCGAATCTTGTCCATCTTGTCTGTTTGAAAAATAGTCGTCAGCCGTAGAATGCGCAGCGACAGTGTAGAGTACGAAGTCGGGAAACAAGCTGGATACATAGTAGCGGTGGGCTTAGTGGTCACAATTGCGGGTTCCAGGGGTAAGGAGGCATTTGAGACTCAGAGGCCTCTAGTGCACCTACTCGGACACACCCCCGAGAGTGCAGCGGCGTCCAGAGCTAGTCCAGAACCTTTGGCAGTGCACACCTCGCGCGACAGGAGCGGATTTGATCATAGCTCATGATATTATCCAGTGCCAGTGATCTGCTGACGGAGGTCGGGTGAGCGGGCCAAATATTGGTCAGCGCTGTTGCGTGCCCCTATCCCGCTCGAGGAAATAACCCTGCAAACGAGCCCAGCACACAGACCAGAATCTCGCTGGCACGGCGGGCCCGCAGGGCCCGTACGTTTCGCGATCCTCAGCAGCATCCCATCTATACCTGAGGAAGCTCACCGCCGAGCCAAAAATAAAGTGCGGCCTTATAATCAGCTAGCACAGCAATCTTTGAAGACTCTGAATCTCACCTGTGCAATCTTACTTCCAGTCAGTCATAAGTTATTAACTGTCATAAGTAACAAAAGCAAGAGGCGGGCTTGGCGGAGTGTGCCGTGCATCGACGCCGATCTGGATCGCCGTTTCGCCACTTGCTTGATTGGGAGGCCTGAACCGCAGTCAAATTCGTTGAAACGACGTCAAATTCATCCAGCGTCTGTGAACCGACCATCGCTGCTTGTCTCGTCTTCGTCTCAGCGGTCATATAGCTCTTCTTTTGTCATGGTTCCAATGATTGCTACAACGACCCATCAAAGTAGAAACGACAACCATGACCGATCGCCACGGCTCTGTACTACCTGTGGTCCCGGAGTGGTAACCTGACGGTAATTTACAAGGAGACAATGAAAGAGCGGGATAGCCGAATGGTACGTGTCTTTGTACAGTTCTTTCACATCGCTCTCGCAATATTCTCTGTTCTCACCTTCCACCCATTACTCGGGAACCCCGGTGCTTGTTCCGTTCTACTGTCCCACCCGGCTGCCATCATAGCGACGGCATACAATAGCCCACCCGACCCCGGGAAGTACGGCGTCGGCACCTGTGCACCTCCTCCTGGCATCCCTACGTCGTCAAATTCGAAGTATGGATTGAGAAGCCATTCAATTGCCGTCTCTTGATTGCCCATGCGCGCCGCCGACATCGCGAGCATAGGGAAGTCCCATCTACGTGACACTTCTGAGTGCACACCCTCGGTACGGGACGTGATATGTTCTCACCCCCACAGATTGCTCACGTTCCAGGTCGTCCACACCTTCTCTGCAGTGTTTATCGCCATGTCCACGCTGACGTTCGCGGTCGCTGGCAGCCAGCCGTACAGCCCCACCAAAGCAGGATGGCTGTTCGTATACGTCGGGTCCGTCCAGAAGTTGGCCTCTATGCCCTCATAGACCGCATATAGTCCATTTTCGACCGGGAGCGGCGCCAGATTGTCCGCGACTTCCGACCAAACAGCAGGAGGCTCTTCACCAAGCCGCTCCATCCACGTTTGCGCTATCTCCAGTCCCAGTCGCCAGTAGGACAGCTCGAACGCGGGGTTACGCGTCACGTTTGGGCTCGTGTCCTCGCTGACGACGTACATTGGTGGCCCGAGGTCGTACACACCCGTGCTCTCGTTGAGCCACGCGTATGCGGCCATGAAGTCGGCTGTCTCGTACACCACATCTCGCCACCTCTCCAGGGTCTCCTGCGAGCCAGTCGCGCGAAACTCGTACTCCGCGAACACCAGTGGGTGTGGCTGCTCCCAGATGAGTAGCTCGTTGATCTCGCCTGGCGCCGATCGACCGGAGGGGTCAGTCATCTTGGACCAACGCGCGCCGTATGTGTAGCCTTCCTGGACCTGCGCCCGCTCGATGGAAGTCTGGAGGAAGCGATTGTACACGTCGATTGAACGGTTCAGGAGATCCCAGTTGTTCCAGAGCGCCCAGTGACAGCTGTGCCAGAAGATCATCTCCATGTGGAACTTGCCGTACTAGCGTTATGGGTGAGTTGAGCGCATATAGTCAGTCATCTTTTCGTGTGTAGCTCACCCAGCCAGTATTGACTAGCCCTGACTAGCAAACGCAGTCAACTCAGGGCTCTCGAGAAGAGGAAGAGACCTACCTCCTGCGGTGGAGTGTGCCCCGCCTCGTTGACTCGCATCAGGTATCGCGAGAGAATGATCCGTCTCTGCAGCTCGTCTGCTCTTGGATCGGTAGAACCCGTGTACACGTCGATGAATCCATTGGACGACCAATATTCGCCCCAGGCTGTAACTGACTCCTCTGCGACTTCGGTAACAGTCGGTAACGCGGCGGATGGAAGCAGAGAATATGAGAAGACCGTCGAGAACAACGTCGACACCTCGCTCGGGAACACGCTATAGCGGTGTGCAGAGGGCGTGTCTCGCGAGATCGAGAACGGGCTTCCCCCACCGATGGACGTGAAGACGGTCGCCGCGACCTCCGTATGGTTGATCGACGCCTGCACGTTCGCGCCGAGGCCGCTGCCCGTGTCCAGCTCTGTCGTATGGTTGGCGGTCTCGTTCCAGTATCCGACGAAAGGTGCTTGGAACTTCTGCGAGCCGTCGTTCCATGGGAAGTCGAGGAACAGTCCTAGGCGTCCCTCCGCAAGCAGGTCCGAGTATATCGCGAATGCAACGGCACTGCTACTCTGCGCCGTAAACGTCTCGACGGTCACTCTCTGGCCGTCCACCGTGAAGCTGCTCGTGATTGTCCCCGTCCACAGGCCCAGCCGCTGCTCGACGTCGCTCAAGTCTGCCTCTGTTACGTTCATCACCTCGCCGCCTGCATCTTTGAACAGCAACCCGACGCGTCCCAGGTTCGCGCGGTTCGGGTTCGCGATCAGCCACTGCTGGGCCGACGCAGGCCCCCCGAACTCGTATTGCACCCCGTCCCAGACGACGCCGCGGTAGTCCAGGATGTCCTCTTCCGTCACGCCCGCGGGCAGGGAGTCATTCTTCCAGCCCCAGTCGGACATGGTCGCCCACGGGAGGAAGGTCTGCAGCCCAGTCACGTCCGCGCCGAACGCGAAAAACCCGTTCCCGACTTGCATGGGTGTACTAGAGCTGGATGCATTTCGGACGGGGTTATAACGCGAAACCACGGAGTAACGCGGGATGGACGCCGCGGACGCGAGCAACGTCCATGCGAGGGCGGCAAAGAGCAGGACGCGACATCCAAGCTGAGGTCGTAGCCTAGGCATCGCGTTGGGTGGTCGACGGCTGTGGGCCGTACCATCCCTCCCAATATAACTGTGCTTGCATCGTGTGTGTCGCTGCTCACATTCCCGACAGGTGACGCGTGAGGTTCAAGGCGGACCGGACGCGTTGGTCATATGACGCGGAGTTGGTCGATCACGACGCTCGTGTACTAAGTACTTCACCTGGTTGAACGTTCCGACGGCATGATACTCTCATTATTCGCCGGCATATCACCGGTGTCTGGGTCGGCTGGCGTCCTCGCATAGAAGGCAATCTCTCAAAGGAATTTCAAAGGCTTAACTATCACATAAAGTCTAGGACGAAGTGACCCTTGGTTACTAAGTATGTGGGCACTAGCAGGCTATCAGTACAATTTTTCACGACTCCTATAGTTTGACGACGCATACAAGCTCGATCAACCGCGGGGGTAGAACTTGAGCCTCTCAGGCTCAATGTTGGTCGACCTCCAAATCGGCTCGAAGGCCTCCGCGTTTGCCTTCAGTATCTCGAGCTTCCACAGCAGACGCTCGCCGCAATCAGGTCCCAGCGGGACCCGCAGCCACTCGCGCTTGCCGCCCTGGCTTTCGACGAGTCCCTTCGCCATCCCCGTTCCATGCACGACCTCGTACACGCGCGCCGCCAGCTTGTCCACGTCGCCGATCTGGCCCGCCGCGACATGCGACCCGGGGAGCGCCTCGAGCGTGCGGAAGCCCTGCGAGGGCTCCGTGTAGACGGTGGAGTCTTTCAGCTTCTGCACGTTCGACGCGGACTGCATGAAGTTCGTCGAGAAGTAGCCAGGCATGATGATCAGGACGCGGATGTTGAACGGCGCGACCTCCTGGCTGAGGCACTCCGAGAAGAGGTCGAGCGCGGCTTTGGCGGAGCTGTACGCGCTCCAGCCTGCGTACCCGGTGAAACCCCCATTCGAGCTGACATTCAGGATGTGCCCAGTCTTGCGCTCTCGGAAGTGGGGTAGGAGGGCTTGGGTGAGCGCAATGACGCCGAACACCATGGTCTGGAAGCTCGCCCGTATATCGTCCAAGCTAGTGGGGATACTCAACATCTGCTGGATGCGGGAGTGTCACACGCTTACTCCAATTCTTCCACTGGGCCTATGACTCCCCAGCCAGCGTTGTTGACCAGGATGTCGACGCGTCCGAAGATCTTCAGTGACTCTTCACCAGCCCTGCGGATGTCTGCGTCTGACGCACTGAGGTCGAGGACCAGCGGCTGTCCTCCCGCCTTCTTGAGGGTCTCCGGGAATCTGGACACTGACCTGACCGTCCCAATAACCTACACGTCCTTGCTCAGTATCATCTCCTTCACGCTATTGCAGGTAACATACCTTGTCCCCTTGGGAGAGAGCGTAGAGAGCAATGGCGTATCCGATGCCGGAGTTCGCGCCTGTGACGAGCCAGACTTTCTCTGTAGGAGCCGACATCGTCTGTCACGAAAATGTGCAAGCTGTCGCTGTCCTCACGCTAGAATACCGGCGATTTTATACTTCTCGTCGTCGACTTATCTAGGCTTGACGGGTTCCTCCAGACGAAGACGAAGACTAAGAAGACCAAGGAACGAACCCACATTGATCTCCGTCGCAGGAGCTTCGAATTCTCAGTGTGCACACCGATGGAGTGCTGAGTGAGTCGGAGAGGAGGCTGAGGGTGGCGCACGATAGATTATGCTTCCTGTAGCGAGAGGATACTCGTTATCATCCCCAGTCCTTCGAAGTCGATGTTATCTGTCACAAAGAACCTCAGTGTCAAACAAGCACCGGAGTGCGTGCAATGCAGACACCGTACTATCTAGACCCACTGTGTCAGCTGATCCATGAGCAAGACACCTGAATTAGAACATTGATGTCGTGGGCAACGACGTCTTCGTTACCTATAACCCATAAGCTGCTAGAGATACAGTGGTGGTGACGGTGACGGTGATACTACAAATGATTGAATGATTGGTGCAGCAGCTTTGTCCCCAGCTGCTGGCAATCCCGCTCTATCGAGTACAACTCGAGGTCGAGGTCCTCTTCTTCGCGCACGGACACAGGCACGGCCTCCTCGTCCCGTGCCTTCCGCTGTCGCCGTGGTGCAGACTTCACGGGCGGCGGGGTGAGTGCCGCTTCGGAGCTGACGATTGAGAACGATAGGGAATCAATGCTGCAGCGCGAGGCCTTGAAGCCTTTTAGGTTGAGGACCAGTCTCGAGCCTGCGATGTTGACCATGGCGAGGGCGAAGCTGCGGATGGTGTGAGGACCGCATGCGTCATGAACAGGAGGCGAGAACGTACTATCGAGCTAGTCCTATCAGGGATGGTGGCGCTAGTGCCCATACGCTGTGAACATGTTGAGACCATGAGGATCTTCTTGACAACCTAGCATACGTACAGGAGCGAAAACAGGGAGCAGACTGCAGAACAGAAATGAGAATTCGGCCATGACAACCAATGTGGCTGTTACACACCTGTGACAGCGACGAAGTACAACATTCCTAGCATAAGGGCGGTCAGACAGACGCCACGCCTGGCGAGGATGAGACTCACCATCGCGATACAGAAGGAGAGACAATGTGCTGAAAGACCGACGTTTCTCCTGTCGAAGCATGGCCACGACGGTGAGGCCGAAAAGGAGTGTTTCAAAGAAGACGCTGGCGGTCCCGATGAGTCAGTGCCCCGCAGCTTCGATGACGAAGATGTGCTTCGCAGCTCGCCTGTCGTACCTTGGTAGCCAAGCGACCCACAAGTAAGAGGGTATCTAGAAGCATCCCAGAGCCGGTCAGATGGGCAGACGGGGCGCGCAGAGGATTTGTACGCACAGAGCTGACGCATTCATGGTGGAACGGCTTCAGGTCAGCTATAGATACTATCTGAGTCACTGGCGAAGCACAGAGAGAACACACGAAGACGCACCGACGATGGGTACAAGAGCAACAGTGATGACCACGGTGGAGCTCGAGACGTAGAGGACCGCAGCAATCCAGAGCAGTCTACGTATCCACGCCTGACCCCCGTGCAACGCGTATAACCGCCATGCGACGATGGCTATCCCACAATTAGCGACCTGTCGTCGGGATAGGATGTGGGTATGTACCATGGATGGACATGAACGACGCTATGGTGACGTAGCTCTGGACAGTTGTCCATACCTTGCAGAGCTGCGGCATGCCGTTAGACGATATAAAGGAGATGCGCAGCAGTAGGAAGGCTCACCATGATCGCAGAGCGGTCGCTCGTGAGGCCCATGGTTTCTGAAGTGTGATGTAAGGTGAGAAGGCACACCAGGGCTTTCGAGATGCGTACCATAGACGTCCACGGCAAGCACAAGGGGTCTATGGCGCGTCCCACATTTCAGCTTATGCAGAGTACAATGAACCCCGCAGACATACATGATGTATCGATTCTGCATTAGGACACGATGAGACGCTGTGCGTTGTATGACAGCTGGCAGTACGCACCAACAGGAAGATCATCGACACAAGCCCCAGCCGGTCGCCCCAAATGTGATTCACCTGCCATGATCCATGTCAACTTCATTTGCCCAAGCTCAGCGAAGGCAGTCTGGTCTACCTCATCTCCGAACTTCGAAACAGTCAGTCACAAGTTAATTGCTACGAGCCTTCGACGCACCGTCAAAATATGATCATAGATGAGAATGGAGAAGCCGGCGACTGTGATGGAACATGTGGTTCAGCACGGCACCCTCATGGAAGAACTTCACTGCACGTACGGGTCATAGCGCTTTGAAATACAACACATCGCTCAGTATATCCACCTCGAACACAGCGCTCAGGTACTCACTTGACAGCTGCTCCATGGGTAGCGAGCGTCCCCAAGGACGCGTCGACAGCAGAGGACATCGTCGATGCCGTTCTACCCAGGCCAGGATGGCGAAACAGGAGGACCTTCGGTGGGCCGCGCGCACGGCCCCATCCCCATACTTATTGTCCACCGCCCACATTCCGCTTATCTGCCAGCCGCTTCCGAGATGAAAGATGGGGCGCCGGGGAGCGCTCGCAGAATCCGGGCTAGGAAAGGTACGCATGGTACGCGCAACTCCGCGATCCTGTGGGGGCTCAGTCCCCGTGCTTCCGGAACCACTTTGCGGAGGACGCGTCTACTGCGGTGTTGCCGTCCCCCCAGCCCGAGGATCGAGTGCCTCGAAAGAGGCGGGCTGTGTCCCCGTCTGAGTACACCGTGGGTGAGGCCTACGTACGAAGAGCAGAAGAGGCGGTACGGCGATGGCCTCGAGGTAGGTACACAGCCCTCGACTGAGAGCCTATACACACGAGGGATTACCACTTTTGGGAAGGTGAAGGTGTGCGGGCGGATCAGCAGAACAGCCCGGAGGCAATCTTGGGGCGACGGAGCCAAAGAAGACGAGAGACCGGACGCCATATGGATCGTGTTTCTTGCCCTGTGGTGTCGCCGTTTCGGGATGTTACTTTGTGAGCGGTCCGGGGCCGAGAACCTCGGGCAGCTAGACAAAAGCGCGAAAATGGGCTGTGAGTCTCGGCCAGGGGATGACAATGTCATATGCAGTCTGAGTACTGGAGTGTCCTCTTCCTTCTGACAGCGAGCGGCCAGATGGACGGGTCGCAGCAATCACGATTGAACTGCGAGCCAACCGCTGTTTCCTCGGACGTGACTGTACACCTCCAATAGGCAGATAGACCCGGTGAACCTTACGGCTGCACAAGGTCGAATAATCGAGACGACGGGGCATACGGTCCCTGTGATAAGTATTTATAGGCAGGTAGACGGGACTCGGAGAGTGGTCCGAAAGATAGCTTCCGGCAGTCCAGGGCGTCGAGATGGAGACTAGCAATGTGGAGATCTCTGGGAATCAAAACATAATTTTGCACACATGCCAATCCCGAAGTCTGTGGGCCATACAACGACGGGATTCGGATAGGACGGGAGGATCCTTGGCGCCGTGCACATGCACCGGCGAAGTCGATCGTCAGGGCCTGTGCGTATGGTGCAGTCATCAGCGATCGTTGCGTCAGCGGTAGACAAGCTGATAGAGTAGGACAGATTGTTGAGTTGAGACTGGAGCCAGAAAACATCATGGAGCGATTTCACCGAACACACTGTCATACCCGCATACCGGCACTATGTCCAACATTTCGAGCATCATTGTCTCCATGAAGCGGGAACCGCATACAGTTGGACTTTCCGTGCCTGCAACTGGCGAACTTCCATCTGACAACGGGGAAGGTATAAAAGAAACCCCATGAGCATAACGTCTGACTATATGCGTCGTGTTAGAGTGTATGCCGCAGGTACGGTGTTGCCTGACGTAGAGAAGACGTGCCAAACACTGTATGGCCTCGATCCTCGGGATCGCATGGCGCTCTTTCAGTGAAAGGTGCTTCCACCCCTCATTAGCGAGAAGAACTCCGTAAAGAACTCGAGATAAAACTGAACATGCAAAAATACGTACAGTCTCCCGGATGGGTTGGCCAACGACTTGTCCAGCATCTCTTTCCGCGACGATGCGACTTCTGTTACAGAGTTGTCATGTGTAACGCTCCTCGAGGCCCTTTCGCCGACGATGTGGCGATTTGATTTCAATGCCCAAATGTAAGGTGCAAGCGCGAGAGAGGGGATGAGTGATGGTTTGGGAGAAGGCGGCGACGGGAGGAGGCGACCTCGCTGCTCGCGGTCGTCGGGCGTTGCCGTGCTCAGCGGGCCGGGCAAGCGCGCCAGTCCGAAAGCGGCGGGCGCGAACACACCGCATGACGGTCAGGCCCGCGTTTTGCCCTCGGCATGGACGTCGCTCGACACCGCAGGCAGCATGCAGGAAGCCCAGGATGCGCTTGAGACATACAGGAAGAAGGACCCGAACAAAGGTGTGTGCATCCATCGCGAGATCGCAGACGAGGGCGCTGAGGTCGTGCGGGACAGTCGTCGTGCGGTTCAAGGCGGTCGGGAATGCGCCCATCATGAAGCAGAACTTCTACAAGATTACTGCGTCGAATAGGTTCCAGGCGGTGATTCAGTTCTTGAGGAAGGAGCTGGGGTGGAAGGCTGGGGATCCGCTGGTGAGCGCGTTGCCAGTACACGTCGTCGTCGCGTACCTAACCCAGCGTAGTTCACGTATATCAACCTTGCTTTTTCTCCTGCCCCAGACGATACAGTGACAAATCTATTCAAGGTATGGGCTCTATCTGACTGGAGGCCGACATCGCTTGACGGGAACCGCTACAGTCCTTCGCGACAGACGGTCATCTAATAGTAAACTACAGGTTCGTCGTCGGGCAGCATCTGTGAGATCCTGAGACTGATTCGTGTCCTTCAGTACGACTGCAGCATGGGGCTGACCCTTGCGTGTAATATGCACGTATCCTTCGCAGGAAGGTTTTGTGAAGATACCATATTTTCTGTGTGCTTCGTGCCAGCGACTTCTTGCTACAGCGCCGCATCCTCGTGAGCCTGCTGCTACGACCGCGCACTACTCTGCGCATGTGCTGTCCCACTGCACTGCTCACGCTTCTCAGCAGCATTCACAGTCGACTATGCCAGATGCTTGCCTCCAGACTGAGAGTCATATAGTACTGATGGTTGCAGACAGTGAGTCGGGCAGTATACCTCCATCTGGATGCCCGACGCACTCCTGAGCATGCAACAATAGTCATTGCAGTTATCTCGTGAGTTGAGTATCCAATTGTACATCGTGCAGCCTGTCGTGGGATACAGCACTACACATAACTTCAACAAATCAAGACTAGTCATTCTTCCAGGGAATCAAATGCAGGTGAGTGCACTACCCAGCCACGAACACACACAAGACTTACGGATAGTCGTCGAGGCTCAGTTTCTTAGCTATTACCTCCGCCATGAGCCAGGGCCATCGGGCCCGTCGCTCATGCCGTTGCGGCGATCCAACTTGAAGAACGAGGTGTAGGCGGTCTTCGTCTCTTGGCGGCGCCTTTGGTAGTCGTCAATAGGGCGACTCCACTTGAACGGGCCGCCCTCGCTGGGCTGCACGGCAGGTGTCTGCAGTGATCCTGAGGGTGTGACTGTACCAGTAGCACTCACAGACGTGCTGACCGATCCACGTCGTACAGGTTGTCCAGTACCTCCCTTCCTAGTGTCCCTATCTTGAGCTTTGACTGATAGATTGAACTAACGTCAGTTCCCTGCCAGGTGCTATATGATGTACTCACTTTGCGCAGCCTGTTTGAGCAGTACCCCCTCGTACTGGGAACGGATACCCATGTACTGGCGCTTCCAAGCATTGTCGAACATGTCGGTCACGTATTGGTACGTCTCGTCCGGAAGCACTTCGCCTTGCGCGCCGCAGAGACGCGGTATGTTCGTCGTACCACTGACCGGATCATCAATAGGCCCCGCTACCATAGATTGAATGTCAGTGATCCGCCGCCCTGAAGTGCACTCGCAGATGGAAATCCTACTGATGTTCTCCAAGTAGTCTACACACTCGCGCAAGCGCTGTATGTACCTTTTCTTCTCGTCCCCACCCGCTTTGAATCCTCTGCAGACGACGTAGGCGAACGACCGTCGAGCCTGGAACGACGGGTTCTCGGCCGCCACCGACGTGAACGTTTGACCGATGAAACGCACAATATCGACGACCCAGCTCACAGGACGCGACCTGAAGCTAATGACAAGGGAACCTCCTTGCGCAATGTACTGGAAGGCGACCAGTAACTGTGCATACACTAGCCGGATGGTGAGGTTCCAAGGGATCTTGTTGTCGGCCAACATGATCGCGGCGTTGGCGGTGACGAGGTCGAAGCCTCCGGCCGGAGGCTCTTCTGCAGTGTACATAAACAGCGGTGAGTGAAGGTTTCTGCCTGACTGCATGCGTTCTGCTCACCAAGGGCAACTTGACCGGTAGCGATGTTGCACACATCTTCGTACTGAACGTGGAAGCGCTCGGGGAACCTGGGGACAAGCCGTAGCCGGATGCCTTTCGCCTCCGGAGACAACGTGACTCCGTTTCCTCGAGCGCTCTTGTTGTTCTGCAAGAGCCATAGGGCGAAGCCTCCGGGGGCACATCCCAGGTCGAGGAAATTCTCGACCTGGTCGTTGCCAAACGGGCTGCCGCTCATGTAGTTCATCTCTTCGAACGCGTGTTTAAAGCCTACGAAGTGCAGTTGCGGGACCTTGTCCAACTGGTCGGCCGCGCGGTTGTTCTTGTCTTGCTGCCGCTGGTACTGCGTGACGCTGTCGCTCTGTCGGCAGATCTGCTTCATAATCGTGAGCTTGCGCAGCTCGAAGGACCGCTCGTAGAAGGGCAACTCGAAATTGGTGAGCTTCGAGACTATCGTCTCGGGGAGATTGCCTCCGCTCAGGATCTCGTCAACGGCGGCGTCGACTTGATCAATGGTAGCGAAGTGAGTATCAGAGGTGAAGATGGGGTCCATGGTGAGATGGTGCACTGCATCCGACGTCCGTATCGGCTGGTATTTATGCTCGTCGTCGTCTGCGCGCGAGGTCTCCATTTGCGGCAGGGGTGATTATCACTACACGAGGCTGTATCACGAATAGAGAAGCACGTACCATTCACCAAATGACCGTGGCGTGGCAGTAGAACCGAAGAGCGATCTTTTGGTAACTGCAGCGGCGGTATTCGTGCAATCAAGCACCTAACGCCTCATGCTGAGATCCAGGCATACTATCGTGCTTCGGTCGATCATCTGTGTTTCAGGCCTTCAAAGCTTCACGCGTCACGCCTCAAGGCCTCAAGCCTCAAGGTTCAAGCCTAGAGTTCGTAGACCTAGTGTCCGAATATGTGCGTACGCAGCACCTGCGATGGACCCGATTAGTAGGGTCGAAGTCCTCCCGCAGTAGCATGGCTGGGTCATGAAGTACAGCTGACCGTCATTTTGCGTCTAGGCCAGCCGGATATGAGCCTAGAAAACGGCCACGCAGAGGCAGGAATTGTTACATACAACTAATGAGGTGCAGCGGCGCTCGGCGGTAATAGTAAACGAGAAACGACGTTGCCTTGAACGGCCGAAGAGGCTGTTGGTCAACGTACTTAGGACAGTCGCGCATACTAACATTGCGACTTTAACGTTTGAACGTGAACATTCGATGTGCAGTCGATTTGTGGCAAATGACATGAGCTTAGTTATGGTGTGTCATACCCCATAGGCAATACCTCGATTAAAATATGGAAACATGGTGGACGGCAAACTCAATCATTGTTTACATCGCGAACATATGAACTAATCCTTGAGTCGTACAGTGGCAGTCACGTCGTGAGAGAAGCCCAGAAGTAGAATAACCTGGAACCTGCCACGTAGATTAGTACGTTACATATCGAGTCGATAGCCTGTGGTAGTAATGACACTCACAATATGTGTGCTTGTGGTTGTCATGGGACAGCTCCTCATACTCGACTTCTTCGCCAGGAGCCAGAGCGATCGGCAGCGCTCTGTTCGCCATCCCGGCGGTTGAAGAGCGTGTCGATCCCTGTGTTCCTCTGTTCGCGACGTATCTGGTAGCTGTCGAGCGGCGCCCCAGTCACCGTGGGACGGCGGCTCCGCCAGACAGCTGGGCTGCCCTCGGTCGGCGACGTGCGGGTAGGTGTTTGTGGCGGAGATCTCCACGACACGACCTCATTGGTTCGACTCACAGGACTATCGGGGGCACTGCGGTCACGTCCGAGGCCCTCAGTAGAGCTCATGCTCGCTGAATCAAGGATGCGGCATGGCGTCAGCGACCTGATGACATGGCTGAGCAACCACCATACTTGCCTCTCCTGCGGTTCTCGAGGACCCTCTGGTAATGCCAACGAATGGCGCAGTACTTTTTCTGCCATACAACCTCGAATAGATCCAATACGTCCTGGTATGTTGCGTCTGGAATGGGTTCATCTTGCGTGCCACAGAGACGAGGGATATTCGCCGCCCCGCCGCTGGAGGATTCGACGGGCCCTTCTATCACATGTCGCTCATTAGCGAGTGATGTCGTAAACTTGAATCCGAGGAAACAAATTACCAGAATTATCCAGATATTCAATGCAAGCACGGAGACGGTGGATGTAGTTGTTCTTCTCGTCTGGATCTGCACGAAATCCTCTGCACACAACATACACGAAAGGTCTTCTGCCCTGGTATTGGGTGTTTACAGCATGGACAGACTCGAAAGTTATATCAAGAGCCCGAAAGACGTCAACGATCCAATTCAATGGACGCGACCTGAGACTGGTGATGAGAGAGCCGCCCTGCGCGAGGTGCTGGAAGGCAACCAGAAGTTGGGCATACACCAGCCCAATGGACTCGTTCCAGCGGACATCATCTTTGAACATGATGGTGGCTTGCGCGATGACGAGGTCGAAACCTGCAGCAGGAACAGATGCTATAGAGATAGCAGTGTTCAGCGACTGATATACATTTCCTAGGTAGTATCGGGCGTACCAATGTCTATATCGCCAGCTGCAATTCGGCACACGTCATCGAAACTGCATTGGAACTGCGCGTGGAATCTAGAGTCAAGTTGTAGCCGGAGGCCTCTGGCTTCCGGGGACAAAGTGATTCCTACTCCACTAGCACTCCTGTTGTTCTCCAAGACCCACGTCGAGAATCCGCCGGGAGCACATCCCAGGTCCAAGAAACTGTGGACCTTGTCCTCGCCAAAGGCGTTGCCGCTCCCAGCGTTGATCTGCGAGAATGCGTGCTTGAAGCCTTCGAGGTGCAGCGTCGAGTTCTCGTCGGACTGTACCGCCGCGCGGTTGCGCTCGTACTGCTCTTTCTTCTCTCGCGACACGTTGGAGTTTCGATGGGCGACATGCTTCAGAGCGAGGAGCCGGCGTAGGTCGTAGGACCTATCGAGGAACGGTATCTCGAAGCCTGTGAGATCCGAGACTATCTCGGCACTGATACCACGACGGAGGACCTCCTCGACGGCATCGTCGACTTCGGCAATATTCTTGAAGTTGTCGGGGATGATAGTATGGGGCTCCATGGTGAGACGTTGCGAGGCACCCTTCGTCGTGCTACCCTTGTATATGTGCAATAGTACCTCGAGGCTGTGAGTAGAAGCATTCCCTTTGCAGGAGAGCAGATCGACAGAACACGAGGTCGCAGTGCGGACCGCAGACGCTCAGAATGTTTCTACTAAGGGAAGCGAAGAGCAGTCAGTCGATAACCACAGCCTCGCGCCCCAAGTCTTCCATTCAGTCCAATCTGTGATGTCCAGCAAGAGCCACGGCCACCTGTACTTACTGTGACGAGCATCGCTTGATCCTATGGGCATGTTCCAGTCAAGCTCCGTAGATGAGGTCTTCTGCCGTACGCCGTACGTTCCTATGGCGCCAGGTGGTCAGGGTCCAGGTTCTCCGGGGTTAGACTCGGTGGTAGACTCTGAGCCGTTAAGCACGTTTCATACTACAGGCGCCTAGACTAGCCGGGCCCAACTCTTGAGGGGGTCACGTAGAGACGATTGACAAGGCTGTGCTCCGCCCTATGAGTATCTGGCAACGTAGCCTGCAGGACCGCATGAGACATGTGTCGACTCCTGTTGATATGGGTACACCGTGCGATACATGTTCTTCAAACGTTTGTCACTTGGGTGAGAGTCGCGTTGGCACTGTTTCGTCGCAATCGAGAGCATGATCTTCCGTGACTGGCATGCCATATTCCTGTGATCGTAGTGAGCCATTCACAGAGTCATCCATCCTAATTGTTGAATACCATGCGGCCTCGAGGATTGAATGGAAGAGGAGATATGTAGGCATCCATCGATGGGCACGCCGCTGACTTGTCGCGCAGATCTGAGCGCAAGGTCCATTTTCCTGAGCGCTGAGATCGACTAGTGATGCCTCACGCTTGGTCTCCGGCTCGAGTTACTAAGTCGCCGCAACGACAACAGCATCAGAAGCACGCACGGAGAGCGGTCAGGTGAAAATAGTATATTGCTCACCGAGTCAACGCAAGGGCGCTGTACCGTCAGTGACGAGGCAAGAGCAGAGGAGTGAGACGTCACATGAAAGCTGTGTTTAAGTTCAGCAGTGCACTGAGTGAATGATTAGAGTGCATTTGTCACTGACAGTAATGTGCTGGCCCGGCTCGTGCCATCATGGTGCGTCGTCTATTCCGCGACAAGCACGTACTGTAGGTGATGGCGTGGACGCTCTCAGTGAGAAATCGATGGGTCGCAGAGGCGCAACATCTGCAGTCATGGCAGAATCATTGGAGTCACCTCAATGCAGCCGCGAGATGTGGTCTTCGGTCATGTAGATTGGGACATGGCGGGAGATGTTCGAGGCGCCTGTCGAAAGAGCTGCAAAGCGGCCTCCGAGGACACATCTGACAAAGGATTTGGGGACACCCAGCCAATAGCCGTGCGGGTATTACGAGCGAGGAGTACACGCTACTTAGGGAATGACGGGTCGATGTCGAGAGGTGTTGCGAGGAGAAGTGGTCGGAGGTGAGAACATTCTCAAGTGTGGTAGGAACAACCAGCGTCTGGCCAATCGCGTAGCTGAGAGGCGGTCAGGTGACGGTTCATACAGCGCACCAGTCTGAATGAGCGTTCTCACCTCTTCCTCCGCATCGTCTTCGCAAAGGTAATTCACCGTACCGCTTGGACACAGAGATGGCATTGCTTGCAGGGCTGCGCACATCAGCTGTAACGCGGGCATGCATAGAAGTCGGCGAAGACGGCGACCCGCAACTGATAAAGCTGTTAGCCTGGGATAGAGCGTGAGCACTCCACGGTATCAGCCGCTAGAGTTGCCTTTGCTCGAATTAGAGCCTGCAGCTCTCCCAGGGAAGGCTTTCGACGACTTGCGACGACCCGTCATGCTCGGCCCAGCCTTTGTGTTGGGTATCCCTCTCCTAGGCTCTCTGGCGTCGGCCGCGGCGACAGGCGTGGCGACAGAGACATTGGACGCCCTGGCGAGGCAATGCCAATTCACTCTGGGCAATCGGCGCTTCGATCTGTGTCCGATATTCGAAGGAAGGGAGAGCGGCTGGACCGTCGGATCTGAGCGGTCAACACCACCCACAGTGACGAAAGCCGAGTACAGGATCTCCTTTGCAGGACCGCTCAAGACGACGAAGTGGACACCTCATGATGAACAGGTACGTCAGACGTCGTGCTCTGGTCTAGAAACGAGGCATTCTTGTAGACGCTGTCAGCACAGTACCCTGTTGATCTGGTCGGGATCCTAGACCACCTGCTGACAGTGGTTGTAAGCCAGACTTACAAGCAGACGACGAGATTATCGTAAGCACCAGATCAGGGTGCGATTCCCAACGTGATCACATCCTTCATTTCGTACTGTCCTGCTGTCGCAATCATGTCACTGATTCCCTTGACAGTGTCCTGACGGGACGTGGATCTGCAAAATCAGTAGGTATACCGTTTAGAGCACTGTTCCCTCCGGAGTTGAAGCATCAGATGGTATCCAGTTTCGAATGTTCGGCCAAATCGCGACAACGAGAGTCCTCGAGTCTTGCAAGTGATCCCAGTTGCCGGTGACATCTCTGCATCTCTCCCTGAGGAGGACGGTGGAGGCGATAGCTTTGACGGTGAACAATATCAGCCGGGCTTAAACATCACCGCGAAGCTCGTCGCTGCAGATGAGAACTCACGACACGGTAAGCCAGTCTTATCATATCTTGTCGAGCCCGGTGGACCATAACTTGCGTTGGCTACAGACACGTTGCACATCCATCTTCATGGCGGGTACTACGTCCAGAGGCAACAGAAAGCAGACTTCCAGTTCGTTTGCGACCATGGCGCCCATGAGGTGAGATCGGACGAGTTCAATCGCCTTGTCCACTCGCTTACACTTGGGTACAGCCTACGAACCCCACCATATCTTGGGATTGGAGAGGGACGCATGTGTTCGAGTGGCGAACTGAGCACGCATGCGGTCAAGCGATGACCGCGCCCGACAAGGACTCACCGCCGCCGCACACCCACAAACCCTCTCCCGACGATCCGCCCAAGGACTCGGAGGACGACGACGTTCCCGGCGACAAGAAGATGTTGGACCCGGACTTCCTCTACGGACAGACCCGGCGCTCGATCATGACCATCCTTGCCTCATCCGCGTAAGTAACTCGACTTCCCGCAACTGACCCTTAGCTCACGCATCTGGATTGACCAGGCTGGTCGTCATCATCGTCACATACCTCGTGCAGCGGCCCCCTACGAAGCTGCGCCGAGTCGTGCTGTCGTACATGAAGAACCACCCGTGGGTGATGCATTCACGCGTCGGCGAGGGCGTGCTCCTGCGATGGGCCCGTGAGGACCTGATCTTCGATGCTGGAGAGGAGGACACCATGGTCAATGGCCCGGTGGGTCCGCGCTCCGCGTTAGGCTTGGACGAAGGCATTCCTCTTAAGCCGTCACCACGTCGGCCGAATGCAAACAACTACGGCAGTGCGTAGTGCTCGATGATGCCCCACGCTCTTACCACCCTCATCCCTTATGTTGACGACCCTTGGATGCCTACTGTATTGGAATGACTTGCTCGTAGACTGTTGCTGTGCCACTAGCCGTTGTAGATTAATACGCTGTATGACCCGAATGTAGTGCTAGTTGCCGCTCGTGGGACCCCGTTGAAGCCTGTCCCTTGCAATTGTCTCTGGAGATCTAACACAATCGCGTCATACCAAGCATTAGCAGTAATATCCATGCAAGCGTGATGTATGTACATCACCAAATGGCTTTCTCCCTCATCAGCCACTCCCACTCCGGACAATCGAAGTCGTCGACTCGCCTGAACTCGACTCTCCGGTCTGACCACTGCTCGGACACCTTCACATCCCCGCCCTCGCGCTCGACGTAATGGAACGCATTCCCCAGCCCGACCAATTGTAGAGAGTTTCCCGCTGTTGCTAGATCTTGAGGAGTGATTTCTACATCGTCGGCTCTGTACGTGCAAAGGTAGAGGAATCGGAGGCGCTGACACCTCGTCCACTGAGAGTGAAGTTAGCGACAATGGAAAGATAGGTAATATAAGGCGCACCAGTTCAGTCAATTCGTACTCGTCGAGGACGCTACCAGACATGAACAAGGCCAGCGCGTCGAGCGCGGGTGGCATCTGGCGAAAGACTTCACGCACAGAACCACGGGTCGGCGCGAGGCGTCCTATGCACAGACCTAGCACTGTGAGGTGCTGCAAAGACGAGATCGCCGACGAGATCAGTTGTAGGTGCGTGGCTGCGATGCGGAACGAGCAATCGAAACACTGTAGTGTGGGTATCCCGCGGAGAACTTCCGCGAGCAGAGTAACGTTCGTCGAGGGCAGTACGTCCCCGTAATTCTCGTCTCCGCGAATCTTGAGCTGAGTCAGGCGCGGAAGCTTGAACGGAGCATACGTAAACGCAGTGAAGAGCTGCTCTTCCTGTGTCTCTCGGAGGGTCTGCAGTGTAAGTGACTGGACATCGGGGAGGTTGTGCAGGAGAGCCTCGAGGTGGCCGAGGTCACGTATGAAAAGTAGACTGAGATGTGTGATTTGCTTCAATAGACCCCCGAGCAAATGGACACTAGCTGGTGTCGTGAAGAAGAGATGTAGCTCGCATAGGTCCGGGAAGGTCTCCTCGTTGATCTCGACATCCTGGTAATTGCTCAGGAGAGAGTCCAGAATGTCTTCAATTGTCCAACTGAACGCGATCCAGCGGAGGCGTTTGAGCTTGTGAAACGGAAGCGTGACATATGATTGTATCCTGAACGTGAAGTGGGCATGTCGACCTTTTGGGACTACTAACGAGAGCAACACTCACGGAAGAGCGAGATTCTGCAATCTTGGACACGTCGCAACAAGAGCATTGAAGGCCTCGAGAGAAGGAGATGGACTGCATCCATTCCAGCAGAAGCTTTCAAGGTTGGGCAGACAACGAATGGCTTCAGTCAAGCAGCCTAGTAATGGGCGTTCAGTCTACCACCGTCACGACTATTCAGAGACTTCTAGGCACTGACATTTCTCATACACAACCCTGGAACCATCCTTCATGTACGCCTCAACTTCGACGGCCTTCACAACTTTAGCGAACGAGGCGTCGAGGGTAATGCGGCGCAGGAGGTCGTACGACCTCAATGACTGCGTTTCGTCCAGCTCGTCGTAGAGTGCCACTTTTTCCGGCCCGTCCACCTGTTCATCAGCTACCCAAGCTTCCCAAGCACCAAGCCAGATGATGATTTCACGGAATAAGATGGGGATGGTGTGGCTGTGGAACGCCCTGGAGAGAGACAAGCAGGTCCGCTGGGAGGCTTTGTTGCAGTACCCGATGACGTCCACCCAGATCTCTGGAGGCAATAATTCATGATGGAATGGGTTGCGCACGCCAGTGGTTACAGACAAAGACTCGAGTGTAGACTCTAGAGAGCACATGTCAGGTTCAGATAGACACGATGTGGTGGTCGGAAGCCAAGTGCACAGACCGAGGCGCTCAGTGATCTCGATATCGAGGCCTAGGCCGTAGAGGTTCGCCCTCTAGAGTCTACTAACTCAAGTACATATATGTTGCGTCCATGATGTAGCATGCGTACTCCGCACTACACTGTACATACACCGGCCGGAATCTCGTAGCAGTCTAACAACCCTACAAATGAGCGGGTCTAGTGCTGGAACTTCGTCGGCGGTGAACTAGTCCTAAGCCGCAACTTCCGACAAAGGGTCACCACCCCGATATTGATATTGAACATAATATGCTAGGCAATACTAAGAGAATCCGCGGTACTCCCAGTCCCAGCGCAGTGCCAGTCCCTCGCGCTTTGGTATAAAGATTGAACGCGACTGAATCGCGGTGACAACTGTCATAGGTTTAATACAAAAACGCCGTTCAGCAAATTCCTTCACTTCAGATCAATTACATCGCACCTACCGACACCTTTCATCGAGCATAGCTGAAATCGCTCAACAATCCATGGTCCCGCATGAGCCACTCCCAGTCTTCGCACCCGAAGTCCTGAACCGTTCGGAATCGAACTTTTGTTTGAGACCAAGGTTCACTCATTTTCACCTCGCCATCTACACGCTCCACTTCGCGGAAGCGCCACCGACAGCCTATCAGTCTGAGAGACGCGACAGCATCAGCGAGCTCATCAGCTGATAGAGTCGGACAATGTTGTTCGTCGTCCCCGGCGAGATACGCAAAGGCAAGCCTTGGAAGGCTTGCCCACTGAAGCGACCGAGATCAATTCTCTCTTCCCGTGTGTTGGACAACAGTACGGCATGACGTACCAATTCGATCCACGGGGAGGCAGGTTTCAGCGCGTTCTCCATTCCGGGCTGGGTGTACCCTAGTTCTAGACGTAGCGCCGTGACGGTCTTGGGGATTATACGTTGCAAGTACGCTGATTCGGCCTCTCCAAAGGCATCGACGGTGATGTCGAGACCCAAGACCTCCAGACCTGACAATGACTCGATAGCCGACAGGACAGGAGCCAGCATGGTAAGGTATACGGACGCCTCGCCAAAGTCCAGACACCGCAATTTCTTCTTCGACCGAATGAAGCCCGCTAGCGCATCGTACCTGGTCTCACCCCAAGGAAACTCTACATTAATCTTGAGGTGTGTGAGGAGGGGGAGCGCAGAGGGACTTTCAGCCATGGTGGCAAAGAGATCGTCTGGCGGTTGCTCGGGTGATTGTATGTGCAGCGACTCGAGACGATTACAGCTACCAAATATGATTGGGATGCTGCCAAAATCTCCATCTTCGGTGCAGTCGATTGTGAGATGAGTCAAATGTTGCAGGATAAATACGGGGCATTCCAAGACAACCTGGCTTGGCACGGAGAGCTGGGTCAAGAATCCTCTGTATACGTCGAAGAGTGACGCAAAGCACGCGAGGTCAACGTCATCCAGAGGTGACCCTGAGTGCCAAAGATTCGTATCCACGAACTGCAGGGAAACACTTGTTGCTCGCAATTGTTTTAGACCGTGTATCTCGCTCAGACACTGAATCCTGGAAAATAGGATTGAGAAAGATGATGCATAAGTATATAATCGAGATGTGACTCACGGCAAGCTGTATTCGCAGAGACGATAGCACGTCGATGCTAGAGTTTTCATAAGTTCGTTGTCCGGGATACTGAACATCCGAGAACCGGTGTGCCATCTGAATGTACGCAGATTGTGCATGACGCCAAGAGCTTTCGTCAGGCAGCCTGTCTCCGATGCGAGTCAGGCATATACTGGCGATGCACGAGGAACACAGAGAACATATGCGGCTTACACAGTTCAAAAGTGGCCTTCTTATCCACGAACGCGAGTACATCAAGATGTTTGACGTACGACGCGAATATAGGATCCGTCATGATATGTAGGAGCATAGAACACGACCTGCGGACGCAGTCTCCTTCGGCCCATTGAGTGCCAGATTCCGAGTCAGCTTGCCAGGCTCCGAAGTGAATACGGAGTGCCGAGAAAACTATGGGAGCTGCGACGTCGTGGAGGAGCTTGGAAACGGCCAGACATTCCCGGATTGTGGCAGAAGGCGCGAAGTCAAGGATAATTTGCCAGAGTTCTGGTGGCAGTGTTTCAATCCAGCCAGCTCCGAATCGTCGGACGGCCTCAGCCATGATGGTCGTGAAAGAGAACGGGTGTGTCTAGAGGTTGAGGTGCGCGTAGTAAGTCAATTGTACTGAGTACGTGGTTCAAGTTTACCGTCACGGTGACTCTGCAAACCGACGGTAGTGGTCGCTTAGTAAGCTCGAGTTTCCTTTCCGGGGGACCTTGCTTCATAGCGTCGCCACAGCGGCTGGTCGCCCGCACCCCTCCATGCACGACTTGCACACGTTCTCTCGCTTCTAACGACCACCGGCTCCTTGTTTATCTCATATTGTATAATGACCCAGTCCGTATCCGACTCTACGCTCTCGCCGACGCCCTTCAGTCCTTTCTCGTCGTACTCGGAGGTCAGCGGGGTCACGTCCGACGGTGAGTGCCTGTTTCATCCTTGGCTGCATGGAGTCCGCGTGGGAGGAGGAGCGATGTTGCGACCGGTCGGCCGTGGAAGGCCTGATCAATGCATGCTCGGATGGCTTGATCCGTCTGTAGAGCACGGTGACCTTGGGGATGTCGCAAATGTATACGGGAGGTAATTCGCCAAGGTTAATTCCGAGTGCAACGAGCTCGTTGCATCTACGGTGGTTTAGTGGTGGATCGCAAGACCCACGGACGTCTCTGGCAACTCAATGCCGGGGATGCATTTGCGCACACAAGCATTAGACCAATGGCTCAGACAGTGGCCGTCTGGGGCTCGGGATCACAGGTACATTTCGCCGTTCTACGACGTCGTGCACTCAAGGGGCCAGATTTGGCGCGAGCATTCGATATGTTTTGGCTCCTAGTGTTGGAAGAAACAGTAGCACAACACCCATACGCGACGCATAGCCACTCACCATATCATGTCCTTTCACCTCGCGTTGAGCCAGCAGACACTGAATATGTATCGTTACATTTCTAGATGCACCGGATCTCGGCGCCTTCACAACCGTCTTCCGTGCGCTCAACAACCTGCAGCAACGGACCGCACCTGCACTACTCAACGATGTCAACACTGGAACACCTATATCTCCTCTCGCTTTCTCGCCCACAGCAGACGGCTCGGAAGCCCCATTGCACTCCGCCCCATGGTCTCACCACCCAGTCAACGATTACCTATCTTACTCTTCCCCGGACAGCCCTCGCCGCGGACGCTCGCCCTTGCGGTCTGACTCCGAGTCCACGGCATCTGACGTCGACCGGTCGGATCTGCTCCGGGTAGAAGCTGAAGTAGCGGAACTCATCGATCAGCCATCCCTAGGAGACCTAGACGAGGCGCTCGGTTTCCTCGCTGCTGAACGCGCGCGCTTGCTTGCGCAGCGCAAGAAGGGGTTGAGAACCACTGGGAATACCAGTTCGACTACCACGACGTCTGACAGCATATACCGTCACGTCATCCAGCCGCGTCGCAAGCGGCGCCGCAAGAGAAATCGGTCCGAGGGTGCCTCGCGGGTCCGCGCATCCGAGCATGATCAGGACCACTTGACAGAGACGTCGACTACAGCAGGAGTTGACGATGTTGGTGACGACGGCGGCGACGAGGCGTATGCGTCCTCTTCGTCTGTCGAGATTGCATCTTCTCCCTCAGCTGCCATACGGACTGCGACTGCATCAGCGCGAGTCAAGACGGTACGGAGACAGCCCACATTAACACAAGTCGCCCGCGAGAAGCCGCGACTGCTCCACAGCAAGTCTACACCCAATCTTATACCCCCTGTATCGTTACCCCTAGACGCGCGCGTCCTACATCTACGGAACCTGGCGCACAAGCTCAGGTTATTCTTCCCTAAGGACGCGGTTGCGTTGCATGATGTGCTCGACCCGGAGACAGCATTCAGTGCCACTGGAGAGTCTGGCTTCGTCGACACGCGAGGCCCCGAGCCTGGCTCACAAGACACCCTCATCCACGTCTTCATTGATCAGTGCGTGTTCAGTCCGCTGTGTCGCCTCTTGCTGACCCTTTCGCAGCTCTAATATCCTTATTGGATTCCTGTCGTACCTGCGGCGGCACCTGCACCACTACGCACGCAGTCGCGGCAGATACCTCTCACATGCTGCGCTCGCGCTCATCCTTGAGCGCGGGCGACCAATAACTCGGCGCGTGCTCGTGGCGTCGTCACCGCTCTACCAGCCGGTTGACAGTGCGGGGCTGCTGGGCTACGAGGTCCGCGTATACGCGCGTGTCCCAGATACGGGCGACGGTGCTGATCGCCAGCGCCACGCCCTCAACCACAATCAGAGCGAGGCGCAGAGTCCGGGCCGCGGCCGCGGACGCCGTGCAGGCGCGTCGCACGCGCGGAGTCACTCGCACAAGAGTTCCATTGGCGGCGGCGGTACGTCTACCGAGTCGGAGACGAACGGAAACGGAAACGGGAATGGGAATGGAGCAGGAGCGTCGGCGCGTGTGCGGTATCGCGAACAGGGTGTTGATGAGCTGCTACAGCTGAAGCTGCACCAGGCTATCGCCGACATCGACGAAGTCCCGACCGGCGCGACCATCGTGCTTGCGACCGGAGACGGGAATGTCGGGCAGTTCAACGAGGAGGGCTTCCTCGGGTGCGTGCGGACTGCGTTGAAGAAGGGGTGGCGGGTGGAGTTGTATGCTTGGGAGGGTGGGCTGAGCAACGCGTGGTTGCGTGAGTTTGGAGACGGCGCGTACAGCAGCAGGTTCGAGGTGCATACCTTGGACCGGTTTGCGGCGGACTTGCTGGAGGTGTAGGATAAGTTAAGCTTATTGACGGAAACATGCTAGCCCTGCTATGTGTTTCCCATGCTGTTGTATGGTGTACTTAACTGTAAGTATGCTGTAGCGTACATGTTCGTCGCGGACGTCGTGTAAGTATGGAGGTTATCGTGAAACGCAACGGCTGTGGCGGTGCTACGAAATTGCACAGTCCTCCGGAAAGGATCTCACAGCTCGATTGTCTTGACTTGACTCATCGTGCATTAGCAGTGAACGAGCCGTGATCATGACGAGGAGGAGGAGGTAGGGGGAGGTAGTATGATCAGGTATCCATTTAGCCACCGGCCACAGGTGCACGTGCGATCCTTGGCATATTGACGGTGACACTGACAGCGCTCTCAGAGTGGCACTGCTAGTACTTAGGTACAGCCCTCCTCCTCAACTCTGAGGCTTTTCCTGGTGAGATAATACCTCAGAATAACCCCGGACGCTGAGGTGCGCCGGCCGCACCGTAGTGTAGCGCGAGAAAGAATCGCCAGGTATGGTTCTGTACTACCCATACGTCGGTTTCAGGCAGCCTTTTACTTTTTGCGCATCCTCCTATCGCAGATTCAAGTTACCCCGCTCTTCGGCACAAGATGGACGTTGACTACCAGATTCAGTGGACAGAGCGACTTCCACCGGAGATCTGGCAAATCGTTCTTCGCTCTACATCCTTCAAAACGACTCGAGATTGCTTAGGCGTATCCAGGCTGTTTTACAACATAGCGGTCCGCGAGGTCTTCTCGTCACTCCGTATCCACTTCGGCTCCTGGGAGGTCGCTTGCGCATACACCGACGAAGCCTCAGAAGGAGACAGCGAACGCAAAACGTGTGGTTTGCTCCTACGCATCGTCACCGACCCCATCTTCGCATCTTATGTCAAACATCTGGACATCCTCGCCTTCGCGGACAAGCTAGCACCTTTTGAGATGCGTGAGCTACAAACACTGTGGTTCTCTGCTGGGATTGCACGTCCGGCTGATACAAATAACAGACAGTCTTACCAAGGCCATCGGTGCAATGTCCAATCTGCGTACGTTCAGATGGCACACCGTTCACCAGACGTTCACGTTGCCCAGTAACGACCTTCTGGCAACACTGGCCTTGACTAGCGGTCGTATTTGCGAATATTCTCTTCCGTAAGCGCAATAAATGACGTGGGCTGTCTCCAAACTTATGGATCGAGACTTTTCAGCATCCAGTGTTTAGATGCACTGCAAAGCCTCAAGCGATTGCCGGCAACGAGCCTCTCCCTGCAACTGGTGCACCCGAATACTCCAGACGCAGAATCGGACCTGCACGACGTTTACCGCACGACCCTTGCGCTGCTGTTCGAAGCATACCGAGGATCCCTGACTCATCTCTCCGCGCCAAGTCAGGTAATCTGGGGATGCCCGATATCCACTCTCCAGGATTTAACACATCTATCAATCAACCACGCTGAGCATCTCAGCAACATTGCTCTCCTCTTCCATCATTGTATCCGGCTCGAATCTTTAGACATTCAGTACCCCCGCAAACCACCGACGGATCTCTATAAAGCTCTGGCAGCCAATCCCGCGGCGCTCCCTCATTTAACACACCTCAAGCTTCGTCTCTACCCTCCCATGAATCGGTCGCAACTGAAGGCACTGGCTAAATTCATTCGGTCGAAGAAGAAACTGCGGTGTTTCGACTTCAGCGACTGGAGCAGCAGCATTGAAGAGCTCGCTCCTGTCCTGTCGGTTATTGAGTCGTTATCAGGCCTGGAAGTCCTAGGTATCGACATTGCATTCGAGGCTACCCTTGGACACAAAGACGTGGCTATCATGCGACGTACAATCCCCAAGACCATCACGGCGCTACGTCTCCGGCTCGTGTATTCAGAGATGAACATGGTCGAGCCGCCGCCGAAGGACCTCCCATGGCTCGAATTGGTAAGTCATGCAGCAACGTTATCTACCGTCCGAAAGAAATAATGTCATCCCGTTCGCTCCAGTGGGCAGGGCTCCCGAAGCTCGCCTTCGCGCACGTCGATGATGACGAACCAACAGTGTGGTATGACGACCTCGCTCATGCTATCAAGACTCTGGAGCTTGTGGGCCGTCGCTCGGACTTTCGCGGGGTGGAACGTATAGACGGGAAGGTTGTACTCGGTGACTACTGGTCCGACACGAAGGTCCACTTCCGAACGGTCCAGGACTTCGGGTGCGAAGACTGGGAATGGTTGATGCGAGGTCATGATCTGCTGGACGACACCAATTATTGAACGGCGGGAAGGTTCAAGAATACCGGCGAAGCGTCAAGTGAAGTGAGCCCATCGAACAAAGTTTTCGGCGTGAGTCACTTCCCCGGCGACCAGATTTAACTGATGGACCGCAACTCCCTAGTGGACCATCGGGTACGGTCTGATTCGTGCTGCTCTTCCGTACGGGACTGTATTTCTCCAAGGCGCTGGCGCATAGTGTTGCGTAAATAGAGTTGGTCCTGTGCCCATATGCGCGGTCTATCAACAAGCCAAATGTAATCGATTGCCAATTGGTGGCCACGATCTTTCGCCATGAACTCATCGACTGTTTTTTGGAGTCAGTGTCCGGCGCTTAGTCACTTCTAGCAGCTCTTGCAATGTATTGCGTTGGTATTGCGCAGACGATCGCCGCAGACGCTTGATTGTATACCTTCGGCCGACAAAGACTGGCAGTACTGAGCACACTTCCCTCATGCACAGCAGGACCGAGGAGCAACCCGCAAGTTTTGATCTATCGGTATCCGATCAATACCAACATCAGGCGCAGAGTCCGGGCGGTGAGCAAACCGCCTGTCTTATGGGGCTGTATTTTCGTAGTACTCACGTCCATTACAGCTCTCAATACCGAGCCGGTGGTAGTACATACAGACTGGACGATTATATATGTACTGCAGCGCTAACATTGCGCAAAGGCCAGTACAGACTGAAAGCTGTACACCAGCCAGCTTCAGAGTCAGTACGAGTCAGTAGCATCCAGGTGATTGCCTTACCGATCATCTACATTGCTGTGATTGGGCAGCTTACCCCGCTTCGATGTTCATGTCAGCAGTTGAGTCACTGCCCGGATGGACGCCGCAGGGGGTATCCAGGTGCCGGTTTGTCCAAGGTTCGTCCTCAGACTGCCATATGCTACAGCGTTACTTCCGAGTCCTCGCCGGTCAGCCTCTTGGTGAGTGTGCCGTCTCTACACTTCTTCGGCATAGGACTGTCGGTGAGCGTCTATAATGTATGATGGCCGACGCTGTCCGATTCGGACATCTGTTCTTGCGGCGCTCAGTAACGGCAGCAGTATGGCGAAGATATACTTACATACAACCGCTCAGTGAGAACTGATGTTATAAAAGCATTCACTGACACTTCATGTCGTTCGCAGCCTCCCTAAAGTCTGCAGAGTCACCCCGCCGATCTTGAAGGACTGACATTTAATCACTAACTGGCATTCAGCATATGTTCGCGCTATGGCATCTACGAGCACAAGCATGCGTAACTCCGAGAAGAACACCAAATTGACTCGCGTCGAGGAGTCAAAGGCACCTACTCGTTCACGTAGCCCTACCGAGCAATCCCCCGTCTTAACGGACAATGCGCCTGACGGGGGTACGAAAGCTTGGCTGCAAGTCCTTGGTGCTTTCTTTATCCTCTTTAACTCATGGTACGCCGTCACTCCTGCAAGTTGTTGACGACTGGTGTTGACTGTATACCAACAGGGGTATATTCAACTCATATGGCGCATTCCAGACTTTCTACGAACAAGACTTGCTCAACTCCAGCTCGATCTCTGCCATCAGCTGGATAGGCTCCATACAAGGCTTTCTACTCCTACTGGTCGGCTCTTTAACGGGGCCGATATATGACAAGGGCCACTTCCGGGTGCTCATGATCGTCGGCACATTCCTAATGGTGTTTAGTCTGATGATGACTAGCCTCTCCACAAAATACTACGAGGTACTGTGAGCCCGACCTTGCACTTGAGATCGCACTACTCACGAGAGACCTCATGCAGATATTCCTTTCTTTGGGCGTCGTGTTCGGCCTCGGAAGCGGATGCGTCTTCGTCCCTGGCGTCGCTATCGTGTCAACATACTTCAACAAAAGGCGCGGACTGGCCGTAGGCATCACCACGTCCGGAAGCTCCATCGGCACCGTCGTCTATCTCAGCGTCTTCCACCAGCTCCAGCCGAAAATCGGTTTCCCCTGGACGGTGCGCGTCATGGGCTTCATTTGCCTCGCAACCTCAGCGATCTCCATCGCTGTCATGCAGCGCCGCATCGCGCCGCCCACCCGCCGAAGTCTCTTTGACTCACGCGCTTTCACTGAGCTGCCCTTCACACTCTTCTGTATCGGGAACGCGCTCTCCTTCATGGGCACGTATATCCCCTTCTTCGAAGCTCCCACATTCGCGACAGCGCGCACGTCCGCAGGATCGACTCTGTCGTTCTACTTCCTCGCCATACTCAGCGCGTCGTCAACTATCGGACGGCTGCTCCCGAACTTCCTCGCAGACCGCACGGGCCCATTGACGATGCTCGTGGTCTGCGCGACCATCACAGGAGTGATTGCGCTCTCGTGGATGGCGGTGCATACCGTAGGGGGCTTCGTGGCCTTCTGCGTATTGTACGGCCTGTTCTCCGGCTCGCTAGTGAGCCTCCCACCCGCGGCGATCGCGAGTCTCACGGACGACCATACGAGGCTGGGTACAAGGCTGGGCATGGCGTTCATGCTTGCTGGGTTTGGGCTGCTCATTGGGAATCCCGTAGCGGGTGTTCTGGTGGATCTGCGGACGGGGGAATTTTGGAAGGCAATTGTGTTCAATGGCGTGACTGTTCTAGGGGCGGGGGCGCTCATGCTCGCGGCTCGTGTTGCAAAGGCAGGCTGGTCACCGAGGAAGAAAGTTTAGGATCTGCGGCTTTAATTCACGGAAGCAAATAGAAGTACCATGTATTTTGTATGCTACCGGGACTGTGACTCAAATCGGATTCTGGAACCCGTACAGGGACGAGCATGGATGTGAGTACAATGAACTATAGCTATGGTCACAACTGCGCAGAAGCTCCAGCACTTCGTCTCGTAACACAGTCAACCTGCCCAACAGCTATACTAGTAGCGCAGCCATGTTCAAGGATCCGCAACGATTCGAAGTGATAGCCAATCTCACACAGCCACTTACTTTATGACTATGAGTAATGCCTGCCTTACTTTGACTTTACTTGCGTTGTAACTTGGTTGTAACAACGTAAGTACGGTGACTTGAATCTGATCCCGTTCAATAATCATTGATTTACGCGGATGCCTAGGCCCGTGCGCGCCCTTGTTCCTCCGACTTGGCGATCAACCTGCCCGGGGGCTGGGCCGGAAACAGTTGGCGGCGGGCTGATGCAGCCTGCAGGCTGATGCGCCCGCTGCGGAGTGTTGCCCTGGCGTTACCATGAAGCCCCGAATAACTTCCTCCACAAGAGCCCATCAGTGACCATAGAATCCCCTCTTCTCCCCCCTTTCCTTTCTTCCTCCGCTTTTTAGTCTGCCAGTCCGCGGCGCCGTCGTTGCTCGTCGTCGCCAAGATGGAGCAAACACTCATGAACGCCGTCGACCCCTTCACGCACACCCCGGGAGGGTTCTGGGCCCAGCTCGTCAACGCGGTCACTGCTACTGCTGTTATCCGCTGCTGGCCTCTCCTGCTGTTCTTCACCGGCTGGGCGACTGCGATCTCGGTCATCTGCCGCTACGTGCACAACATTGGCATCCAGAGCACGCTCCTGACTGTGTGAGTGATTATCTTCCTTTGTCGGTCCGTCGCGTGGGGAAGGAAGGCGGTGAAGAGGTCGATCGCGTTGCGAGATGTTCTCAGTGCGTGCAGTATGCCCACGGCATGTGGTGCGTGATGAACTGAAGCTGCGTCTGCGGCGCCGAAGGGAACCTCTATTTGCGGATTTGCTACCGTAATGAAGGGTTCCGGAGGACCACTATTTATTGGTGGGGAGGCCGTATCCTGCCACCCGAGATTTTGGCATTTTCGCGGACGTAGACGTCTAAATTTGTCCGGATCGAATCAGGCCTCAGGATTGCCCGTTGCTGTCCGGACTGTGCATCAGGCCTTGGTACGAGCGGATCGGTGTCTGGATTGCAGGATCAGGCCTCTTCAGCCATGCAACTCATGGTAGATGTTGGGCAACGGTGCGCGGATGGGGTGGCTATTGGGCAATGATCATGCCAGCAGTTGTCTTCGTCGCGCACAGCGTGCTATGGCTGCTCGGCATTCGACGTCAGGGAAGTCATGACGCAGACCTTGCGCACGCAGCGCACGTGTAGGTCAGCTTCAGGCTGTGTTGCGACGCTACACGGACGGTTGAGGTGTCCGGACAGGATCAGGCCTCGCGGGGTTGGAGGAACATGTCCGATACTGACACATCATAAACATCGGTTTTGGCCGGATTGGGATCAGGCCTCTCCCCCAATTGATAAGGGTCCTATTGCTGTGTATGCTCGACAGCTGCTCCGAGTGCATACCAAAATTCTAATCGTTACTGCAACATCGTGTTTCATGCCCTCGAGTTACTGTCCTTGTCGTTGATCTCTTGCTAACCAACAATTGTCAAAATCCAGCATCGGTACTGTCCTGGGTTTCGTCGTATCGTACCGGACAACTTCCAGTTTCGAGCGATACAACGAAGGCCGAAGACTCTGGTCGCAGATTGTACTTGCCAGCCGGACATTCTCGCGAACTGTCTGGTTCCACGTCCCGGAGGTGATGCCCGTCGCGGCAGACGACCGGTCTACGCTCGAGCAGCGCAAGGAACGCGTGCTCATCGAGAAGAAAACCGCGATCAACCTCGTCGAGGCGTTCGCCGTCGCGGTGAAGCACTACCTACGCGGAGAGGAGGGCGTCTACTACGTCGACCTCTACCACCTCGTCAAGTTCCTGCCCTCGTACGCGCTCCCCGCGGGCCTTCCTTCCAACGTCGACCTCGCAGACGCGACGAGCGTGCAGAGCGTCCGCGGCGAGGCGACCTCGCGCCCGCGCCGGCCCTCGGACGTGCGGTCTGCGCGCAGCGTGCAGTCCCCGACGGGTCCCGCCCAGATGTCCCTCCCGCTGCCCAGCGTGGGGGAGGCCCAGCTGCCCCTCCCGGCGACGTCCCCCCGGCGTACGACGTTTGCGAACGGGCTGGCGAGGCCCTCGATGGACAAGGACAAGGACGAGAAGGCGTCGACCATGTATGGCGCCGAAGAAGGTTTCCTCTTGCCGGCGCGGAACCCGCCTCGGTACCACCTGCTCGACCTTTGGCCTCTCTCCCTGGTTGTACACTTGCTCGCAAAGAGAGGGAAGGACGTCAAGGTAAATGGGCACACCTGCGAAGCGTAAACGTACTGACTGAGAGTCGTGCAGGGAAGGACCGCTGCGCGCATCCGTGCTAAGTTGCGGAGCAAGACGGTTACTCACAATCTTCCGCTTGAGATCTCGTTCTACTTGGTGGGGATCTCGCTTCTGCCGCCATTGAGACATGCTGAACAGTATTGTCCCATTAGAGCTCGTATGTGGCAGCACTGCAAGCGCGCAAGGTGGTCGATCCGCCCACAGCTAGTACGTCTCATGGAATCCGTCCCGATAACACCACAGCGCGCTAACATATTAACTTTTAGCTGCTCTCATCGCTGGCCTCAACCAACTCGTGGACGCGCTCACCGGTCTGGAGCGTATTCTGACAACGCCCATTCCATTCTCGTAGGTCATCTTCGATTGACTGATTTGAAGTTTTCATGCTTAAGCTATGATCAATAGATATCGCGTCCACCTGTGGACGGTGACGCTCCTGTACATTCTCTTCCTCCCCTTCCAGATCTGGAACACGCTAGGCTGGCTCACGATCCCCGCCACCGCGCTGCTGGTACGTCTCACTTACGACATGTCTTCCTTCGACCCGCTGACCTCGCTCCAGAGTTTCATTTTCTTCGGCTTCCTCGTCGCTGGCGAGGAGATCGAGAGTGAGTCCCATCTGCATGACGTCTCCCACACACGTCTGACGGGCGTTGCATCTAGACCCGTTCGGCTACGACAAGAACGACCTGGTACGTCGTCTCGGTATCTCACGCTCCGTCTCGGTGCCTGACCCACGTCCTGCAGAACATGGATCACTTCACGCACAACATCATCCGAAGCGAGCTCTGCGCACTCACCGCGCAGCCCGTGCCCGACCCGTCCGTCTGGGCGTTCTCGCCGTTCAACGACATGGTCGTCGGCGCCAAGGGCGGGGAGCGCGTGTCGCCCGACGAGTGGATGCAGCGCGGCCTCTCGCGCTTCCACATGGCGCTCTACGAATCCATCTAAGCCTTGTCGCTCACGCAAAACGCCGCCACGTCACTACGTAGAGCAGGTCAGCGGGATACTAGGTGTTGTCTGTCTGTCCGTCTTGGTTGTTGTAGCTGTCTGCGACTGGTCGGTTCGCACGTAGTATTATCATTCGCATCACACTCGCATTGGATAGACACATGTTTCCCTTCTCCGCGCCTCGCATCCATAAGATTTAGCACTGCTTCCCGACCCTTGCATATACGTTATCCCCCACATTGTCATTGTCATTCACGCATTGCATACGTCACATAGCATATCCCGTCGTTCACGTATTTATCTTAGATGTCTCGTTCTAGTATTTTCTTGGTCCTTGGGGCAGCCAGTGGCTGCGTGGACTGTCTACGTTGACGTTGCGGAGGGCAGTCTGGCTACTGTTGTTCTCAAATTATGCTGATGATTATGTTGCATCGAATTGCATTAATATTTGTTGTTGCGGAATCTACCTTGTATCATCCGATTCATCGCGTGCAAATACCGTCCCCTACTACCTTCAAACGGCAGCCAGCACACTCTGAGTGCTCGCCTTGCTTACTCGCTGTCTCCCTGTCGCTAGGCTCGTGCGCTTTGCGAGGATAGGCCACCGCGAAGCTTGGCCTGCTGACAACGTCGCGCGGCTCGTCCTTCTCGATCCCTAGTGCCCAGGCTCCCCAGCTTTCTTCGAAGGCGACGAGTACGGAGTAACCCTGCCGTACATCGTGCTCTGGAGGTACTGGTTCGCGCTGGACGGATGCGTGCCGTCAAGCAGTCATACGGCGAGCTACGCGAGAGTCAGAGCATGAACTCAAGAACAGCGATCGGTAACAGCATCCTGCACAAAAGTATGCAGCACCCGCCGCGTTCACAGGCTGGTCGCGAGGTGAAGACTCTGAGGACGCTCACCGAGCTGGTCGATCAGTATGACTTCGTGCCGGACCGCGTCACAATTAACGTCCTCGTCAAGGCTTATATGGAGTGAACAGTAGGGTTTACGAACGAAGACCTCCGCGCGCTGTTCGACCACTTCGTGCGGATCGGTTATCCCACCGGAGGTGCGACACCGTCTGGGGTGCCTTTTGGCACCGCGGAGGGCCCGCCCCCGGTCTACCAGCGGTCTACCTCCCGGAAATCAAGTCCCCTCTCTCGTTCCGCAAGCACGCGCGGCCGCTGTAAAAAATGTTCGTCAAGGCGTTCGACCGGAGAAGCGATGTGGGTGCTGCGAGGACCGTGGTGAAGATCTTGAAGGCGGCCGAGGCTGAGTTGGAGGAAATGCTTGATCGCTGGAAGCGGAGCCGGGCGTGGAAGGCCCGGAAGGCCGGAAGCATCGACGTCGTCGAAGGGTGTATCCAGATAATTGGTGTTTGGGGTAATTCATAAGTACATGTATCTGAGGCCTTGGGTACAGTATGCTGACATCGTCAGACTGTCTGCCGTCTGTTGAGCCTGAAATTGTTGGTGGTATACTCAGAGACGTAAGCTTTGAGCTGGAATGTGTCGATGACAGGCTTCACGTTGCAGCACAGCGCATGCGACTACAAACGGTACATTCGTGCAGCCATTCGTCCTGTATGCAGTAAGTGCTTCAAGTCGACCTAGTATCATGTGCTGACCATATCTGAGGTAACATACAGTAACACTGCGCATGCCATACATCCTGCTCGCAGCCATTCAACGTCCCACTCCCGGTGAGCCTCGCACCACCGGCACTCGTCCGGCACAAGAAGGCGATGTCGTGCGAGCGTGCTTACCAAGTGCTTGCGGATGCTACAGATGATCATGATTCGGAGATTGTGGAGCGGTACGCAAGACGTCAGTGTGCAGCATGCGCATAAGCGTACTTGCAATAAGCGGGTACTTAAGCACAGCCTACCCGTAGGTATGCAGCGTGACACTGACAGCGACCTGTCAGTCGGGTACGGATCCTTTGACATGACTCGATGCCATCATGTAACTGATGCTGTTAGCCCCGGTGTCATTCACGTCTTCAACATTTGAACAGGCAATACCATACTGCGCCGGAAAAAAAGGTACTCTTCAAAGGGAGACTGTGGAACCCTGCACAGAGCAGTCCGAGAACATCTACACCCACATGCGCACCTAACAAGAGATAACATTGTAGCCTGACTCCTTTCAGTTCTCCGAGACGCTTGGCAGAGCACGGCAAGCAAATGCGGACGCGCAGTCCCAGACTAGAAGTCAATCGGCCTCCGGAGTTTGCCATATTTGACCATATTTCTGACAGACTGACAGACTGGAGCCCACAGCTCGACATATCAGTGATGCGATCCACGGTCTGCCGATGTAGTACCTCGCCTGATACATTCGCAACGTCATGGAGGGCTTCTGCTGGGCATGCCACATGTATAAAAGGGCATCTCTGCATCGCTGCTCCTCAGCTCTTCTTTCTCTTCGAGCCCAACCCAAGTACAGGCTCTGGCAGGTAAGTAGTACATGCGTTAACGACTACTGTATGCAACTACTGACACTCGGCTTTGGGACTAGCCGTACTTTTTATTGACGACCTACATTCTTTACGCCTGCACTACTACCTCACGCACCAGTCACCATGCGCCCCTCCACCTTCGCGGCTCTAGTCGCCCTCGCTGGCGCTATCGCCCCAACCATCGCTCACCCCGTCGACTATTTGTAAGTGGCTAGCTCAATAGGAACGTCTCGTCTCACTCATGTGTTCTCAGGTATACTCGCGGTGATTCGGAGCTGCTGGAGGCACGCAACCCTTGGGAACCGCCCCGTCCCCCCACTCCTCACCCCAGGCCCCGCCCCCGCCCGGGCCCGAAGCTCCGGAGGTCTTCCGATGAAGTAGAGTTCCTGGAGGCACGCAACCCTTGGGAACCACCACGTCCCCCTACTCCTCACCCCCGCCCCCGCCCTCGCCCGGGCCCCAAGCTCCGGAGGTCCACGCTGGAGGAATATGTTGAGCGCAGCTTTGGCTCCGATGATGTGGAGTTCCTGGAGGCACGCAACCCCTGGGAACCGCCCCGTCCACCCACCCCTCACCCCAGGCCCCGCCCCCGCCCGGGCCCAAAGCTTCGGAGGTCCACGGATTTCGACGATGCGGAGTTGCTGGCGAGAATGGATTTGAGCGAATGGGATGAGTTGGATTAAACAGCCTGGATCAGAGGCTGTAGCTTGGCATATGGTTTGCACTCGTTATGTACCAAGCTTGTAGTACAGTGCGCGTTGAATGTGACGGTTTGATCATTTAAGTTGGAGATGTGCACGCGTCGGCCAAAGCTGTTGCAACTAACTCCATAGCGCTAGACCCCCGCCCGAAAAGCGTCTACAGGCGGGGTATGTCGGTATTCGTACCCCTTTTGTGCTCTGACCGCAATTCTATCATAATTAGCCATGTCGAGAGCAAGCCAGACCAAGGTTCGTGGTCGAGATTGACCGGCAAAGGCTGCCGGAAACTCGAGAGTAGGGTCCGACGAGCTTCGATTGTGCACAGATTCTCCGAGGGGGAGGGGTCTACTAAGCGTTTTGGAGTTAGCTGTGATGGATCCAGTGCCTTCTGGCGCGCGAGTCTCGTTGATTCTTAGTTCGCAAACAGAACGAGTATGTACACACACTTCACTCGACGACCTCATAGTAAGCCAGAAGATCGGCAAAGGACCGGTTAGCGGTCGGAAGAGGTGTCATTAGGTGTCATTAAGGATGGACGAACTACATAACTTAGTTGCCCCAGTGCAACGCCGACCGTGCGTGCCACTGTGCGTGACCGAGCACCCATGGCCAGTTCAAATACTTTCTGCCGCGCTGCACGACGGCGGGATGGGGGACACAATCGACGTCGATTTGGCGACTCCTCACGCAGCGTGTCCTTCTCAGATTTTAGTACTTATAACCTGTCTGGCCCGTTGCGCGCTGCCACCTGCCTCATCAGGGAATCCCCTTCAGAACGATAAGCGATTTCAGCGTTTATAGGTGATTTCAGTGTTTGTAGACTGTCGAAATATTACGCCACTTTACGAGCGCTCGATAAAGCGCTTGCAGCCGCCTCACCAGATTTCACTTCAGCGCCGCCTTGCGAGCACTCTATAAGCATCATCCAACGCGTATACATCCCAGCTGTCAGATTCTGCCCTACATATCTTTCCGCTGCAATTGCCACTAGGGTCACTGTCTGCCCTAAACCTGTTCAACACGTCACGCAGTTGGATCGCCGCACCTAAGTTCCAGTTGCCCACTTGCACTTCAACTGTGACGCGAGGCTAGGTGTGTTCTCTGACCCTGTTCTTCCCCGTACGCAAAAAACACAGGCAAGCACCGCCCGCGCGATGTGCGCCAGTGGGGAGCAGGTGCAACCAGCGGTCGCAGGCACAAGCGCAACGACCAAGACGACGCGGGCACGACCATAATGCGAACAGTACGAACGTGACGCACGCGGGCGCGTGCACGTATATGGCGTGTTTGAGTGCGAACAGAACGTACGCACACGAGCACGGCATACACGAGCCGCAATATTGGCAACGAGCGCGGACACAACGACGAGGCGAGCGCGCATAGTGCCATGTAGGGAGTGGGCATGGTGAACAGGGGAGCAGACAGGTACGAGCATGACAAAGTGTCTGGCGCGAATAAGTAGCTGATGAGAATTCGTCAAAGGGCCTGGCCGGCAGAGTGCAGACGGGCGATGATGTCTCTTCAAGGGGTTTGGATCCACTGCCGACACTTGCAATGAGTCCGAGTGGGGTACAGGTAGCATCCCTTGCACACGGCGCTGTATGCTGCGTATGTCCGTGGTACTACCTGTTCCCCACGAGACGAAGTGCGCCATCCGCACGGGCTACTGACCGCTCTACCGTTGGAACCCGTCTAAGAGGGTGACGCCGCGTGCACACTCGACAGCGACATGATGAAGAACGGGCTCCGCGCGTTCCTCGACAGGCAGAACCACCTTCGCAACTCGTCACCGCCTAGCTGCAGCTCTCCTCTGAGCTCGTCGGCTCCCTCGGCGAGCAGCTGCGTTCCGCACGCAAGGCATGCGCGCAGAAAGCATACGCCAAGCTTGTCACCGCGATCGACGCGTCACCGCTCGCCGTACCGTACACCAGTGACGGCGGCAGGGCGGAGAAGGTCGCGAAGTGGCTCGCCGCGCGCGAAGATCCCCGGCATCGTCGCGAGCGTCACGGCGATGGACGTCGTCCCCCTCGGGGACCATGCACGCCCGCGGTGTACGCCGATACATACATGTATTGCATGTCATGTCGAGGATGTTCCGCCGTTATACACCGTTAGGCGGGGCTTTTGCAAGTGCTGTTGGTCTGTCCCGGGGCCTCATGTCCTATGTACTGTGTTCTCTGTTGCTTCTTCAGCACAACATGTTATACTGTACTCGACACAGCGGACAAGTCGGCTTTTAAAAAATTGGAACATTGGTCTTACATAGCAAGGGTCAGTAGTTTTCTAAGCGGCCATGTACGGTTACGTAACATGTCACTTAAATATGAAATGTTCACCGCATGTAAGAAATTTCGTACATAGGTTTTGAAAGATGTTATGTTCGGCTACAGTACATTGACCACACGTATCCTGCATGTTAGCAACATGTACATTGAGACTAAATACTGTATGGTCAGATAATGGTAGTCACTTGTAAGCCCGGCGTCCGCACGCCGGGTAATCACTCAGAGAACAGAACAGGAACGAGGCGTCTTCGTTGCGCAATAGTAAGAATATAAGTACATGAGTATCGCAATGTATGGAGATACATACCTTCGTTGCGCAATAGTAAGAATAGAGAGCAACGAAGGCAGGAAACGAACATGAAGAGGGGTCGCTTAGGTAACGTGAAGGAATAGTGACGAAGTGACGAGACAGACATGTGCGGAACGTCCGCGTACAGTACGTGCGTTGTATAGTAATGTAAGTAACAGTAGGGAGACGGTTACACTCTCCCCCGCTTTAAAGCAAGAACAACCCAAAGAATAACAGACCGTTCAAAAAATTTTCAAGCATTGTCAACGGAAGCGAGGAAGGTATCCAGCGCCGTAAAGTCCTCGCACTCCTTGCCAGGGAGCCAAGAACCCGCGGACTCGGGGTACCCTTTCCACGTAACGAAATACTGCCAGCCGCGACCACGACGGCGACGATCCGTGATGGTGTCGACCTCGAACTCCTCGACACCATCAGCCGTGACGATAGGACCGGGCCGAGCATACTCGCGCGAAGGAAAGAGCGCGGCGTCGTTGCCGCGGAAGGGTTTGAGGAGGGAAGCGTGGAAGGTCGGGAAGATTTGCATGTGAGACGGCAAGTCGAGCGTGTAGACCGAAGAGTCTGGGTATGCGTGTAGTACCTTGTACGGTCCGTCCCAACGCACCATAAATTTAGCGACCCGATGGTCACCACGCTGCATATACTCGCGACGGCGATGGAATGTGGAGAGCATTACACGGTCACCAACCGCATAAGCTATCTCCGATCCTCGGTGCGCGTTTGCCATGAGAGCTTGGTGAACCTTCGCGAGGAAAAGATTGTCCTGTGCCTCCATGACGTCCGACTCAATCCGCTTGATGATATCAGCCGCAGCACGAGCAACCGATTCGTCATCGCAAGCCGCCCGAACGTTGTTGTCGAGAAGCGGAGGTATGACACGAGGAGCGCGACCATGCAACAGTTGGAACGGTGAGAATCCCGTGGAAGCGTTGACGGTATTCATGATTGCGAAGCGCACCCTGGGCAACGCGCGAACCCACCCTTTTTGGTTCCGCCCGACATGGTAGCGCAGAGCCTGGATGACGGTCTTGTTCGACCGCTCGGAGGCACCGTCCGTCTGAGGATGGAAAGACGTGGACATCTTCCATTTGACTCCGGCCAAACGCTGCAACGTCTGCCAGAACTTCGACGTGAATAGTTTATCTCGGTTGCTGGTAACAACCTTGGAGAGGCCGTTCTCGCAGTACCACGCGTCGAAAAACTGAGATGCGAACTTCTCACCGTCAACGTTCGTTGTCGTCGGTATAAGCCGTATGTCGGAACCCATCCGGTCGGTCACCGTAGCAAGGCAGTCGAAACCCTCGTCCAGTGGAAGGGGACCGATGAAGTCGATGGTGATCTCCTCGCCGCGACCGTCCGGCACGGGCAGAGGATGCAAAGGACCGGGGGCTTTTCGCGTCGAAGATTTGTTGCGCTGGCAGTCCTCGCATGAGGGGATATACATGTCTTCGAAATCGCGACGCATGTTCGGCCAGTAGTACGCGTCCCGAAGCGCAGCATAGCCCTTGTCGAAACCGAAGTGGCCAAGCGCGTCGTGAGCGAGACGATATAAGGACTCCCGAATATCTGGTATGCGCGGGATGATGAGCCGGTCAGCGAGGAACAGCAGACCATTGCGTTCCTCTACCCCCAAGGAACCAGTCATACCCTTGAGCTTCGCACACCATTTGTCCGCGACGTACCCCGCTTTGATACGCTCGAGCAGACCTGCGTCCGTCGCTATGGACAGGGACACTGCGGCCACAGTGTCCTCTCCGAGCGAACCTGTGGCAGATCGCAGACAACGGGTGGCAGCCCGGAAGTCCGCGACCGCAGCGCACACAGACACGTCGACGAAGCTGTCCTCGGGACACCGCGACAGGACATCGGCAGCAATATTTAACTCACCCTTCACGTACTGGATAGTGAAGTCGTATTGCGCCAGAAACTCCTGCCAGCGGGCCTGGCGTCTCGACAGGTCCTTCTGGCGACTGAAATTCTCCAGAGTGCGATGGTCCGTGAACACCGTGAAGGGTACGCCGATGAGCTCGACGCGCCACTTCTTCAGCGCGCGCACTATTGCCAGAAGTTCCTTCTCGTGTACGGGATAGTTGAGCTCCGCACCCTTGAGAGAGCAGGAGTCGAAAGCGACCGGACGGGCAGACTCGAGAGTGGGACCAAAGCTGAGCATGGCGCCGGTGCGTAAGTCGCTAGCGTCACACGAGACGAAGATACGGTTAGCGTCCAACGCATTGTGGTCGATCACGGTCAGAACTTCGCGGCTGCACACGAGAGTCTTGATACCATCAAATGCAGTTTGATGAGCATCTGTCCATCCAGGGAACGCCTTGTCGCACTCCTTGGTGGTGAGCGGGTCGAGGACCTGGGTGTATTCCGCGAGCCGAGGGAGAAAGTTGGCGACGTACCGCACCAACCCGAGGAAGGACCGGACATGCGAAGCTGTGGACGGGACAGGCCATGCGACTATCTTCTCGACCTTGGACTTGTCCGCTTCGACCCCAGCCGCGGAAATATGATGCCCCAGGAAGTCGACGTCGAGCAAGAATAAGCTGGTTTTCTTGTCGGAACACACGAGCGCGTGATCACGTAGTGCCTGCAACACCAAACGTACATGCTCTCGGTGCTGGTCAAGATCGTCCGACCAAATGATGATGTCGTCCAAGTAAACGTGGCAGAACTTCCCTATGTACTTCCGCAGGGCGCTGAACATGCGACGCTGGTGGGTGGCCGGCGCGTTACGACAGCCCTGCGGCATCACCGTCCACTCGTACAAGCCCCATGGTGTAGTGATCGCGCTATACTTGACGTGGTCTGGATGCACACGCGTCTGGAAGAACGCGTTCGTCATGTCAATCTTCCCCCATATTTTCCCCTTCGCGCAGTCAGACAGGATGTCGTTGATCTTCGGCAACGGGTGACTGTCTGGCACAGTGTTATCGTTGAGCGCGCGGTAGTCGTTCACCCATCGAGGCTCCGCCGTAGGATCGGACTTGGGAATGAGGAAGCACGGGGAGGCGTATGGGCTATTGGAAGGACGTAGACGACTGGCATCCAGGTGGTCTTGCAGCATCTTCCTCCATACGTCACGGTACTGCTTTGGACAATCGTACTGCCGGCGACGGATGACCATATCAGGGTGCTTCAGCTCGAAACAATGATATACGTCAGTCGGCAGACGTGCAACAGCAGGCAAGGAGGAAGGGAACAGGTCGGCGAACTCACGCTTCATCGAGTCGTTCTCGCGCAGAAGCTGCTCATGATGAGAGACAGCTTCCAGATGTTCGCGAATCGCCAGAACGGTCGAGATGCGTGGCGGAATGTTCGCGTTGTCTGTCTGTAGCCTATCCTTAGTCCGTTCAAGGAGCTCGCCCATTACACGACGTTGCGTATCACGTAAGGCTGCATGCGAACGATCGGGTGCTGGAGTGGGCGGTGTATGGTGACGGATGTCAAAACCCGAGGTCGCGACGGTCACAGCATCGGTTGTGTGGTCAACAACGAGTTTATTGGCTTTAAGGAAAGGACGGCCGAGGATGACGGGGGCGAACAAGGAAGGGACGATGATGGCTTGACAAACAACAGAAGACCAGGCAAGGTCGGGGGACGAGACCTTCAGACGTACGTATTCTCCACACGAAACTCTCCCCTCCCCCCATGCATTCCCCATCGGATAAGGCTTGGGCAGCTTGCGACGCCGCAGTTTGAGATGGGACACGATGTCGTCCCTAATCAGAACTGTGGGCGACCCGGAGTCGATCAGCAAGGGAAGCGGGGCAGCAAGCTCGGAGGGAGAGTGGATAATGGCGGAGAAGGACAGGTGCGGGACGCTCAAGGGCGTGACGTACTGAAAGTTGTCCGTGTCGGAGCCGGAGTCGTCATCGACGTGCCCACCGGCGACACCAACTGCGAGGTTGGCGACGGCAGCGACCACCGAGGAGGCCGGGACATCGTCAGCGTCGTTGACGTCCTCAACGGCGGCGACCGCGTTGGCTTTGTTCTCCTTGTCGCGACGGGTACGCGCGACGTCGACGTCAGCCATGGTCAGGGTACGATAGGTTGAGCCGTCGGGGGCACCGGTCTTGCAGGAACCGGTGCGGCACTTGACGAAGAACCGTCGACACTTGAAGCAGCCACCGAATTTCTTCAGTAACTCCTTCTCCTCGTCGGTCAGCGCGGGAGGTAAGTTCTTCTTTGCACCAGAAGAAGTAGTGGCGGAGGAGGAGGACGAGTTGTTTGCCGGAGAATAGGTCTTGCCAGCCTGAGACCTCGAGGTAGCATGAGCGGCGATAAGGCGCATCATGCGAACGCGATCGCGGACACGGGTGATGTCACGCGTCGACATTGCAGCCTTCCAGTCCTCGTAGTCGGCAACGACAATCGTCGTCGGTTCGGCTGCGAAGTCCCGCAGGTCTTCGACCGCGTTGGCAGTGAGGTGCGAGCGAAGGCGGTCGTCAGAGAAAGCCGAAGCAGAGCCACGCAGGAGAACGTTGATCTTTTCGACTTGATCAACCCAATCGTCGAACGTCTGCTCCTCGCGCTGGCGACAATTGAGAAGCTTGACTTCCGTCGTCGCGACCCAGTTGCGCGGGAGGAAGCGCTTGCGCAGGGCGGCGATGAACTCGGACCACTTGAGTTTATCGAGCTTTTCGTGGTTGACGGCGTACCAGTCAGATACCGTAAGGTCTTGGAAACCACACGAGGCCTTCATGATTTTGTCAGCGTCGGTGGTCAGGTTCCTCTCGCGGAAGTATCGGAAACAAGCCGTGTCCCACTGCTGGATCACCTCGGGCGAGAGCTTGCCGGGGGTCAGCAGCGGAACCTGCTTGATTGCCGTGTGCGAGACGGACGCGGTGTTGGGGTCGGGCGGAGGCATCTGACGGACTATATGCGCGTCAATCTCGGAGTCGGATGAATCTGAGAGTGAGCAAGGATCGATCTGGGGCGTTCCTGGTCTAGTGGAGGCTGGGGAGGTCGGAATTGACGAGAGCGCTGAGAGGTCGTCGAAGTCGAAGAGGTTTGACTCAACTTCGTCCGGTAAGGGGATCGAAGCGGGGTCGACAGGAGGGCCTTGCGAACGGAGATGAGGCGGCAGCGTGACGAGTGCAGCGACGAGAGGGCAGATGAAGGCAGGAGACAAGATACCGGCGGCTACACCAGCGCACGCGGTCAGGAACCCGGCGGCTTTGCAAGCGCGCGGGACCGGAGGTGGCAAGGACACGCTGTCCAGGCCCGAAGAGGGTATAATAGACATCAGGAAAAACGTTTGTGTCTTAAGTGGTCTTGTGGAGAGCCAAAAGTGACATTATGTGTCACTATGTGCCACAAGAGCCTTAAGGTAAGTCGATTTCTTAAATTGTCTTACTTAAGTTCCATTAAGTAACCAAAGTAAACACTCATTCCAAGCAAGAATGATGTTTTTTCATCATTACTGGGGTGACTTCTCTCATGATTCTGCTGTGTTTGTGCATATGCTGTCATAACAGGCATCCCAGATGCAAAAATGTCGCCCAAAATAATCTGCCATTTCCCAGAATTGAACCCCTGACCTGCTAAACTAATTTCCCACACTCTCAGCACAAACTTATGACCACTACACCATAGGTCCCTGTGCTTGTTCCCTTCTACAATAACCTATATTGACTATCTTTCTGGACTTAGAGAAATCTGCAATTGCTGCCCCCTGTTAGCCCAGCCCCTGTGCATCCCTGGGCTCTCAGACTGGCCTCATTTCTTCTTGGCACTATCTGTTGCCTTGCAGACCTTATGTAGACTCATAATTTGCTCAAGGGCAGGCTTCTTGTCTCACTTTGCATGCTTAAGTGTTCTTTTGCTGTCTCTCAACCTTAACAGGTCAAATATGTCCAAATCCCTGACAATATGACTTTGACCACAGCATCTGTTGTAAGTAGGGTAATATACTCATAATCACAGGGAAAAACAAATAATCTTTATTTGTACCCCATTACTGTTGCCAGATATAGTATGTGTTAACTTGTCAGGTGAAATCTTGGTGAAGTCTTCATATTGAGCAATCTGACATCTCATCATGCATATTTTCTAGTTAAGAGGTCATTTTCCAACTAATGTGTACTTATGTGTCTTAATCTGCAGAATTAAAGTTGCATATCTTCCAACTTGGGCACAAGATAAATTTCTCAAAGGTACTATAATTAACTTCAGCAGTCTTCATGCACATGGTGCACTTAATTGAGGAACACAAGTTGTGAAAGATTGAATAAGATCAGGTGTTCTTCATTCAAGACTGCTGAAGTTAGAAGTGTTTTTCCTGATGGAGTGGAACCAACGGATCCTCGCGTTCCGCAGCGAGGAAGAGACGACTGTTCGATGTTCAAAAAAAAGTGTAAGCCCGGCGTCCGCACGCCGGGTAATCACTCAGAGAACAGAACAGGAACGAGGCGTCTTCGTTGCGCAATAGTAAGAATATAAGTACATGAGTATCGCAATGTATGGAGATACATACCTTCGTTGCGCAATAGTAAGAATAGAGAGCAACGAAGGCAGGAAACGAACATGAAGAGGGGTCGCTTAGGTAACGTGAAGGAATAGTGACGAAGTGACGAGACAGACATGTGCGGAACGTCCGCGTACAGTACGTGCGTTGTATAGTAATGTAAGTAACAGTAGGGAGACGGTTACATCACTCTAGCATTGTCAGCACAGTTATAATGTTAGAATGTCGTGCATTGCGGGAACAAAGGGCGCACATTCGGAATGTAATCACAATGTAAGAGGGGCTGCGCACATTAAAAATGTAATGACAATGTAAGACATACATTTCAAATGTAATGACAATGTAAGCACAATGTTAGAGGGGCCTTCTTACATTGTGATTACATTCCGAATGTGCGCCCTTTGTTCCCGCAATGCATGACATTCTAACATTATAACTGTGCTGACAATGCTAGAGTGACTACCATTATCTGACCATACAGTATTTAGTCTCAATGTATGTGTTGCTAACATGCAGGATACATGTGGTCAATGTACTGTAGCTGAACATAACATCTTTCAAAACCTATGTACGAAATTTCTTACATGCGGTGAACATTTCATATTTAAGTGACATGTTACGTAACCGTACATGGCCGCTTAGAAAACTACTGACCCTTGCTATGTAAGACCAATGTTCCAATTTGTTGAAAGCCGACTTGTCCGCTGTGCGAATTGTATTGGTTTGCACGAGAACAAATGGGATTACCGTGGGCGCAGAATAAAGACTTGCGTGAGATTTGGAAGCTTGCCACGCTCTACAATCGACTTGCATACAGATTGTAGTGAGTATGTTATGAGCTTGTATCGAACTTGTATTGAGCTTGTGTAATTCGCTAGCGCTATAGTGCTTTTTACTGTTTATAACGATTTCGGTGTTTATATTCACTTACAAGCGGAGATAATGGCTATATCTACTCAGTGCGAATTCCGTGATGCTGTCGCGTCACCACTTGTTTATAGGCGTGCGAGCGCTACACCGGCGCTTGTGCTTCGACGCAGTTGAACGTTGACAACCTCAACTTGAACCCGTCCTGACCAGACGCAGCACAGTAGCGGAGGGTCTACGACAAGCGGCCATATAGCAAGAAGCGCGGTAATGTATGTAGTTGTAGCCTTCCACATACACCAGACCAGCTATTGACGCGGACGTGTTTCACAGTAGTACTCCTCGGCGATCAGGCCCCTCGGGCTCCCACTCTCCGCGAAGGGTTACTGAAACATAAGACAATCATGGAGCTTGGGACCATTCGGTGGACCGATCGGCTGCCCCCGGAAGTCTGGCAGATCGTTCTCAGCTTCACGACCTTTGGCACAAACCGGAACTGTCTATCTGTGTCCAAGCTCTTTCACAATCTCGCCGCTCGCATGCTCTTTTCGTCACTTCGCATCCAGTTTGGTTCGTGGAGGATTGCTCTCCGCTGTGGCCCGGGAAAGCCTTCGGCTGAAGAAAGTTTCACGAACGTGTGCAAACCATACGACGTGCTCTTACGCGTCATCAATGACCCCGTCTTTGCCTCGTACATCAAGCATGTCGACATCCTCCCATTTGGGCGCATGGTCGCAGAATCCAAAATAGGTGAGCGACCTCTGCGCTTGAATCTTTCTGTATACGATATCTTCGCACTAACACCAGGATCAGGCACACTCACGCAGGCTGTCAGCGCCATGTACAATCTGCGGTCGTTCACGTGGCACAACTGGAACCAGGTGTATATGTTCCCTAGCAGCCAGCTACTGGAAACATTGGCATCAAAATGTGGTCATCTTCGCGAATACAAGCTCCCGTATGTAACGCATTCGTGCCTCAGTGCGTCTCGCATTACTCATCCAGTTCCTCTCAGATTCCAGAGTTTGCATATGCTGCACGCTCTCCAGAGCATGCCAGCAACGGACATCTATCTATGCCGCTATGACAGAGGAGCCTCAGAGTTCGAAGAGGAGCTGTACGACGCTCACCGCGAGTCCTTCGTGTCACTATTGGAGGCACGCAGAGGATCATTGGCTCAACTCTCCCTGTCAAGTCCGGGAATCCGGGACTGCCCGACATATATACTGCAGGATTTGACCCATTTGACAATCTGCATTGACGAGGAACGTAACATTGCCGTCATATTCCGTCACTGCACTCGACTCGAGGCGCTGTTTCTCGAAATCACCAAGGATATCCCACATACGGTTTTCACCGCCGCTATTGCAGAGGATCCCTCGGCGCTTCCTCTTTTGACGCATCTCAAGGTGTTCCTCTCTCCCGGATGCAATCGGGTGGATTCTTGGCCGATTGCGAACTTCATTCGGTCGAAGAAGAAACTACGATGCCTGGATTATGTCGACAAATTCAACAGCATCATGCAGCAGAGCCGTGTCTTGTCAGCGATCAAGTCTCTGTCTACGCTGGAGGTTCTCGGCCTCAGCTTTACACAGGAGATCCTTGAGCCAATAGAGTGGACCTTCTTGACCCGGACGATTCCCAGAACCGTAACCGCTCTGCGGCTCTCTGTCGACTACGATGACTTGGGTCGGCACTGCGAGTGGATTGATCTAGTACGTATGACCATAATGCTGCCTCTCATAACGCGATTCTCACCGTTGACGTATTCTGCAGTGGGCGAGCCTTCCTAGGCTATCCTTCGCGCACGTTGCCGACTTGAGGTTTCACCCGATTGTGGGAACGCGTGCGCTTGCTGCTGCAGCCAAGTCTCTCAGACTTGTCGGCCACCATTCCTACTTTCGCGAGGTTTATCGCACTGGCGATAAAGTCACGTTCAGCAAACCATGGTCTCCCACTAAGGTCAAATTCCGGATGGCTGCTGAATTTGGATGTGACGACTGGGAATGGTTGATGCGCGATCATAGACTGCAATGGATACTCCGGGATTCGGTGGGCCACTGAAGTCGGCGCCCTAGCCATATCTCTCGCCACCGCCCGCGTTACGCCCTAAATATTTTTGTACGTAGTCTATGATGTGCCTAGAGCCTATCCCAGTTTGAGAGAAACTTATGTTGTGGAAGAAGTTTGGCTTTTCGGTGGTTGTCACGCTCAAGTCACGCTCATCAGCCGCTGGGCCTGCAAACGGTGTGACCGCCGCCACCGAGCTTGGATTGCTCTCAGTTGTTCTCGTCTTCAACGGTGCATGTGGGAGGTCAATATTTCAATATTCAATGGCCGCTATACAGCAGAATGTATGTAAACACTGTGTACGCGGTGTGTTTGCAGTAGGAAACGACGACCGTGCTAATCACCCTCCAGTACCGAAGATGAATAAGACAGCCAAAAGACAGCATACACCCCGCTCAAGCTATACGGTAAATGAAGCCCTTCGCATAATGGGCTATCATGCGCTGGCAGCTAGCAGAGGCGTATGTACCTGAAGCTATGTACGATACATCGCCTTCGTCACTGAGCCATGATTATCATTCCGAATATCCTTCAGCGCACAACTTAAATCGGTCTGGAACGGCGAGGTACCTACAGGCGAGTGTCGCAGTTGATGATCGTCGCCGAGAAGAGACGTACCAAGTACGGACCGCATCTTGTGGTGGGATCCCGCATACTGAGTGTAACTCAATGTAAGTTACGTGAAAAGAGAAACATGAGCCCGTGTCATCAGTGTTTCAGTAGTTCGCCGGCATGTAGTCGAAAAATGAATAGTGCCTCATCAACCACTCCCAATCCGCACACCCAAAGTCCTCCGCCGTCCGGAAGCGCACCTTGCGCGACGGCCACGGCGGCATCACCACACGCAGCTCGTCGCCGTGTCTCTCCACGTCATAGAAGCGGTCCTGGAAGCACACGAGGCGCAGGTTGCGCGCGCCGCGGATGAACTGGTTCGGCGTCAGGACGGTCGCGCCGTGCACGTTGACGTACACGAACTCGAGCGCGGGCAGCCGGGACCACTGTAAGATAGGCGGGCACACGTTAGGGCACGCAAGGCTCAGCGGTGTGGATAGGCCGAGCACTTACCAACTCTGTGAATGTGTCTTTGTTGGCGAAGCCATGGTCCAAGTCCAGGGCAAGGGCAGTCAGACTGGCGGGAACGTGGACTAGAAGATGGTCAAGCCATTCCTTTGTCGGCAGGCCTGTGCACTCGAAGTACAGGCCAAGCAACTGGAGGTTTTGCAGCGTCCCCAGAGCCTCAAACAGCGGCTCCACGTCTGCATCGATGAGAGAGCACTTCGTTACAAACGCGCGAAGCTGGGGCCTGCCTCTGAGGAAGCTGCACAGGGCGTCGAACTGCGTCGGCGTCATGATCTCCTCTACAGGCCCGATCGCGAACGAGTCGAAGGACGGCAGATTCGGCGGGAGCGCCTGCAAGGCACCGTACATTTCCTCTTGCTGCTCGTCCTCCACGTCTTGCAATGGCACCATGGTGAGCGAGTTGAGATGCGGAACCTTGCTCAATATGCCTCTGAGGTCCCGCGGCGCGTATTCGTTCTGGAACAGCAGCTCCAGGTCGGTGATGTTGTCGAGCAGACAGGCCTCGCCACCGTTCGGGCTTGGGAGGGGGCGCTGCATCTTCTCCAAGAGAGACTCCAACGGTACCCCCGGATCCTCGTTGCGGAAGGTTAGGCTTACGCCGTCGTCTTCACTTATTGTAGCGCGGATACACTCCACACTTCTCAGCAAGTGCACGGGCAAATGTTCAAGCAAAAACAGGCTAACAACAGAACACAAGCCGCGATGTCAGAATAGCCCAGAAGCTGCGACGGAGAACAGCACATACGGAGCTTCGAATCGCTTCAAGCGTGGGCACGAGTCTGCCAGACTCTGTACGATAGTCTCGGTCGGCGGTGGATGAGACCAGTGCCACTGGAAGACGCGGAGATTCTTAAGGTTGGGAATGGCAGCGAGCAGGCGTTCTACGATCCTAAGGCTTAGCACCCTCGCCAACGACGCACATACGCATCTCAGTGAGGCTCACCGTTCTGCTCTGCACCCGAAAGCTCATCCTCGTCCGCATTGCACGCCTGGATCTGCAGCGTCCTCACGAGCTCCGCGAATGTCTGATCTTGCGCTATGCGCGCAAGGATCTCCAGCGCCCTACGCGATCGGCTCTCCTCCAGGGTACGCAGACGAGCCAGGGCGGGTTCGTCCAACGACTTTTCCGTAGGGGCCTGCTGCGCTTCGAACGCGCCGAAGCTCAACGCGATACGCGCGAAGACGGTGGGGAGGGCAACATCGTGGAAGAGCTTGTTGACGAATAGGCAGCTGCGTGCGGCGCCCCGGGGCAGGCCTTCTACGATCTTCACCCAAAGCTCCGGAGGCAGGCGTGAAAGATGTCTTGGGATTGTTTGCGTGGTCATGATGTATGGCTTTGGATGAGTAGCAGGGTTGCCGCAAGATGTGGTCCTGTAACTTGTTCAATATATGTGGTACGTCTCTTCTCGGCGGCTATCACAAACTGCAACGCTCACCTGTACGTAACTCGCCGTCCCAGACCGATTTCGATTGTCCGCTGCAGGAGCTCCGGGATGGTATCACGGCTCAGTGATGAAGGCGGTGTGTCGTACGCAGCTTCACAGATCGCCCACCTGTCGTCAGCGCATAGCACCTCCTTGTACGGCTTTCCATCAGACCTGGGGAATGTCGACCGTTGTGTGCGGTGGCAGGTAAGCTCGGAGTAACTTGGATAGAGAATGCGACGCTTGAACGGAGACTATAAAGAGAATGGAGGAGCAACGACCGGCGTAAGCGCTGGCAGTTCGACTTGACGCGTCGACGGCGCTACATAAGTATGCATGTATTTCTACATACCCTTGGAGCTCTTACTGTATTTCAGTTCACACAAAGGAGTGTCTCCTTCTCTACTGATTCCACCGACGACAACGTTCAATAATCTTTCGTCACATGTCCGCGAAGTAACCACTCCCAGTCATCACATCCGAAATCAGCAGCTATCCGGAACTCAACTTGAGTGGGAGACCAGGGCTCGCTCAGCGTGACTCTATCGTCTGTGCGATATATTTCGTGAAATTTGGAACGATGGCCGACAAGTTCAAGGGACTTGGCAGCAGTAGCAAGGTCGATAGTCTTCACAATCGGCCCGTGTTCACAGTCATCAACGTACGCAAAGACTAGCCCAGGAAGGCCCGCCCACTGCAGGAGGTATCAATGTTGATATTCACGTTATGAAATGCAGCGGTGTGGTGTTACATACCATATCAATCCACTGGCAGTCCTCATCGAGGACTTCGTAGTCGAGGCAAAGCCGCAGCGCTGTTATGGTGCTGGGAATCGTATGGCGCAACAAGGTAAACTCTTCTGCTTCAAGGAACTCCTTCCAAAAGTTGAGGCCGAGGACCTCCAATGTGGCCAGAGACTTGATCGCCGACATGACAGGACTCTGCGCCATGATGCTCATGGCTTCATCAGCATAATCCAGGCAGCGTAGTTTCTTCTTCGACCGAATGAAGTCGGCGATCGGCTGGGAAGCCCCCCGGCCTATTGGAGAAGAGCTGAAACACAGCTTGAGATGCGTTAAGTGAGGAAGTGCCGAGGGGCTCTCCGTGACAGCGGCGCTGAGAGCCAAAACCGGGATATAGTTTAGATCCAGCGACTCGAGTCGAGTACAATAACGGAACACGACAGCAATGTCATCATGTTCGTCAATGTAGGTGATCGCCAGATGGGTTAGATCCTGGAGTGAATATGTTGGGCAGTCCCGCATTCCTAGGTTCGGCATGGAGAGTTCAGCCAACGATCCTCTGTATGTCTCCAACAACGACACGAAGGACTTGCGGTGAGCGTCGTACTGCTCCCTCCCTGATCCAAAGACATATGGAATGTCAATGTCTAGTGAGATGTTCGTTACTTGCATTCGCTTGGTAACGTGCAGTGCATCGAGGCTCTGAATCCTGAGAGGTATTGTATAAGTCATACACGACACGCTAAAGGACAAACACAATACATACGGCAGACTGTACTCACGAAGACGACCGCAGGTCGATGTTAGCGTTTCCAACAGCTCATTGCTGGGCAACATGAACGTATGGGAAGACGTGTACCACCCGAAAGACCGCAAGTTGTGCATGGCACCAACGGCCTGAGTAAGTTTGCCTGTCCCTGAGATATTAGCAAAGGCACAGCATATACAATCGATACGTAGGAGTAGCTCACACATCTCGGAGTTTGTGATTTCCTTTGCATATGCGGCTATGCCCACATGCTTGACATACGAGGCAAACACGGGGTCATTGATGACGCGTATGAGCACATCGTAAGATTTGCACCCGCTCAAGCTGCTAGTGTCTCCTTCCGCGCTCGCACTTGCGAAGCGATGGCGGACGACCTCCCAAGAGCCGAACTGGATGAGGAGCCACGAAAAGAGCCTGCGAGCGGCGAGATCGTGAAAAAGCCTGGATACAGCTAGACATTGCCGGGTTGTGCCAAAGGTCGCGAAGCCGAGGACAATCTGCCAGACTTCCGGGGGCAGCCGGTCGGTCCACCGAATAGTCCCAAGCTCCATGATTATATTTTGCTTCAGGAACCGTCTGCGTAGAGTTGGAGCCTAAGGGACCTGGCCACCGAGATGTGAAGTGCTGCAACGCATCCGCGTCAACAGCTGGTTAGGTGTCTGTGGAAAGCTACAATTACATTACCGCAGCAGATATGCAGTTTTGTTATAGGCGTACTTGTCGTCGGTCCGCCGCTACTGTGATGCCACTGATGCGTACATTGGCACAGAAAGTATACGCGTTAGCGCCCGGGAATGGCCACGGTGGCACCATGGTTCGGAGGCAGTTCCGCACCGTCACGTGCCTAATAAGATCACTAAGTACTACTACTACCCTCCGAGTCGCCGTGTCGAAGTCTTTTTTAATCGTTAAGTTCATTTGGACCTCACCCGTACATCGAGTATATAGGACATGTAGTTTGTGCTGTGCGCTCTCGTGTAGATGTTGTGCCATCCAACATTCAACGCCGCTTTTTACCTAATAACTGTCGTCGAGGTTAGACTCCACCCTGATACAGTCTGGCAGCGAGCGAGTATACAGAGTGCACAGTATCAGTGCACGGCATCCGAACGATGCTTTGCGTTTGCTTTTGGAGCCAACTCAGCTTTTGACACCCTTCTTCCGGCTGGCGACGCGGGTCCATTCATGGCTGCTAAAGGGAAGCCTTTGGCGTGCCGAGGATGATAGAGACACTGCCCGGTGTGATTGTCATCTCAATGGCTTTATGCTTCGAGTATGAGATCCCGAACTCGCGCGTGCAACATTCTCGGGTTTCATCCATGGGTTTGGGCATAACGGCGTGTTGCATCATGTCTCTAGTGATACAAGCCACGTAGTTCTTCCTTCGAATCTTTGTCCCGCTCGTCACGAACTTAGCTAGCTTCCACGAACGCCCGATAGATGGCCAATTGACCCCTTTCAGCCGCAACAAGCTTCACGCCAGTTCCAGCGCCGATGAACACCACGTCGCCCTCAGCCACCTCCAGCTTCTCCCCGGCCGACTCCAGTGCACCCTTACCCTCCGTCACGATCGCGATGCTCGGGCCCTCAATTGGCGGGTGCGCCTCCGTCTGGCCGCCCGGCACCAGCACCTGCAGGACACTGAACTCGGGGATGGGCGGGTCGTAGAGCGCTGTGTGCGCCGCCGCGGAGTCGAAGGCGGCGGGTTTGACCATGTGTCTCGAGGGATCGCCCGCGCCATACGTGAGCCCGGAGACCAGGTTCGGGATGTCGCGCAGCTTGGGCGTGAGCCCGGCGCGGATGACGTTGTCCGACGTCGCCATGCACTCCATGATGTCTGCGTGCTGTGTCAGTGCCTGCCCACTAGATGTGCTGGCCATGCTCACCGCCTGACACGTATGCGTGCGGCTCGCCCGCAGCGAGGAAGATCGCCTCGCCCGGCTGCATCTTCACGTAGTTGAGCACGAACGCGCAGAACACGCCGATGTCGCCAGGGAACTGGCTGTTCAGCCGCAGGACGAGGTCCTTCACGCCCTCCTCGCGCTCGGTCGCGCCGCCAGCTTCGTACCGCTTCACGAGGTCTGCGAGGCGCGCCTTGAACGTGGCCTCGTCGGCGGTCATAAGAGCCGAAAAGAGGTCCTTCAACGCGGTCTTCGCCTCGGGGCTGCTTGAGTCGGCGGACGACGCGGCGGAGAGGAACTGCGTGGTGATTGGCTTCGGTATAAGCGCAGCTAATTCGAGCGTTGATACGAGGTAGCCAGCGATTTGGGAGAGCGGGAGGAAACCACACATCGCGGTGAACGGCGTGAGGGCAAGTGCCATCTCAGGCTTGTGGTTTGCGTCTGCAGAAAAATGTTCGTGTCTCAGCCCTGCGTGTTCCGCGGACATTGACTACTAGAATCGCACGACGCGCCTTTATAGATGTTCGGCTTCTCGTTGTGCAGCGCCTCCGCCGTTTTCTTGTCCGGGTGCGTTTGGATGCTGAGCGCCTTCTCGATCGCCAGCACTTTGAAGAGGAACGGTAGATTGCCTTCTTCTGCACCTGCATCGCGGAAGCGAGAGACGACTTTCGAGCCCATGAGCTCCGGATGGGCGGCGAGATACTCCGCCAGCGTGGTGTCTGAGCCCGCTACGAGTGAGGGTCCGTTCGGATGAGTCCCCATCCACAACTTTTTTTTGTCAGCAATTGCAGCTCTGTATCAGCCTGTGCATACCTCTGCGTACGGAGCCTTCTCGTCCAGCGTGAAGCCAGGAATCTTCGCTGCTGCTGCATACTGCGCAACCTTGGAGGACAGCCCGATCTTTCCCCAGTCATACTTCTGTGTCGTGGGCACAATCTTAAAGACTCGCGGCATCTTGTACTGAGTCCTTGAGGTAGAGGTTGCGGTTGGGAGTCTTGACGATATACTTGTGGCTGATTTATACCCTGGGTGGGAATGCGAAAGTAATACGCGACGTGGTCGGTCCGGAGGACAGGGTGACGTACTGGGATCGATCGAAGATCATGACACGCTGCGCTGCTGTATTTGGTACTACGTCGAACGTGCTAAGTTACTTCAGGAGATCGTGTAACGCAAGGTGAGTCAGTTGAACATTGTCGGGTGGCCGACTGGGGTATCCGACCGAGATCCCAACCCGATACAATACTAGTCAGTTCATAAGTTAAGTAATAGCGAGCATTTAATACCGTGGGACAACTCGGCTCAACTTTGACGAATACCCCAACTGAGATCCCGTATTTCGATCTCGTCCTTGCTTCACACTTTGGTTACCACGTAACTCGACCGTTGACCCTATCTTACAAGGCTCTGACTGATCTATACGGACGTTGTCATGATCTGATCAGTGACTCAAGTCCTGCCAGGTCCTGCACCGAACCGAGCGGAGTAAAGAGGTGCGCCAATCCGTCTCCAAGGTTCGAAATGCTACTGACATCTTGCCCCACGCAGAAATCCTTGCAGAAGAAGATGGAGCCTGAACCTGAGTCATTTTCATGTGGACGACTCCCTCCAGAGATGTGGCAAACGGTCCTAAGCCATCTCCCGCAGTCCACGACGCCAGAATGCTTGTTCGTCTGCAGACTCTTCCACGACCTCGCTGCTCGTCTGCTCTTCGCAACGGTTCGCATCGAATTCGGATCGTGGAAGCTCATGTGTGGCGTTGATGACAACACTCCTGAGGGAGAAATTGGGCGCAGATCGTCCTGCTTGTTGCTGCGCATCATCACGGATCCCATATTTGCCTCCTATGTCAAGCATCTCTATGTACTTGTCTTTGCAAACAGAGACGTGGCCTTTGAGCTATGTAAGTGTGGGCCGTGGATCACGTACAATATCGTGCTCACATTCTCTTTCAACGGGGGCTGAAACAAAGGTTGTTTGACGAAAGCCATCAGCGCCTTGCACAATCTACGCACCTTCGCGTGGTACACTGATAGTGATCCCTCCGAGAGAGCTATAGTGCCAGACAACGAGCACTTGGAAACATTGGCATCCACATGCGTTCATCTGTGCGAATATGATCTACCGTGAGTTGCTAAATGAATCTGATACATTAGTTTTTCTTACAACGAGCACCCAGAATGGACAGTTTGAATGAGCTACAAGCCGTCAAGCGATTACCGGCAACAAATGTTGCACTGTATTCTACCCGGCGAGAACCAATTTGGGACTTTGACGTGACTTACGACAACTACCACTGGGATTTCGCATCGCTACTTGAGGCGCGCAAAGGATCCCTGACTCGGCTTACTGCACCGGGCCAGGCGGTCTGGGATTGCCCGATACACACACTGCAGGGATTGACTCATCTGACGATCACCGACGCTCGCCGTCTCAGCAACATCACGCTCCTATTCCATCACTGCGAGCGGCTCGAGTACTTGCATATCGTCCTCAACGATGACCCGCCAGACCTCTTCGCTGCTCTGGCAGCAGATCCTGCTGCACTTCCCCGCCTAACGCACTTCAAGCTCTACACGCCTCCAGCGAATCCCGCGGGGTTGGATGCTTTGGCGGGCTTCCTCCGCACGAAGAAGCGATTACGGTGCCTAGACTACAGTGACGGGGAGGCCAGCGACATCGAGGATATGGCGCCTGTCATCTCTGCAATCCAGTCACTACCCACCTTGGAAGTATTAGGCCTCCATATTGCACTTCACGTCAACGGGCCGGCCCAATTCGACGCTCTAAAGAGTGCAATTCCGGCTAGCGTAACAGCGCTGTCTGTGGTGCTTGACTACAGCGATTTGGACGAGAGTTGCTCATGGATTGAAGTGGTACGCGAGGGGTTCTTGGCTGTGTCGTAGGCTGAAAATACTCACATCGGCGCATCATCTAGTGGACAGGCCTACCAATGCTCGCTTTCGCGTACGTTGACTATGACAGGGATCATCCGATGATGGACATGCTCGAGCTTGCCACAGCCACGAGGTCTCTCAAGCTTGTAGGCCAACGTTCACGCTTCTACGAGGTTCAGCGGGCGGAAGACGGCGTGACGCTCAGCCAGCCTTGGTCGCTCACCAAGACCGAGTTCCGTACGGCAGCCGATTTTGGATGCGAAGACTGGGAGTGGTTGATGCGGGACCTCTTTCCTGGACGAGACTATTGATGGCTGTGCCTAGCTCAAAAGGTGTCATGTACCCAGTCCCGCTGTGACACACATACGTCGTCGTGTACATCCTAGGTCCGCTCGGACTGTAACGGGTTGATCATGGCAGCACGAGAGCCACTCGCCTCAAATACGGTACGACTTGATAACGTGACCATGACCGCCTTTGTTTCCAGAAGGGAAGCCAGGCTTGGATGCCTGAGCGCTGCGGTGTGAGATAGTTCGCAGCATCCCCCGAGTGGTCGCCGCAACTCCGAAGTCCCTTCAGGTCCATCATTACGCCGCGCGGTTTCTTGTAACCTATTAATGTATCCTCCCTTTTTTATGCCTCGCACGGCCCGCGACAGGAAGTTCCCTCGCGCTCGCAATGTTGTGGGCAGGCGCCGCAAAGGTACCAGCGTTGCAGCTTGGACCCAAATACTTCGATTGTCGACACACGAGTCACCCGGTGAGTCTCGCGCCCAGGACTGCCCTCTCACTGTCGGTTTGTTCGACATTCAATCACCGGAGTTGGTGCGCTCGAGCGGCGCAAAGCCGAAGTTTTCAGATATGCTGAACGGTAGACCGATGTAAGCCTACTTCAATTGTTGGTGTGCCGTGTTCCGAAGTTGCTGACAACATTCGTTCATCCGCAGACAGGGGGCACCGGGGCATTGCTTAGGCATTTGGCGGTACGCCCACGCCCAATCGCAAAGGCCAGCGGCTGACGTTACGGCAACACGGAGCTCGGCATTGGTACAGGTGCATTTTGAACTTGCGGCATTCCAGTTACTCGCTTGTTGATCTTGTGTGTGTCCGTAGGTTTGTTTATCTCGCACCACCAATGGCTGCACATAGATGCGTTGCGGAGAAGGCGGATGCGGTAGGTTGCTACTGCGACCGTTTGTTAACGTTTAGCAAGTGACATATCGTGACTACTTACATTTAATCCAGGTTCCCGACCGTCCACATCTTCGCGAAGTCGTCGGTGTTCCCAAAAGTGTCAGCCGCGCGCCCGCAGGTTCACCATTCGGCCCAGGATTGTGTACCCCCGGAAATGGTCGCACTCCTTTGTTTTGCCGCAGCAAAATCATAACAATGACACGTTGTCCGGTTATATCGACATCGCGGACGTCTTGAGTCTCCCTGGGGATTTGTCGTTCTCCGTCGTCATAGAAGCACAGAACCCGAACCGTACCTTCGCAGTGTCGCTCAGCCGACTAAGAATGGCCCGGCTTTCGGACGCTTGAACCGCTTCGAGGGCATGTCCCTACTACACAAGTCGGCTGACTCGGAAGTGTGGTCATTCGCGACGATGCAGGGAGGGAAGACAAGGGCGCCAGTTATGATTGCTGTGTTCAAGTTCTTGCAGCGCGGAGAGTTCGGAGAGTTCCGTGGGCCCCGCGTTACTCTCGCGATTCCACTGCTACCCAGGAGCACCCAGAGTGTCCCTGTATCAGTTCTCGACGCTCATCGGCGGCCTGGGCATATCGATGCCATGGGCGCGCATCACACAGAAAGGAATTGTTTGCGCCAAGCGGAAATATTCTCAAGAGCTGTGCGCCGGTATGCTGGAGAGCCACGATTCCATCGTCCCTTCTACGCCGTTGACTGCAGCGAACAGCTAGTGCAGCCGCGTCGATATCCGCTCGTCGGCGCTTGCTGCCCCGCGCGGCGTCGGCGTGTCGGTATCAGCGCGGCGTGCAGCGGTAGCGCCACACCGGAACCTGTGGTCGCGGAGGCCGCAGGACTTCCTGATCAGGAAATCAGCGGTAGAAATGAAGGCAACGAAATGGGCGCCGCGGTACAACCGCGGTAACCCACTTCGGATTCTGGGCCTTGCGACCGAGCAGATGACGCGGTCTTGTCCTGGCTTGCAGCCCATTGGACCGGCGCGCGTATGGGAGCTTTGCAACCTAATTTGACACCGTCGTCAATCTGCCGCTTCGACGCGCGGGGACACTCTATATTCGGTGGGGACAGCGGACACGGCTGCAGCCTTTTCTCACCAATCTTCCCTGCACTTGCGACGTCGGCGTGGTCCGCGTGGATGGGCTAGCGAGGACGCGGCCTGGTGGGGTTTTTGTTGTATCCGCAAGATTTGCTTGCGCTCTCTTACCTCCTTCTCTCCGCGACACGCGCGACGCCGACCCGCACCCCCGAGCGAGTGACGGCCATGTCGCCGGTCGACAAGCTCAAGGCGGGAGACGACCTCCTCCATGAGTTTCTCTCGGACGTGCAGACGATCCGGTACTCGGAATGTCAGTACGAACTGTACGACCGTTGACTGAATTTACTCACCTGGTGGATGTGAACAGTGGCGTCGAGCACTATTATCATTTTCGATCATCGTGCGTGACCACCCTAATTATCCGTTTTCAAATGTTGACTTCCTTGCCTGTAGTATTGACGCTCAGCCAAGAGGTGAGTGAGCTCGTGCGCAACTTGCGTGGATGCTGAAGAGAGCCGTACGGTGTAGTACAAGCTGATTTGGGTGCGTGTCCGCTCTGTCGAGTGAGGCTTAGTGTTGAGCACTGACGACCAGCAGACAGCACCATGGTCCATTGGGAAATTTCTCTTCTTGATCGTCAGTCTCCTTGTTCTCCTTGTTCTCCTGTCTCACATCCCATCACAGAATCGCTACTACACGCTCCTTACAGTCATGTAAGCATTTGTCGTTGTCCGGATGTAGCCTAAGGTTACTCACGACGAATGTCATACGCACCAGCTTCAACAATTACGGTGGGAATGTGCCTGCTCGTCATAGAGACGTAGTGCTGACTGCGATGTTCCGCTTGTTTGTGAAGCCCTCTTTAGTAATAATCTCAATGATACAGTAAGTCATTTCCGCGTGATCATCGGTGTTTGCATACTCACAAACATCTCAGTTGTAGGTCATGTCCCGGGTCGGAGCGTCGACGCTTGCTGATAGTTTCGCAGCTGTACATGTTTTGACACAAGCGTATCACTGTGAGTTAGCTAACTGAGCATATAGGCCTGAATTGGTACAGATGGCAAGGCTGGACGGGTGTTACCTCGTTTGTTATCGCTGAGCGTGCGTGTCATACATCTATCATGCCTCTTTCACCCACATTCGCGCAGTGGAACCCCCTAGCTGCATGTGACTCACCTCCGTTCGCAGTCATTCTCCTCCTCCGTCTCTACGCCCTCTACTTCCTCAACAAGCGTATGCTTGTCTTCATGGTGGCTAACTCGATCATCGCCTGGGCAGCCAGTGCGGGTATCATTGGGAGCCTCCTCGCAAACATTACCGGTGCGTCCATGCATCCTTTGTCGCGTCGTCTCTTACCGGTTTCCCCCTGCCTCCGCTTCTTGCGGGGCTGTAGCAACGGCGCATCCCTTCCCTATGTACCCCAAGCCCTTCTGTGCGGCGTCGGGCCTCTCCGCATACGCATATGCGTTCTGGATTCCCATGCTTGTCTCCGAGTGTGTGCTCTGCGCGCTCGCAGTGAGCCGGTTCGTCCACATGCATCATACGCGTACCGGCGCGACGCTCTTCCAGAATGGGCGCAGGCTTGTGGAGGCGCTCATCAGGGATAGCGTGTGGTACTTCGTCGTGTCAGTGTCCATCCGATGAAATTCTGTCCTCGTGTCACTATGAAACACTGACCCATCGTTGGTTATGCAGGATATTTGCCACGTACCTTGCAAACACCATCGTCTTCGTTGTTGGCACCGCGACGGAGATTGAGATCCCAATCGGCTTCTCGGTTGCCTTCGCATGTGTGCTGGCGAACCGACTCTGCCTCAGCGCTCGCGGTATGGTGCGCCGCGAACGCTCGGGCTCCTTAAATGCCTCAAGGTCAGAGATCGACGTGACGTCCGAGTCCGTCCACTCACCTCATGCCGCCAACGTACGACGTCCATACGACTCCGTCGAGGATTGGGCGGAGGATGAGTATGAAAACGAACCAGAGGAGTATGGGTCTAGCGCGTACGACGGGCGGTCGTCGCGGCGACACATCGTCTCAACCCCGGCTCGCTCGCCAGTGACCGTCGAAGTGGAGGGAGGCGGAGGGTTGGATGCCATCCAGATGCGGGAGTTGCGGCGGATGCGGAGTGCGCGAGGGCGGGGGCTTGGCTTAGGGCTAGGCGCGCAGTGGGCCGGCGGCCTCAAAATTGGGCGGGGGAAGCGAGAGGGTATCGGCGAGGAGAGTCAGGATGAACGAGAAGGTGTTGGGGTGGTTACTGTATGATAGGTTACGGCTGTGAGGGACATTGTTGTACTGCTGTATTGATAATCGGTATGTGCATAATGGATGTGTCCGTAGCCTTCTGCATTGACAATGGTGTCGCTATTGGACGACTTACTAAGACCCTCCATACTTGCCAGAATCGGAGCATTGGTCATGGACAGTGGTGGTTTGGAGGAAGGGAGGAAGGGGTCGGGACGCACAGAGCAGCTTACTTATATGTTCCCTACCCACTCCACAGACAGGCGTGGAAGCGTGCTTGCGTGAAGAGTGAAGGACGTCGTTGAGAGAGACTGTCGTCACTGAGGGATCAGCGTGCCATATGCGGAAGGTGCGCTACCTAATCGGGTAGTGTCCCGTACATGACACCTAAAATAGTGGCGCGTCCCCCGGGAGGGCTCGACATTGTCGACGCCCTGCGCAGACCTTCTCGTGGTCCCGGGGGGTAAGTAGTCCTTCGGGATGAAACGAACATGCGCTATAAGAGACTTCTGAGCCTAACGGCAGAAGTCTCTGGGATTTTCGTGCAGCCTAAAAAGCCGAGTCCCAACCCTCGAAAGGGGACGGAGGAAACTCCCAGAGCCGAAAGGCCGTCTTGCAACGCTCCTCCAAGAGCACTCAAAAACATCGCAGAAAGCTACGAACGCGCCCCTCCTCTCATAGACAGTCATACGCACCCTTTCCCTGTCCACTCTGCATGACGTGTCGTCAGACACCGTCCTAAAATGAGCCCCTCCTCTCTACCTTACCTCGAATATCGAAGGAGGCGACACAGCACCTCCACACCCTCGCGTGTGCACCCCCTTCTCTCCACCCATCGACCTCAATAGTCGATTCCCTCGCCCCTCTCCCCTACCAGCCCTCCCGGAAGCGCCCGGTATGGCGCCCGGTACGGCGTTCATTTAAAGTTTCAGCCACACGAGCAGCGACTGTAAAGTCCGGTAGAATCCGAGCTTGTCATTACTTTCCATATCCGGACCATCATCTGAAAAGGGACAGCAACGCGAGCACACACACTGTGAATCCATCCCCCCGGAGAGAAACACAAGATGTGGCCCCGTCCCTCCCTACAAACTGCCTAGTCTCTCCCTAACCAACAATGGCTTAAACGCTTGACGTAAGAGAACCTCCATACGAGGCGCGCACACCTAACGTAAACGATAAAGGAAAGCGCTGGTCCGTTAATATTTATGTTCGACCGAATCGTGACGACCCACCTGCCTATCACCCACTGCAAACCCCTCTGAGAGCAGCGTTGCAATGGCTCCTAAGAGGAGCAAGAAACAATCTCAGAAACAATACGCGAAAGCACCGACGAAACGCACCAGACGAGTCAAAACACCCCCTCCGCCCCCCCTCGTCACGCTCCCTCCTCTCCCGTCGCTCTCAATCGCCCCAGAAGGTCTGCCCGTCACGGCCGTTAAAGTCCTCCCGTACCCCGCGATTAGACATGAACGTGGACCCACCTGGATTGCAGACGAGAGGCCGACGGCGCAGCTCCAAAAGGGAAGTCGCATCACGATCCTCACGGACGCCCAAACGTCCGGCATAGGGCGCCTGTCGGTGATTACGGACCTACGTCGCCACTGGGTCACGTTCTCAATAATAGGCGCCTCACATCAATGCAACCTCCGCGTTCCCATCCCATGGGCCATCCTCGATGGCCTAGAGAGTTTTACGCATCAGAAACACTATTTCAGTCTCGCGGACGACCCTCCCCCACACCGCTCTTTCATCGACATCCCCTCTTTCCGCAGCAAGGAGGAGAACCCGTACGAGTTCGATATAGACGAAGAAGACATCCCAGCCTTCTCAAAAAGGCTAGCGAGCATCGCAAACAAATATTGGAGCAATCTCGAGCGGGAGGGGCAGCGGTCGAATCTAGGCCGCTAGGCACAGTATGTAACCCACTCTCACACCTGACAAGATAGGGCAATGAATCGGTGCTTCTATGTGATGGGATGCGCCACCAGCCAGCGCCCACTAAAAGAAATAAACGGCTTCCCGCGCTGTCACAACCATATACAGCCTGGTATGTCCCCTATACGCCCACTCAACGCCGGATCGGTGTATCTCCTGTTCAGTGCCGAGCTTCTGCCGACGGCCCCGCCCGACGAGGCGCACTCCCTGTCCTAAAGCGGTTGCACCCACAACAGTGCAAGCCCTCTCGGTCGACCTTGTCTAAGCCTCCTAGTTGTAGGGAAGGTGACCACGCCAAAGCAGAGTGAGCCTAGACCACGGTCACGAATACTAACACGGTGTAGCAGCCCCACATGCGCAAAGGGTATGACCCCCGCAGGAACGTAACAATGCGAACATTTCGTAACGCAGACTCTCGTAAACCAAACACCTTACCGACCCGCTAGCATGCAACGACCCTGAGCGAGGCCGCGCAGCGCGCCCCACCTCCTTGTTTGAGCGGAGAGACCGCGCAAAGGTAAGCAGCCTAACCAAAATAGCAGTCATAGCACGCTTACCCCGCGCGGCGACGAGAAATCCACCTCTCGTAATTCATCTCCAACCGTCTCGCATCGCTTCTCAGACCCTGAACGAATGCACGCGGCCCACAACCCGCACAAGATAAAAACTCTCCCGACAGCCTGAGAGCGGCTTCCTCTCCCTCTCTTTTCGAACCTGCCTCGCTATCAGCTCTTACCCGCAACCATGCACTCGAACCCTTCCCAACAGCAGTCCTCTAAGACGGCTAAAAACGGTCACCGGCAAGCGCCAGGCAATGCCATGCAGGAGAAGCCGGCGCCCTCTCCGAGCACCCTAACGTCTCTGGAAGCCTCTCCCCCGCCCGCCCAGCGCAACGCAACCGGAGGCCGCATCTCTCCCATTCTCGAAGGAAGCCCCTCCTTCGCGGACGTCACTGCTGGCCGCCGCAGCACCTCGCCGCCCCTGAACAATGGTAGGCTGCTGGCCCCGAGACTCGTCCCGTCTCCATGCGACGATGACGTCCCTTCTCTAGACATTGGGCCGCCCGCGATCATTGCATCCTCAAACCAGTCGTCTCTCATCCAAGATACCGCTCCGGCGAACATAACGCTGAGGCCCGCTCCCGCCCCGCAGCCGCAGGCGGCCACAAACGGTCCTCGCAAGTCGTCTGGCGCCGCGCGCGACGAAGAAACCGGATGGGTTGAAGTAAGGCGCAACGGCCGCAAGCGAGTCGTCGCTCGTCAGGACGCGACTAACGCGACTCTGGGCCTAGGAGCTCCGCCCGGGCCTCCCACCCCATCTCCCGCGCCGAGAGCCTACAGCGACTCCGCCCGCGGACGAAGCGACCACAGGAAGAGAAGGCGCCTCTCCACGGAGGAAATTGCAGACGGAGGAGAGACCTCGCAGCCCCAGCCGTCGCTCCGCCTACAGCCCTCCCCGGGCCCGCCTTTCGCGAGGACGATCCTTCCAGAGCAGGAGACGTCGTACGACGCCCATCGCCCACCTGCTGTCCCTCCGCACCCTCGCAACTCATCACAGTCGACGATATTGGAGCCCCAACCGGTACCTGCCCACAGCTCCCAACGTCCGTTGCCGCCGACGTGTCACCCATCGGCCGCCATAGACATCACTGAGGACAGCTGGCGCCAGGTACCCTCTGACACAGACCTCTTCTGGGATCCCAGAATACGGCGACTCACTGAAGAGCTTGGTCCCCAGCAACCAGCGCCCTCCGACGTTGGGAGCTATGCAGACGCGGACATGGACGAAATTATCCGCAGCATCCGTCTACCACCCCCGGAAGAAACTACCTTCTTCAATCCACCTGCCGTCGTAATGGCAAACATGATGAGTGGCGGACCATTACCGCGGCCGGCGTACAACCTTGGCAACCGCAACGAAGGCTCCTCATCGCTCCCAATCAGACAGACAGAACCCCTCGCAACTGCCCCTGTCTCGATCAACGCCGACTCCAGCGCCTTCACGGCCCACTGGGCAAACGGCACATGGCCTCGTGAGCCCAATGCACGCGAACCAACCGCTCGCGAGCCCGTTGCTCATCATGAACGAGTACATCCTCCGTCTACGGTCGTTCCCCAGAGCCAGCCAGAACGCGCTAGATCTTCTGTAAGTTGCACGTACTCCCTCGGAAGGAGTTTCGCTCTGACGTACAAGATCCAAAGCTGCCTCGCGAGCCGTACAGAGCCCACAATGCTACGCCACGCCCGCAACCCGCGCAAGCGGGAAGCTCGAGCGCTCAACCAAGGACGCCGACCAACGGCTCGGGACACGAGTGGCCTGCCAGTGGCCCCTCGCGTGAGAGATCAGCGAATGGCCCTCCACAAGACCGAGCGCAGTCGAGGGCCTCTGTCCTGTCGTACGTAACCATCCAGCCAGAGCGAAACCAACGTCAGGCGCCGCCAAACGACCACGACGCGATGGAGGTCGACGACGAACAGGATTTCGTAAACGCCCCCGCCCCACTGTTCCATCGCCCGCAACGTGCGCCGCGCGACCAGCCCCCGCCTCCCCACGCCCAACCACAACAACTCAGAGGCAACGCCGCAGAGCACCTCCCGCTACTGGAAGACCAGTTGGAGGACATGAACTCCCACACTAACAGCGGGATCGACTGGCTTAGCGAGGACATCACGCAGCCGCCGCCTCAGAGCTGGCGACCGATCCAGTTCCACTCGGTGCGAGACGTCTTTATCGGCCAGGATGAGCAGCAGGCCCTCCTCTGGAGGCAGATTGCTTTGCAACGTCCGTGCGTCCTCCTGCAGATCGGCGGCCATGGCGCATGCGAAGACGACGACTCCTCGTCATGGCAGCGCTACGAACTGCTCAAAGAAATTCTGTGGGTCCTCCTCGGCGTTGATCGCAAGCAACTTCTGGCGCCTCAGCGCGCACGGGGAGTCAGGCCGAGTATGAATGAAGGCCCGTTCTACATCATGGTCACGAACGTCACGGAATTCCAGGAGGCTGAGATGATTCGGTGGTACTGGCTGTCAACGAGGTGGCTCTCCGTGAACTTCATCCCCTTCCCGACGCCTCTACCCACCTATCTCGCCACTTGGGAGAGCTCGACGGCTTTCGTCTCGACACGCCTGGAAGACGCGGTGAGCATGTTTGCCAGAGGCTTTCGACGCTCGCCCCTCTTCGCGTGCACCCTCCGCACGATCCGTCGCGACAAGGACCGAGGCGCGGCAGGCATATGGGGAGATACGCCGGTAGTCGACGCCTTCAACCTCCTGATCGACTCGATCCACGTTCGAGTCCTACCTCGTATGAAAGGCAACGGAGACCCCTCCCCTCTCTTCGTCCTCTACTGCGAGCCGCCGACTAACCACGTCGAAGACTGGGAGATCTTTCGCGACACGGTCCGCGGGCACTCTTTTGGCGTCGCAGGTGGGCGCTCGCCAGACCTCGTATTAGAAACCCATGTCTGCAGCATCTGCCACTCCATCGACCACACTGTCGGCTTCTGCGACCTCCCCGACATCAGAGGGTGGAATGGCCCTCAAAGAGAGCTATACTCCTCAACGCCGGCGAACCCGCAGCGCGAAAACCATGGAAGGAAGCGGGGCGGTAAGGCGAACCGAGGACGCGGTAACGAGAACGGTCGCGGCCGCGGAAGTGATAACGGACGAGGTCGCGGTACTGGATACGGGCGTGGCCGTGGCGGCCGTGGAGGCCCCAGTGCAAACAGATCTTACGCTGGGCCGTCTCTCGACCAGGCATCAAAGAACGCCCTCCTCCGCGGCGGAAACCCTGACCCCTGGTAGACAGTGACTCGTGTCACTAGCCAAGGTCAACTAGACAGCTAGCACTCCTTCCATCATGTACATCATCTACGCGCTTCATGCGCACTATACACAGAGTAATCGTCCTCCTTTGATTGAACTTAGTAAGCTATTCCTCTTGAAACGGATGTCTCCAACGAGCACGTCCCGGAACAAACTCCTACCTAAAAACACCTGACAACAAGAGAGTTCGTACAGTTGAGGGCCCACATATACTGACCGTAAGCGGGACAGGAAAGCCCTCTCTATCGATCTCTCCCTTTCCCCTTTCACAGCAAGGACACTATTAGACTTGTCCGGCCTTAGTATGGCGAAGCGCTATAGTGAGACACTAGATGCGCATGTCTCCTGATGAGCCCAGGAGAGACTCACCCTGCTCGCGATCGTTGTAATGAGTATGCGGATCCCAACGGCTTTAATACCTAACACACACCACCCCACGGACGACTTGATGGCAAACAGCACCTCTCCCCATCAGCAGGGAGTTGAGCATACGCCCCCTACCCGTAGACTTAACGAGGACATGCTGGTGGGAAACGGTGGTAGGGCGACCGCCTCTAGCGCACAAGGAGTGCTAGAGGGCGGCCGGGTTACTAACCAAGAACACAGGCAGGCGGGGCAAACACCCCCAGCGATCGATCAGTTTCACCCAGATCCTTCCTCTGGGATGAAATCTGGACGTAACACACGAGCAGCCCTGACGGTAAGCTCATTGAACATGTGTGGAGGAGGATCATCCACAAGAACGGTCGGGCAAGGCAAATGGAACGAGCTGAATCAATTGATGCGAGAAAAGCGTATTGGGATCCTAGCCCTCCAAGAAACACACCTAAATGACACTCTAGTAAACGACATCCACGCTCTATTTGGACGAAGGATGAAGGTCTACAATAGTGAGAGTCAGAACGCGACAGGTGCACAAGGGGTCGCTTTCGTCCTGAACAGAGAGATCACTGATACGAGTGACACGCGAATACAAGAAGTCATACCGGGAAGAGCCCTCCTAATATCCTTGAAGTGGCATGGAGAGCTCCGGCTATCGCTCCTAAACGTGTATGCCCCAAACCCAGCTGGAGAGAACGCGATCTTCTGGCGGACGCTTGCCCAATTAATGGACGACAAAGCAATCCCGGTGCCAGAAATAATTCTCGGAGACTTCAACATTGTTGAGGAGTCAATCGATCGCCTGCCACACAGAGAAGATCCGCGCAACGCTGTGTCCGATCTGCAACACCTGTTGAAGAGAGCCCGAGTGTTCGATGGCTGGCGCTTATCAGAGCCCAACACCAAAGACTATTCATTCCCGCAAAGAGGCGGACCGTCTTGCTCAAGGCTAGACAGAATCTACGTGGACAAGGCCCTACTATCAAGATCTTTGTCATGGGAGCTTCAAACAACGGGAGTACGCACGGACCATAGGATGGTGACGGTCAAACTGACCGCCGCGCAGGCACCCTTCATTGGCAAAGGACGGTGGACCCTCCCACAACAACTCCTCTCAGACTCGATATTCATAACTAAGGCGGTAGTGCTAGGAGAAAAGAAGTGGAAAGCAGCATGCGAGGTGGCAAAAGAGAAACGAACGTCCTGCAAAAACCCGCAGTCGCTCTTCAAAGAGTTCAAGGACGAGCTGCTGGTCATAGCGCAGAAGCGCATGAAGGAGAAAGTACCCAAGTTGAAAGCTGCCATCAAGTCTGTCACGAAGCACATTAAAGACATAAGCAGCAACGAACTTTTCTCGACGGCCATAGATCTGCAACGAGAGGTTGGCATACTGCGTGAGCGCCTACGCGACCTGGAACGACGCAGACACGGACAGATTCAGGCCTCGACGACGGTGAGATATGTACTCAACGCCGAATGCCCTAGCAAATACTGGTCAGCCGTGAACAGGGACAGAACACCAAGAGACCTTTTTTACACCCTTCGAGAACCCGCTTCTGAGCCGCCGAAGTATGTGTCCCGGTCGAGTGACATGGCGGAACTGGCCCGCAATTACCACGATAGCCTCCAACTAGAAGGGGCAGAGGAAGCCGAGAACGAGGCCCGAGCCACCCTAATTGAGGAATCGCTAAACAATATACAAGTGAGCCTGTCCATAGACGACGCCGGTGACCTCACCCTTGGATTCACGAGAGACGAGATCCGGGACTCTATCAAGAAGGCCGGTCCCGGGAAAGCATCTGGCCTGGATGGCCTCCCTTATGAACTGTGGCTGGTGCTCGATGACAGGTGGGAAAGCAGCTCCTCAAAAGCAGAGCACCGTTTCGACTGCCTTGATTTCATGAGCGTGTTGTACGATGATATAAACCGATATGGAATAAGCGAGTCTACTGGCTTCGCGGACGGATGGATGTGTCCTCTGTATAAGAAGAAAGATAAGCGAGACATTGCGAACTATAGGCCGATCACGTTGCTCAACTCTGATTACAAAGTGTACACAAGGATACATGCCACACGTCTTGGCAGGGTGGTGGGCAACATAGTTCACCCGGACCAAGCTGGTTTCATTAAAGACCGTCAGATATCCGACCAGACTCAAATGTGTCGAGTCATGGTTGATTACGCTGAGGCAATGGAGGAAAACGGGGCGATCGTGGCACTCGACCAAGAGAAGGCCTATGACAAGATCAGACACGACTACCTATGGAAAGTATTGGAACGTTTCGGCTTACCCAAGAAGCTGATTGACCGCCTCCGCAGTCTGTATGAGCATGCCAAGACGGTGGTGATCCTGAACGGAGTCACCAGCTCTACTTTCCGTATTATAAGGGGAGTTAGACAAGGCGACCCCTTATCTTGCTTATTGTTCGACCTGGCTATCGAGCCTCTGGCTTGTGCCCTCAGACGGTCGAACATAAGAGGCTTTAACATACCCGGCGCTGTGGAAAAACTGGTCGCGACACTGTTTGCAGATGATACATCCGCCTTTCTGAGCGAAAACGACAGCTGGAAGTCGCTCTGGCTTACCTTAGACAATTGGTGTGTGGCCTCGGGGGCCCGCTTCAATGGTGGCAAAACGGAGGTCATCCCCGTAGGGACAGCTGTGTATAGACAGAGTGTTTTGACCTCGAGATGCATCGACCCCAAGCGCCCTGAGGAGATGATTCCAGCCGGAGCATCAGGATTTCGTGCAATTCCTCTGAGGGGCCCTGTCAGGGGCTTCATAAGCGCTCAGAATGCTTCAGATTGCATCAGAACGGTTCATATGGCCAGCCCTCAAGGTCCTGACTTTTTGCAAATTGTCGTTGTCAGATAGAATTCTCAGATATGTTCAGAAGGTCTCAGAGTGGTCCAGACACCTTCAGACACTGCCTCAGCCTCTCAGTCACATCAATCATCATAACACTAAAAACATATTTTTCCCGTACTGCATACAACTCGACAGGTATGTTGATCAAACCGTCAACAACGACGTTACAGTAGAGCCAGGGTGTATGCAAAGGGTGTACAGACCGACGCGTGTACGTCGAGAGCTCACACTTGCCGCTACTAGCTGGGCCCACCATGCTCGTCATCCATCGTGTTCGCAATCGTGTGCAGGGGCTCATCCGTCGGGAGTATGCTATGAAGTCCATTTGTCAACATGTTGTTTCTCGGGCTGGATGTGGCATGCTCACGCTCGAAGAGCCTGTTGGGCTGTTGCTTGACACGTTCTTACCTGCAGCGCAGATAGCCAACCAGTGAGTGCTCGGCTGACTCTTGCTCGTTGTATGGTCCTCCGCGGCAAGCTAGGTTAGCGGGCCTAGACTTAAATCAGTGATACGGGGTGCTGTCCCTCGTCGCTTCCTTTTCTGCACATCGTTCCTCTCTGCACATCGACGTGTAATGTATTGTATGCGGTACGCTCACGGTGAGTCGTGACCATGCTTATGGCAGCGGGCGCATCAATGTGGTGTGATACTCACGGTATCGCGGCATGGGGAACGAGTTCGAGCGCAGGCGGCACTGGACGCGGTCTAGGTCCTCTTGAAGGTTCGACTCGGGCACACCCACGGGCAGGGCGGGCTCAGGCGTCTCGCGCCTAACATTGGCGGCGTAGCGCGGGGACAGCGGGCGAGCATACGGGTGGTGCCGCGTGCTGCTGGGGGGCGGCGAGCGGGCGGTGTCGTACTCCTCAGGGTCTGAGTACAACGCGGAGTGTTCGAGCGGGTAGGGTGCCAACGAGTAGCAGTAGCTTGAGCCTGGAGAGTAGACTGGCTCGGGCGAGCGCGACGGCGAGGCCGAGAGGGGCAGCGAGTGCGCTGAGCCAGAGGGATGCTGAATCAGCTGTGCAACGGCATCGCGCCAGTGGGAGGTGAGGTGGTTCCGGTAGTGCCGACGCATGTTCGAGTTGACGTTGAACCTACAGTTGCACCCCGGGTAGCTGCACACGACAACACTGAATGTCAGCATCGAGTGTCAGGTAAGGTCGCGAGACGACAAGGAGCGTACTCACCTGATTGCTCTGCCTTCTAGCCATTATATCTTCCCCCTCCTTCGTGACCATCCTCCGCCCCTGCGTTGGTGTTCTTTGCGCGTCGCTGGGACCCGTTGCGGCTGCTGGGCCATGCGATCGTGGGGCGCGCGACCGGTCGATTCGCGTGCTGGCGTGTCTTGCGGACGGGCCCGTAGGTACGTGATCGAGGTAGGTGCAAAGAGGACACGCAAAGTGAAGGGAAGAGACGGCGATGAGGGTGTTGAGGTCGAGGGTGGGCGCGTGGTGCAGTGCGGTGAGAGCGAGAGCCTGCGAGAGCAAAGTACTAGCAAGCGCGCGTCAGTAGCGTGACGTGGCTGAGGCGCTTAGCACTTCAATCGCGCCCTCGCAGCCTCCACATCGTCTCACTCAGCCGCAGCCGCCGTCGGACCACCCCGCCCACTCTACAGCTCCACGCTCAAGCTCAGCCCCGCAAGCAGCAACATATGCTAAACGTGACGGGGATGCGGGGATGCGACGGTGGCAGAGACGGAGGATTCGGTGCACGGCAGGGAAACTGCAGGTAAGTGTGAACGCCTCTCCAAGCGGGGGGTGCCCGTGCACAGGTGCGTCGACGTAGCCGTAGCGCTTGGGGTTCGCAGGGCACGTCAGCGAGCGCGGGCGTAGGAGGACGAATGCAGACATGGTCTTCGTACTCGTGGGCGACTTGAACGCGGGTGAGGCACGCTTGCCCTTCTTCACTGGGGAGAGTGTGAGACGCGAGATCCAGCCGAACGACTTGCACTCAGCGTGCACCTGCGAGCCAAGCGTGCTCGAGGACCAGCGCGAGCGCAGCCCGCGCTCTTGCTCAAATGTCGTGCCGTCATTTGTTGCTGAGTTACCCCGTCTTTGCAGGCAAACGAGTGAACCCACTCGTCATCTGGCCGCCCACCTGCTCACCAGCTTATATGCCCCTCCAAACTACCCGCCCCTCCGACCTACCATGCAATGCTTCCGCCTCCGCCGGTTGACAGCAAGAGCACGTGCAAGCGTGGTTTCGCTGCCGCTGCACTTCATGCAGACGGACGTCTTGCTGTACGGCCACGCGGACTCGGAGCACGACGCTCTCGCCGCCCTACTGTTGAGCAGGCTCTCCGCGATTGCCTACGCCTGCGCACTGAGGTCGGGCTCGCTCGACATGTGCATGACGCCCGCGGGGCAGCTCCGCTTCGACTAGCTGAGCACCCTCTTGCATATCCCATGGCCCGATCCGTTCCCGTTCGCAATCGGCGCAATGGGCGTCTTCAAATCGCCCATCCCCTTCGAGTCGCACAATCCCTCCCTCAAGCGCGTCGTCTCCGCGCGTTGTGCGCTTTCCGCTCCATGCGCGGAACATCATCCTCGACCGCTTCCTCTGCGGCACGCCCCATCACTTCGACATGGCCAAGGCAGCGCCGCGCTGGACAAGTGACACGTGTAGCTTTGGACGTACGAGCGCGGGCCGAGAGCGAGCGCGGGGAGTAGGGATAGGATAGTAGGATGTGCAAGACTACCAGGTAAGTCGCTGCCCAATCTTCTGTTCGCGCCGTTCCCTGCTCGCTCTCGTAGCGCGTCCTCGAACGCACCCGAGCTCGTACGAGACCCGCGTTTGTACCATCAAACACAGGTCACGTCGATTACAGCAAGACCACGTTGACAGCAGCCATCACCAAGGTTCTCGCTGAGCAGGGTGGTGCGCAGTTCAGGGACTATTCTGATATTGACAGGGTTTCCAAAGAAAAGGCCACCCAAGAAGATCACCTCTGGACACCGCGCTGACGACGTGTAGCCCCTCCTCGCCATCGAACACCTCATCGCCCACGCCCAACTCGCTCATCACGCCGTTCCCCGCAATGCAGTTCGCACGTCCGTCATGCCACGCGTCCGCGCGGATGCGCTCCCGGGACACGTGCCTCCTCCTCACGGCGCAAAGCGGCGAGCTGCGTGTTCTGCACGGCGCGGTCGTGCTGCTGCCGGTGCGTCGTGTTCACGCGCCTGATGCCCGTACCGACGACCTCGAGGATCTGCTTGAGCTGGTCAGTGAACACCCGCCTGCATGCTGCGCTCTGATAGGTGGATGTATATGTAGTATGATCATTACAGTAGTCTTTGAATCCATTTTATTTGTGCCAATTTGACCGAGAGGGTGTTTCTTGATGAAATGTGTGATATGTGCTGTCTGATGTACTGTGCTACTGACACTGTCTGAGACTATCTGAGGTGAAATGAGAAGATCTGACAAAATGCGATGTCTGGAGTGGCCTGAAGCTCTGAAGCTCTCTGAAGGCCGACCTTCAGAGGCACATACTGTCAGAAATTGCACACTTTCCTGATGTCAGTACGCATAGCCCAAGACGGCGAAGCGGTCCGTGTCCTGGGAGCCTGGATAGGAAACAGGGTCGAGCAAGTAGCGATCTGGGCCCCCGCACTTGCAAAAGTCGATAGCTTCCTGGAACGATGGAAGAAGTGTCGGCCTTCGCTCACCGGTAAGCGGCACATTGTCCAAATGGGCCCTGGCGGAATAACACAGTACCTGACTGTCGTACAGGGCATGCCCGACCATGTTGAGGACGCTCTGACAGCGACTATTAGATCTTTCATATGGGATGGAGCGAAGACTGCACCGGTAGCCATGGACACCTTGACGCGATCTATTGATGACGGAGGAATCGGTCTACTAGATATAAAGTCGAGAAATGAAGCGATTGAGCTGATGTGGGTCAAGAGATACCTTACCCTGTCGAACGATAGGCCGCGGTGGGCTTTTGCCGTAGATGTGATGTTGAACATGGCGGTGTCAGCAGACGCAGGCGCGATTCGGCGACCTGCCCAGATAAACACCTTCTTACAGAGCTGGTCCCCCACAATCCACGCGGCCTCACCACTCCCGTTCTACCTCAAACGAATGATGAAGACCGCCAAGAAACACAACGTGAGTTTTGCGGCGATCAAGCTAGGACCGGCCTTGAAGCAAGCTCTCCCGATCTGGTACCACCTCGGCGCAAAGAAGCGTCTGAGAATGCTGAACAACACGAAAATCAGTGACTGCCTGAGGGATAAACACGGGGTGTCACGGGTAGCTGACCTGTTGCGGCTGTCCGCAAGACCGTGCTACCGTGGAGCGCTGCTGATGTCGAATGACTTCGTCCCACCCTCTTGTGACTGTGCCGACTGCATGGCGGATACAATGAAAGGTTGTAAGCACCCGCTTGGATGCTGCCGAGCCGCGGCGAACCTCATGAGACAGGTCAAACCAAAATGGAACCCAGGCTTCGAGCCGACTCCAGACGGACTGACGCTCACACAAAAGCGCCAGGACAAGAATGCGGAGGCTCTTGAAGGGGAGGGCGACGTGATCTTCGATCCGTCGCTAACGAGCGGCGACCTACTGATGGAGGCCTTCCGAGTTTTTGTGGACCCAAAAGTTCATGACGAACCTCCGGCTATGAGAGCTCGATCTGGACGAATTGTGTCAGAAGAAGCCGGAACAGTCTACATTGAAGGCCCAGTGAACCGGAAGCGCCTCCCGCCCGGATCCAGGCCCATGCCTAGTAACATGGGCTTCGTCCATTTCCCTGCGACACCGGAACACAGCATGCTGGTAATACCCGCAACGGGTCAGAAGGACGTCCTGTGCCAACAAGGGGAGGTAATAGCGGCGCTTAAGGCGGTGGAAGTCATCCCTAGGGACGTCCCTCTCAGACTGCTCTTCTCCTCAATGTCCTTGCCGCGTCTCCTCACAATGAAGCTCCCGGAATGGGAAGATAAGGGCTGGATTGGTGTCCAAGGCAGCCTGCTCTTGAAGGCCCTAGTGAACCAACTCCGACAAAGATGCGCCCCGACCTCGATGGGCAAAGTATCCTGCAGGAAGGAATACGAGGAGAGGAACAACGCCACAGACATGGCAATCCAACACTACAACGCTGACCGAGCAACAATAGCTGAGCCCAAGGTCGACAGAGCTTTCGATCTATCGGGTGCGAAGCTGACGACACTCACACAGGCAATAGCGCATAGGGGGATACGCGAAAAGAAGAACCTGTCAGATCGCCCAAAAACACATGAGCAGGTTAAAGCAGTACTAGATCGCGTGAACAGCCACGGCGATGCGGATACCCCGACGCCGATCTTATGGAGAAGCATTCGCCACAAGGACATCCACCGTAGAATAGTGGACTTCCTCTGGAAAGGGATGCACAGGGCACTTAAGATTGGACCCTTCTGGGCACATATCCCCGGATATGAAACGCGAGCCGACTGCCCTCGATGTGGCGTGAGGGAATCTCTAGCCCACATCCTGACGGAGTGTCAAGCTCCAGGACAGGACCTAGTGTGGGCCATGACGGGCAGCCTATGGTATAGAAAGACGAAGACCTGGAGTAAGCCCACCTTAGAAGACATCCTTGCGGTTGGCCTCGGCACATACGCCAAGCCAACGACAGCGAAGCGACGAGAATCGATACGCCGCCTCTGGCGCATAGTGATCTCGGAGGCGGCCTACCTCATCTGGAAACTAAGGTGCGAACGGGTGATCGAACACACCGATGAGGGAGACTGGGAACACTCACGAATAGAGATCTCCAGACGGTGGCATATGGCACTGAACCGTCGACTGCAAATGGACCTGATCGCGACAAGGAAGAGTTTCGGCCTTCTGGCGCACTCTCATCTCCTGGTATTAGCGACGTGGTCTGGTGTCATTGGAGATGAACAAGGTCTCCAGCTCGACTGGACGAGAGTCCCAAGGTTTTTAGTGGGTATTGACCCGATCTTCTGCGCCGTTGCAGTCGATCCTGGGTAACTGAGTCCCACACTGGCGCTTAAGCCGTGCGTAAATGCATTTTTTCCTGGAAGCAACGATGGGCGCGACCCATCCGCTGGCAGAGTTGAAAGGAGCTGACCCATTGTCAGTCGCCGCAACTTGTATATTGCCATCCAAAAAAAAAAAAAAAAAAAAAAATAGTGGCGCGTCCGTTTGACGCGCAGTGACCTGTCTTTGTTAACGCCATCACTCTTCACTAGCGCTCACCACGTTCTACATGATACGTACTGCAGTAACAAACCGGGCCACACCAAAGCTCTCATCGCAGGAAGGTCGATATACCAGAGCTACTGCCGTCCTCGCGTACAATATACGTCGACCAGAAGCGCGTGCCAATTTTTATTGCCAGCGCTACGCGAGGTAAGTTCAAGTTCTTGGGTGCGCCACAAATTTGAAGAAATTGTCTTCTGATACATGATGGACTTGAGAGACATGCAGTAGTCTCCGATGCCACCGTTGACTGCCCACCTCCATCGTCCTCAGGCACATCTTTGGCAGGTTGACGGTGTCTGACTCGGCGGAGGAGGATCAGAGCCCTCGCGGTTTCACAGTGAGTTCCTACTCAACACCTCGCAGCACTATTGTTTCCTGTGTGATCCGTTGACGAGGGCCTTCAATTTGTATGTACAGATACGCCTGTATTATCTTTGCCGGCGCCGGTAGGTCCGCCAGCAGGTCATGGGCTCCTCATGCACGACTGACATACTACGTGGTGACCAATCATGTTTGATTTGACGCTGACGAGCCACACAGACGGCCGACTTCATTGAAACCTTCCTTACGCCGTAGGCCTTCATATCCTTGGATACTATCTTCAATTTGCTCAAGCTAGCATTCTGTGTCAACAGCCTATCGACCGGTTTCGTTTCTCGTGTCATACTAAACCTCCGCGTCTGCGCTGCGGTCTCTGTCGTGAGCCTCCACTCGCAGGGTCACCTCGAAAGCGTCAAACTCAATGAACCTGCTTAGCAAACGATGACATCCTCTCCTATGTCTTTCGACATCGTTGTGTACGCTGCCATACCAGGCCATACTGACCGAGGACACGCAGGTCTTTCCACGATACACTCCGAGGATGGCTTGACAGTAGGAAATACCCACGTGTGGGACGAAATAAGTGCTCTCTGTCATGATTCGGAGTTGAAGTTCACGGAGAGTGTCGAATGGAATTCACGGGTGGCATAGGTGGCATACTAGTATCTACTAAGTAGCCTGACAATAGTGTGCGTTTCCCCGTTTCCCGGGTCACAAGTCGCAACTGATCGTGACCAGCCATGATCACTCCGAGTGTACTTGCGCCTATTAGTCAGTGTATCAATCATCTTATGATTTCGGCGGACCAGTACTGAGTACTGAGTACTGAGCGCTCAGCACTTAGCGTACATGCGGACAGTGCTAGTGAGCGCTTAAGCTTTGAAGGACTATTGTAGCGCGTCACGTGCCGCTACGAAATGCAGATTCACGATCTCGACGACTCGGCGAGCGACCTGTTACAACCTGTTACAACCTACCTTCGTAGTCTTGCTGTCTCCGCCCCTGGGCCTCTATTCTCCGCAAAGTTTGCGATAAAGGAGGTAATGTATGGTTCAACAAACGTGTCGGATTTGAAATTGATTGTCGTTCATCGATACGCTAGAGACCTTGTACGTCGAGTCATCCGCCGAGGGTGGATGCGACTGTACTCTCTCCCACTCAAAGCATCTCGATTCTGTACTATAGCCAATCTTCTCGTTTGCAAAAACCACACAGCAATGGCAAACGCGACTCCCAACAAGACGGCGCATCCGTTCGAACGCTCGCGGCTGGAGTCTTTGCTCTTCGGACGGTTTTTCTACGCTCCCGCGTTTGACATCTATGGAGGTGAGTTCATGCGTTCATGTCCGTCGAAGGCGGGTTCCTGGGTGTAGATATCGGCCGGGATGAGGAATGGAGGCGTGGGGTCCTAGTTGAGGTGCGGGATGTAAGGAGCGAGTTACATCGTGTCATCTATCTTGTTTCGACGCGATCGCCATGCTGCACCAGCGCATAGCCTATGCTCAACTGCTTATTGGCAGGTGTGAAGGGTCTCTATGACTTCGGCCCGCCGGGCTCGAGTTTGCAGAGCAACATCATTGCCGAATGGCGGAAGCACTTCATCGTGCAAGAACACATGCTCGAGCTGGACACGGCTATCATCACACCTGCGCCAGTGTTTGAGACTTCGGGCCACGTCGCACGATTCGCAGACTGGATGGTCAAGGATGTTGAGACAGGTGAAGTCCTTCGGGCGGACCATCTTGTCAAGAACGTTCTGCAAGATCGACTAGACAGGGATCGCCTGGCAAGAGATCCTGCGTTCCAGCCCAAAAAAGAAGACGACAAAAAGAAGAAGAAGGCGGAAAAGGACAAGCCAAAGGCCGAGCCTGTTAAACTACCCGATGAGGTCGTCGCCGAGTACGAAAACATCCTTGCCAAGGTAGGTTTACACAGCGCCTGAGTAAGATACGATGACTCACTGTGTTGACAAGCTGGACAACTACGGCGGCCCCGAGTTGGGCGAGCTCTGCCAAAAGCATAAGATCACTAACCCGGACACAGATAACAAGGTGACAGAGCCGAAGATGTTCAATTTGATGTTCAAGACCAGCATTGGCCCCGCGGGGGATGTATCGGGGTATGCTCCACAATTCGAGGCGCACTCGCTTGCTAAACAACGCTCCATAGCTACCTCCGACCCGAAACGGCACAGGGTCATTTCCTGAATTTCAATCGGCTGCTCGCATTCAACAACGGCACTGTCCCGTTCGCCTCAGCGCAGATCGGGCGCTCGTTCCGCAATGAAATTTCCCCGCGCGCTGGGCTTCTGCGCGTGCGCGAGTTCACGATGGCGGAGATCGAGCACTTCGTCGACCCGGAGGACAAGAGCCACGCGACATTCCACGAGGTACGGGATGTCGAACTAGACCTGCTTGATCGACACGTCCAGGAGTCCGGCAGCACGAAGGTGGCGAGGCTGAGCGTCGGCGCGGCAGTGGACCAGGGCATTATCGCCAACGAGACGCTGGGTTACTTCCTCGCCCGCATCTACCTATTCCTGACCAAGATCGGGATCAACCCCAAGCGGCTCCGCTTCCGCCAGCACATGGCGAATGAAATGGCGCACTACGCGACAGACTGCTGGGACGCGGAGATAGAGAACTCGTACGGCTGGACGGAATGCGTCGGGTGCGCCGATCGCGCGGCGTACGACCTGACAGTGCACTCCGAGAAGACCGGACACCCGCTCACTGTCAAGCAGCAGCTGGCAGAGCCCATTGTAACGGAGCGCGAGGTCGCAGTGCCCAACAAGCGTCTGTTCGGAAAGACATTGGGGAGGAGCACGCCGGTTGTAACGGGGCTGCTTGACGCCATGGACGATGCGCAGCTGCTCAAGCTCAAGGGGGAACTGGCGCAAGGGTGAGACGTGCTAGTTGGGCTTACCGCGTGCGGATGACTCACACGGGAAGTGCTATAGGGCGGCCACGATCGTGTCCAATGACGGGCAGGAGTTCAAGCTCACGCCCGATCTTCTCACCATTGAACGCAGGACATTCAGACAGACGAGTACGTGAAGGCATCACCGCATGGACCATCATCTGACCGCGCATATTCAGCGCGCGAGTTTACACCGAACGTCATTGAACCTTCGTTCGGTCTAGGACGCATTCTATATTGCCTGTTAGAACACAGCTTCTGGAGTCGAGAACAGGACATGGACCGTGGGGTGCGCGCTGCTACGGTTTCCCGTGGGGTCGTGCGTCACTGACAAGCATTCAATACTTGCTGTTTCCTCCGCCGCGCCGGCCTATGCCATTCAGGTTCTGTCGCTTCCTGCTCTAGTGGCTCCCACCAAGGTTTTGATCGTACCACTGAGCACCAAGAAGGAGCTGTCTCCGCTCGTTGCGGAAATAAGTGAGTACCAGCTTACAGTCATCTGCCCGCTGCATCACACGACGCAGTATGGCCTGACTCGACACACTCCCACTAATCCCATTCTGCAGCTGCAAAACTGCGCAAGGCCGGCGTGTTCTCTCGTGTGGACGACTCGAGCCAGTCAATTGGGAAGCGTTATGCGCGAAACGATATGCTGGGCACGCCGTTCGGTATAACGGTCGACTTTGCTTGTACGTGATTCGCACTGTGTTTCCTCGGACGTCATGCATAGCCTGATCGCTATCTTACACGTATTCGAACAGCCGTGCAAAACCGAACTGTGACGCTGCGGTAAGTCGCCGCTGTTTCGCTGAATTGCTTCAGCTTCACGCGAAGCTGGAGAGGGCACCTTCGTGTCGTGCGCGTGGCACAGGGGACGTGCCCTCTTCGCGAGGATGGCGCTGCGATAATGATGCTGACTGGCGTGCTCTGCAGGGAGCGTGACACGACGGTACAGCTCATCGGGCCTGTCGACGACGTGATCGCGACGGTGACTGAACTCGTGGACGACACTATCGACTGGACGGAAGCGTGCAAGCGCCTCTCCATCTACGACGGCGTGCAGGCGGTAGAGTAACGTACTTAATTGCGCAGACTTCACGTGAGTAGTCATAGCGCTCTGGTCTCGGCTGATAGCTCACAGCTGCAGATGCAGAGGAGCGAATGGGATAGCAGCGAAGACCATCTCCGTGTACTCACTCGAAAGAAATAGAGTTATAACCACTCGTTGAGACTAACTCGAGTGCGATAGGGAGGATCCCTCTGCGACGAGCATGCGGGGCCCCGAGCCTGAGTGAAGGCAAGTCAGCGAAGGTTTAGTGCAGCGAGGTGTTGCGGAAATTGCCGAGGCCCGAAGGGCGTCGACTCGCGCGGGGTGGACAAGAAAGTCAATGCGGGCCCGGACGACGGGGCGGGGCACACGTTTCAGGCCACGGATATGATTGTGATGGTGCATAGACATGTGCGACAGTCATGACGACGGGGCCGCATCGTGTGCGGATATTCGCGTTTATCCGCTAGCCCGTGGCGGCCGTGCCAAGGGCCGCAGGCATCAGAGACTGGGTTATGAGGGCGGCCGAATTGACGTGCGGAATTGTTGCGTTGCGGAATTAACTGACGGAGGCACGAGTGCAGGGAGGCCGCCGTGAATGTCGCCGAAAACATGAAGATGAAGTAAACCTCTGGTGGCGTGTCCGACGCACGCTGGGAGAATCCGCAGAAGACATTGTTTCGACCGGCGGTGACGCGGTGGCGAGCCTGTTGGAAGACCGCAGTACGGCACGACGTGCGTTCATCCCGCGTTCATCCTGCGTTCATACGGGACCCATAGCGCGGACCAGCGCACAGCATCCGACAGCGTTCGCATCCCAAGTGCGAGGATTTGACCATGGATGACATGCCGGCGGGCGGGGCAGTCAGCAGACGCGCGCGGGCGATGGCACTCGCCGGGGTGAGGTAAGCGGCCGTGAGAGGGCAGCTCGACAACATGGGAAGGGGCGAACCCAGTGCGACGGGCGTGTATGGCAGAGTCGCTCGTGGCTGGCGCGGTCTGCACGGACTGAATCGCTGCCAGGCGCGCCGAGCTGCCGCCACCGGGCGCGGGTGCGGGTGCATTGGTAGCGGCTCGGAGGTGTTACCGATAAACGCAGCTTGGGCGGGGCGGAGGGGCTCGCGTGCGCCCGAAATGGGTCGGCGCGCTACGGTACGCCTCGCGGCGTCGAACGTCGTCATAGCTCGTATCGGGCCTCCTTGCCTCGCCCAGGAACGGCTAGGCGCGAATCAATTACCGGCGTGCGATGACGCGCAGGGCTTCCCATAGCAAGGAACGCGGAGGCAGGGCATGCGGCGAAGCATGCGACGGGCGTGCGCGAGGGACAGTTCGCGGTCGGGCACGCGGGGAAAACGAAGTGCGCACGAAAGGGGCGATCGCGAGGGAAGTCAGAACTGCGCAAATTGGAGAGAGAAGTCGCGTTCTAATGTCTTCTCGTCGGATTAACTCGACGATGCGGGAAGCGCGAAGTCCGGCACGCTCTGTATGGCGAGATCCCCTTCTGCAAGCGGGTCAGATGCCTGGCTGCGCCCATCTGCGCACCGATAGCGATCCACGAGATAGATGTTGTCAAAGGGCTACCTCCGCTGCTGATATTGAGCAAATCGACACTGTCGCAGCTGACTTGTATTGTATAGGATTGAATGCGGTTCGCGAAGACAATCGTGGACTTGGCCTGGGCTTGGGCCAAGGACGAGGGTGTGAACGTCTTCGGTGAATTGGAGTGGATAGGATTGGTGGCGCGGTACGCTTCGCGTCTGGGCATGTACAATGAAACGAAGAAGGTGAGTGCGTTGCTACTGCTGTCGAGGCATTCTCCCAGGTAACGCAAGATTAACGTACAGAGAGACAGATAACGAGCTTTGAAGTAATGATGCGAGCGAGCACGACGAGGCGGGGGTGTTCGAGAGTGCTGACCTATCAAGCATGTATAGACACAGAGGCTTCCAGCGCTGCCAGCGAACATATGGAAATTGGTCGTAGGGTTTTGAGCGGTCTTCGGGACTGGGGACAAATCCGCTGGTCGGAGCGCGAACATTGGAAGGGTATTATATGCGAAGGGTGAGATTTCATACATCTGCAAGGTTGCCAAACACTAAACGACCATACAGAATGGTCTAGCCACCATGACTACTGTATGTAACGGGCAAGACGAGGCAGCCGCAGTCGCGTTGAATGGGCCGAACCAGCGAGAGCAAGCAGGGGGGACGCAGTGCATGCGGTACTGGCGTTTGACTACTAGATTTGGTAGCGTCGAGAGCGAGCCAGACCTAGGTTCTTGGCTGAGATCGACAGGCAGACCGCGCGGAACATCTACATACAACACCGAAGATTTAAAGTTACAACTTGAAAGGCCCAACGCCCTCCATCTCTGTACCTATCTTCGACGAGGGGCCTTGCAATATGTAATTACTTGAAACCATACTTTACCTGTCGACACGTTTTGGAGATGGGCCTAGCAATATGGAGTCAGCTGTCACGTTCAAAACATGTGCTGTAGAAGACCATGTAGTGTAATACCTGGAGACGGAATATGAAGACAGGTCAATGGACAATGAGTAGGCGGCCCGATATAGTAATGTTCGCGACGCGACCAACGAGCAGTGAGCACGAAACAAATCCACGTGCCCGAAGCGCGCCTGAGGCTCGCGTCGCGGCAGAGCTTCTCTCACTGCAGCACTTACTATCGATTTGAAACAATGTTGCTTCTGTAGATTAATGCTACTTGACAGGCTTCGTACTTCTCATACGAACCCGAGCAAGCGTAGTGTCCGTTGCGGGCCGTAAAAGACGATAAGCGCATTGGGAAACCGAGTAGCGAAGGTAAAATCACGAAAGTGGCTGAGATGCAGGACCCCGGGGACCCAAGTGGCTGGAAGCAATTGAGACGTCAATGCTGGCCTTGGGCCTGCGTTCGACACCCCTCGAACGACAGGGTCGAGGCGAGGAGGGGTGTGGGCGGAGCGCGCTGGGTCGTCTGACAACGAGACGCTAGGAGGGTGGGATCGCGAGATGCGAGCGGGGTTGCCGTAGGCGGACGTGGATATTTGGAGGAGACCGGATTGGGTATGGCAGGGCACGGTGCGGCATGTTGCGGTGCGCGAGGCTGGTCGCGGAAGGCAGTCAGGTGAAAGGCCATAACGAGAATGCGACGTCGCGACTGAATTGCGAGCTCTAGATTCGTTGCATCATGGATTGCTGTCCGAGTACGCAGGAGAAATTCTCGCGACGCCGCGAGGCAAGGCTATCGCGGACGTGGGGATCAGGCCGGGCTGCGGGTGCGCGGTCATGGAAGAGCTCGAGCCGAGACGAGACGAGGTGGGCTCGGTAGGAATTGGCGGAAAAGGGAGCAGTAGAGGTGCGGATTCGAATGGGAGGGCGATGGCTGGTAGACGGACTCGAGGCGTAGAGACGCGCGCCAGAACAAAGTCGCACAGTGCGACTCGTGGTGCTGTCTTATCTTGTGCGAGTCCGGCGAGCCGAAGACGCTCGACTGTGATGATTTCAATCTACACGCTTGAGAAGATTTGAGGCGTGGCCGGGTGATGGCTGAGATTCCCGATTAGACTTCCCAATTTTAAACGAATACGCGGTTGAATGCCGACATCCTCGCTCGAACCTGGGGCCCAGGCCCTCCCGCCTATATAACCACACGTCCTCCCCGTCGTCTCTCCTCTCCATCCCGCTGTCGCCCCAGCATCGCCCTAGCCGTCCTGCCCGACATTCACTTGTCGTTGTCGCACTTCTCCGACTCCCAACGCTGCTGTCTGCCAGCCCGAGCCCGCCACCACCCCAAACGCGCCCGGAAATTCCCATAACCGACTTATCATGTCGAAAATGCAGAAATCCTCCTCCTCCTCCTCCTCCTCGTCCTCGAGCTCCTCAACACCACCACAGCTCGTCGCACTACCATCACTATCCTGCCAGCTCTCGTCCTTGCCCCAGGCCAGGAGCATGGACCACCTATCGCTGCACCACAACTCCATGTCATCCCAACGAGCCGCGGAGAGTGAGGCGAAGGTGCGTAACAACGTTTACCATGCCAGCACCCATGCTGATCCCCCGCACCTGCAGCTCGTCAAAGTCCTCTCTAAGACGTCTGGATCGCATCCGGTCCCGTTCTCGCAGGGATATTCAGCCTCGCCGTCAATGGTGAGTCCTGTGCCCCGCGCGAGCGCCTGCTGTCCTGACACCCCCTCCAGGCGCACGGCTCCTACTCACCAAACAACAACTCGCCTCCGCTGATGATGCGAAAACCTGTGAGTCGCGCGCCGTCGGCCCGCCTGATACCACCCGCTGACCCCGCCGCCCTACCCCAGGTCAAAAAAATCTCCGCGTGAGGTCCGCCGTCGGCTACACCGAAACCACGCTCTATAGACGTTCCCGACTGTGTCGCTCGCGCTGTCGCGCTCTTTCGCTCGTCCATCTCTCTCCGTCTCGCCTCTCGCATGGGACTTTGCAGCACCTACGTATTTGTAGCTGTGCGCCGACGCTTCGTCACGACTCGACCAAAAGCTCTCGCTCGTACATCTGATCCTCGCTCTCCGCCACTAGACGTCCGCGATCCCCTCGTGCCTACTGTTACCGCTACCATTATATCCTCTCGCACCGCATGATATCCGCGCATCCTTTCTTGCAACATCTCGCATCCTCCTCTACCGCACATCCTCGCACATCCTGGGGCTTTTGGGGTCCAGTCATTATCAGTCGCATCTTGTGTCTCTATACAGCTACTGTGGAATATATTAGTCGGCCTGCTGTACCTCTGCATACTGGTACAAATACACAGGGCACACATTCACGTCGTGATACTGAGGGGCCGTCGGACTCAATGCTGTGATGATGAATTGAATAATTCAGGAATAGGTTGTATCTTGTCAGTCGTTGTTTCAGTAGCTTTGGTGAGTTGTTTTTGTGTCGACTGATCATCGCCACGACCGGCCAATTATGCTCTTTGACAGCCCCACTGTTGTTGATGATGTATTGTTTTGTGCTCTTTGATCAGTTCTATTGTACGATCATGACAATGCGTTCTATTGCTATAGCTCATCACACGTATTGAACAGCACACAAGCACGGGCCGCTGTCTGCTATCTCCATACCTCCCATGACCGTCCCTAGACTCGCGTCCTCCATGCTAGAACGCGCTTGGGCTCTTCCGCAACAATATCGCCAGCAACAACGATGCTCTAGACTGCGGAAGCCTACGCATCGCCACTCCGACCCGAATCCCCTTCATTGCGCAGCCCTTCACAGCGTGGCCTCGCCTTCGCTTCATTTCGGGTGTACAAACGGCGAAAGGAGGTCGGTTTCGGGCCATACACGTGCACGCGACATGAGCTAATCATCCAGGTAGTATGCAAGATGTCTCGCCCCTGAAGTCTTGAAGTCTGCAGTCCTTGTTGCGCTGTCCATCTGACCGCGTTCTAGGACCTCCAACCACGCCTATATCCGTCGCCGCCCTCTCATGCGACACGGACGAACAAGAATGCTATCGACGATCGCCCGCGTTTTCACCTGGGGCACCGGGAGAGCGACCGAGAAAGGAAAGTTTACTGGGTACGAGCCGCTCATGGGACCTCGATAGCATCCATCCGAACCACCTATTCTGCACACCCTGCCTCTGGATTGACTAGTACCGGCCGTGCTGACTCGCCCGCCTCCCAGCTGTGCGTGTTCGCGACTCGGCTCTCGGAAAAGGACGAGAGATAACCTCAGACGGTGCGGGACGGTGCGCGCCCATATTGATGTGGGCCTCGGGCTCCGGAGATGTGCGCGGCGCTTCGTGCTCCGGCCAACGTTCGCGTACTGCCTCTGTCGCCCAGGAAAGCTTGCAGAAGCCAACGGGACGACTCAGATTGTCCAGAGGAAGGCACCGAGGCGCCCTGGAGGATCGAACAAGCGCGCAAGTTTCCCGGACGCTGGTTCTCGGATACCAACTGCTCTCCGCGTAATCGCGCCTGGGGTCTCGAACTGGCATGCTATCACGACATTGCAAGGGCCTCAGACAAGGCATGGCGCAAATACGCTCTGGGTGGCGCAACGCTAGCCATGGTCGTTGAAGTAACGTACAGGCAGCTCGGGATTTGACCTCTCCGGATCGCGCAGCGACGCGCTCCGGAGGACCCTGAAGTCAGTGAGCGACTTGTGCGGCGGCTTCCCAATGTCCAGGGCTCCTACCGCGTTCGCGGGATTATCCCACTGGCAACGTCGGAGCGCACTGGCATATTTCACGAAGACCCGGCGGGAGCTTGCCCGATCGCTGTACCCTAGCGGTCTGCCGTACAATCCGTAACGGTCGTCTGTCTCTGCGACGCACAATGTCCGCGGTCGGACGTATTGCTCGCAGCTCATCGCTTCTGCATCATGCATGTTCAGGGTCTGCACGTGTAGTATGTCACTGCAACATCGCGAAGGCCGGCGAGTGGTCCATACCATGTATTTGTCTTAGTCTATCACGCCTCGGTGACTCTAGTGCGGTGCTCGCGTCAGCTACTGGGTAGCACAGTGCGACAGTGGATTCGTGTTCCGGTACGCCCGCCTATCTTTCCTATCATTCGCAATCGGGCATTCGTTCATCTGGGGCGATGCCCTACTGTCGATGATTTTACGTCGTATTCTCGGTCTCCTGTAGGCTAGCGCGTATGATAGGTGCATACCGAGGCGCGATTAGTGTGCGCCCTGACCGCTACTCATCATCCCTCCGTGATGCCGAATATTAATCAAAGCAAACACGCAGTACCCAGGTGTTGAAGGTGACATCGACAATGACCGCAGACGACCCGGGTGCACTCGGACTGCTCCTCTTGCATTCGGCTCGTCATGTCGCGCCACGGTCCGTCGGCATACGCCATCCCGTAGTATCAGCTGCAGATCGTTGCACATTCCGTTGGGATTGATAGAGAAGAGCTCTATCTGCACCTTCCGAGGTTTCCTCCGAGATGGAGGCTTCTTTGCCATGTCTATTACCTTGTGCACCTGACTTATACGGCTGAATAGACACCACAAATCTCGCACCGATCCCACCCTTCCCGTTCCCTCCATGTCCCGTTATTAGATTGGACGATCATCGGAACGCGGACCAGCGCGGTCGCGTCCTCAGCTAGACCAGTGGGCTGCAGCGTGCAGGCACCGAGTTTCCGGGGTGCCAGAAAGATTGCAGCACCCTTGCTGCATTGCAGCGGTTCGAGGCAATGTAGCAGCGCGTTATGCCCATTGAAGTAGAGTTCGAACAGTCATTGATAGTTCAAGCCGCAAAATCGGTATGCCGGGGACCCTTCAAGTGCCCGCGGGGACGCGAGGATGATCAGACACCATATACCGCGGATGATGGATAGTAAGGATACCACTTCGATACTCAACGCCGGGCGCTCCCCCATAGACCCAATGGCAATGATAACAACCAGCCTGATCCCTGGTACGTCAAGTCCCAGTCGGCTACGTTATCTCGTCCGTCGGTTACAACGGTCGAAGGTCGGTCGAAGGGCTCCGGAGCGCAGTCGTCCGTGTCGCGAGGCACACTGGGAGCGCACGCGCGACTGCCTCCGGGCCTTCTGGACAGGCTCCCTCCAGTTTCTCCACCGATCAAAGCAGTACACAAACGACGCACCGGTACGTCGACCCAACTCTAAACCCTCGGGAAGCCTTCCCATCGCCCGTCAGTTCGTGATTCGTCCCAACCCACGCACGCCCTCGGTGCCTGTACGCAACCGGGCCCGCCAGTTCCTCCCGGTGCACACGTTGTACTCCTCCTGCGACATTGTGCATGACGTGCCGCGATCGTGTCCGGGTGTCGCGTTCCGGGATGACTGGTACGTTAACCATCGTCGCTGGGTTCAGAGACCCCGCGCGGCGTCCCGCTGGGCCTGCTACCAGCCTGCCACCAATCGCCTTTCGCAACCGTGTACTCACATTGTTCCGGCGGGCCGCTGCACATTGACAACTGCGTTGGTACGCGAGTGGTCATAGACCGAGGGCGATCTTCGGTCGCCAGGATGGGCCTGTGATAAGCTATTAGAGCCGCAGGTCCGTGATCAGAACGGGACAATGTTGCATTCGAGGCTTCCGGATTCTCCCTTGCAGCGTCACTGCTGACTTGCTGTTCAACCTTCACTGAGAGAGTTTGCGGAGCCCTGTCCGCGGGCGCATTGAGCTACGAAAGGTGCCTTTGGGGGTGATGACCGCGTGCCCATTAAATTGGACCTGACATGTAACATCGCACAGTTGAACACATTGCAGCGGTGCAGATCGAGTAGCATATGCTACGAGATGAGTCTCAGACGGTCCTCCCGTCTCGGGTCGCAAGGGGATTGAGTTGTTCCCAGATCAGACATACCGGACCTCATCCCCCTATCTCGCTTGGCCCCGGGAAGTAAATGTTCATCGCGCTTGACGCATCTCCGGGTCGGACAGATCTCGAGAAAATTATGAACGGTGTTGGTAGGCCACTATCTCCGTGTATGGCTAGTCTCGGCGACCCTCTCTCTCTCTGTTTCGCACAGTACATAAGATTGATGAAAACACGAGAAGCTCGCACCTCACCTACGCGCCTGACACGCTGCACTTGCTACAGACAGCGGTGGGTCCTGTCTGACTTTAATGCAAAGGTACGTCCGAGTTTGACCCGCGCACCGCTCCCAGGGGGCCGTTCTGGATGTTTCTCGCATACAGAGCATAACAGAGCATGGTATTTCCAGAGAGCCACGGTCCGCGACATATAGCAAGAACATTCCTCAGAGACGGGGCGGAGGTAGCGTGTTACCCTAAATTACAGACAGACGATCCTTTTCCGGCAGGCGTTCCAGAGGGCGTACGGCATTTGGCAACGCCAGCAATCTTCACAACTTCTTGCCCGAAGCCTCTTTCTTGCTGACGCGCTCTGCAACGTGCAGCGCAGAGGTGATGTCCTTGGCGAACTGCCAGATGATGATAGTAGGCAGGAGAAGCCAAAATCTGCAAGGGATTGCAAGGAGATGGCTTAGCGGAACGATCACAGTACACGGGACGGGACGCGCACCCGTTCGGAATGATCCAGAGGAAAATCAGGTCGTGTACCGTGTTGTGACCGATGGAGCAGTAGCCGCAGTAGTGCTCCTGGAGGAAGTAGAGGGCTGTCTTCGAAAGGGTCATGATGGCACTCGCGAAGCCTAGCAAGGACGCGGCAGGCGTGCCCTTGACGTGCGCCAGGTATAGGTAGGCGATGTTCATGAAGTTTTCAACGATGTTCAATAGAGCTGGCGGCAAGGTCGTACACGGTGAGTCGGAGCGCTGTGGGCGAGGCGCTCGGGGGCACTTACATTGAGCATTGGTGAAGCCATCGCCCTCCTCCAAGGCTTTCACGCCGTAGATCTGCGACAATACGTTAGGAAGGGGCCGTGCGAGTGGTAGTTGAACGCACGTGGTCAACTTTCTGGTATAGCGCATAGGGCTTCCAGATCCAGTGTAGGTCACCACCTTCCATGGACCGCGGCCTATCATCAGACACCGGTCAGTACTGATGAACTGAAGGCTAGACAAAGTAGACAACATGTTCTCTAAGATACATTAGGTGCCGAGTTCATGAAGCGGATAGAGTTCGTGCAAGTTCTCGAAGGGCATCCTGTGTAGCAACGCAAGGCATTGCTCAGTCGAGACAGCCTGGCAGCTTGAACGCCCTAGAGATCATCCGAGTGCTATTCATATCCATGCCGATAACTTTCGCGGGTAAGGTCAAGCAATTCGAGTTCCCCCTAGGCGCGCAGAAACCGGATAGCATAACCAATACTCCAGTTTCCCCAGTCCTCGATGACGCGATGTCTCACGACATGAATTGGCTCGCGAAGAGTCCAAGATTGACGAGGCATGAAGGGTTCCGTATACTACGAAACCTCGGTATGTGGTGATTCATAACAGCAATCACGGCGACCGATTGGACACTATCTCCAGATGACAAAGTGCTATACGTACCGCATGAAGCAGTATCCAGCATCCCAAAAGATGATTGGGATTGAGATCGCAAACCTATAGCCCCTTTGTGAGTTTCGTTCTTTGACGAATACCAATCTGTCACGCACCATAGCGATATGAACCAATGTGTCTTGGCCGCCATCCTACTCTTGCGCTGCGACTTGGGTGGTGACCGAGAGAAGAGGGAGATGGCGGGGAGGACGACCTGGAGGTTGCGGATATACACTCGTAGACCACCGTGAGAAGGCGCGGTATCCTCACGACCCGTCGCACGGTTTGGATCCGGCTTTCCTGCGTGTGGCGGCGTGCTTGCGCGCGACGTCGACGGGCCCGACTCCGACTCGATATTCGCGTATGCTTCCGGCGCGGGCGATGGTGTGCGTTCCTCGAGGTAGTATCCGAAGCGCAGCGTCTCGCTGTCCGGGCGCAGGCCCCGCCGCCAGGTCGCCCGTGGACGCTTCTGTGTCGCGCGTTGTCGCCGGTCTTCGTCGAAGCGGTCGGAATAGCTTGCGGAGAACATGGGGATGTACGTATTCGAGTTCGTAGACATAGTGATGTGTGAGAGCAGTCGTTGGCGGGCAGGCGTCGCGAGGATAACATGGATGAAGAGGACAAAGGGCTTGCTTGTCCCACGAGGCGTCGGGGCCACAGGCGCGTCGCGCGCGTCCGACATGCGTCCCTCTTGAACTCCAACCACCATCATGCCTTTCGGACATGGCCTGATCTCAGCTCCGTTTGTTCAAGATCATTGCTATGCCGCGCTCCTCTCCAGGATGGAAGAAATGCGGCGACCACGCAAGGATGCTCTGCAAGGTGCTCGACGCGTTTGCACCCACCATGTTCCTCTACATTGTTCAACAAGGCAAGCTATATTGGCAAAGCTAAAGTTTCACGAAAACTATCCCCACGACTCCAGGATGCTCCGTAGTCACTAGCGAAAGACGTCTTTTTATGACCATCTTCGGGCAGACTGAACACAACCTCGGTCCTCGACCAAACAGACTACGAAGGCTTACACGTGTCGAAGAGCATTAACGAAGGGCAGGATCCGGATGTGCTACTCGAGGCGACTGGTAGTGTGCGACGGACATGCTGGTACGCATTTGTGAGCACCCCGTTCTGCTCTTTCCGCACGAAAGACATGCCTTTTGCAGACCGCTCCAACCGGGTTCCCGACCGCACAGCGCCCATCATACCTGGCCTCGGATCATATGCTGCAATGCAGGTGTGCTCTTACTTGTTTGCTATCGGTCCATTCGATAGCGGACAAGTAGGGATGCTCCTGCGTGTAGGGCATATGCCTTTGTGAATGCAGCCTCGGTGCGCGTCACTCGTAGCGAGTGCTTCCCGATCGTTCAACATATCCAAGCCCACGCTGTGCGTCGGGGCTGTTCATCGGTTGTGTCCCGCATTCAAAGGTTTCCTGGAGTGCTGCCGCATTGCCTTGCCCTGAATATGCAGCTCCGGTATCCACGAACGCCGGTACGGTGAAGTTGGACATGTCATACGGCTGAAGGCCATTGCTTTGTTGCCTAGATTCCGCTTCACGAAAGATCTCGCACACATTGATACCACGATCGTAATCAAACTATGCGACGCAACGTACCTAGCCGAGCCATGGCCATCTCCCTGGCGTTTGGTGGGGCACGAGCCGCACGATTGTGGTACAGTGGCGAGACCTGCCCGAGCACGTTGCCAGATTTGTTACACGACTACGATATGTTACGAATGAATTGCGAGGCTCTTGATACCTCCCGCACCATCGGAGAACTAGGTATCTCTGCAAACACTTCTTTGACTCCTTTGTCCGAGCAGGGTCAGTCCATAGCCATGGCACACCTCCGCGATCACAGCGAAAAACTGAGACCTTACAGATGCGCATAACTGTTCCAAAGTATTGTGACAATTCTGGCCTAGTACGTGCCCATTTGCGACTTAATGCATCCCGCTAATCATTGGAGATCTTCTATAGGAAGCGCAACATCGTGCCGAGCTATCGGAAGTTGTGCGGTTTGAAGTGTGTGGCTTCTACGACCATTCGCCTGATTTTAATAACATCCTGTCTGAGACAAAGGCAGATTTCTCCTATTTTGTCGATGCTCCTCTAATGTTCGCACAAGAGTTTGTATCGCGTCCCCTCTCCGATCCGCCCGGGATTTTCCGCAGCGTTATACAGCGGACCTTCTAACGTTCGCCAGCATCAGTTATCCCGTCCCTTCCTTGAGCCTACATACCCGTCTCCCGGACATACGATTCATATCGGCCGCTCCCAGCTCCAAGTCTCCCAGACTCGACACGGCGTCGCGTCGCGTCGCCCAATGCAACCACGTGACCGCGACCAGATGAGGGATCCGATGTGCGGCGATAGACTCTGGATAGACTCTATTAGTTTCAAAGTTCGAGCACCCCGGTCCAGAGCCCAGACACCTCTTCCAGCGCAGACACCCGTCTCCTCATAAACACCATCGCAGAACAGCGACCCCCGACCTCTCTCTATCACCCTTCATCACTCAGAATACAGCCAAGATGCCGCGCCAGTTTTTCGTCGGCGGAAACTTCAAGATGAACCCGGGGACGGCCGAGCAGAAGAAGACAATCGTGAAGGTGCTCAACGAGGCGACGCTCGACCAGGCCGTCGGTGTGTGTCGCTGTTTCCCGCAGTGCTGGACAGTGAGCTGATGGCAGTGGTGCTGTTGCAGAGGTGGTGATTGCCCCACCCGCGATCTGGTTGATCACACTCCGCGAGCTCCTCCGGAGCGACATCAAGGTGTCTGCGCAGAACTGCTACTTCAAGCCGTCGGGCGCGTTCACGGGTGAAATCAGGTGCGTCTCCTGTAGTTAGTGGATGCCACATGAGACTCACATATACCCAGCCCCGCGCAACTCGTCGACGCGCAAGTCCCCTATGTCATCCTCGGTACGTTCCTTCCTCCATATACCGCTCATACACCCACCCACTCTGTACTGCAGGTCACTCCGAGCGGCGAACGCTCTTCCACGAAACGTCCGAGCTCGTTGCGCAAAAGACCAAGGCCGCGCTCGAGGCCGGCCTCTCCGTGATCCTCTGCGTGGGCGAGACGCTGCAGGAGCGCGAGGCGAACAAGACCGCGGAGGTCGTCCAGGCGCAGCTCAAGCCCGTCATCGACACGCTCAAGGAGTCTGATTGGGCGTGCGTACTCCCCGTCACTCGTCCATTACAGCGTCGCTGAAGCATATGCGTTGGCGTGCGCAGGAAGATCGTGATCGCGTACGAGCCCGTCTGGGCGATCGGCACGGGCAAGGTCGCCACGTCGGCGCAGGCGCAGGAGGCACACGCGGACATCCGCGCGTACGTCACCAAGGCGGTCTCCCCCGCCGTCGCGGAGAACACCCGTGTCATCTACGGCGGCAGCGTCACCGCCGCGAACTGCAAGGAGCTCGGTGAGTGCAGCGCGCCTCGAACGGACAGGCGATGTCTGACGGCGGTTGTAGCGACCCAGCCGGACGTGGACGGCTTCCTTGTCGGCGGCGCGTCGCTCAAGCCCGAGTTTGTGGACATCATCAACGCGAAGAAGTCTACATAGAGGATGGCAACTGAGCAGTACTGCGAAGTATAGAAGACGTGATCCTTTGTGCGGCATCTAACGGAACGTGGGCAGAAGCAGAAACAGCAGCAATGAATGTACCTTTATCCCTTCTGTGTCTTGCCCGATTGCGTGTCGCGCTTACCAAGTGTGCAGTCAAGTTGCAACTGGCCTCGATTATGGTCCTTGCAGTATCAAAAAGGGGGCGCACACGGCGACTCGGAGTAGACATCCGGTACTAGTCTGCCCGTTCCAAACCGGCCGGTTTGAAGGGCGCAAGCAAGCCCGAGCTAGAGCCGGCTCATCCCAGGATAACCAACTGGGTTCAATCCATCGACAACCCTCTGGCCAGCCGCAGGCCTCCACTGCGCACGGTTTCGCCTTCCGTGTGAGCGGTGGCTTGTCACGTGTCGTCGGCCACCAGACACACGTCTAGTGAGCACTTCGCGACGACTCGAGAAGCACAACATGAGGTGGCTCTACCTGTTGCCATGCTCAAGGGAGAGAGCCTCCGAAATCGATGTCAGTCACGAGCAACATTGCCTTGCTGACATAGACACAGGTTGGACACCGGTGTCGGTCGGTCGAAGCAGTACCCGGTACGCTCCTTGCTGCCTGTTCCCCAGCTTCGTCATCCCCTCAGCCCAAGTCACGACCACCGCTGCCTATACACCTCAGTCCAGGCGTGCGCAGTGTGCACAGCGTCCAATCACTGCTCCCCTCCAGATCGAATTCAAAGCTGCGCGCATACGTATGTCAAGCTCATTCGCCGACAACATGCGTCCTGAATCTACGCACGCCTACGTAACGTCGACTCTAGCTCCTCGCTCAATCTTCCCTTTTCGCCGAGGAAACGTCGCCCTGGCCCCTCGCACGTCAGTACTTCAGTACTCGCACCGCTCAAATTCGCCATCAATATCAGGATGCACCTTCCTGCCCGACGCGGACCCGCGCAGATCCCCCGCGGTTGGCTACCACACCCTCTCGGCGTCGTCATCGCCTGGAATCCCCACTCGCCCCCGATTGGCCGCGGGTGTGACGTACTGGTATGTGTATTGTGCCGTACTCGTCCTCCCATGCTATTGCGCCTCCCCCGGCCTCGACCATCATATGTGCTAGATGCATGGTACTGCCCGCACCCTTCTGCCGTGAATTATGACGCAACCTCCGTGGCCTGGGCCTCCGCGCTGAAGCACCCTCGGTTGCAGTGTGCTCTGCGATGGGCAGAGGGACTGCTACTCGACGTCCGGCGCCCGAGCGTATCGAGCGACTCGCGCGAAGTCCGGACGCACTGACCTAGTGCTTTCGTCCGATCGGACGGCGGCCACATGAAACTATGCATGTGTCCTGCTTCGCGACGTGCGGACGTCGAACCATACTTCATAGTATGCCTAACGTCAGATATTGATCCTTAGTGCAACGTCTCCGCTGGTGTCGTGGGTCTTGGTGGGTCTGTTTTGCGGCACGTACCGCTGCTCAATTGAAGGTTCACCGGCATCCAGGCGCCACAGCTGTGTATGTCTTCGCAAGGGAGAATCACTGTATGTAAGATGCGGTACAATAACTAAGATACTTCGCGAAAACATAAGGCTACACCACTGAGGCCGACTCTCCTCGATTACTATGATATGATCTCCTCTCTTAATTACTGCGCCGTACGTGAGCTCATTTCAATCATGTCGTCCTCACCAGCATTGTCATCCAGTCCCGCGCTCGACACGTACGCGTTTTGTTCGGCGTCTTCTTCGATAGGGAACATGGTGTCAAGGTCTGCGTGAACTTCATCAGCACCCAGCCTCTAGTCGACTGACAATATCCACCACAATGACTAGGAACTCACGTGTAATCTGAGTGAACGCAAACGTCAGCGTTCGCGAAGTGGACCCGTTGAACGTGGTGCTCTCGGAGGAGCCGACGCCCATATCGGCCTCCGCAGCGCACGCACGGAGATTGAGTATGAAACGGGAGACGAATACGGTGGATATGCTGGTATCGCCTGTAAATCATCTTCTGCGGATAATGACAACCGGTCGACCTACGGCGCGATGAAAAAGTTGATGAAGTCGTCTGTCTGTTGGCACTGTGAGTGTGGTTGCAGCGCGGGCCGGCAGAGGAACATACCGCGGCTAGATATAACCCGATCTCCGTCGCAGTGATCGCGGTCAGCGCCCTGTAATGGAGTCATTGCGTGCAACGGACGACATACAAGACGAACACGCACGCGCAATACAGCACCCCTGTGTCAATGTATGAGGTCAGCTCGCCAAGCAACTTAGCATGTTAGGTCTGCGCACCGTCTCTAAGCAATATCTGGGCGAACGATTGTCTCCAGATCAAGCCCCAGTGTGCGAGGGGCCGAGGGAATATGCGATACAGAGTCACGAGCAGGACTATGAGGTCGGACGCTATGCTGCATCCACGGCACACGACGAGCGCTACACGTCGTCAAAGCCGGACATTGAGCCGCATACACGGTGGCACTAGCATGGAATCACACCTCTGTGATCACAGTAGAGTCAGATTACGATGTTCGTGGCATACGGACGGACGATACATACTTCCAGTAGAACCCTCGGTTTACGGTGGTGTCTTCTTGACACATGGTTTGACCCTTCAGAGGACCCGGGACGACGCGGAACGATAATGTCGCAACAATGTACTGAGGACCATACTTGAGTAAACCATAGACCCGTCTTGAAGGAGACGCGGCAACTCGGACATGGTACGCACCACATCTATGATCCATGGTGCGATGCCCAACACGAACGTCAATATCGCTAGCCACCACTTCCGCTTTGTGAGTGCGAACACTCTAAGGCCGGAAACAGCTGCCGTGCACAATGAGCGAACCGAGCAGGATGTTCATTACGAGAAGGACGCACCCGGCCAAACGAGGTACGAGAGAAAGGTGAAAACTGCAGATGATATCGTCGTGCCCTTGCAGCTAACCTCCGTCGTCAATAAAATCCACCCAATACAGTACGCGACATGCTGCGCTCACCTTCCGTACGTATAATGGTGCAGATACAAGGTATACTCGTAGACGAGCCCAAGTGTGACGACTCGATTGAGACCGAAGATGATTGACGTCGCGTTGGGCTTCCTCCATATGAGCTCCGCCTCCTGGTCGACCGTGAGGAGGTAGTCATATAGCAGCATCACTGGCCATGCATGTCAGCCGTCTGTGACATTGACAGGAGTGATCGAGGAAGTCGATATCGGCCTGCCGCTAGCACTGAAGTACTGACAGCGGACTTACCGGCGCCGGAGAACGTACAAATGGCATCTCTGTACCTACAAACATCGACAACAAGGACCGTCAGTTGTCAACACGAGTTTCGAATGGCCCCGTATGGGTGACGTTGAGTACGCACTGCGAGAACGTGATAGCCCTGATCTCCGCCGCTGAAAGTCCCGACATCCTGATTCCTCCCAAATTCCGGGTCAAGTTGCCTTGCTGCGGGTGCACTCGCCTTGGAGGGGGGAAGCCAACGTTCTACGGCGGTGCTGGAAACCCTTCCATGCGATGTACTGCGGCCGTTATGTATCGGAGAGGATTGGGTTCGTCGTGGTGGTCTCAAGAAGTTGATCGCGCGTAGCGCTCGCTCTAGGCGCGTTTAGTTACGCATCATATGCTGTACGGCGCATCACGACTCGGAACAGATCCATGCACCGCGTCGGTCTTATGAAGTATAAAAGCCAACTCTGAGCGTTGGACTTGACTCGTGCGCATAGCTTGTTGCTGGCCATAGCTGCGCCCAAGTTGAGCTGGCACGTTTTGGCAATGGGTGGGCCCGGTGGGGCGGCGGCGCATATATTGCAAAGACAGGAATTGGATCAATCTGCGTCGGAACAGCTTCAAATTGTTATTACTGTTGCCAGAACCGCGCGGTCGGTCGATCGCGGCCTGCGCACTCAGATTAGTACTTATTCAGTCACAACAGCCCTCCGGGTCCGATGTGGCTGCTATTCATGGCTATGCATTCAACATCATCGCACTCGTACGGCCGAAATTAATATTCCCCGTTGAATGACGACTTCTACGATGAGCTTGGCTGTTATGGTATGATCTTGCCACTGGCCATGGGCACAACATCGCTTGATATCGTGCTCCAATCTTGGGTGGATGGATACGCAAGAGCACGACAAGCTTTCATCTCGTTGTTGAAATATCTCCAGCGAATGCCTTCTATGCCCACTGTCGCTCTGGGAAGACTACTGAGGCGTCGTCCGTGGCCCTCACAATCTCACTGCGTGAGGGAAGCGATAGTCAGCTGTAGCCTCATTCCAAACGTGAGTTGTTGTTATATCCATTACCTATCGGCACAGAAGATTCACTCCGAACACGGCTCGGAGTTTGCGCAGACGCCTTTAGTATGGTGCCGCATCCCCTCTTGCTACTACTGCATTCGCCGTGACTCCATTTCTTGGCGCTCCGAAAGGGTCTCGTCACCACAAGAACTCAATCCGACGTCGGACATGCGATCATCGTCGTCAGCATCACCGTCATTTCCAAGCTCATCCAGTGTCGCATCCGGGAGTTCCATAGCTTTATCATCGCCCGATGAGTATATGGCGAATAGGATGTACATCATGAAATACGTACGTGTGATATGGGAGAACTCCGCGAAGACCAATGAGCTCGATATGGAATCCCCGAGTGTGAGGCTCTCTGTTGAGCCTAGCCCCACGACAGGAGAAGCCGCACACACACGAAGGTCCAGGATAAAGCGAGAGACGAATATTGTTGATATCCTAGACCATCGGCTGAATGAGCAACCACATGCAGGTACCACAGGATACATACATCGAGATGAAGGGAGGGACAGCGTTCATCTGTAATTACCGTCAATGCAGAGTCCTCCACAGGCTCACAGAAGAGGTTCCACTTACCCACTCTACTAAGAACTGCCCTAAAAAGATCTCAATCACGCTCAGCATCGTCAATGTCCTGTGGTAGGATTAGGATGTTCGTTTCCCGTAGATACCGAACAGGATGCACGCACGCAAAATACAAGAGTCCTAGACCGTCACCAAGACCATCCATCAGAGCCGGTTTACATATCTGCCAGCGAGGGTTTCACGTACCATCTCTGAGCAATATGTGTGCAAATGGCTGTCTGCGGTGTGTCACTTTCAACAACGACCACGGGTTGGGAACTACATGTTGTACAGTCACAGTTAGGACTATAAGGTCAGAGATCACGGTGCTTCCGCGAGTTATGAGGAGCCCTGCATTCGAGGTGATCATCGATCCTCGTAGGGCTGACAACTGCAGAGTATCTCACATCTGTGATCACCATTGTCAGTCAATTCAGACCGTAGAAAACCGGAGGGGATACGTACCTCTTCCACCATTCTGGACTGAAAGGAAGGTCTTCTTGGCAGAACGTCTGACCCCGAGAAGCATAGACGCTGTAAGTCGCTGTGACATCGGCGGACTAAGCATCATATACATTCGTCAGCTAGTTTCGACTAGATGATGAGTCACAAACAGTGACAGAGACAACCCGGCGAACGTGTTGAGTAGTCACTAGTCACTGGCCGGCATACTCACCGTGTTCAAGACACATGGTACCATCCCCGTTATGAACGTCACCATCGATAGCCACCAATTACGCCTAGTGAGAGCGTGTACTCTCAAGGCAGAAACGACTGAAGATTATTAATCAGAAAAATCTAATTGATGTTATCTTGTGCGCACCTGCCCAGATCGTAAACGAGAAATTCACGAATACATTGTCTACAACCGTGGTGATTAGGCATTGACTGGTGGTTCGCAATTTATGACGTCAACATAGAGCGTACTATTGTCCGAACTGTAGCATGCGTACCTTGCATCAGGAGCCTTTCCAGATTGGTCCCCTCTAAACCACTCATACAAGAGTCCGAACATCACAAGCCGGTTGCATATATAAATGATGGTGCCGCTGTTCAGTTTCTTTAGACCCCAGATCAGATTCACCTCATCGTGAATTGTCAGTACATAGTCATAAAGCATGACAGCTGCGAATTCGCGTGTATCAGCTATCGGTGGACCATCGAGCAACTAACAGAGAGAACTGTGGATGACCGACCAGCACAAGCGGAGTTGCGATTCGCAACGAAGTATCTGCGAACGATGACAGGTGCCAATGTTGTTCAAACATCATCCCAGTCAGCGGAAGGATAAGGGGTGCTAAGCACAATGCTCACCGTCCACGAGTGTACCATAGGTCTGTGTCTGTCATGGTAGGCATTCTTCCCAGGGTGGCCGACTAAGCTACTCAGGTCGCTAGTAAGTGGCTCTCGAAGAAACGAGTGGCGCGACGCGGCAGCGGAGGTGGAGGAAAGTGGTGACCAGTCGAGTCTAATATGCAGTTATGTACATCGGGGCAAACACTTCATGAAATCGCCGATCCTCGAGCTTCAGCCAAGGGCAATGCACCGGAACTTAATGCACAAACCGGAAGAGGGCAGACACCTTTGCTGTTATCACGCGCGGGTCGCGCTCAATCATGGAAGTCGGCGCGCTTGAGGCTGGGGCGGGCAGTGCGATCAGCAGTAGGAGATCCAGTAAAGGCGATGACGCATGAAACGGACAGGCTCCATACCCCGTGTCTTCAATTTGAGCCACAAAGCGCGCATCTTGGGACACTGGATGATAAGAAGAAGTCCTGAAGTATTTGGAACAAGGGGGTGGCTTCGCATCACAAGCCTGAGCCTCACCGAGTACACACCGAACAATCACTCATTATCGTTAACTGCGTGAACAGGAAAGTACTTGTGTGATCATGTTCAATGTCTGAATAAGGGACGACGTACGTACTGGAGGATACGCATCGGCGCCAATTAGTTGGTGCTTCTTGGGCCGTCACCAACAGCTTCCTACTCGCCCTCAAGCTGTTGCTGCCCGATTTCGGAAGAGCGAGAATAAGCTTCGACACTATTACAAAGTTTTGAGATCGTAGGTGGCATGTTCCCTTCTCGCTGCAGGCATGTAAGGCCACAATCATACCAGCGAAGAGTCGTGAAGTGTTAAGACAGAGCGCGCGCCTCGTCAAGTTCAGATTGTCCTCGCTGATCTGGCCTTGATATCACGTGATTCAAGAGCGCGATACGGGGCCCATGAACTGAAGCCTCTGAGGCTATGCACGTCGCTCTGCATTCAATATTATTGCACGAGCTACATTATGCGCTAGGATACCTCATGGAATGACTTTGACGATGACTCGGAGCTGGGCTGATATGGTATACGATCTTCGGTACAGCCTGAGTGCTATAGCGCTAGCATCAGTTGACAGTTGAACAGTATCGTACTTCAGTCTTGGGGGGACGAGTAGTCAAATGTACGGCAGCTTCCATCTCGTTAAGAAAACATCAGCGAATACCTTCCACGCCCGCTGCCGCCCTGGGATGATTCCTGAGGTCTTGTGTGACCCTCAAGGTTCTAGGTGTCAATAATGGTCAGCTTTAGCATTTCGAATTTTTCTATCCAACTTGAATAGCTATCAATCCGAGCACGGCTCAGAGGTTGCAGACGCCTCTAGTATGGTGCCGCACCCCCTCGTGCTACTACTATATTTTCCGTGACTCCATTCCTCGACGCTCCGAAAGGGCCTCGTCATGACAAGAACCCGACCCAATGTCGGACGTACGCTCGTCGTCGTCAGCATCGCCGTCATCTTCGAGCTCATCCAGCGTCGCATCCGGGGGTTCCATAGCTGTATCATCGCCCGATGAGTATATGGCGACTAGGATGTACATCATGAAAGACGTACGTGTGACATAAGAGAACTCCGCGAAGACCAATGAGCTCGATATGGACTCCCCGAGGGCGAGGCTCTCTGTTGAGCCCAGATCTACAACAGACAAAGCCGCACACGCACGGAGGTCCAAGATGAAGCGAGAGACGAATACTGTCGACATCCTAGACCATCAGTCAAAGTGAGCGATCCCATGCAGGTACCACAGGTTGAGAAGGATACGTACGACGAGAGGAAGGTGACAATGTTCAACTGTGATCATCGTCAGTGCAGAGTCCTCCACAGGTTCACAGAAGAGGTTTCACTTACCCACCCGATCCCCGTCGTCATCTCAATCATGCTCAGCATTGTCAATGTCCTGTGGTAGGATTAGGACTTCCTGGAGATACCAAACGTGATGCACGCACGCAAAATACAAGAGTCCTAGACCGTCACCAAGACCGTCCATCAGAGCCGATATATATATCTGCCAGCGATGTTTTTACGTACCATCTCCGAGCAATATGTGTGCAAATGGCTGTCTGCGGCGTGCCGCTCTCAACAACGACCACGATTTGGGAGCTACATGGCACACAGTCACAGCCAGGACTATGAGGTCAGAAATTACGGTGCTTCCGCGAGTTATGAGGATCCCTGCATTCCCGGTGATCATCGATTTTCGTTGGGTTGACATCAGCATGAAAGCTCACCTCTGTAATAATCACTGTCAGTCAATTCAGAACGTAGAGAACCGGATAGGATACATACATCTTCCACCATTCTGGGCGGATAGTAATGTCATCTTCGCAGCCTGAGAACATCTGACTCCGGGAAGTATAGATGCTGTAAATCATTGTGACCTGGGAAGACTAAATGTCATATTTAGTATTCGTCAGAAGCCATCTCCGACTAGGTGATGAGTCAACGGTGGCAGAGACAACACGGCGAACATGTTTAGTAGTCACTGGCCAGCATACTCACCGTGTTCAAGACACATATTACCATGCCCAGTATGAACGTCGCCATCGATAGCCACTAATTTCGCTGAGTGAGAGCATATACTCTCAAGGCAGAAACAGCTGGAGATTAGGAATCAAAAAAGTCCAATTGATGTAATCTTGGGCGCACCTGCCCAGATCGTATACGACAAGTTCACGAGCACATCGTATACGATCGCGGCGCTCCGGCATTCACTGGCATTTGCGATTTACAACGTCAACATGGAGCGTAGTGTACGTAGTACTGGAGCATGCATACCTTGATACTGTACGAACCACTCATACAAGAGGCCAAACATCACAAGCCGGTTGAGCACATAAATGACGGTGCCGCTGTTCGGTTTCTTCAGAACCCAAATCAGATTCACCTCATCGCGAATTGTCAGCACATAGTCATAAAGCATGACAGCTGCATTCGCGTGTATCAGCTATCTGTGCACCGTCGTGTAACTCTGAGAGAGTTGTGGATGGCTGACCAGCACAAGTAGCCTTGGAATCCAAGGTTGAGTATCTACGAACGGTGGCAGTCAGCGGAAGGAAGGGATGCTAAACATCAATACTCACTGTTGACGAATGATCAAGAGATCTTCGTCTGTCACTGTAGACATCCTTCCCGTTTTGTCAAGGGCAGAACACTCAGATCGCTAGTACGCGGGTTTTCAGAACGAGTCGCGCGACGCTGCGGCTGAGCAATGGCGGCCGGCCGACGCTCATATGCAGCTACTATATAGCTCAATACGCACGCTTCGTGATTCAATCGCTCTTCGAGCTCCAGCCAAAGGCACTGCACTGGAACTTGATGTACACACCGCAGGAAGCCAGACAGCCTTCGCTTGTACTACGTGCGGGTCGTGTTCAATGGAAGTCGGCGATTGAGGCTGTGCCGGGCGGTCTGATCTTGCAGTAGTTGTACCACTGAGACCTTCTATCGAAGGCGATGTTGAGTAAAATGTTGAGTATTGACGGGGTTCATACCTCGTGTCTTCAATTTGGGCCACAAAGCGCACATCCTGCAACACTGAGTGGTAAGGAGAACTGGTCTGATCTAGAACAAGGGGACTGAGGCCGCCGCCCCTGTCAGTTAGCCGAATTGGCTTCGCAACATACAAGACTCACTGAGTACAGACCAGTACAAGCATTCATATATCGGTCACCGCGGAGAGAGCAGGAATGACCTTGTTCGATCATACAGTATTGACGGAATGCCTGAGAGCGAGGGACGTACATCCTACAATCTCACGAACGCCGGCGTGAAAGCGCTGCGGAGAACACGCAGTGTGATCACCGTAGAAGTCGGACAGACTTATCGAGCGTAGGATTCGAGCATCAAGAACAATGAGAAGCCTGGATTAATCTAGTCTGCACGTAGCATTCGGTTCACTGTCTAGAAAACATTACGGTGACTGTTAGCAGTACAACAGGCAGGAATAACAACAACGACAGCGCAAGAGACAATTACAACAATGTAACCTTGATCATACATCGCCGCGGCGCGAGTTTTGATTGTAACGGTCCATTCATCAGGCAGAGTCCCTCAAGTATCACCGTAGCCGCTCTTTGTCTCGTACAGTCCGGATCCATATTTCACCAGGTCGGCTAGCGAAAAGACGTTCACGTTCATCAGTACCGGCGTACGCGTTGAAGCTGAAGCGAGCAGAAACGCACCTTCTCTCCCTCAATATCCTGAATACAAAACTACGCTCCTCTGTAGCTTGTTCACCGCCCGCGCGCGCACCCACCGCTCGCGGGGGGAAAGCACGTCCGCAGCGTACCTGCAGGTCTGCTAGACCCTCGTTTGTCCCTTCCGCCTCTACGATGACTCGACCGTACCAGCCCGGATCAACAAGCCACACGCCGTGGCTCGGCCCTGGCCCGACGTGTGGCATAGGAGGGATGCGCAGAGGTTTGTTGGGCGCCGGCGGCATGATCGTGAAAGAGGAGCGGTGGACCCAGCGAACAACCGTGTGGTGGTTCCCTTGTGGTCTGTTACAACAAAAATGCACAGGTCAGCCGGGAGGCGCGACTTAGATGGCAAGTATACGCACGTTTCGGTTTTCACCCTGTCCTGAAGCAACTGCAGGTTTGACGCTATGTCTTCGCCCCATGGCGCGATGTCGATATGGCAGATTGGGTTTCCACTGCCTTGGGTGCGAATGACGCGATGGAAGTACGAAGGTGGGAATGCAAGTGTTGGCAAGTACTTCGGAAGATCGCCTATGCGTGACCACGTGAAGTCCAGGTCCTGAGAGCCACAATCAGCGTACACGCTAGCTGAAATGGAGTGACACTCACAACAAGGTATGCCCCGTCCCAGACCATTCTCCCGATGTTGCCCTCGTCGCCAACAGCCACGTCCCATACTACATCTCCAGCCCGCAGCAGATGCGCCACACCCGCCTTCTTGAGTTCACCCTCGCATGCAAGTATGCTGTCATCAGACAGCCAGTCACCTTCCGGCGAAGGCACGAACACTTGGATTAGCGGTGCACGCCTAAGACGAAAGAGCGGCGACTGCGCAGCGCGTATCGGTGCCTGGATTGTCGCGGTATACGAAGGCGACTGCGAAGGTGCTCGGCTGGAGGCACGGGAGTTACCGCGCTGCAATGAAGGAGCACGGCGTGACGGCGGCGGGCTGGCTGCCTGGGACGCAGCAACAACAGCAGGGGATGGATTGCGGGCCTCTGCCTCCGCCTGAGCGCGCAAGCGCAGGACAATGCGAGTGTACGCGCGACAGCAAGCAGCGAGCTCATCCATCAAGGCGCCTTGGTTCGGATCGCCACGGGCATGCAGGTACTCAGAAGCCAGGGTGGAGAATTGGTGCGACGGCATCGACACTCCGCGCATATAGTTGTTGAGATCCTACGAAGTAAAGTCAGCACGTATACCCTTGCGCGCTGCACGATGTACTGACCTGCAGCGCGAGAGTGACTGGTTCGCCGTCGTTGGGCAGCCTGGGCATCTCCTTGTCACCATCATTCGCCCGCTCCTTGCTTCGCGCTTTGGCAAGACTGGGATCCAGACCCCACGTCCACCGCGCATAGCCCACAGGACCCAAGAACTTCTCCAACGCGCACTCCGTCAGCTCACGCCGTTTGGTCACGCCGTCCCTGACCTGGCGGTTGAGAGCAGCAACCGCAAGCCATTCGTTATACGACAGGTACGTCAGTAGACCCGCGAGCAACGCAGGCTCGAGCAGATGCTTGACGAGGGGATACGGCATGCTTGGTTTGAGGGGCTCCTTACGCTCAGGTGAAGGGGCCAGAGCTTGCGCAATCACCGCAGGGAGACCCTTGCCCAACTTCGCTCCTCGTCGCTGCGCCCGCGCGCGTGCGTACTCTTCCGGCGTGATGGGCGTTGGTGGTGCCCCGGGACCCGTTCTGCCGCGCTGCATCTCCTCCTGCACCGCCGAACTGTCGATGTGCACGAAGCTCGCCTCGTCCGCCCTATCCCGCACAAGCTCCGTGGGCCGCTCATCTCCCCGTTCGTCGCGCCGCCCCCGTCTCGCGTCCTTCTTGAGCTTCCTCCGTCCGTCGCTCCCACTCGCGCTCCGCTGCACACCAGGCGCAACTCCCATCGGCGCGGCACCCATGTTCACCGGCACCGCACTCGCTCCCGCAGCCGCACCTGCTCCGTCCTTCGCACCCAGCTTCTCGACCTGCTTCTCCGTCAGAGCCCTCACGCCAAATATGCCCCTCAGCCCCAACCCAAAGGAATGTCCGCGCCGCCGCCCCTCGTTCTCCGAGTCGCTCTGCGAGCTCCCCCGCTTCAGCTTCCCACCCTTCCGGAGGCGCCTGCGACCGAGACCATGGTCGTCCGCACTCCCGCCCTTCTCATGCTCGACGTCCGTATCATGCTGCACCTCTGGCGTGGGCGCGCGCGGCGACGGCGTTGGGGGCAGCGAACGCGAGATCCGGTGGCCGTCCTGGTCATCCTTCGGGAGCACCTCGCGCCGCCGGCCCCGTGTATCTTCGTCGTCGCGCAGAACCGCTGCCTGGTCGGAGGGAAGGACAGGCGACCGCGAGCGGGGAGTGGGGTAGCCATGCGTGTGTGGGTAGTCTCGGACGTGCCCGTCCGCCGTTTGACCCTGGAACTCCTTCTCCGCCGGCTGCACAGGTTGGGTATATGCGCTCCCCTGTGGCGCGTACGCGTCCGCCGGCTGGGTATATGCGCCATCTTGCTGTGCGTACGCGTCCGCACCCTGCTCATCACTGCCGCCCTCCTCTTGTGCAGCGAAGATCCGCGGCCTGCCCTGCACGAGTGGTGTCTCGTGTTCCCACTGCTCTCTCGGAGGCTGCGCATCGCCATGGTCGGCCTCAGACTCTTCGGCACCCATAGCAGCGAAGATCCTCGGCTTGCCCCGGACAGGCACCTCAGAGTGCTGGTCGTGCTCCAATCCATGTGATTCCTGTTCTGAGGGGTGGGAATGGACAGGCCCAGGGCTCGGCGTGTGTCTATCTCGGTCGACATCTTGCGGCACGTCTAAGCTGTGGGTCGGCGGAGGCGACGACTGGTCCTGCGCCTGCGGCTGGTTGTGAGAGCGAGCTGGAGGTGAGATTGGCAGCTGGGATGCCTGTCGCGGCTGGAGGAGTATCATTCGGCTGAGAGGCAGGTCCTCGTCGGCCTCGCTTTGCGGAGGGCGATGGACCGGCGGGATGTGCGACTCGTCGGACCTGACATCCTCCCTGGACTCATGGCCGTGCCCGCTGGCGCTCCCGGTACCGACGTCGGGCCTACTTCGGCTTTGAGGGAGGTTGAGGGCAGAGATCGATCCAGTCAGCGGAGAGACAATACCGGCGCTCGATGGGCTGAACGCCGTTGAGGACGCAGATGCCAACGAAGCATGAATACTCGGGGCTGGCTGTCCATTAGCCTGCAACGAGCCAACCGAGTGCAACGATAGCGCAGATGGGGTCTGTTGAGGCTGAGTTGGGTAGGCGTGTATGGGAGGCGGTGCCTTCCGGTGCACTGAACGCGGGCTCGTTGCGCGACTGGGTGTGGCAGACGAAGACACGGACTGTGGCGGAGAATACGGATGTCCGCTGGGAGGTTGCTGGTAACCATAGCCGTAGCCTTGAGGCGGGTATACGCGCGTCTGAGAACCCGGCGGGCTTGGGTGCTGGAAGATCTGATGCACGGAGGGATGCGAGCCCGAAGACGTGCGCGGGATGACTGGTACTTGTTGGTAGGACGGTGTACGGGAAGGTGAACGTGGGCCTGGTTGAGTGGACGAACGCCGCGGGTCGGACTTGTTGGAAGGAGTCCGGGTCGATATCGGCATCGGTTGTGCAGCGGAGGCCGCATGATGGTGGGAGGCGGTCGGTGTTCGCTGTTGTGACCCGCATTGTCGTCAGTTCCACAGTGTCAAAGAAGTGACCACAGAATGTAAGACAAATGTGAACCGTTGTCACCGAGACGAATACCCTGCCATGCATAGAACACATGCTGCCATGAAGCGCTCGGCATGCACCCCGCGCCGAAGTCCACCACCACGACCACCGTGCCCTCGACGCCGTTTCGCCTCCGGGCATATTGGGAAACCACTGACTGGACGATCTACCCCGGTCCCAGACGTTTGCCAATGCGTATGACAAGCGGCGCCCTGGAAAGACGCCTACGACACTGGAAAAAAGCTCACCGCGGCTACCGAACGCGAACGCGCCGCAGACGCGCCACTTTCGCGGTCATGAGACCTCCTGCTACTCTGCGACCTCCCGGCACTGGCAGGCGGTCTGCTCTGGCTGCTCTGGCTGCCATAGTGCGTTCCGGTAACATTCCTGTAGCTTCCGGGAGCATGCGTGCTGGTATCAGGTCGCGAGCGATGCGACGGCACGCTCTGACGAACGTGCACCTCTCTGTCGCGAGCGAGGGCGTCGAGGCCGGGCTGAAAAGACGGGTACACGCTGGTGCGCGCAGGCATCGCGGTCGGCGAGCTTGGTAGCAAGAGTCGAGTCGAGAAAGCAAGCAGCCTCGCGGGCAGAACAAAGCAAGGGCCGGCGCCGGTCGCAAAAGCATCCCAAGCACGCGCGCTGCACGAGTTATAACGCGAGCATAAGGTTGCAACAGACGCCGATCGATGCAGCACAAAACGCCATGTTCCTGGGCCGTGTACGTACGGGCTCGACCTGGCAACAAGATTGGCAGCCCGGACTCTTGAATTGACGCACGACCTCCCCGTCTTTCAGCACGCACGCCGGCGCCTCGAGGCTCTCGTCCTCTCCCACCGTCCAAGTCCGCTCTGCGGCCGCCGTCCGACCGCCGTCGCGCCCGCTCAATTGTCCTCGACGACGTTGCGCGACAATGGCCAAGCGAGCGCGACATTGCACGCTCGGCCGGCAGCCGCGAAGCTCTGCATGCCTGAAAATGACCGCAAAGGTGACATCACCAGGACATCACGTCGGTCCTCGACGGGAAGCCCGGCTGCTGTGCGAGGCACGGAGCGCCCAACGCTAGAGCCTAATTGAATCCCAGACCACGCGATCGAACCCCGGCTTCGACGATCATTAGACGGGGCGTCAACGATCTGGTGGCAGCAACCAGCGAGCACGCGGAGAATTGGCAGAGAACCACTGAAGGTCGACTTGACACATGCCTAACGAACCGTCGAAGGCTCCGGAGACATAAAAGGCATGAAATTCCTTGATTCCGAGCCATAGCAGACTTGCTCATGATGCACCAAGCAGCATCTCGGTGCTTGCATATTGATCAAGACAGACCTGATGCATCATGAGAATGTACGCTGTAACCCAAGATGCCAAGACAGAACTGTGACCGACAGTGGATGCGAGGGTGCCGTCCTAGTCAGGCAGCGGCATACCCAACGCGAGAGAAACTTCGAGTGCAGCGCGCTACGTCACAAACATCGATCGAGGTGTGTCAGAGAACACCCCGCCAACGCCGTATCAGAATAGGGGCCAAGAACCCTCAGCAAAATGTACCTCTCATTGAAAGGTGCATTACTGCTGAGGTGACAGGCTGATGGGCCCGCCGTCAGAGATATTCGACGTCCGCGGAGGAGGACGAGGAGGAGGAAAGGATCCATTTAGCCACCGACCAATGTCGCCCGCGCGGTCATCATCGGTGTCTTGACAGCGGAATAGTTGCGCGATTGGAAATCAGGTATCTCGCGCACCGGGCATAGCGTGGTGTATAACACCTCAACATTGCACCTAGCATGCTAGGTGTCGATGCCACTCGGGACGCCATCATCCATAGTAGACATAATGCCGAATACTCTACCGAGGACTGGACGTCCGGAGCGACATCTGCAGATTCGAGTAATTGCGAATGCAAAGAGCACGGCTCTTCCTCCTCCTCCTGGCCCCATACAGGCCGGAATAGATGCCTCTGATTGGCCAGCCAGTGGTGAAGCGGACATTCCGATCACGAAACCATCCCGTCCATCTTTGCGCCGACGTGCATCATCGACAGTCAGCCACACGGTATGCAATGCAGGGTATACGTCAAGCAACTTCGGGAGCAGCATGTGCATGCAACGGCGCATAGGCAGCCATATCGAGAAGGGTGGCAAAAAGAATGGGAAATAACGGATAACGCACCTTCGCTTCGTCCTTTTCCTTGCTCTTCAATCCGAATGCAGCAAGTAGAGAGTATTTCCTCCTCGGCTTACTCGCCTCCGTCGTAGGCGACGGAGGAACGGGTGCCGCAGCCCCAGCAGCGCGCGTTGGCGATGCAACCGGGTCGACCGGCGTGGGCAGGGGCTTGTCAACAGATGCCTTGGAAGACGACTTGGACAGATCCGCTGAGACCGGTGCTGGTGTTTCCCGTCGTTGCTGTCCCTGATACGGCGCAGCGCCCTGGAGAGCCTGCTGCGGCTGCGGCACCTGCACACTGCCCGGCCTGCTCGCCTGCCCGATAGCGCTGCTGGCGCTGCTCGGCGGCGTCGGGAGCCCATGACTCTGCACGCTCACGCCTGTGACCGACGTCCCGCTCGACAGACTCCTGTGGTGCCCGCCCCCGTGGCCGTAGCCGTACATCCTCCCTCCGTGCCGCGCAGACGGCGAGAGCGGCGGGCCCACGTTGCTCTGCCTCCGCCCGAGGTTCCGGGCGTTCTCGAACGAGCGCGATGAGCGCAACGACGGAGCCGGAGGCGCGCCCGGTGCGGGCGGATACGTATGCATCGGAGCCTGGGAGCTTCCCGTAGACGACGAGTGGTGATGGGCATGGTGCGCCGCGAGCGGTGCGTATTCTGGTGGGTGCGACGGCTCTGCATACGGGTAGCTTGCTGGTGGACCTGACGCGGACGAGGGGTTTGATGACGGTGGTTGAAACGGTGCAGGTGCGCGAGAACTAGTTCGCCTACCCGTTTTTGCGGAAGATGGGTACTGGCCATTCGTAGACGTCGTTTGGCTTTGCATACTAGCCGTGCGTTCCCGTTGTCTCTGCATGTCCGCCTCGTACTGCCGCTGAGCTTCTATCTGTTGTCTTCGGGCCTCCTCTTGTTGTCTCTGGACTTCCTCTTGCCGCATCCTAGCGTCCTCTTGCTGTCTCTGGACTTCCTCTTGCCGCATCCTAGCCTCATCCTGCTGTCTCTGGAATTCCTCTTGCCGTCGCCTAGCGTCCTCTTGTTGGCTTCGTGCCTCCTCTTGTTGCCTCTCCGCCTCCTCTCGCTGCCTCCTCTCCGCCTCCGCCTGCGCACTTGCCTCGTCTTCCCTGGCTCTCGCCCACGCTGCTTCTCTCGCACGGTTCGCCTCCTCCTCCTCTCTCTGCTTTTCCCGCCGTCGGCGCCGTCTCTCCTCCCGCTCTCTAGCTCGCGCAACCTCTGCCTCCATCGCCTCTTTCTCCGTTTCCCGTCTGCGCTTTTCCTTGTCGCGTGCCTGCTCATCGCGCTCGCGTTCGCGCTCCCGCTCGGCATCGCGGTGTGCTCTCCGCTCCAGCGTCGCAAGGGGCGATTCCGGCTTCAGCTCGATGACGCGCGCAGCGTCCCTAGCCCTCGCCTCTTTGCGCTTGCGCTCCTCGCGCCTGCGGTCCCGCTCCTGCAGCTCCGCCGCTGTCCGATGGCTCTCTGTCCGCTCGCGGCGCCTCTCCTCTGTCGCCTCCGGCCGTTCTGCGCTCGCGCTCTTCGCGAATCGCGCGTATAGCGGCGTGACCGACGCCTCTTCACTGCGCGTCGCTGGTAGATCCAGCTCCCGCTCCTTGCCTTTTGCGGACACCGGCGTGCTCGCCGCGTGTGCTTTCTCGGCGCGCCGTTCCTTCTCTCTATGTCTCTCCCTCCCACGCTCCCTCTCCCTCTCCTTCCCCTTGCTGCTCCCTGGTACGGGCGTCGGCACCATCGAGCTGTTGCTCGGTACCGCTAGCCCGCTGCTCGCGATAACCGGGATCGATCCGGTACGCATGTGGTTGAGGGTTGCGCGTGTGAGATGCGGGAGCGGGTCGACTGACGACAGTGCCTGTCGTGAGGACGAGCCGGAAGCCGAGGGCTGCATCTTGGTAGGTTGTGATATCGTGAACCCGGCGGTCGACGTCGAGGGCGCTGGGGCCTCGACGGAGGTGGACCGCTTGCGGCGGTGGAGGAGAGGCATCGTGCCCTTGGGAATGAGTTAATGAAGGGTATCGCGTGTGTAGATGTGATTGCGTGAAGGACGGGCGTGGGTGAGTCCTGGAAGCCGTAGTCAAGAAGTCGTGCGCTTTGTCGTTCGTAGCCTCGGTCGGTCGGTCGAGATGCGGCTCTGGTAATCGTAGGAGGTCGTCAAGGATTGTATGATGTTCTGAAGACACAAATGGAGAGTCAGCTGAGGGTACCCGATACGAAAGAAAACTTGCGAGAAAGCACCTCGCTGGCTACGCGATCACCGGCACCGGCGGCCACCACCTCCTCCTCACACTCGTCCACACTCTTCCTCTGACCCCCACCAACGGCTTGGACAGCAATAGTGATGGTATAACTGGCAACTTACGCGTGATTTGCGGTGCTACAATCCCGCCCAGAAGGTGTTCGAGATGAGCGTGTGAGTGGGCGTCGAATAGGGTTTAGATTCAGGAGGCGCGAGGCTGCCTGCTGATACTGGGTCGGGGCCCGTGGAAGACACAGATTACGGAGGGTTACGGCCAGCGACGTCGAAGCGGACTGACAGTGAATAGGACGTAGAGAGTGGGATTGTCTGCGGATGGTATGTGGTCGTTGCGAAGGGTCTCCGGTAGGTCCGAAGTTTCGCGATTTGACCTGAGCTCAAGCCAGAGCATCAGACCTCAAACAAGATGAGTACCGTCGCTGGTAAAAATAGGGAGAGGAGGCAAAAGACCGCATATGCCAGGGGTAACTCGGGAGGAGGAGGAGGAGGAGGAGGAGGAGGAGGGGGGGGTCCATCTAGCCACCGGCCGACAACGCACGTGCGTCTCGACGATTTCTCCTCCTCCTCCTCCTCCTCCTCCTCTTGACGGCGACAGCGCTCACTAGGCACAACATCTTGTTTGCTTGTGGCGGTTAATGAATATTTCATCATCATCAACTAGGTACAACATCGCAGGCCATAGGACTACGTACCAGACTCCCAACTACTACTGGCTACATGACCTCCGCCCCCCCCCCTGATCCCTGCCCTACACTCATCCCGAGAGGTGTCACCTCTCGCGGCCCCGGCCCTCTCGCCAACCACCGGCGGGGCGGGTCGTCTGCTAAAACCTGGACGTTGGAGGCGACACGCGGCTCGACCGCATGGTCGACAGTGACGTCGCCGTCGACATCCTCCCAGGCCACGAATATTGTCCAAATATTGAGCAGGTAATGGTAAATCCCGCGGTCCACGGTGTTGCATGGTGCTGCAGCTGCAGCCATGTCGGGCGTAATGGATGTAGAAGAGAAAGATGCAGACCGCATTGATTTGAGTGCGGACTGCTTAGAAGTAGTGCAAGTGCTCCACGGTCATGAGGGATGTCTCTCTCCGGGGCATCGTCAAGATCAGCAACTCATCAAGCTTCAAGCGTCGGCGAGTACGGCAGGCCATCGTCTAACGCGTCTAGGGAGAGGAAGGAGGGAAGGTGTAAGTCGTTCGTGTGCGCCTCAAAATCTCGAGCGAGTGTGCATACATACTGATCCGGGCTTTTTCTAGATGAACCGCGTGCATGTCGTACTCGCGGAAAGACGAGGCAATAGAACTCGTGGGTCGCTCATCTACGCGCAGGTCTAGAGTACAGCTTAAGGGAGTCACTGTGCTTATGGCGTACCAGTCCGAAAGGAGAATTAATGACATGTCCTCGGCGGTGTCATCAGCTTAACACACACTGCAGTAGGTACAGATGTGCGACCAATGCATGTCTTGCTACGTGCTAGATTGCACACTGACATTTTCCGACGCAAATCAACGAAGATCACAATCGACCGACAGGTATGATATGTGGAGGATTCAGAGGAATGAGCCGCTATACGATGTTCCTCGTTGTACAGTTGGACACGATGGAATAAATTAAAAGAGGACGTGCGGTGTACTCCGTCTTGATTAACGGGTGAGTAACCTGTAATTTTTCCGATGTCCTGCCTCTGATAGATTGATATGGTCAGAACACTGCATTCCCGTTGTTGAAGCGGAGGGCCCCGGCGCTGGGTTCATAGCATGGTAATCCCACATATATCGGCTGCAGACCCAGCTCTGCGGTCTGCGGACTCTAAATCTCAACTGTCACCAACCTCAATTGAGCCAGTGTCGTCAAATCTCACACAGAACAGCGGTATGAGCATTTCTGTTCCTGGGGATTGCCCGCAGGGCGCATATAAACAGCAAGTTTCATCTGCGTCATTACGGGAGTTGATGAAGAGTTCATCGCCGCAGAACACGAGCGGTATGTCTACAGCGCTCGAGAGTGGTGCCTTGCTGATCTGCGCATAGGTTCGTGAATGTATGCTGATTGGTTGCGGCTCTAGGTGCGCTATTCTACTGCCATGGTGCAACGAACAGATTACTGAGTTGCACGGAATCGTGCCGATATAGGACCCTTGGCCGGGAACTCGATCGATTCTAGCTCAAGCTGACGCTGTCGAGCGCGAGTAGTACGAGTTACGCACTTGCTCAGGTCGTTTCCATCGGTTATGTGGTTATAGCACCGCTAGGCATGCCGATAACCTGGGTCCTGGACGTCTAGGAGGTGCGCCATCAATATCACTTACACGAACCCACAGATCGTTTACTAAATGCAGAGGTGTACTACATATTGGCATGAGACATACTCGTGCTTCTCGTCCGTGCGGCAGTGTCGCCCTCCGCCACCATCCGTGCGGTGCTGTCCCCCCGTGTCCGTCACTGCCACCATCCCCGTGCAGCGTCCCTCACTGTCGCGCTCACCGCCGCCCCCGCCCCCATTACTGCGTCCCCGTAGCCATGCGCGTCGCGTCCCTCACTGTCCCCACCACCATCTGGGCATGTTCAAAGTTTTGGCTGTTTGATATCTGACTAGCCTGGCGAGCAGTGATGTCTTTCCAGTCACGCTTTCACGCACTGAAGATATTGCTTAGCGGCGTTGACGTTTGTCCTTGGTTCCAGCATTGCGGTACAATGGGGTCTCAATTAATGTTAGTCTAAGCGAAGTGAGGCACAGAGGGCGCGTAGAAGTGAGTCTACGCCTGTCTACGCACGAGGAGATTAGGCGCGCATCGCTCCCTTCTTTGAAGTTCTGTACGCCCACTCAGACGACCGCTATCGAAGGCGCCGCGGCCGCTACGCGCTTTCGAATAGCTCATATTTTTCCCACCCTCCCCACTGTCTTCCGAGCACATAGACCACGGAGAATGGGAGATGCGATGGTGGGCAATGATCGATGATCGCCAACTTGAACGGCTGTGGCGGTGCTATAAAGCAAGAGTTCCCCGGAAAGGAAATCGAGGCTTAGTAAGCGGTTGTCTTGACTTGGCCCTCGAACTTATCAGTCGTGAACAAACCGTGAGTGCAGCCCGTCTCTTCCTCCACTCTGAGGAGGAGGAGAAAGAAGGAACTTCGGGATCGCCCCAGATGGAATGTGCGTCGTCGTGAACACAAAAACATCGCTACGGTACGGTTCTGTTTTGCCCATACACTGGTTCAGCGATTCACCTGCTGCGCACGTCGCATCCTCCTATCGCAGATCATTTCGCTTCTCGACACAAGATGAATATTGATGTCGAGACTCGGTGGACAGAGCGACTGCCACCAGAAGTCTGGCAAATCGTTCTTCACTTTACATCCTCGGAAACGATTCGAGACTGCCTAGGCGTCTCCAGGCTGTTTCACGATATAGCAGCTCGCAAGATCTTCTCGTCACTCCGTATCCGGTTTGGGTCTTGGGAGGTCGCCTATGAGCTCACGGACAAACCCCCAGAAGATAACGAATGCAGGACGTGTTGTGTGCTCCTTCGCATCCTCACCGACCCCGTCTTCGCGTCGTACGTCAAACATCTAGACATCCTCGCCTTCGCGGACAAACTCGCGCCTTTTGAGATGTGTAAGCCCGAGACGCCTTGTCCTCCTATCATTTCTAAATCGACATGTTTCACTCACATTCTCAACAGGTAGCCTTACGAAGGCCATCGGCGCCATGTACAACTTGCGCACGTTCAGATGGCACACCGTTAGCGGGACGTTCACGATGCCAAGCAACGAGCTTCTGGGAACACTGGCCTCGACTTGCGGTCGTCTTCGCGGATGCTCTCTTCCGTAAGCTAACCCTCAACTTATATTGCGTGGCCTGTTTCATAACTCATAAATCAAAAGTTTCAGCATCCAGTGTTTGGATGCACTACGAAGCCTCAAGCGATTGCCAGTCACGAACTTCTCAATGGAACTGGTGCACCCGGATACTCCAGGAGCGGAATTTGAGTCGCTCGACGCTTATCGCACGTCCCTTGCATCGCTGTTCGAAGCATACCAAGGATCCCTCACTTGGCTCTCCGCGCCGAGCCAGGTGATCTGGGGATGCCCGGTATATATTATGCAGGGTTTGACGCATTTATCAATCCACCATGTCGAGCATCTCAGCAACATTACTCTCCTCTTCCGTCATTGTATCCGGCTCGAATCTTTAGACATTCAGTATCCCGACGAACCACCGACGACTCTCTTTGCCGCTTTGGCAGCAAATCCTGCTGCGCTCCCTCACCTAACGCACCTTAAGATCCGCCTGCACCCTGGCATAAATCAGTCGGGACTGGACGCGTTGGCTGCATTCATTCGGTCGAAGAAGAACTTGCGGTGCTTAGACTTCAGCGACCGGGGCAGCACCATCCCGGAGCTCGCTTCTATGCTGTCGGCCATCGAGTCGTCATCGGGCCTGGAAGTTCTCGGTATCGACGTTTATTTCGATACCCTCGGACTCAACGACTTGGCCATTCTGCGACGTACGATTCCCAAGACCGTCACGGCTTTACGTCTCCGGCTTCTGTACTCTCCGTTTGATATGGACGAACCGCCAGAAGAGAACATCCCGTGGATCGAATTGGTAAGTCATGCCATCGCTCTATATAACAGACAAGCGGATCTCATCATGTTCCCTCCAGTGGGCGGGCCTCCCAAGGCTCGCTTTCGCCCACGTCGAGGACAACGAAGCTGATCCGACCGTGTGGTACGATGACCTTGCTGAGGCTGTCAAGTCTCTGAAGCTTTTAGCCCGTCGCGCGAGCTTCCACGAGGTGGAACGTATCGACGGAAATTTCACACTCGGCGACTCCTGGTCTCATACGAAGGTCCAGTTCCGAACGGTCGAGGACTTCGGATGCGAAGACTGGGAGTGGTTGATGCGGGGTCATGTGCTGCTGGACGATCTTGATTACTGAGCGGGGGGGATGTCAAGAATACACGTGCGGCGTAAAGGGAGCCCACCGAACATCGTTTCCGACGTGAGTCACTTTCTCACCGACCGGAGCCAACTGACGAACTGCGATTCCCTAGTCGTCAACTGGAGGACCGTATTACGTGGCTCTCCCCTGTACGGTCTGATTCGTGCTGTTCTTCCCTACGGGATCGTCTCTTCAAGGTGTTGGCGCGTAGTGCTGCATGTATAGAATTCGTCCGATATACAAATGCATAGTCTACCAACAAGCCAATGGGATGCGATTGCCAACTGGTGACCACGATCTTTCGCTATGAGTTCAGCTACTCAGAGTCAGTGTCCGGCGGTTGGTTTCTGGCAGCTATTACCATATATTGCCAGACGGTTGCCGCAGACGCATTGTGACAAATTGATTGCACAGTATACGTTCGGCCGATAGCCATTGGCAATACCGAGCGGACTTCCCTCATGCATCTCAGGTCCGAGTGATATTTGTCGACCCACTAGACGCCGGTGGGAGGTCGCTTCAAGTTGTTCAGCTGTAAATTTTGGTCAGTCCGAGTCGGTAAGCACTGCCCACTGCCCACTGCTGCAGGCTTGACGCAGCATGGAGGAGGAGGGGGAGGGGTCCATTTACTAGCAACCGGCCGGTACGCGCACGGGTGCCTCGACTTCTTGACGGTGCCAGCGCTCTCTAGCTACATTGCGACACATGGGCGTACGTGAGATGTAAGAAAGTGTGGTCCCGCGGGTGGTGGTATTTGGCGATTCCAGACGATGAAGCTTGAAGCTTGAAGCTTGAAGGTTAAGGCCAGCTTGCCCGGCTGCGAGACGCGTACGGTCACAGTCACCTGACGTTACAACGGTCACTCTCAGTTGAAAGTTCGACTGCCACGAACCTGTTGGACAATATCGTTGTTTCGTATCTGATGACACAACAGCGTGAGTTTCCGATCTTGTTTGCGTTCGCCATTGTAACATCTGAAGTTGTTCAGGTTATCATGGCCCCGCAACATGAACGGCGCACACTCGTAGAGTCCATGCGAGACCTTAGTGTCGATGTAAGTGTGTTCATTTGCATCGCTCACAGCCAGTGACACTCACCAATTATGTATACACACAGGACTCCAAGCCAGCGGAGACTGCGATATCTCGTCCCGCTAGGCAGCCCAAAGCCACTCCGAAATCCGTTCGCTGGCCCAGATTGCCTGAAGGCTGGCAGCAGCAAGATCGGTTTTTCGCGCTCGGTTGGGACATCAAACACCCTCGCCTGCAGGAGTTCGTCAAAACGTACACTCCGGAACACCTGCTCAACATAGCATACCTTATTCGCGCGCCCGAGATGCTCGAGCTGGGTTGTTGCTGGCGTCCGATCCATCTGTTCACCGTCCTTCCTCAGGATGCGAGTCCGCCCGAGCCATGGGATGACCCCGAATGTCCATCAATGAACATCGTCGCGATTGCATTTACATCGGACCAGCGGCTCTATGATAGAAAGCCTACGCGGGAGCAGTACGACTGGTTGAGCCTGGTATTCGGATGTCGTCCGGAGTGGTATAGGGATGTCTTTCCAAAGAAACACTTCCATCTTCAAGACATTTGGCCCTGACGCACCTCTGCATCGCTCGCTATGCTCGACCCCTCTGCGCTTCCTCTGACTTTACCCACCGTTATAGTTCCAGCTTCTGTGAAGGCGAGTCACTCTTGGACGAGATGTATATCTACAACTCACTGTATCGGTTCTTATGCTCAGTCGATACCGTTGCTACTACTCATACAATTGTACCGACAGTCAAAATTGATCACATCATTGGCTACCACGATTCAAATGGTCTCGCACGAACTCGCCCAAGTTTCCGTCGCGGTGTTGCATCGTAAACTAGAGAACTACGAGTCCTGGAGACCTATACATGGCAGAGCAGATCAGTGCGACTTGTTTTGCTGATCGAACAGTGAGTCAACGTACCGTCCACTCAATCATTCGTTTGCTCCATTACCCCTACTAATCCACTTCACTCGTCCCAGTACTCACTGCTCAACTGACGAAGCCTCTCGACGATCATACCCAGAACCCGGTCGCTTTGAGGGGTGTCCAGGTCCAACATTTTGAGATCGCGGAAGTGCGGTTCGATATCGGTATATAATCCCTGAAGAGACGGTTTGTACTTCTCGATAGGGCTCCTTCTGCTTGAACGTTCGATATACGCGTCGTCAGGGCCGTTCCGCGGTGGCAGGAAGTCGAGGACGGTGCGATCGTACTCTGTATAATGCCAGAGATCGCTGACACCGACTATGCAGCCGATGCGTTCTAGGTCCGCAGCTTCCCTGAACGCATGGACAGCCTGTTCCTGGGCTTGCTGGCGGAGGGTCTGGGCTATGGTGCGCTGAGCGTGATCGAATGTCTTGACGCTTGAGCGCAGCTTCACCTCAACGAGCAGCACAACCTTCTCTCGCTTGACTTCTAGTCGCTCGTATGGTACGCCATCGTACTTAACAACTTCGACGACCTTGACGACGAAGTCTGGAATGCGCCGCGACAGAACTGCCTTGACCGCTTTGATGGCAGAGCTCAAGGCTGTCTGGGGGTTCGGATTGCTGGGCAGCTGGATTGCGGGTAGAAGACCGGAGCCTGAAGTCGCCTCTTCGGCGGCAGAGATGGGGGGCCGATGAGTCGAGGTGCCATACTCAGGGGAGATTTCACCGCCGACAGGGCTTGAGTCGTCGACGTCGACTCCTCGGTCTCGATGAACACGGCGCGAGATGAGATCGATAGGATCTCTAGAGGGAGTGGCCGCCAAGGACGACATGCCGTGCTGTGTTGTTGGAAATAGAGGATTGTCGAGTGAAGGCAAGGGACGGGTGCTGCGGGTGGCTGACGGTGATTGCAGGTATTGAACACGTCTTGTCAATACGTCTATGGCGTCATCGGAAGAGGAGATTGCGGGTGCACTAGCAGGTGCAGGGGATGGGGCGAGTCCTAGTGCAGACTGGAGCACACGCGAGGCCTCCGCAATTGATCGACCGCCTAGCTGCGAAGGAGACACAGGTACATGCCTGTCGACCCCACTGCCAGCAACTGGAGTACGCAAAGCAGACCGGAAGAGATCCAATGGGTCTGTCGACGGCGTTGGGGTCCTCAACCCTCCTCCCTCGCCTAGTGGTCGCATTGGGGTCTGCATAAGCTCCGTGGCTGGCCTCGAGATGGGCCACGGGTATAGATTGTTCGAGCGCAAGGCCTGCGACTGCGAATCAATGCCCTGGCTCTCTTCCTCTTCCTCCTCGCCCTCGTCTCCTACCGCCAATATCTTCCCGGCAGCGTCTTTCCTGGCATGCCGGTGATCGTGGGATCTCGACGATTCCTGTCCCGTTGCATCCAACGGATCAATAGCCGTAAGAGGAAGCTGTGGGAAGGGTACAGTGTAGACCGTTCGCGGCGGCCGAACATGGATAATGAATGTGAAGTAAATGAAGCATACGATGGACCAGGGCGAATACCAGTATCCTTCGAGTGTCCCGAGGCGAGCGACCGCCAGCGCAACTCGAAGTACAGCGGACATAGCTGATACACCTCCGAGCGTCATATGTTCATGCAGAGCTTCGGGGGCGGGTAGATTCCCCTGTATGGGACCTCGCGAGGTCTGTCGCGAGGTTTGTGCCGTTGGCTGTGACTGTTCTGAGTCCGAATCGTTCATCTCGGAATCTCGGCGATTGTTGGGCGTCGGCGGGTCCGGAGAGGAAAGCACTCTGGGACGCTTGGACTTCCGCATGGTGGGCATCATCGCCAGGTAGGTGTGAGGGCGGGGAGAGTCGAGGAGAGGGTATGTGGGTGGAGCACAGGGCTAAGCGCTTTGCACCCACGGCTATGTTGCGGTGTTTATACTGCGACGAGACTCGAGATGAATCATGTTCGAATCGCCGTGGCTTGCTATCGGGTGGTCAGGTTAGCTTCCGCGATCCTATCATTGAGCATGATTATCTGATCTCAGAACTCTTCGATATGCTCGTGACGACGCACGAGGTATGTGAATTGTGAGCCAGATGAGCATTGAGGCCGAGGGAACAATGGAGGTGACCACAGAACAATCATGATGGACCACAATGGTTGCCTTTCTGAGCGTGTGGCAGACCCGTGGGAAATGATAGCCAACATAGGATCGCGATCCCAACCGCGAACGCCTTCACATAGCTTCACATCCGACGACCAACACTTGCTCGCCTTTTGTCGAGCGTACCGTTGTCCCACATCTTCTCACGCACAGCGTAAGTCCTCGGTGCTGTCGCGGCTGCCGTGTTGTTCTAATTGTCAGTCATAGCGGTAGCTTAGATGGCGCCACAGCGCACACTCGCAGATTCAATGCAAGGCCTCAGTCTAGATGTATGTTCGTTTGCAGTGTTGGTGGTTTGTGATACTTACCAGTCATACAGGACTCCAAACCAGCAAAGACTGCAATATCTTATCCTGATACGCAGCCCAAGCCTAATCCGAAACCGGCTCGCTGGCCCAAACTGCCTGAAGGCTGGCAGCAGCAAGACCGATACTTCGCGCTCGGTTGGGATATCAAACACCCTCGCCTGCAGGAGTTTGTCAAGATGTACACTCCGGAACACCTCCTCGACGTGCCATACCTTATCCGCGCGCCCGAGATCCTCGAGCGGGGTTGTTGCTGGCGTCCGATTCATCTGTTCACCGCCCTTCCTCAGGATGCGAGTCCGCCCGAGCCATGGGATGACCCCGACTGTCCATCGATGACCATCATCGCGATTTCTTTTACATCGGACCAGCAGCTTTATGATAGAAGGCCTACGCGGGAGCAGTACGACTGGTTGAGCCTGGTGTTTGGATGTCGTCCGGAATGGTATAGGGACGTCTTTCCAAAGAAATACGCCTATTTCCAAGATATTTGGCCCTGATGCACTCATTTCCCGCCTACTATGTCTTCTACCCCTGCTCCTCTGACTTCGCGCATATCGTTGTTGTCGCGTCCGTGTACGAACATATCTACATCTGTACTGTGTTCGGGTTGCAGATGGATTGCCTACGGACACCCATTGACTAGATGTCAGTGTACTTGTAATGAATGGTAGTATGCCACTAGCCGTCGCTTTGCCTTCACCAATCTATACTACAAGAGGCCAGGAAAGTTCTCACGGCAGACAAAGAAGACATCGGATTGGCCAGTTGAGGGAGACAAACGCACTCACCGAGCCTTGCCCGAGCCCCGAGCGCTTTCGAGTCGCGGGAATTCGAGGTCACATCGTGTCTCTCACTTTCTCATATGTACCTCCTCCGGGCTCCCGCAATCATTTGCCGACTGGCTACTCATTTGGTCGACGGGTCTACAGCTCATTATATACCTTCAAGTGTTGTGCACAGATGACCTGACCACGCTGAGCATACCGTTCTGCTTTCAAAGACGGGCATGAAGTCTACCAGAAACAGAGGTAATCGATGTCTGCACGGACGACTCAGACGTTAACGAGAAAGATCCAGACAAGCATAATAGTGTTTTGCTTGCAGACGTGGCCAATGAACATACTATGGGCACGTCAGCGAAGGACGGGCGAGCGAAGGAAGGTGAGTGCAGACGCGTGCAAGTCAGCGAGCTAAATGTGGGTAAGAGGACGCGGCGACGTGCAGCACAACACACGCACCGACCGCGAGCGCGCAGGACTGATGCCCCGCGTGCAAACACAGCCGACAGGTGATCCGTGGCCACAGACATGAGGGCGGGAAAGCAGGTACCATTGGAAAGATGTAGTCTCCCGTGGGCAGAGTATCCAATTCATTCAACCTCCGCAGGCTCCGGATATTCTTGTCTGACGTCTGCTTTTGTTACCCCCCTATTGTCTGGAGGTCGGTCTTACTTCGCCATCAGCCGCTCGGCACGTCACGACTATGTACAAACACGACGGCACAACGCGCTTTGACGCGACCGCAGCGCGTCTCGCAGACGCGTCGTTACCCTCCGGCCCCCACTGTCTTTATAATAGCTGCACACATTCCTTTGCACACTCTTCTTTACTACCTATTACACCGAGCTGGCTATAATGAATACCGTTTCCTCACCATCCATGTCCGAACTGCCCGACGACTACAACTGGACCTCAGCTGAAGGCCTTCTGAGACTCGGGTCCTTACTGCGACCTCTGTTACCGTTCGAACCCCGCGCGTTCCAGCTCTACGACTCAGCGTGCATCTTGAACGGCATCGATGTGGTATGCATCACCGCAACTGGGGATGGAAAGACAGCCCTCATCTACATCAGGAAAAAGGAATTTCGGGCATAGCGGCCGCCCTAGATACATCGCCAGGATAGGCGCTATTGGCATCATAGCCACAGGCACCCACTATACAGTCTTCCATAGCGCGCCATAGACAAGTATAGGTACTTGATAGTAATTCATAGGAATTCCTTACAGTAGATAGCATACCATTGCAGCTGTATTCTGACTTATGCCGTAGTACTGCTGATACTTCGATTGTTATGTTTGTAGACTCCATCGGCAGTGTCGCACCGTGAGCTTCAACTTGTCAAGTTCACCATATTCATTGCTATTTGTTGATCTATCTAAAGCGTGACTCGTGTGTTACATGAATGCAAACCCACATCAGTAGAAGTCCGATTTTGCTAACAGTTGCTAACGGTTGCTGACGCGCTGACGGATGCTAACGCAAAAGCGTTACAAACCGTCAGCGTGTCACTGAATGCTCACATCCATCAGTCGTTAGCAAAAGGCGCATTTTGCTAACGGCTTGTGATATGTAGCTGCTGACACGCTTACTGAAGTCTCACGGAATTTTCGTGTACCGGGGCTTGCAGGCCCACGAACCATAGCAATGCCATAATCTACATATATAGCTGTATACTGAATGCTATTGCTTCAGGCTCGCATTGGAGAGCTTCACCGCCGGTGTTGGCGGTGAACCGCGAGTTTACCTACCGCGCGGTTACATGTGGGGGTTGGCGCATCTGCACCCGCCTCCGCCGTTCTCTCGCCCTCCTCCCCCCTCCCCGCTCACTCCCCCTCGCACCCGCCCGTTCTTGCCGCGTCCCGGCCCTGCCCACCGCTGATGACCCGTCCGTGCCCAGTCCTCCGCGCGCCCTCGCCCATTCTTCCATCACGCACGGACGGTCCGTTTGTCGGTCGCGTTTGCGTGCTGGGCATTCGCCCGGCGTGCTCGTCATCGCCATGCGTGTCGTCGTCGCCTGCGTGTGCCCGCCCGCCTGCGTGTGTGTTCGCTGGCCACGTTTGCATGGTAGGCATTCGCCTTTCACGCTCGCAGTCGGCGTGTATTGCGCGCGCCCCAGCCCTCCTTAATGTCTGTCGCCGTCGCCGGTCTTTTGCTCACACGCGTGGGGTCCGATCGTCGGCCGTGCTTGCGTGCTGGGCATTCGCCCAGTGCACTCGCAGTCGGCGTGTGTGCCGTCGCCTCTCGCTTGCCCGTGTTTTGCGCGGGGGGAGGGGTCCACTCGTCGGTTGCGCTCCAGACCGTGCTGGGTCTTTGCCCGGTGTACCCGTGGTCGGTGCCGGTGCTCGGGTTGTATCTGTCGGCTACGTTTGCACGTGCGGCATTTGCCCTGCGTGCTCGTCGTCACCGTGTGCTCGCGTGTTATCGCGCTTGAGACTAGAGGACAGGGGTTGTACTCACCTGTTCTCGCCCTCGAGCCGTCCCCATCGCCTTGCCAGTGTGGTGCTTCTGCACGCCCTCCTTGCAGGCCATGGTGGTATTTGCACCGGCCTCGAGGACCGAAGTGCTGCTGGGTCTCGACGCTGCGTGTGCGCGGGCTGTGGTTGCCTCGTGCTCGTAGTGCTCGTGCACACCTGAGCCTGAGCGCAGTCGTGGGGACGTAGTGGGAATAAGGCGAGTATTGTGTCGCACCAGGGTTTGTAGAATAAGGGGAGAGCGGCGAGGGGAGAGGGCGAGATAGGCGAGCGAAGTGCGTCAAGGGGGTCGGCCGCAGCGGAGGCATGGCGAAAGACGTTCTCGATGTCGTCGAGCGCGTCGCCGACGATGTTGTGGAGGGAGCGGAGGGTCGCGAAGGTTGTTGTTACAGTCAGAAGCAGCTGGTATTCCGCCGCGGTGGACGCGGTGGACCAATAATCAAGCAGATATGATAGTCGGGGAGAGAGGGAACTTGGTGAAGAGAACACCCTGCGATCGTCTCCGTGCACAAGGGCGAGGGCTGGCGGTCACATCTGGGGGCGGGCAGGGCGGCAAGAGATGGCGACGACAGGCAGCTGGTGGCAGTGGCCGTGCGAGCGCTCCCGCGGTTTAGGGCAAGCACCGGTCACACTTGACACGAGTGCGTCGCGCCCTCCCTCGAAGCGCAATACACGATGACCTCTCCGAGTCGCCAAGCACCCATCCTCTCCTTCTTTGCACGCCTCGCCCTCCCGTCTGTACGCACGCTTTCTGACGACGCCCCCGCTCGCTCTCTGCTCCTGCACGCACGCGTGTTCCCAGCACGACCCATAAAGTGCGCGCACCCCCATCAATCCTCTCACCCGCTGACGCATGCCTCGAGGTTATAGCATCACGAACGTCCTGGCCACGCTCGGTTCACCGTACGTAGCATATTACTCGTTCTAACGGGCCCTTCAGCACCATACCAGACCGCAGCACTTCACGACCCATCACCATTGCACACCACGTCCGCCTCCACCTCCTTCCAGCCCGCCTTCGCAGCCCAGCAGCCCTCCCCGTGCGCCCTCCATATAGCCATCGCCGTGGCAGGCACACATGCACCCGAGCCCGAGGAGCAGACCGCCCACCCCCTGCGCTCGCGCGGGCAGCACGGGCAGCTTGCGGACGCGGAGGAGGATCCCTCGCACAGCGAGCATGGCTCGGACGACGCGCACGCCGCCGCTGCGCCGTCCGAGTCGATCGCCGACGCGATGACCCACGGGCCCGGCCCACACGGCGGCCTCACGCGGTCGCTCACACACAAGGAGCGCAAACTCATCAACCAGCTCGACCGCCTCAGGTTTCTCCTCGTCACCGTGCCCTCGCGCTGGTCTGGCAATGACCCGTCTTCCGCTGCGGCTGCTGCCGCGGGCCTCCTGCCGAACTCGGACTACGTGAGTTGAGTACTCTGGGACGGCCTCCACCATATCACTGGTGTCGTGCGCGCGCTCGTGTTCCAGTTCGAGGCGTTTGGCCGGCCGGTGCGAAATACGAAGAAGTTTGAGGTGAGTTGCTTACACGCATTATTCTTCGCCCACCCACTTGCGTGCACGATCGCACGGATGCCCGCGCAATCGTGCATCTGCCCGCTCGGACGCATGTTTGTACGCTTGGTACCCGCCCGCTCACTCACCCACTGATCGACTCAACCGCGAACCCACTTGTGGACCCACGAACCCGCGTTACCCGCACGCAACCCGTACTCGCTGCGGCAAATCTGTACCCGGGCGGGTGCGCTTATTAGTAGTACATAGAGTGCTAGTACTACACAATGTGCAGCATACGTCGAAAATGGAATTTATTGCCAGAAATATTGAGCACAGAACCGGAGAATGGGAGCTGCAGCAGTGACGCTTGCTGAGGATTGTGTGAACGGTTATGGCTACGTAACGACTATCTAGCGACGCGACTGCCACATCTTCCCAACCTTCTAAAATGCGACGGGTCTTGCTAACGAGTGATACGCTGACGCTATGTAAAATCGGAATTTTAGCAACCGTTACGGCCCGTCACAGCCCGTAACCGAAATCAGAGAAGTTCTGATGCAGCAAACTATGTACATGTCCGAAGCGAGACCAGGTAGTATGTACTAGACACTACAGATATCAAATGGATCTGCGCTCGCAAGCTCCTTGTTCCTCCGCCTTGAAGTAGCTCTCACTGTACTGCGCCGACTTGTCGAACCGCCGACGACCCAAAGCCGTCATCCTCATCTGTTTTCCACCACTGAGAATTCTTCAGTGTCCAGAGGCCTGACGACGGCGCAGGCGCAGCAAACGGCTGCCCGCGAAGGGACGCGATGCATGTCAGTTCAATGCCATTGGAATTGTCGAGCACTGGTTAGTACCAGATGGGCGTTGGGCGATGGAGTGACTGACTGATCGACACGAGAGCCGGGACGTCGACAAGGCTGCCTGGGCCATTGTTTGAGCGAAGGTACGGCGAGGCATAGGCACTGGAGGTGGTGGAGATGGAGGGTGAGGTCGTGTCAAGGCTGTCGTACTCGTCACTGACTCGTCACTGCAGTATGTGCTACTGGACTCTGTGGAGGTAACATAGTAGAAGCGGGTTAGTACTGGACTCCGGGCAACAGAGCGCGGGGAACGCAACCGTCGACGGTGACTGACCGACCGCAGAGGAGGCCCTGAGCGAACCACGAGCATCACGTCGCAGGGACGTGGTCGGCTTGGGAGCGAGCAATTTCGTGGCTCGCTGTGAGTTGGAGCGAGTGCGGGTGGGCGAGCGTGGATGGGTGAGTCAAGGCGTACCTTCGAGTCTCGAGCCTTCGCGCTCGTTTTCTCCACCCTCGTCGTGTCCTCTCTCCTCCATCTCGTGCTCTTCATCCCCTCATCCCTCGGCCTCTTTGCGCTCCATGCTAGCCTCCTCGGTGTTGGCACGGTCTTCTCGGCCAGCTTTGAGCTTGCGCGCACAGCGTGTGATCCCTAGGTCGCGCGGGGTTGCGTGTCGCCAGAGCCTATCAGTGCACTAGAAAGGTCTCTCGAGTTGTGAGAATATGGACGGAGACGAAGAGAGGAGCCACGGAGAACGGTCTTGTACCGCGAGTCTCCGGGTCGTCGGACGCCGCTAGCTGAGCTGGCGGCAGTTCAGCTAGACGGTCGCGCGGTGGAACTTGTCTGTCCGTTGGGACAAGGCGAGGGTCCGGCTATGGACTTGGGCGGTCGTGGTGGCTGTGTTCGCGGTCGAGGTGGTGGCGGTCGAGCACAAGCTATGTACTAGTAGTGCGGGCGGGTGAGTGTGAGTGGGCGAGCAATGGGCGGGTGCGACGCAGAGAGCAGTGTCGCAGACGCCGGGGAGGGCTCGTGTCGGAAAATTCCGAGGCGGGCGCTAGTCTTGACTCAGCGTCGTGCGACGCGCGTTGTGACTTGTCGTCCTTCGTGTCTCCTCCTCCCAACGTCCCCCAGCCCTCGGCCTCATCCTGGTGCCGCATCAGTCCGAGTGCCAACGCATCAACAAGTCGAGCGCGCAACAGCTCATGCCCACTGCGCGAAGACAATGGGCATCGCTGGATGACTGTCCGGTGAGTGCCACGTCGACTCTGCGTTTGCATATCAACACTGGACAATGAATAGACAAAAGGCCTGGGCGTCCCGTCGCCATTGCTCAAATGCCTGCCGTCAGTGATGTCAGTTTAAGTGCATCTACTTTCATTCATTAATGAATTAAACCCTGGATCTGATTTACACACTTTTGTACCCCTGTTAATCTGATCCTAATCCAATGCAGTCTTAATCCATTGCTCAGCTCATATGCCTAATTCTGGTGTATTACAGAGGTCTCTTGATGCACTCTTAATGCACTACTGATCCACTTATGATGCACTGACTTAAGACATGCTTGATCTCAGTGTATTACAGGGGTACCTTAATACACTATTGATCCACTAAAGATGCATTGTCCAAGTCAGTGCATTGCATGTTTAAGGCATACATGTATGCAGTTCTAAGCCGCTGGATTAGTTTTAGATCAAGGCAAAAAATAAAAAAGCGGACATATGGGGTTTGAACCACAGACATTAGAAAGCATTACATAATCACATCATCAAATCGGACCACAGGAACACTAACCACTACACCACAGGTCTGTTAGAAATGTTGTAACACAATGTTATATGTCACATTGCTGGGATGCTGGACTTAGACATATTTTGGATGCTGGCACAGGGTGCCCTGCATTAGTGGTGGATCAATAAGTGTGTTAGCAGTGAATTGACACAGTGTGGTAACAGTGAATTAGCAGTGACTTGACACAGTGTGTTGACAGTGAATTAGCAGTGAATTGACAAAGTGTATTAGTGCTAGCCCAACATGTGACTCAAAAGTGACTTTAACCTTTGACCTAACAAATTTGACATCTAGCATCCATTGTCAGTTGAGTCACTATTGAGTCACCTGTCTGGCTAACATTAATACACTATGTTGATTCATCACTGATTCACATGTTGGGCTAGCACTAATACACTTTGTCAATTCACTGCTAATTCACTGTCAACACACTGTGTCAAGTCACTGCTAATTCACTGTTACCACACTGTGTCAATTCACTGCTAACACACTTATTGATCCACCACTAATGCAGGGCACCCTGTGCCAGCATCCAAAATATGTCTAAGTCCAGCATCCCAGCAATGTGACATATAACATTGTGTTACAACATTTCTAACAGACCTGTGGTGTAGTGGTTAGTGTTCCTGTGGTCCGATTTGATGATGTGATTATGTAATGCTTTCTAATGTCTGTGGTTCAAACCCCATATGTCCGCTTTTTTATTTTTTGCCTTGATCTAAAACTAATCCAGCGGCTTAGAACTGCATACATGTATGCCTTAAACATGCAATGCACTGACTTGGACAATGCATCTTTAGTGGATCAATAGTGTATTAAGGTACCCCTGTAATACACTGAGATCAAGCATGTCTTAAGTCAGTGCATCATAAGTGGATCAGTAGTGCATTAAGAGTGCATCAAGAGACCTCTGTAATACACCAGAATTAGGCATATGAGCTGAGCAATGGATTAAGACTGCATTGGATTAGGATCAGATTAACAGGGGTACAAAAGTGTGTAAATCAGATCCAGGGTTTAATTCATTAATGAATGAAAGTAGATGCACTTAAACTGACAAAGATGCTGCCGTTGCAGACGCCAACCGGCGTGAGCACGGTATGGGTGGGACAACACCGCTCTCGGAGCCCGTATGGTCCATTTGCGCAGTGGTGTCACCCGCGCTCGGCGTCCGCACACCAACAACACCGCCGCCTCCCTTCTTATCCACTTGCACGCACACGCGCACACCGTCGCCTACCATACCGATTCCTAACGTACTCTGTTCCGATGTGGAGGCCGATGCGCAGGAGATGGTCGAGGTGAAGCAGCCGACGCACGGGTGGGTGCACCGTGCATATTAGTGCACCTATGTTTAGGTTCGGTGCTCGTCCCTCACTCTGTTTTCTTTCTGAAATTCACGGACACAACAGGCATACGAGCTCAATGATCGCAGTGCATACTAGGGCTAACGTGAGCATGAAGGGTCGAGGGCGAAGGTGAGCATGCATTTTCACATGCTTTCTACTGACTTCTGTTGATATGTTGATAGTGCATACCTGCGGACGCGGACCAATGCCCGCCTGCTCTGCTTGCGCGCGGCGCGCACATTCTCTCTCTCTTGCCTGCTCGCACGTCCACTCTATCTCGTCCGCTGCCGTGCCCTTGCGTGCCCATTGTTCCTCACCCATTCTCCCTCGCGCGCGCTCTCACTCGCGCGCGCTTCGCTTGCGTGCCCTTTCACGCGAACGCACATACTCGCCCTGCCAGTGCATACATACATGGCAGATAGGGCGACGGGTGGAGGATGGGTGAGACAGGGTATATGGACAGCATGGTGGGTGTGGGCGCGGGCGCGGTGAGTCGTGACAAGCACCGTGGCTCAGGCTGTTCTCAGTAGTATCATGTCTATACGAGTCTCAATATATCTCTCTGCAATTCTGTTGTCTCGCAGCACGAAGGAGTGCCTTGTACTGTCAAATTGTCATGATTGCAAGTGCTAGTAGCAGGTACAATGGGTATACACTCAGCTACTGATTGTACTCGCATATACTGCCCTATATAAGCCTATTAAGTCTATCGTGCTATGATTCTAGTGTCTCTACAGTGTTCTATACCGTCCTATGTTGATCGGCAGTGGCGCTACAGACGGCTATGATCTCAGCCGGTGATCTATGGACGGCTATAAAATAGGGGGTTCGCAATGAGCCTATGCTTACTACACCTACTATATTGTCCAACATAGCGATTGTTCTTTTTCCTGATGTACATTCCGGCAATGGTACGGGAGGACTCGATTACGGTGGTGGTGGAACCGACAAATTATCTCGAGTCTGATGTGGTGAGTGGCATTCAGATACGTTGGTTCCGGATAGTACTCTGATATGGTGGGCAGGCAGCGAAGCTCGTGGAGAAGGGTGTAAGCTCCGTCGTGATCAACAGAGACACGCTGGGAGACGCATCCCGCGATGGCCGCGACCTCTGGAACGAAGTCAAAGCGTGTCGCTACCGCGTCATTACCCTTGCCCCCGAGACCCTCGGCAGCGAAGCATTCCGAAGAGTCATCAATGATCCCGAATTCCGTCGACGTTGGCGAGTCTTCGTCATGGACGAAGCGCATCTATGTGACTTGTGGGGTGCCGATTTCCGGAAGGCCTTCAGTGACGTCTGGACCATCCGCTCGCGCGCTCCAGAGCACGTCGCTTTTATGGCGTTATCGGCCAGTGTGGAGCCAGGTCGGCAAACCGCACAGGTACTACGATGCCTTGGCTTCCGCAGAGGGCGTTACCATATGGACCGACGTGACTGCGAACGGATCAACATCAACATTATCTTCCGCGACGTTCAATATGCCTACAGTGGTTACGACTTTCGTGACCTTGACTGGCTTGTTCCGGAGAACATGACGAAGGCAGGAGACGTACCGAAACGACTCGTCTTCTGCGAGACCATCGAGCTTGGTCATCGCGTCACCCTGTATCTTCGAAGTCTCCTCCCCGCTCATCTGAAACGGGTGAGTAACATCGTTATTCGTCACATCCACTCGATGAACTGCCCGGACTGCAAGAAGGATGGCTTCGCGGCCCTTATGGAGATAGGTGACGAGCGGCGCACCTCGTTGTTCGTTGCCACAGCTGTCCTTGACCAAGGGGTCAATATCCCTAGGCTCAAGGCTGTTGTTGTGTTCCCACGCGGCAAAACGGCAGCTGCGGTAATACAGGAAATAGGACGGGCAGTCCGGGAGGGTGACGAGCAAGGTGAGGCGATCATCTACGTTCCTAAAGGAGACCTACAAGCTGCATTGGAGTATGCGAACTCCGACGTTGATCTTCGACTGCTCGAGACACATGCAGATCTTCGTGCTTCGGCGTCCGACCCTAGTCAGCCTGCGGTTGATGAATCGATGTTTGACATCGTGTTCGATATCGACAGGACGCCAGCGGCTGCTGCAAATGCGTCAAAGGCACTTCGCAGTCTTCCCACAGCTTCGGTCCCACAGAAGTCTGCCGCGAAACCTGGGTCCACGAAGAAGGGCACAGTTCCGAAGCAGCCCGCTAAGCCAACAGCACGGACGGCGCCTTCTGCGAGCGATCGACAATGTCTATCCCTCCGTCTCATGGTTGCCGCGCACGCACGAGGATTCTGCGTCACGCGGCAGATCAACATCATATACGGGAATCCAGGGACCACTCACGACTGCGGCCGTTGTAGTTCGTGCATGGAGTACCCAGTGCCGCTGGCGCGATCTCTTTCCGACTCGGTTGCAGCGCCTCAGTCCCAGACTTCCAAGGCCAAAGTCACGGCTACTACCGGCTCGACAGATGAGAACCAACAGGCTACCGTAAAAGACACAGAGGTCGATGCTGTCCGAGCTGCAGATGACAAAGGGTTATCGAATGCCAGTGCCCCGGCGGGACAACACGGACTCGCAGCAAGTCAGGCGGGACTTGCTACATGCCAAGCCTCGGCAAAGGAGAGCCTGCCACAGGCTCCGCTGTTCAAGCTCCTCGTGAAGGACGTCGACCGCATAGCCTCCGATCTCCTCGCCGCAGCGCACGTTGTACGCCAGAAGTCGACTCCGGGCGACGGGCTGTTTGTAGGCGCAAATAACTTCCTTTCACTGTCCTTCCGCAAAGCGATCGCGCGGGACTTCCTCTCCCTCGATTCTCAGGATACACTGGCCCTGTGTTTGAAGACCTGGCGCTACTGGGACATCGCCGGGGACGCATTATGGGAAGTTGTGCGGCCGATGGTGATATGTATGCGAGCGGAGTTGATCGAACGCCATGAAGATGGCAAGGCAAAGCGGCGTGCGCGGGACCAGGAGCGGCGAGCCGAGAATGCTTCTGTACATGCGCAGTTGACAGCTGTAGGGCTGGCGAACGTGAAGAGAGTCAGCCTTGTCATGCCCGTCAAACCTGAGGCTCGGCTGGGCCCCCCTCTGGGTACCATGCTACCTGTCCTATCGTCCAGCGTGGGAGCTGCCAGTGGGAACCTGAGCAACGTACCGCAAAATTCAATCCTTCAGGCTATCCCTCCGGACCAATTCTATGGCAGCACGATCAGTCCCAATCGGCGCGTTGAAAAGCGAGCTGGGGATGCTCTTGACCGCGACGCAGGACATGTCAAGCATCCGCGGTTGCCAAAGTTGCATTTTAAGCGTGCGGTGAGTACAAATCAAATGTGTGTGGGCATAGATGTGCATTGATTGGTCGTGCTATAATTACCGGCAGTCCTTCGCAGCGGCAAGTGTCAGCGTCGGAACAGAAATGGCGCAGAGATCAGACGCACCACTGACTTGTACGAGTAAGGAGAACTCGCATACTCATGACAAAAATCCATAATTAGTAAGCTATTTGTCGTAACTCGGACGTTGAACATCTAGGTCTCGAGACTGCTCTCGGACAGCAGCATACATAATGCCAGTAGCCTTCCGTACACTACGCAGACCTTCCATAATCGTACCTATTAGTAATTACAGGCTACTCTTCATCGTCAGTATACACCAATTCCATATCGCTTTCCTCCGCCGCGTCGGAATCATCTTCATGTTCTTCTGCAATGTCACTGCTTGCTCCGTCAGACTTGTCTGAATCGTCTTCATCTGCAACAACAAGAAAACCGTTGATCTGCATGCTGGGCATTGGAAGATCAACTCGGACCCCGTCGCCGCCGCTGGCCTCAGCTTCATCTGGCACCACACCTTGAGACTCGCTGTCTGTCTCGTGTATTGCACCCGCATCCCGCAACGTCCGCTTGACGAAGTCACGCAGCTTATTTCCATCCTCGAGTTGCTCGTAGCCAGCCTCGAAATCATTCCGGGGGATGTGAGTCGATGCACGGCCAGCGCAGAACTTATGCAGCTCGAGTTCAGTGAGATTCCGGGCCAGTTCGTTCAATGCTCCCTGTTTGACTGTGCGGCGATGGATGCTGCTGGTACGAGCAAGACGTACAGTTTCTTTCATACTTGTGGTGGCGAGGATGAAGGCGCGAATATTGAGGGCAATGACGTCCTGGAAGAACTCACCCCCAAAGTCTGCATTCCGCTTCTGTGACATCTTCTTCAGCTGTTTGATGTTCTTCTCCTGCAATAGGTCCATTGGGAACCAGCAACCAGGTATGCCCGACAGGTTGCATAGCCAGTTATTGAGAATTGCCTTTTGGAGCGCGCCAGAGAACTCGAACTCGAACTGACAGGTAAGCTCAATGAGCTCGTTCGCATATTTGTTGTGCCCAGAACCGGTGAACGTGAATGTCCATACCTAGTATCCATAGAAGATGATTAGTAGCTGTATCAAGAAGAGCGTGTAATTTGAAGACGAACTGCCATTACGTTCATCACACGGCCGATGTCTCCTTCGGCAATTGCGCATTGGAACTCGTAGTGGAGCATACTATCCAGCAAGCGCAGGATGGAATTTGCGAGCATCTGATCTCCGCGGAAGGGTGGTACACTGGGTAGTACACTGCGATCTACACCTGTAAACGTGGCCCTTGGCTTTGAGGGCTTGCCAGGGACGAAGAACTCCGCGACGGTTTCATCAGGATGAAGCGCCCTCTCGTATGCACCAATACAAATGTAGTGATCGCGTATGGTCTCGGAAAGTTTGAGCAGATCACTGAAAGAGAGCTGGTGAGTTGTGAAGTAGGCGTTGAGGTTGTCGGTCCTCAGATGTACTCTGTGCCCAGGGACTCGTCAGTTCAAGCGAAATCAGGAGCATATTATGCTGCATACTACTCACCGGAAGCAATCAAGTACATCTGCCTTCAGAGTGTCGAGAATCAGCCGCAGCGTTGAGTAATATTCTGGCCGCTTTTCGTCTTTCACTTTCCGTCCCAGTAGGATATTGATCGAGCGAAACGCTGACAAGTCATCGCCTTGTGTCTTTCCCCAGTGCGTGCGAAGTACACGCTCCAAATCCGCCCAGCCCATGTGCCAAAGCTGGATGAGCGGGAGTACCCAGCCGTAGCGAGTGTAGCCATGAGGGCATGTAGCCATGAATTTCTTCAGATTCCGCAGCTTCTCGATCGTCGACTGGTCGCCACCGACAATGACAAGCAGGCGGTCCACCTCCTCCTTCGAGAGTTTCAGCTGGTCAATGAAGATGTCGTCAAGAACACTGGCATTCTCCTGTGTGACACCTTCATTGAAATCCGACGTGGCTAGTGGATGCAGCTTTGTCTGACGTCCCTCTCGCATACGATGAATAGCAAGAGTGGTCTTGAATTGCTCGCATATGTTCTCGCGATGAATCTCGAGGGCTGGGACTGCTTCAGTAAGAATATTGAGTACATGCATGGCGATGACTGCGTTGAGTCGTGCCCAGTCAATGCGATTATAGAGAGTGTCGATGGTGAGCTTCTTCCGATCCTCCTTGGCCCGCGCCTCGCGTAAGACCTTGACGTCAAACGCTTGCTCAACATCGCAATCTTCCAACTCCACCAGCGTAGCAGCTGTCCCATTATACATGATATCCTTTTCCCCCAGATCGGGATCCCAGACGCGGGATTTGCGGTTGAGATTGTCATAGATTGCAAGGAACGCGCGGGCGGTGGCAGTGCGCCGCACTGCAACTTTCGCCGAGTTAGAGAGTGACCGTAAGAGATTCAACACAGTGGTGTAGGACACAGATAGTCCTACACGCCCAAGCACAGCATATACGCTGTGGGCAGCTGTCTGGGCAAATAGCCAGACTCCGACGATCTTCTGGAACAGCGTGAAGTGGGCGTTACGTGCATGCATGAGAAGCATCGCCGCGACTAGGAGAATCTGTGACCTGTGTTAGCATATATCGACCCGTGCGCACTTAAGGACATACCACATATGGATCGCGGCTATTATTGCCACGTCCGGATGGTACATGCTGCGAGAAATGGGTCTTGTACGAAAATCCGGGCTTCTCAAGTTCTGCTACATCGGGACGTCGCTTCTTGGGAACCGCGATGGCCGCAAGCACACGTAGAACAGTGGATCCTCTCGTCTCAAGCAAAGAGAGTATATTTTCCATGGAGAAACTATGCACAAATTGCCATGTTACGTCCTTGTTGCGAAGATGGAATCCGCCCTTCTTCGACACAACACCATGCGCTTCCCGGTCAAGCAACTCCTCCACGGTACTGATTGCCCAAGCATTCAAGTGCTCTCGGGCCATGAGCTTCCCACCTTCTGGTCTAACAGCATTTGCTGACTGGCCTGCAGTGTTTCGACGCTTCTTCCGGATGCCATACCTGCATTGGTACATCGCCTCGACCACTTGGCGCGCACCAACAGCGGTGCCTCCGTTCAAGAACTTGGAGACCATCTGGGCGCGTAGTGAAGATGCACCCGTTGACCCCCTTGCAGGCACAGTGAGGAGGTCGTTCAGAAACGCACCGATCGTCCAGCCTTTCCGCTGGATTTCGAGGAGAATCGCGTCCATGTGTGCAGCCTTCGTAGAATCCATTACTGAGGGGAGGGTGCTGTATGTGCCGGGATACCTGAGCTGAGGAAGTATCGAATGAAAACGGCGGCAGTGTACTACGCGACTAGGGTGTTTTCGAGTCGTGGCTGCTAACATCGCTCCGGAGTCCGTATGCGTCCCCGCCACAACCCCAGTCACGTGGGAGCGTGTACTTCGAGCTCCGCCTGGAATTCACAGTGCACGTTCAGACTGCGATTGAAAATACCGACCTCTCGACAAGGGAGCGCGTCGAAAAGTAGACTAGAAAGATGGGCAGGTGGACCGACTGGATTGAGTAGCTGGGTGGACAGGCAGAGACTCTGAGAGCGGGCAAATAGGTAGGCGAGTCGGACAGCGCCAGTGCCGACCGCGAGCGCAAATGCACAGAATGCACACGCGGGCGACGAGTCCGCCGACGACTCATGCATGGCGACCACGAGCGCGGTGCGTGGCAGCATGCAAACACGACCGACGAATCAACCGCGCGCGAATGGGGAAAAAATGCGCGAGCGCGAGCGGGGGACGGGCGAGCACGAGCGGAGGACGATGCGCGAAGACGAGTCGGCGGCAATGGGCGCGGCCGGGGCGCGGCAATGCAACACACACGACGACGGCGCACGAATGCCCTCTCGAGTGGCGGCGCGCTGCGGGAAAGTCGGAGAGGTACCTCATCGCATCTCTCTTTCTCTTCAGTTTATCAACTGACAATCATTTTACGACTGGCTACTAACTGGGCCGGCTTCAATATTTGACGACCTGACCACGCCAGACCGTGCTGTATGTATGTTCTGCTATAATGATTAATCCAGAACGACATTTGGACGAGCGAGAAAAAGGAACACAGGAAGTTTGCCCAAACCAGATGTTTGCGCGGATGACCCAGACACAAACCAGACATACCCGGACAAGCAGAACAGTGTTCTGCGTGCAGATGGGGCCAACGAACGGACTGCGGGCGCGTTAGCGAAGTAGGGATGAGCGAAGGAAGGTGAGTGGAGACGTGTGCGAGCAAACAAGCTGAATGTGAGCACAGGACGCGGCGACGTGCAGACGTCAACCGCGAGCACGCAGGACTAATGCCCTGCGTGCAAACACGGCCGACGGGGGATTCATGGCCACGGACGCGAGGACGGGCGAGCAGGCAACAGAGTGGGACGGTAGGCCAGCCTGGCACGCAGGCGACGACGAGCGCATGGCGACGACGAGCGCATGGCGACGACGAGCGCACAGGGTGGATGCCCAGCATGCAAACGCAACCGATGAGTCGGGCCGCGCGCGCGTGAGGAAAGAACGGGCGAGCCTGAGCGAGGGACGGGCGAGGACGAGCGAGGACGAGCGGAGGACGATGCGCGAAGACGAGTCGGCGGCAATCCGGGCGCGGCAATGCAACACACACGGCGACGGCGAGCACGCAGGACGAATGCCCTATGTGCAAGCGCAGCCGGCGAGCGGATCACAGCCAAGTGTGCAGGTGAGGGCATGAACATGGGCACGGGCAAGAGCATTGAAGGGCGAGTAGATGGTGGAAACGGGCGGGCTTGAGGGCAAGTGAGTGAGGGCCAGAGGATGGTAGGGGATGGGCGAGCCGAGTGATTGCGAGAACGGGCGAGCGCGAGGGCAGGCAAATCGCCGAAACGAGCAAGTGCGATGGCAAGCAAGCGGGATGCAGGTGCATGCATGCCGTGACAGGAAGGTAAGTAGTATGAATGTGCAGTAACTCAAGAGTATTTGTTGTCGGTGGTGGATAGCTGGTGTTCATCGCAATATCATCACGAGAACTAACTATGAGAATCTTATGGTGGAGGAAGGAATCACGGGCAGAACAGCTGGAGGCACGGGGCCATGAGGCCGACTCCCGAAGGGAGGAGGCCGAATGGCCCAAGTTCGAGCTATCACTGCTACTGAGAGTTCTGTCCGCAGCGAGGACAACGATCGGAATGTAAAGCTGACTGTAAGTACATGTTACAGTGATAATACCCAGTCCGTAGCGGAGCACGGGTATCCGCTAGTGATGTATATATGAGGCATGCTGAGTACGCGCGCATTGCGCGTTGTTTACTGTAACGCCTCCGGATCGGACGCGGTGCCGCCTCCTTGTCACGGGCACGTGAACGTGACGTCGCGCGTTCTACAGATACGCGTTGCGCAAATGCCAATGGGGGGCCAGCCCGTATACAGCAGAAATGGCGTCGTGGACCAGTTTTATGGTCTTATAAGACTTTCGAGGTGCCTGCCTGCAAGGATATATGAGTTTTACATATAAATACAACAGTTGATTCTACACCAGCTCTAGTATCGACTGTCTATATGGATCCGAGTACTCTCTACATCGCCCTCGAAATGATCTGTCACAAAGAATCAGAAATACTGCGGTTCCGCGAACAGGATGTGGCCCGCACCTGGACCTGGTAGGACGCGGGCGAATATGATTGTCGGAACCTCTGTCTGCGTCTGTGCGATGCTACCTAGCCAGTAGCTCCCGAGTTGCGTATGCGGCTCGAGGGCGACGTCCTGGTCCACGGCCTCATTAAGGTTGATGAGCAACCGCGAGACGAGGACGCTCGCCATGCTACAGAGGCTCAGAAATGAAGCTCAATCGGAGAAGGGGGCGATACGAACGAGGTGATGAAAACGTTGAGAACACCGTACGCCTAGTTGGAATGTGAGCACATGTTTGCACGATATACGTGAAGCAGTGGGCGACTTACCGTCTGGAAGCTCGTTACCATCTGCGCGACGTTGAGGATGAGCAGAACGCTATGCGGAAGTCAGAAGGGTGGTCAAACGCAACTGCACGCCACGCACAGGAAGCAAAGCATTCCTACGACAATCGCAATCAACGATACTGTCAGACCTCCGTAGCATTCGCTACGCACCATCTCGTATGAGCAGATCCGCGAGTGTAGGCGCATCTCTTCGGCCGCGCAGCATTTCCCTGAGGCAGAATACCCGGAGCTTGTTCCCGTCGCCGGAGGTCTTGTACCATGTCACCACGATGACTATGAGATCGCCCGCAATCGCGCATGCGCGGGAGGCATATAGCACTGCATCAAGCAACAAAGTTGCATCAAAAGGTGAAGTCGCCAATATGTCGCTGTCCATGAACGACGCACATCTACGATCAGTGATATGTCAGACGATCCATCATGCAGGACATCAGTCGAGGCGGAACGCGCACCGTGTATCCAAACTCGGTGAGATGCTGGCATCGGTCGCGCAAGTGGTAAAACTCGGTGTGAGGGAGACAGTGAGGAACTTCGTCTTGGCGTATAGGACCTGCAGCCGGACGCTGTCAGCATACTGTTGGATCGCTTGAAGGTACAGACCTGACCATATTTGAAACGATCGGCATGAGGCCGAGCAACAGTGTTACGCAGGCCAGCGCACGGCTCTGGCTGAGCGCTTTGACACGGATTGCCGAGACCCCTGCACAGTTGGTTAGCTCACTTGTCTCAATCGGCTTGTATATGTATGCATCTCACAGGACCATATTATGTAGGAGGCGGTTATGAAGATCTCATTCGTGATGAGGATGCCCTCGCAGCTGTGGGTAGACATCTATTAGTTGTGCTCGTTTAGACTGCGCGGGGTAAGAAACATACCCCTGTAGAGGAATTCATCGACGTTGTAATAAGTGTCTGTACGTGCAATCGCATGCGAGTTTGCATACCTCTGTTGAAGGCCAGGATAGCATGCCGAGTATTCCCGTAACGGCCAGCCCCACCATAGTCACTCGATTCAGAAAGAACACCGGCGCCGCCCGCGTCTTCGAGCCCCATATGAAGCGCACCTCACTCCCAATGGTCAATAAACAGTCATAGATCAAGAGGGCTATATTCACGTTTTCAGCGAGATCCGTACAAGCTATAGACAGATACGCTCACCAGCAGGCGCCAACTGGAAGTAGTCTGCGATGAGGCTGCACAAACGGTTGAGCGGGCGCCGGAAAGAGTTAGCAAGGACGTACTTTGGCGAAAGATAACGAGTGATTTGTGGTTCACTGAACTGGGCCATGGCGCAGCGTCTGTAACGAACGAAGGTGACAGGGATCCCCGGTGAGCATGGGTCCTGAGAATTCCTCTTCCTCCTGCAGCCGGTACATATACTACATGCATATAGCTGGCGAAGGCGTCTCTGACATGATCAATCAATCATCACTGCGAAGGTCGACGCGGAAACCACACCTATTCCCATCAGCATGCGGTGGGATGATTCGCTGAATGCCGGAAGCGGGAGAATCCTTCACAGCATGTTTGTATCTCCATGTATGAAGATGTACGGTAGGCACTCATTGCGGCCGGTACGTATCGAGACTCGACGTCATCATCTGTGGGCCATGAATGCTCAAGAACCCTCATCGTCGCGAGGTGGTGCGCAGCACGTATGCACTTGCGCATCGCAGGTTCAACCGCGGGGAGACTGGGATCGACATATATGTGGCACGCACTGAATTGGACTGGACGCAAGTGTGCCGTCGTATGCGTGCCTCTCTGGTAGGGAAAATAGTTGGGTGGGGCAAACGAATGCATCGCCTGCAGCGATCAGGTCGGTCAAATCAGCCGTCATCGCCTTCACCGAGAGAAACCCTTCGTTGCGAGATAGAATCGCAAAACGTGCGTTCGTCTGTGAGTTTCATGGTGCTTCCGGTGGGTTGACACGAAGGAGAATGCCCTGTAGTTACCACCGTGGTTTGAATGAGAAGGCACGAAGGGGACCGTTGATTATCAAGGAGCAGGACGCACCAGCGCATCGCACATGTAGTAGGGCGGGAAGGATAGGTTACTCGATGGTCTCGTTGACTTCTCATGCTCTGCGCCATCGGTGAGGTCGCCGACCTCTAATTCCTTCAGGACGATGTCGTGCGTACCTCGTACAACAGAGCATTGATCATACCAGACGATTTATATCCTCGCTGTAAAATCCCCGTCGTACTCGTGAGACCGTCGCCTTTTGTATTGGTCGTGATTCACAGCAAGCTCAGACCTTGACTCTTGGCTCGGAGGCGTCGGTAGAAGCATGTTACGGAAGAGGCGGTGGTGTTGACGGTGTTACAGCGACAAGCGGTTATTTCCCCGCCTAAGAAAGGGCATCCGCAGAAGAACAAAGAATGGATCAAATAAGTAGCATTTAGTGGACGACGTCGAGATCCATGAAGACCTTCCCGTTTGGCGCCTACTGTTGTACCGGATTCGGAATTCCGTGGCTGGTCACCTGACCAATCACACTGATCGAATCGAACATCGCCCATGCGCATTGCGATACTACTGCGACAGCTCTTTTACCTCTTCCACAAGACTGCTAAGTAGACGGCGCTTTAGATTCAGTACTTGTTCTCGTATGCTGCAAAGGCTTCATTTCTGCGCATAACGAATAGTTGATCCTACGAACGTCGTCGAGTTCAAAGCCCAGAGGCCCCTCTGTGCATCTGCATCTCTTCGAGACGGGGATGAGTCAACGCAACAGTCGCAACTTGAATCTTCTCGGAAGCTGTCCAAGCCTACAGCTGTCGTTGAGGTGAGCTCAAGCTCATCAGCCCGGCGCGGGTCTGAGGGAGGAGGAGAGTAAATCCTCGTCCAGCGCCCAATTGCTATCGCACATAGAGCATATGCAACACGAAGACCCCCCTGGTCTGCTGTCAATCCAATTCTGATTCACAACATTGACAGTCCACTATAAAAGTTGCCAGGCCCGCATGTCTTGGCTACGGGTCTGTCTCAGTAGGTCTTAGTCTTCGTTGCATATATACCATAATGATGATACTTAGCCGGTGGTCGCCCCTTATGCTGCATGCGGGCAGCGGCGCGCATACGATCCTTAAGTCCGGCACAAATCCTTCACACGTGAGGCCGTGTGGAGGGTCTTGGTATGTCCGAACCAGAGGCCTTGCAAGCTTGCGCCCGTGTAGATTGCCGTGGATAACTTATTGATGATACTGTCATAGTTGTGCATGCATGGGCCTGCATGGGTCCATCTTTGGTCCATCTAATGAAACCTTCTCCGCAGATCCGTCCTTAGCGTCATCATACACAAGTACTGCACTTCGGACATCCGGAGGCTCTCCCCGATTCGGAATCATCCTTGGCACGAGCCTAAGCAGGCCTAGGCTTCTTCTGCCCGGTGCCGGGTTCAGCTAATAAGTGCCAAAGGGGAGACTCCATCAGGCCGGGGGAAGCATGCCGGGACGCACTACTATAGACTACTATGTGGCAAACATATATGTAGGCGCAAGATCGATCATTCTGCTCCTATGGTCGGCCATATCCCCAGGTAGTCTTTGGCCCTTCTGAAGAACTCCAGGAAGCATGTCGGACCCAACTTTGGAGCAGGAGCTCGCCTCCATTTTGCAAAGCAAGTGCGTGTCACACGACTATTTACTGGAAAACAGAGCACTCACGCGAACTTTCGCGACCATAGCTTCACTGCGATCTGCTGCCAGACAGTCATTTGCGGTGCGTTTAATGGACACTTGCGTATGACAGTTGCGCTGATCGAGTTGCTACAGGAATCCTGCTGTACGACTATATCCTCACGTTCGGCAAGGAGGTAGAGCTCGTCTGGCAGAGACCTACAAGGGCGCTGGGGGGGACTGTTATATTCTTCCTCAATCGTGTCGTGGCCGTTGGAATGATCATCCTGGGTAATCTCAACACGGATCTGGCTCGCTACACCTATGCAAGGTAAGGATGTCGACCCGGTGGCCTCATCTTGACTTCGTAACGTCTGCGTCTTAGTTGCAATTATTCGGTTATTTTCGATGTGGCCATCACGTTGCTGGCGTACGCCGTATGGGCTGGTGAGTTCGTCGATCTTGATCGTGTTTGCTTCGTCGTGCTGAGAAGCTCTCCAGCTGTCTCCGCCATCAGGGTACACGCCCTCACGAGACGCTACTGGCCGCTCACCTTGCTGACACTTGCCCTGGCACTCCTACCACCGGCAGTAGACATCGTGAGTAGTTTTTCTGCTTGCCTGCCGAGGATACGGTTCTCCAAGAACCTTGTCGCTGATTGAGTATCGACTGGCAGTGGCTCTCATCCACCATGACGTTCTCGATAGCCCCCCTCGGACCTTTGGTACTGTGCATGGAAAGCTCGCCCGTCTCTACACAGTTGAACACGAAGTAGGCACACCTTTCCATCTGTCAGGCTACGTTACTAACACACTGCTTTTACATATTCAGAGGTAAGGGTGTCGATTAAGTGTCGAGATGCCGACGTCTCTCAAGGAGCACGTATATATAGTACTTGTGGCAGTCCGCACTTGCAGCATGGGCTCAGACCTCATTGTGTTGCTCGTGACGCTGTACCACGTCTGCCCACGACCTTGGACGAGAAGTACGCTGCCCAGCCGGTCGATCTCGCGCATGCTACTCAGGAACGGTAGTACGCTGGATGCGTCCGTATCGTCGCCACATAACTTAACCCTCAATGATCTGTACCAGGGACACTATACTTCATGTACGTCGATGCCATTCTGGACTGGATGAGTTCGACCGACTCTTGGGCATTCTAGCGTACTAGCAATCCTCAACATCCTGGAAGTCATTGAGTATTTGGGCTCAGTCGGTCACTTATCATACCCTACTCCGATACAGCGTTCTGAATTGCATGATTCCTGCAGGCGACGGACTACGTCAACCTCTTCATTGCACCGTGCGTTGGGACAGTTCTATCACTCAGGCTGAGGTTGGCGGCTTACGCACGTGGATCATCAGGATCTCCACAATAGTGGTCTCGCGGTTCTTGCTCGACATCCGGGAGGCGGCGTACACGTACGACAGCGAGTTCGATGCAACCATGACACAGGACCCCTCCGTCATGACGCCGTCACTTGGCGGCAAATCACGAATGTGGCAGACACTTGATCTCGAGATCAATTCATACGGTGCGTTCCGCTCGGTGGCAGGTCACGCTCATCAGGATGTTCACGACTGGGTACTCACGAACGGATCCAAAGGAGCTATGACAGGCACCACTGACGTCGACCAGACAAGCCGTGGTCGAGATTCGTATACGGATGATCAGGAGGAGGAGGTATCCAATTAGCCATCGGCCGCAGGTGCCCTCGGCATCTTGACGGTGGCAACTCTCACTATCATTTAGTACGACACCACAACCCATACCCTATCATTTACGACACCACAACCCATACCATCCTTTGTACAAGCAAGCAGGCAATCATTACCACCCCAGACTGGCCCCGGTCGTGGAGAGCAGCGACGACCTCCTGATGGGCCATTGCACCTTGTAGTAATATCGCCCGTAAGTCCCATAGGCTATAGTGATGTTGTAGTCTCACGCGGGACAACGCTTGCAGGCGCTCGCTATGAGAGCTGCAGGGGCTGCTCCTCTGAGGTGATCAATCGATCAGGAGTTGGACGCCTTCGAGCGTCGAACATAACCACCCGCCAAAGAGGGTACACCGAGTGCATCTGCCTCAGCGGTGCGTTTCGTGGTCACGTCTTGCAATGAACTACTGTAACTTCAACATTTCTACCCTGCCCTAGGCACATGCTTCATAAAGCTTCGTAACGATCATATCGGGGATACTATACAATGAAAGGAGTACATGTTGTAGGGCACGAGGGAGACACAGTGACAATAATGAAATCATAGATAAACCAGATCGCTACCTGAGCATGAAGGTCGAAACGCAAGTCCGCATACAACCGTCTAATAATCCTCATCTTCCTCTTTCACCGCTGCTCCAGCGAATCCAGCCCATCTGCCTCCGCCGACCGCCCAGTCGTTGTCTACACTCGGTCTAGGCCTGAAGCTCTCCCGGCGAGCCCTCGAAGCCTTCTTCGCTAGGACGCTCGAGTTCAGAGCAGGCGCGCCATAGGTGCGGTAGGACGTTGTGCTCGTGGATGATGTTGACCGCATCTGGCTATGCGACGCTTGATACGAATAGCCGGAATGTGCAGCCTGGGCCGACGGTACCCTTCCGTGGCCAAGTGCATGGTGCACAGTACCAGGCTTCGGGACTGGCATCGCAAGGGGAACCGGGCGAGGAAGTGACGACGTAGGAATGGAGGTAGACGGCGTCTTGCTCGGGATCTTCGACGGCGAGCCTGGTCTATGCGCGCCCGGGCCCTTACTGCTCCCTAGATATACCGGACCCCCGTGAGCGGGCGCGTTATTATGAGCAGCTGTTGACTCGCCGAGACGGGGACGTTTGCTCGGATGTGAAGACGTGGCCATGCTCGATCCGGGACGCACAGCGGGCGTCACCACGCCTGACACCTTCGTACTGTGAGAGCCACCGTGTGTTGTGGCTGGCATGTAGTGATGTGGCGGATTCGAGGGTGTTCTGGAGCGCGGAGGTACTGAGCCAGCGCGGGCGCCGGGCGTCTTGCTCCGCTTGGTGTTCTCCTTGTCGTTGGCGCCGACAGTCTCCATGAGCAGTTGTACCATGCTCTCACCGTGGACAAGGAAGGCGCGCCTGGTCTCCGCCTCCCATGCGGGGATCGACGCCAGAAGGTCTTGCTCGAGCTTTACATAGATGACTGAGCGGCTGTGTATGTAGCGAATCTGGCAACCCACGTACCCTTGGTTTCTCCTTGCTGACACGCTTCCGCATCTTCTCTTCACGGAGCAAGCGCCCTGGATCGCGCGGGCCTCTACCAAGTAGACGGTTCTGGTCACTGGCCGCCGCGGCGAGCTCCTTCTCGTCATCGCAAATGTCGAAGTACTTTCGGATGCTGGCCAAGAGCGGGCCCTTCAGCCGCCGCTCCTCCTTCAGTCGTCGAATCTCTTCTTCGTGGATTGCCAGCAGTTCTTCTGTGTGTTCATCTGGGCAATCACGTCTATCAGCGAAGAACCTCTGAATGGTCGTTGAATGTCCTCACCATCTGCGAACGGTGCGAAGTCTGCTCGCTCTTCCTCGCTGACCATAAGTTCATCCCAGAGCTTGATGATCTCTGCCCGCGCGTTCTCAACGAATGTGCCCATCCGCTCGCGCTTCAGCTCTAGCATGCGTTCCAGCTCCTCTTCGTAGGCCTTCACAGTGACATCCGTGCTCCCCCGCTGTGCATTCACGAACTCGTCCATGTCCGCATCCGGTACACCAAGTCTGCGCCAGAGCGCCTCGAGCTGGTCGTACATCGCCTGAATATGCGCCTCCCGCCGCCGCTTGACGTCCTCGAGCTCCGCATGCGTTGACTCAGCCCAGGCCATTAGACCTGGCGTTGGGTCGACACCCTCGAGGCCCACGTGAGCTGTAACAGAGTCATGCAAGTCCTCTTCGGCGATTTCTTCCATGCGAGCAACAAATCGGGCGAAGATACGTTGGTACTCGGCTTCGGGGACCTCTCGTGGCTCGTCTAGTATCGAGACCAGCAAGAGTGGCGCGGCCTGTTTCGTACGATTGGCGGGAGTAGGAGTAGACATAGGTATTGACATGGACATAGATGTGGACATGAACGGGTCTGATGTAGATGCCGTGCGGTTGCTGCAGGACGAGGTAGATCGAGGGAGAGGTGGAAGGGTGAGTGATGAAGGTGATGGGAGGTCCTCGAGAACCGGTGGTGATATGCCAAGCTCGGTATGGAGCCAGTCTATCTGCACCATGGTTGACGATAGTTGCGTGAGTCGCTTCGTCTAGCATGGACTCAGGTAAGTAGCATCTATGAGATAGAGGAACGTAGACGCACAAGTTCACCCTTCCCGCGGACGAGCTCCTTCTCGAGCCTCGAGAACCGCTCGGGCGTGACATCGCGATGTGATGCAGAGTCGTATTCGTCCTCCCCCAAAGCGGGAGTAGGCTCGAGGATGTCTTGTGGGTAGAATTCAGCACCCAGCGTATTCGCAAGAACGCTGAGCCGGCCAGTGAGGGTCAGAAGTTGTTCTAACTTTGTATGATACAACTAATGAAGACGTAACAGTCAGTAGCGGTCCAACGCAGTGACAACGCCTATGTGCAGCAACGGGACCCAGAGCATTTCGTACGAATAGTCGTCGCAAATGAGGCGGTTGAAACCATGATGAGCTAGAGATCGCTCCTCCGGGCTCTGGAGGCCTAATAGTAGAACTGGTCTACAGTATGCTCACATCGACCCGGAACTAGCAGCTTCGCACAGCTCAGATGCAGAACTCACCTGTCGCAGCTTTTCTTGGTACTCCGAAGCAATCTCGAACCGCCGTGGCAACACCTGCTCCTTCCGGATCTCGCCCACACTACCGCCTGTGGTCTTTACATGTCCACCAAGCGCGTTTCCATAGCGTATACAATGGTTCTCAATATCTGCGCACCGCTTCAACCACTCGTCCACCTGTTTCCGTCGCAGGTCGATCTGGCTCTCGATGCATTCTGTGAGCTGGTGCTGGAGCGTCGCTAGTTCGTCGGTAAGCGCGGTTGGGGGTAGTCCGAGCTGTGCATGAAGAGTGGGGAGGAGTTGTGTTTGAGATTGAAGATGTGTGTGGAGGGAATTGAGGAGGGATGTTATGGTCGTAGACATGGTCGTGAGTCGTGATGGTATCGGTTCAAGTTCGAAACGCGTCCATTTCGAACCGCGTTCTAGTCACGTGTGTCGCGTCGAACGCCCTGCTGAGCGCTGAGGCTTGCCCGCGCCGCGCTCCTCCTCCTCCTCAAGTTCGACTCACCAAGTCTCGACGCATGTGCACCACAAACGCTGAATGCAGATGCCATTCTGATGCACGGTGTATGGAACCGGTGATGTACATGTACAGTACTGCGAGTGTGGTACTAGGCTGTGGTTGGGATACAAGGTAGGGAGATACACATCTATGGTCTAATGGTACAATTCGTGTTCAATACAGGTATGATTGGAGATAGGTGAACTTTCAAAGACATTGAATAGCGTAGACCAAGAGGCCTTTTCCCCAGGAGACTTGACTACAAAGACGACGACTTAGAGCGCCATTGTCACGCCGACCAGGAGTGGCCAGAGGATGAAGACCAGCCGAAACTTGAGGCGTTCAACATCCATGGTGTTTCGTTTCCAAGATCCGCTGGTGCCCGTGCTGCTGTGATGCTGTCTCCGGTATGCGTCTCCAGTAGAAGCGGGCAGGTAGTACGAGCTGCTCAGAGTGCTGCTAGACATCCCGGAAGAGTACGTTGACGTGGCGGAAGTGTTCAAACTCGTAGGGATGGCAGAGAACCTCGAGAATGTGCTCGTTGCGTCGTTCCCCACGGCGAAAGCAGAATAGGTAGTCGATCGTGGCTCAACCTTGTCCGCGCGATGGTAGGGAGGCGTGTCGTCCATGGCAGTAAGAGTAAACCGAGCGGAGTAGACAGTTATCTGCGGGTCCTCGCAAATGAAGCGCAAGTGGCTAACGAACATCAGCGACTCAGCCCGAACATCACATTGAGCTGTACTCACTAGTCTGACCCATTGGATCCCAGTGTCGGAGAGATCCACACCGACTTCGAACGTTTCGTCGGTTCGACATTCTGCGCCAGCGTTGCGACGTAGTCCTGTACGTACCTCAGACAAGGTTATCACGTAAAGACGGCAAGAACACGAACATTGTCTCCGGAGTACAAGTCAATCCGAATTGGTCCCATCTGCGACACGGAAGGCTGAGTATCGTCGTTGATCCATGTGATGGTTGACAGGCGACCCGCGCTGAAGACTGTGCTTGCTATAGGACGAGTGGGGTACAGCCCAGCGGCAGCAGAGGAAGCGAGCAGAAGCAGCGTGCCAAACGAGAGCTTCATGGCGGTTGGCTGAGACGATGTTAGTCTAACGTGAGGTCGTATCGCGGCTGAGATGTTGAGGTTCCGGAAGAGACGAAGAGAGCGTTCGGTTTGGCAGGATTATTGGTCAAGCTCGCCGGTGAAGTTCAACTTCTCCGAGACTACGAGGCAAAGCAGATACCAGATCAAGTCTGAGGCCACGCAGAGAAGGTTTTGAAAATGGAGAGCCCGAAGGGAGGGCGTCGCACGACGCAGACGGTTGAGTCCAACGAGCGCCGCGGCGTTGAAGTTGAGGCGTGATGTGACATCATAACGGTGGTGTGACATGTCGCGTCTCAATTTGTCACGTGTACCATACTGCCTATACGGGCGCTTCCGATACTCGAGCCCTCCCATCACCGGCAACCGTGTCGACAACTGGAACCTGACGAGAACAACAACGAGCAGATGTCGACAGCTCAATAGGCCCGCACGGGTCAAATTAGGATGTTTCGGACACTCTTGACGCCTCTCAGCGCACGGTTCTCGCTCCCGCAGCTCTCACCGAGGCCGGGTATTACCTCGTTCCCGCAGAGTAGTGCGGATGACCGAGCGGACGAGTTGGACCCCGAGGAATTCGCACGAGATGTCCTAGTCCAACTCATGAGGAACGCAGTGGAGAACCTGAAAGCAGCGGAGAATCTGAAGGCCAAGGCAGAGGTACGTCTGGTTATGCACGACCGTCACGGCGGCTCACGTTCTTCGTGAATAGTTGCTGGCTGAGATGCACAAGATCATGTTGGAAGATGCGGCAACCAAGGATGTCTTCCGAGAGATGGACGGGTTCCTCGTGGTCATGAGCGTGCTCTCAACGCTTCAGGCCGTGGAAGACGAGGAAGCCAAGACGGAGATCCTCGAGGCAACTCGACTCGCGTTCGTCATGCTGTCTGAGGCTCTAGAGGACCATGTGGAGAACAGGGAGTACTTTCAAGTAGGTATTTAACACATCTTAGCGTCACTGCTTCTGACGTATGTGCAGCATTCAGTCGGCTTCGACTCGCTCGGGCAGGCTATGTCAACACTCGTTTCCGACACCGCTACTGTTAGGCATACGCTCGGCTTCCTGGTCTCTCTTGGCTTGCACAAGTTCTCAATGGCAGGTATCTTCGACATCGGCACTGAGGCAGACTACGCACAACTGGACCATCGGATACGTGACTTCGAGCCCGCATTCGGACCCATCCGCCACGCGGAGGCATTTCGCCTACTCTTCAGCTTCATTCCACAAGCCTCAGCCGACGGGCGCCCCTTGCGCTACTGCGTTCTCAAGCTTCTTGAGAGGCTTTCATACCATAGCCACAGGAACCACTGTCTGCTTAGCAGCCTCGCGTTGGTCGAGCCTCTCTTCCGCAGATATTGCGAGTGGAAGGAGGATGCCGACATCGCGAAGCCTGAACGCCAAATCGTCCAGAAGCTCCTTCGGCGGTTCATTGACGTGGGGACAAGCACCGATGAGGCGGCTGTGATGTTCCAGCGCGCTGTGCGTGAGGATAACACGCTTGATGCGGACGTCTTGGAAGTGCTCCGAGCGGGTATGAAGGTCAAATGGCCTGAGCATCTCTCGCTGGAGGACTCCGCTGCCATTCAAGTGCCTCATCATGACACGAGAGGGCTTCCGTTAGCGGGTTTCACATTCATGGTGAGAATGCGTGCGTTCATTGTGCGTCGTATAAGGCTGATGATGTACCACGCTTAGATATGGCTATGGATTGAGAAGTTCCCTACGAACAGCTCGCATGCTATCTTCTCATTCCGCTTGCGAGACCGAGTGTTTGTCGCACTTGGAATCAGACCGGATGGGAACCTCGACTGCCAGACGACGGAAGCTACCAAGCTGAAGGCTGCAATTCATCGTGCACGGTGGACGCATATAACCTTCGTGTTTCACCCACATCGATCAGCCAACCCCACTGTCCGTCAGTACCCATCAGTTTGTTGTCCATGTATGCCTCTCACACCACACAAATTTGCAGGTATCTTCATCGACGGTGTTATCACGGATGTCATGAAGTGGACGTACCCAAAGCCCGAGTACACCGCCGGAGTTGGTATCTACCAGATAGGCGACAACAGCGGCGTAGCGCCGATGAGCTGGTCAATAGCTTCAAGTTATCTTCTTGCCACCCCTCTTGGTATGTTCATGCATGATTTGGCAAGCTATGTGCTGATCCTAGTGTGCATTCAGCGGACAGCATCCCGCGCTTCATACATCACCTCGGCCCCCGGTATTCGTCGCGCTTTCAAACAACACAACTTGCGCGATTTTTTACCTATGAGGCGTCTACTGCCTTGCACATCTTCATCGACGGTGCAGCCCAGCAGTCGGTAGCAAAGGCAGATATCATGCAGCTCCAGCGTGTCGTCAAGGAGGGGCTGGCCGTCGGCGAATCGTCTCTCGTATTCTCGCTGAATACCTCGAGCGAGCTCCAGAAGAGTGACACCGGTATTCGTCTGGGCTTCGTTGGTATCGGCGACATCTTTCTGGTGAAGAATGGCACTCTAGACATGGCACTCTGGAAGATCGGTGGTGCCGCTGTCGCACTACGACTTGTTCAACTTGCTAATGTGCGTGGCTGGTCGACGTCTTCCTTCCCTTGCTCACGACAGTGATATAGAGTGATCATCAACTATCACGAGCTCTGGGTGTACTCACTGACGGAATCCGCAACAGCTGGCAGAACTCTGAGGACATGGAGCGACTTCGTGAGTTCGGCTTGCTTACAGATGCGTTGAGTCTGACACGGGGACAGGCGGCTATGACATCTTGGCTGACCTACTCCGGGCCAAGCCGGACCTCATCAACATGACTGGATTCGAGACAATATTCGAGTTCCTAGGTCTGAACTTTCGTTCTCCTGAGTGAGTGTTCATTTTGCCTGCTGCTTTGCAACGCTCAGTAGTATTAGCCAGTCCACGATTGTCAACGCCGTCGCATACCGTGCTGTTGCGCTCGACTTCCAGTTGTGGGCCTGCACTCGCGCTGAGATTCAGCGCCTGCATATGGAGCACTTCCAAATCTTGCTGCAGACGAGCAAGTATAAGCGATTCAATGTCAAAAATCGGTTCGCGAAGATGGGTGTAGTGCGCAAGCTCCTGTTCGTCATGCAGACGTCGTTGTACTCGTACGACATGCTCCAAGAACTCCTGGGAACCATGAAGATCGTTGCGCAAGTTCACTTCACTGCAGATGACGCTATCAAACCTATTGTGTCCTACTTGGCGGCGAATTTGCACGAAGGCAAGTGCCGAGTATTAATCGCTCCTGGATGTGCTAACTAGTGGGCGGTAAGCTAGTAGCTGAACCGTCTTCGCCACGATCTGTCATCTCCCGTATTGACTACAGCAACGTCCAGTCGAAAGCCGAGCAAGTCTTCACCATGCTTGTGTCCGTCCTCCGATTACCTGCAGCATACGAGAGGTTTTCCAGCACTCTACCAGTACCCCGCATTTCCCTCCTGCTTCTCGGAGAACGTCCATTACCGGCGACAGCGGCCAATGTGCTGAAGCTGCTCACTATCAGTGTGAAGTCCTCTAGCTCGTTCAACCGGAAGTTTGAACTGGTCAGCGGTTGGAACATCGTCAAGGCCGTAATACCTCATGCGTGGGATTACTCGGTACAAAGGGCGGCATTCGACCTTCTCCTTGGCTGGTCAGAGGGCGAAGCGAGCGGCACCCCTGTCGTGACCTGTCCGCAAATCCTACCGGCAATCTTCACTGCGCTCAAGCTCTCCTTGGGGACGGTCGGTATCCGCATCGCGAGTGGAACCCCGACAGGTACGTGCTGATCTATTGCTCTTCACACCGCTGTATGCATGTTTCCTGCAGTGGATACTGAGCTCGAGGAGAATGTCGAAAAGCTTCTCGAGGAGCTGATCCAAGTGCACTCCTCGGCGCCCTCCTTCCGTCAGCTCTTCAAGTCTCAAACTATCACTGACTCCTTCATCGATGCGTATAAGTCGTTTGTGGCCTCCGCGGCTACGGCACCGGAATTGTCTCAAAGTACTGTACGAATATTAGAGAAACTCTCGCATGTAGGCCTCAGTATCGCGCTTGACAACGCAGTGGGGAACTCTCAGAAGCAGGAGGTAGGGTACCTCAAGCTATGTGGTGAACTCCTGACTCACAATACTGGACTAGATTATGGATATTTTGCAGTCAGCTGAAACCGCCCTCAATCCTCGCTCATCGCAGGAGACAGCCATCGACTCCGTTACGGTCGTTGGAACAAAGGCCCGTCGGAGACGCATGGCATCTATACGACTGAGCGTGCAACTTGGTGAGAGCGCGGTGAAGCGGTCCATCACGCGTATCAACGACTGGCGAAAGACCGTCGTCGCCACCGAGAGGAAGAGGTTGCGCAAGACCATCCTCGATATGTGAGTCGTAATCTCGTCTGTAGCCATAAGCCCGCCTAACGAAGCGTAGGCGAGAGTACCATCGTCAGATCAGCAGTCTGACCGACTGGTACGCGTTACTCACAAATGAACGTGGGCTATGGCCCAGTCCTCTCGATCGTCGATGGCAACTAGATGAGACGGAAGGACCGTATCGTGTCAGGTCAGCCCTCTCGTTCACGATGCTGCGTTCAACGCTGACGCTATTGCAGGAAAAAACTCGAGCCCGCTCAAGAACATCGCATCAGTACCAAAGTGGAGACCGTGAACCACTTAGGCTTCGAACTACAGGTACCCTCTACGAACCACAGTACTCCAACTCTGCAGCTGGAGGTCCCTCCCTGGGCGGAAGGCTATGACCCATCACAAACTGGCGTTGACGGTGAGTGCAAGTATGTCCTCTATGTAGTACCTTCCATCGATATACATCACCCGGTAGAACGCCAGCTCGAGGAAGAGATTGTCGATGACAAGCATCGCAGAGTACGACATGAACTGGAACCTGGCGACGTCATCGAGTCAGCCAACACTGTCGCACGTATATCTGGTGTGGATTCATCTCGTGAGTACTTCGCTGCGCCTTTCCATGAAATCTGCTGACCGTATGTCAGCCGGACTGCTCATCCTCGGGCAGACCCATCTGTATATGCTAGACGGCCTAGTTCAGGACGACGATGGAGAAGTGATAGATGCTCATGACGCGCCGAAACGACTGTTTTTTGTCCCCGGTAGCATTCTCGAGTTGAATGGTCCCCAAAGAGCGCAACGATGGTTAGTGGCACTTGATATTCAGTAGCCAACATCTCTGAACATCAGCTCCACAGGACCCATGAGCAAATTGTCAGCTTCAGTGATCGTACATTCTTGTTTCGTGACGTTGGGTAAGACTGCATGCTACCTCGTATAGACGGGTTCTGATCGAGCTCGTCGCACAGGCTAGAAATCTACTTCAAGGACAGTCGGTCTCTTCTGATCGTCTTCCTGGAGAAACGTCAACGACTAGCAATGAGCGATCGCTTGTCGACCATCATGTATCGATACAACGCGGAGCCACCTACGCCATCCCCTGTGATGTTGAAGTCGCCAACCATGCTATCGCCCATGATGGGGCGATTGAGTGGCAAGCTCAGCGCTACGTTGAGTGCCAAGGTACTATCCGGACTGAGGCTGGACGAACTTTCGACGGCGCAGAGGAAGTGGCAGACAAGGGAGATTTCGAACGTGAGTGAGATTATGTGGATCATGAACGAGGCTGACGCACAACCACCAGTTCACATATCTCAGCATCCTCAACCAGATTTCCGGTCGCACTCCCAGCGATGCCACACAATATCCCGTATTTCGTGAGTGTCGCTGTACTGAAGCCGCTATCAAGCCCATTGACGGCGAGCTCCGTAGCTTGGGTGCTCAAGGATTACGCGTCGGAAACGCTGGACCTGAGCTCTGCAGAGTCCTTCCGTGAGTACGTACTTTGTGCCTTCTTTCTGGCACCGCAGTGCACTGACACCTCGCTTCCAGCCTTAAGCGTCCCATGGGCGCGCTGACCCCTGCACGCGAAGAGGCAGCACGTTCGCGCTATGTCAACCTCGAGAGCGTGGACGAGAAGCCGTTCCACTACGGGACGCATTTCAGCTCGTCGATGATTGTGTGCCATTTCCTGATCAGGGTGGAGCCCTTCAGCCATATGTTCAAGATTCTTCAGGTGTGCACGCCTGTCTCGTTTGCTTGACACGTCTGACTTACGGTTTTCAGGGAGGTGACTGGGATCTGCCCGAGCGGCTCTTCAGGTGAATAGTAGTTCTTCGCGGATGCAGGGACCTCACTAACATGACAAATTGTAGCGATGTCCGACGAGGATACGAGAGTGCCTCTAGCGACGTTCGCGGAGACGTCCGAGAGCTCATCCCTGAGTTCTACGCACTGCCAGAGTACGTGCTCTTCATTGCGCGCTGCGTGGCCCTCACCCGAGCATCCCATCAGATTCCTGGAAAACTCAGCCCGGATAGACTTTGGCGTGCAGCAGAGCACTGGCGAGCGGATCGACGATGTGAAATTACCACCTTGGGCGAAGCGAGACCCGCTGTTGTTCATAAGCCTGCACAGAGAGGTCCGTAAATAGGTCGATACCGATGATACACTGACGTATAAATGATTGCAGGCCCTCGAGAGCGACTATGTCAGCGAGAACCTGCCGCACTGGATAGATCTGATCTGGGGGCATAAGCAGCGGGATCCCAAGTCGTTGAACGTGTTCCATCCGCTGAGTTACGAGGGCTCTATCGGTCAGTATGCACTCCATCACCGTGTGTTTCGTTTTCGTTCTCAATCCGGTGATTTCGACACACAGATCTCGATACCATTACCGATGAGCTCGAGCGCGAGGCTACAGTCGGAATCATCCATAATTGTCAGTGCTCATCGCCCTACTGGTCCTTCCAACGACTGACCCGCACTTGTACGCATACGCAGTCGGCCAGACCCCACGCAAACTATTCCACTCCCCACATCCCGAGCGTATGATGCACGGGAACTCGTCGCTCCCTATTGGTACGCTGTACGGTGTAGCAGAGGATTATCATCTTCTGTCTCAATCCAAGCGGTTCGTCAAGGACCTCGGTCCCCGAAACCCCATACGCGAGCTCGCGTTCGATCCCATAGGACAGAAGATGATCCCGTACCCGGACGGTACTGCGTGTGTTCCTGGGCTACCTCATGAGCGAGTGGTGTGGAGGCCTGGTTTGCACTCTGGTGGAGACCTGAGGGTTGTGCTAGACAATAAGGTTCGTCGGCTCAGGATTGGACTGTGGACACCATCTGACCGATAAATTACAGGTCGTACAAGTCATTGAGTCAACAGCGTGCTCCTGCGCTGTATTCGCCGACCCAAGCACACTCGTAACAGGCTCGCGAGACCACACAGTGCGCCTATGGCGGGTGCAGCGCCCAGGCCAGAGCCTAAACGCCTACAAGGAGCCGCCGCTGAACATCACGGTCACGCATGTCATGCGGGCACATACGTCGGACGTAGTCTGTGTCACGGCGTCGAGGGCATGGTCCGTCGTGGTGAGCGGCTCGAAAGACGGCAGTGCGGCGTTCTGGGACCTGAATCGCGGGACATATGTGAGGTCGATCTGGCATGGGGAAGGAGAATGTGCGGGTGTGCACCTCGTCGCTGTCAGTGAGAGCACGGTGAGTTATAGTCGATTCATGTGTTCGTCATGGTCTTCACGCGGCGTTCTCTAGGGCTACATTGCCTCGTGCTCAAGAGCAAAACTCTGGCTCCATACTATCAACGGACGGCCGATCGTCTCACTCGATCTCAATTCCTCCACTGTGCCGAACTCATATCCTGCCATCACCTCTCTGGCCTTCCTCGAGCGCGAGTACTCCCGCGTCGGCGTGCTTGCGACCGGGGCATCGGATGGCACCATCGCCTTGCGAACGTGGAACGCCGACAAGACTCCGGAGGGCGAGTCGGCGCGCTGGGAGTTCGTGACGTTGAAAACGCTGATCGTGAAGGGCCCCGATGGCCAGGTCCAACCAAAAGGATACACCTCGTGTGTCACTGCATTGAAGTTTGTTGGGTGAGTGACGATGTGCTTGATGTGTCGTTCCGTAACTTATGTCGTGCCTTCGCTAGGGAGTGTTTGTATCACGGTGAAGACAGTGGACGGACATTTTCATGGGACTTACCGGACTGATGGACTACGTGATATACGCGGTTCCATACATATGCTTTGTTACGCTGCTCGCTCTCGCATGACTCACCATCATTTGCCTGCACTCTTCTTACGTTTATCTACGGAATTGTCGCCTCTTGGAGTATTCTTCGGCCGCTGGCCATTATCAGTGAATATACATTGTACCATCATCCATCCTCGTGCAGTACTAGTCTTTCCGTCGGATAGCTGCTGCTTGTGCTGTGCCAGGCGAGTGTGCGCAATTCAGGAGTGTGTGCTGCAGTGACGAGATGGGCTGCGACGCGCTATCGCCTGGCGATCTCCGGCGGTGGCACGGACGGGTAGGTGCCTTCCTCCGTTATAGCTTGATCGCACAGTCTGCCCTCCTCCTCGACCTCCTCCCCCTCCCGCTCGTCTCGCCTCGTCCCTATCTCCTAATTACTGACTCACAATGTCGTGGCAAGGTGAACGCCTCGAGATCGCATCGCAATCCGTCAGTTATACTCAAAGATTCTTGTTCCTCCGCACGTGAACAGCCTATGTCGACACCAACCTCCTCGGTACTGGCAAGATATCCAAGGCCGCAATTATTGGCCAGCAAGGAGGTGTTTGGGCGTCGTCGCCGGGATACACGGTACGTTGACCAATCCGGTTCCTCGGTCGCGCCGACTAGCACTCTGACCGCCTCTGCCACCGCATGCCTCAGCTCTCCGCGCAAGAGCAGAAGGATATTGTGAACGCGTTTGCCAACCCCGGCGCTGCCCAAGCGAGTGGTATTCGTCTCGCGGGGCAGAAGTTCTTCACTCTCCAGGCGAATGACCGTAGTTTGTACGGGAAGAAGCAGGTGCGTCCGGACATCCTCCTGAACGCGATCGCGATATCTGATCGCAACCTGCGACCGGTCTCAGGCGGACGGCTGTGTGCTCGTCAAGACGAAGCAGGCCGTCCTCGTCACAGAATACGCCAACCCCGTCCAAGCACCCGAGGCGACACCGGTCGTCGAGAACCTGGCGGACTACCTCATCAGCGTCGGATACTAGTCGATCTCCCGTGCTCTGTCTGTCTCTCGCAAGTGTGTAACATTTCGCTGTCGTGGATGAAGAAGACTATCAATGTGTATTTGCATACTGCAATCTGATCTAAAGACGACGATGCCCAGGATGAACTACTGGAGAGATCAAGTTGCATGCGCCCGCCACGGCGTTCTCGGATGAGCGATGTTGCATTACACCCCTACTGATCGCAGCTGTAACAGCTGTAGGTCCACAACAACAGGAGATGCCGCCCCAGAGCCTTTGAAACCGCTGTGGTCTATGCATGGTCGCTAACGTTTCAAAAAGCAGGAGTTGTGGCGGAGGGGCTAGTGTGTAAGTATGTACAATCGATAGTATGGCAAGTCCATTGAGGGCATGTGGCAGCGATGTGCGTATCCAAAGTAAGTCATCAAGCCATCTTCTCTGGCCATGGCCGTGGCCATGCTGACTTTGTGCCACTCCAGAACCCATCAAAGCGCGCGCTTGGACCCTGTCCTTTGTTGCTGCCACTCCGTCCGCCATTGTGGCGCACCCTCGTTCATGTTCAAAGCGTGCTCAGGATCCCTTACTTAACGCGTTGCCCGCCCGTGTTCGTATTCAACTTCACAAGCTCGACAACCCCTGCCACTCGCCTATCCCTTCAGCCTCGATTGTCTCTCCACCCGTCATGCGCTCCTCGCCCTCTCCCCACAAACGCCGCGCCGCTGACCCAAATGCCTGCGAAGGCAGCGTGCTCGTAAACTTCGGGGGTATGCACATCTACCCCATGCGCTCGTGCCTGAATCCCGACCTGCCCGCGACGACGCTCTACATCACCGACGTGCCGGACCAGCTCGACCTTGGCTTCCACCCGATCCACGGCCAGAAGGGAAGTCCCCGCGTGTACCGTGGCTGGTTCTACCGCGCAGCGCGCGACGGGGCGAGCGACGAGGGTGAGGTCGCCGTCAAGTGGGTGCGGGGGATCAGGCGCATAGAGGCGCTCGAGAGGGAACGCGAGAATTATTGCAGGCTGCTAGAGCTCCAGGGCGTCGTGATCCCGCATCTGTGGGACTACATGGAGGCGACGATCGAGGGCGTCGATGTTGCGTGTTTGGTCATTGAGTGGTGCGGTGAGCCCCATCCTGAGGACCCCAGGCTGTTCAGGTATGCGTTTGTCCCCAGATTGGTGTCCGTAGCTGACGATGTACATGAGCAGTGCACAAAAACTGGAGCTAGCTGTTCTCCTGCACAAGGAAGGCTGGAGTCACGGCGATCTACTCGACGTCGATAGCCACCACTTCGTTGTGGCCGAGGACGATGAGACGGGGAACCCGCTGCGGCTCGTCGACCTGACCAAAGCATCGGAACACCGGTGTGTCTTCGAAGATCCAGAGTGCTGTATGAAGCCCAACCCCGGGGGCTGCCGCGAGCTGGATACTCTGGCAGCGATGCGTCTGCTGAACTTGTAGGATGGACTATCGTGCTCTGGGATGTTCTGCATGTGTCGCCTGCTCTGACCCACAGTTGTTGTGTTAATGCGTTTCTTTGTTATGTACGCTCTTTGGAAAGTACTGTATCCTCTCATTGCATTGTATCCATGGATCCGCATTATGCATCACATTATGCTACGCACTTGTTACTCTTGTCATGTTCTAAGTACGACTCGGATCACGTACTTGCTTACCTTCAACAGTGCATGGCCTACGAGACACTCATCGCGCTTGACGAAGCCTATGGAAATGTAGGCCTATGTGTGCTCTGATCACTCGAAGCGTATTGATCCAGAGTGGTATAGGCAGGTGGTCTGGTGATCGCCTACGAGCCTGTACGTCTTCACTTACGACGTTGCAGCTTGACTAGGACGGCTGACTTGCTTATTACAGCGGCGAAGCTGCCCAACGTCCATTTGAACCTTCGCTGCTGATGCCTACGGAGCAAACGCTACTGAGATTCAGGAGCTCGATTGCGAGTATGTTTGAGGCTGACTTGCAGCACCGACGCTGACAGTGATTACGACAAATCCTAGTGAGCCGCCGCAGTCAGCTCAGTGGTGCATATATTGCCTGCTATAAAGACAGCGCCGAACGTTCAAAGATGCGACAATTCACGTAGTGACATACAAGGACCACATAGCCTACAACTTGAATCCTTCTACGACTTCTGCCCCAAGCGCAAAGGGACATACTATCGCCTCCGTCTTCGAGAAAAGGAGCTTCCTGTCAATGCTCCGGCTGCAGCCTGCTCAAATTGCCACTGGGCCAGAACTTTAGATGACTCAACCGTCATCGCAACCCGAGGGGGACCGGAGGTGATATACCTACACAGCGTGCCAGTGAGTATAGATTGATGCGACATCGACCTGTCCCAAACCTTGTCGCTGCGCATTCTTGAGCGAACGGGCGAGATGCTCCCCAACGGACTACTTCATGTCCGAGCCATCTGCAATTACATGTGCGTCGTGGTAGGGTATGCCCTCTCTCGCCACAGACCTGCCCAAGAAGTCGTCGTGCAAATTCTCGATTCTCATGCTATGAGCGCTACCACAGACTACGATGTTGGTGGACTAGTGGGTAACGCGTGAGTTCTTTATTTCGTTCGAAGGTATTAAATGTTCACCCTGAACTTCTGTCAGATTGCATCTGCTGGTGAGTCGGTAGAGCAAACAAGGGCATCGTGGCACTTCTGAATTACCCTTCCATCAAATGGCTTGGTGGTTCAACGGTGTTCACTTCGCAGCAGTAACGGTCATTCCATCCGGGCGTATCGCAGTCTATCCATGCCCACTAGCCGGTTGCGCTGTATTACAGTGAGGTCACTATACCACTTGCCACTCGGACACAGGGATCATGGCCCCTGGTATTGGGCAGCTATACTGTAGTTACACTCCCCTGAGACTCCGGATGCTTTGCGTCATCTCCACTGTTCGCATCTTCTGGTTCAGAATAAACGGCACCTCAGTGCCACTCCATACGGCGATCGAAATACGTACATACCCAAGTCAACGCCGTCGAAGAACTCAAGCGATTGCCACATTTGCGAGTCGAATCCCCTCTGACCCTCCGATTCTGTTCTTGTAGTAAGCATGCCAGAGTTGAATGCGTTGCAGGGCCTGTAGACGGCTGCCCGTAGTTCGAGGATGAATCGCGACACGATGATTGTGGAAAGGCTAGTAGAGAAGTCAAACGTATGCTCGGTGGAGGCATGGGAAAGACAAGGCGGTGAAGACTCACGGAGCCATAAAAAGGCTAACGTCTTCTGTTTTCTGGGGATATTGTTAACCGATGATTGCGCTAAATAGAACAGAAAGTCAACATACTAATCTGAGATACAGGATGATCTGTAATATATTCACGATGGCCACAATCCTTGATGCGCTTCAGTACAACCCTCGACCTCAACTGATCGGTTCGACATACGTGAAAAATGATATACCTACCACAGCAATAGTGAGCACAGTGGATTGTCTGGATACATACACTATGATGGGCCGCACCATTTTGGAGTAATACTCGTGACAGTCCACGTTTGGGGAGCGCAGACAGCACTAGTGAGCTTGGCCATACGTTGTAAAGTGTTACAATCAGAACAATAAGGTCAGAGATGAGACTGCACGTGCGAGTGGCCAACAGCACTGTGTTAGCGGAAGGCTTCAGCTCATCCATGATCGACTAAGCATTGACGACTCAATTCGCGCACATCTGCATAAGATCAGTGAGTTCGCTGAACAGATGGTTCTAAGATTATCATAACAACCAAAATACCTACATTTCATCGCGTTCCCGGGGAATCGGCGAGCTCTCGTGGCAGACCACTAACCATCCGACTTTATACACGGTGAAGGTGTTTGTAGTGACGAGGTACTAACTCGCGGAAGACGTCGTCATGACATACTACTTCCGCACCAAGGCCATTAATTGAATGTCACTCACAGTGTTTGTAGCTAGAGGGACAAATGCAAGCAGGACGGTGAGCAGGGTCAGGATCCAACTTCGCCCGGCGAGCGCATGGACGCGAATGCCAGAGATCACTGGAACGCTGTGGTCAGTGATCATCTTCACGGTATTCATCAAGGTCTAGTACGTACCCGCCCAGACGAGAATAGACCCTAAAATAAACGGGATCTGTACAAGTGTCGAGGTTCTGAAACTAAGAACATGGAAAGTTTGCTTTCAACCACTACCCTATCATGGCGTTGGTGCTGGCCTGTCCTCACCTCGCATAAGTGCTTGTGCGATCCATGCTAGCATTTCCTGTCACGAGCAGGCCTACGGCAATGAGGCGGTTGATAGCAAAGATGATAGTACCACTTAGGGCCTTAGAGGGGGCGCGCCAGAAAAGAGAAACCTCTTTGGGTAGAGTAAGGGCGAAGTCGTATAGAATCACTGCTGTGGATCACATTGAACCATGGATCGTGAAAGAATTCAGTGAGGCAAAGCAGGCTAGGAGAGGGAGGAGCACTCACGGGAGACGGCGACATTGCAGTATCGCGCCCTGAAGCTGTCCAGCCAACCATATATTAGCCTGTCGATACTAAGAAATGGAACTTCGGATGTGCACATACCTCGACTGGAGGATAAGAGCGAGCTGTTGCTCTTGGATTGAGTCCATGCCGGGCACTATCAGTTGTGGGAATTAGCGTTTGTCAGGGTCATATAGCATGCTTTGGCAGATTATATGCTATACGACAGGCGCTAGCAAGCTTCCACTGTGGTATTGGAAGCTGCGACATGCGGGTGCATCTTTGTCACCAGTCGCGACAATTCATGATGTGTTCAGAAGACATCCCAGCAACGCAGCACTTGATCTAGGGGTCGGCGACCATAATTCGCAACGCATCGTGTCCTGAAGAATCCCACAGCTTTCTTGGAGCTGTGCGGGGCACCATGTCAATGAGTGCAAAACCATGAGTCAATGCCGTCCTGCCTCTCCCATGCCTCGCGGTGCTTGGCTTATCTTCTTCATAGACCCAAGGATGATATTGACTGCTGCTCACCTGATCGTTCAACTGTAAGTCAGTTAGTGGTACAATGGCGCGCACCTTTCAAACCGATCGTTCTGGTCTTCCATTGTTCGTGGTCTATGATACCCGGCTGGCGTTGAACTTTCCCAGCTTCGATGCGAAACGCGTCGAGCGGTGCAGCCTGATACCGCTGGCATCGTCTGGATGTTGCCCGAACACAATCATCGACAATGCTGCTGCATCATGCGCTCGCTGTCACGTCTCAGACGCACCTTGCCATTCGTTCCGGGTGATCGTTGCTGTTGGCGTAATCGATAGCAGTAATCTCCTACTTAGCGACAGGGCTTTTACACTGCCCAGGTGGACCATCGGCAGAGATGGGGTACTGGTGCGCGAAACACGTAAGCATGAGAGAACTTTGACATAAGATCAAGGAGACAGCTCACAATGTCTGTAGCCAGCGGAGCGACAGTTGGCAGCGGGGCAGGGTTGGGCGAGGTCGGAGTCCGCCGATTGAGAGCACACACTTGGACAGCAGAGCAACCAGTTGAATATCCAGTTCAAGTTGAGAGATAGCAGGATCAGCTACGAACCTGCCTAGATCATGGCATACGCGGCACGCTTCCCGCCAGTGTCGGATACCAACAGCTATGCGAGCACTTTCGGTTCTAGACCGTACGCAATAGTGAACTGCAAGGGGTCTCCGTCAACAGCTGAACGTTGAACGTCACGTTGAACACGAGCGAGCCGGGCGCGACAAGGCGGTCAATTCGTAACGGACGGTGCTGGCGGGTCGTATGATTGCTGAACCGTTGACGCCGTCGATCGAGGGCTGAGGCCGACACATGCGACTCCCACCACTCTTGACGAGGTGGGTACAGTGCATGCCCAACGAAGGTGTGTTAGGGTTGTTTGATGCCGAGGTACGCCCCTAGTTCGCTGCGCACTACACTCCAGCCGCACTGACTGTGCCAATCCATCCATTAAGTTATGCAGTATACAATACGAGCGTCCGTTGAGATAGTCCATGCAGTCAGAACCCGATCACCGTGACCGTCTCACAGCCTTGGAGTCCGTGACCGCTCAGGTGCGTACTTGGCCTGACCGAACATCAGCATTCCACGCTAATACAACGAAGACTACACGGACGCACCATCTCATTCTCCTTCTTCTCGAACCCACACTTCTGGTAGAAGGCTGGATAACGCATAGGTCAGCCGACACGTCGTACATGTGCCACGGGCGACACGCACGAATATTGCTATCGCTGCAGTTGAGGATCGTCTTGTAGCACCCGCTGTTCTCGCTGATGCCCGTCAGCGCCTGGATGATGCGCAGGCCGAGCTTCTTGCCCTGCTGGGACTTGTCGACGGCGATGTCCTCAATGTGGCCGACGCTGCCGAGGCCGCGGAGGAACTTGCGCTCGACGAAGAGGGTGCCGACGGCGACGATGCGGTCGGACGCCTTGTCGACGATGACGATGGAGTAGTATGTGCGCGGGGCGGCGCGCAGCGCGTGGAACTGCGCGACCCAAGCGTCCTCGCCCGGGTCCGTCACGACGGTGAGCACTGAGAGCACCGAGAGGTGGCCGCGTCGGTAGTCGGTGGATGCCAGCGGGCGAAGCTGTGAGTGGGCGGGGCTAAATAATAGTAGTTTGTCTATTCATGATGAACGCACATGGAGATCAGGGTGCAGCTGCTTCCGGGCCTCGTCTGAAATGTGCGCGGCGGGGAAAAGGAGGTCCAGCTCAGAGTCTGCGGTGAAAGGCATGGTGGGCTGAAGTTGAGAAGTCTAGCTAGATTATTGGAAGATTGTCCGTGAAATATCCTACGGTCTACGAGCGAAAGCGAGGCGGGAAAGCGGATGCAGCGGCGGTGGGGGAAATGTGGTGGCGGGTTGCCGTATTTGAACCGTCGACGCGGTTTCGCCCAAAAAGGCAATGCCTACTCATCGCCGCGCGGGAACGGTCACGCTCGGGGCTGTCCTTGCTTCCCGACAACGTTCGTGGCGGTGTGCGGGGCGCTGATCTCGTCGTGCACGGCCCAGACGGCCTCATTTTGGCTCGCAGGCATAGCTCACGGTCCTGGTGGCAGGTGCGTCATGGCAAGGCGATCGCGGGTCTCATTGTTAACACGTCTCTCAGATCAGAATTGATTCAGACCGACGTACATACATACTGCATGTATACACTTGCCTTCGCGGATAAAGAAGCTCAGATCGCTAGGTCTGATTTACTACTCTCCCCGGGGTCGACGTGCACCGCTGCATTTGCTCAGGAGGAGCGAACCGAAAGCCAAAGATCCGAGTCGGGGTCGGGCGGCATTCGTCCATAATGTCGAGGAATAGAGTCCCCAGGTTACCCGGCACAGGCCGTATAATAGGCTGCAGTGAAACCTCAGGTTAGCGTGTTTCACTTGTTAGTGCTCGTGGTATGCTAGCATGCTATCACGCATACAGTCTATCCAACTTCCTCTATCAGAATTGACCATGTCGACATACGCATGACGGTGTCTCCTCGATGCGGTGTCGAGTATGGACGCGGCACCAACGAAGTATCATACGCAGCGGAACTGCCCCAGCATTTCGGGAAATCTCAATTCGTCTGACTCCAAGCACAGGCGCGGCTTCGTCCCGCGAGCTGTTGCGCGCGTCGATCGGTTTCAGCGCTCGAGTGTCGGGAGCTATGTTCAAGCGACGTGAAGTTGTTGCAGCACGGAGGCATATATACGACAGCCGTATCGATGCTGGGCTCTGCCTGCGTATTCCTCAGCTCGCCGTCGACTATTTTATCAAGTATACTAACTTCACCTTTAACTTCAAGTTCACGATCAGCATGTCAGGCGGGGACGCGTTGCTAGAGGCAGAGTTCGAGGCAGGGCTCCTGCAGTCTACGTGCGTTCGCTTGGCGTAATGCATTGTGCTGTGCGGAACTAAACCGACGTGCCTCTCGATCTAGCTACATCACTGGATATTGCTCAACCGCGTATACTGGTATGCGTCTCTTATGCTTTCACCCCAGCTGTGATCTCATGCAGCCAATCCATAGCGGTGCTCATCTACGACTACTTCCTCACGCTCCCCGACGAAATCTCCTTATTCTGGAATGCGCCTTCCAAGGCACCCAGCGGCACCATCCTCTTCGCACTCAACCGCTTCGTCGCGCTGGGCCTGATCATAACGAACCATGTCGCATCAGACCCGGTCACTTACACTTTCGTTGGGTGAGCGTCCAAGTCAACCGAACTCAGATGAGACAATCTAGCTGACATGGACAACTGGGGCGTATAGGTGTAAGTACCCGCTCCTATTGGAGGAAGCGTTCGTCGTAGCGACATATGTTATCTGGGCTGGTACGTGCTATCCGGGGCCTGGAGTTGTCGAACATTCGCTGTTGAACTCGTTGACGCTAGTGGTATCGGGCATTCGTGTGCATGCTCTCACTCGACGGAATTGGTTTCTATCTGTGCCTACATTCTTGCTAGCCGCCGTCCCGCTTGCTACGAACTTCGTAAGTCTATCAACCCGTCGATTCCCTCTGATACAAGATAGCTGATGTTTGTTGCGTGCTAGTATTTAATCTCCAGCTTAACGATCGTGGTGTATCCGCTCAGCTTCGTTCCCATAGAAATCTGCGGGGATGACTCGACAATCACTGCTGAGGTCACTGGCATGTAAGCGTCGCAATTGGCCATAGCGCACTGTTGTTTCGATCGCTCACCCCGCCTCCCGACATATAGAAGTACGTCAGCACGCTCTGCGACGCGCAATCAGAGTTAATCGGCCGCGCCTATTCCACAGTGCTCCTCCTCAGCCGTTCGTGCAGCCTCGCGTCCGACCTCATCGTGCTGATCGTCACGCTGTATTACGTTTGGCCGAGATCGTCGGCAGCTCGGTCTTTACTGTCGAAAGGATCGATCTCGCATGCTCTGCTCAAGAATGGTACGCATCTCTGCCTCTAGGGCGATCTCACGCACGTTTGATCTCATCCTTTCCCCGACAGGTATATCGTACTTCGCGTATGTCGGCTCCGCGAAACCCTGTCGAGATGCGCACTGATCAGCGTGGCACAGAGTGTTGGGGCTCATCAACGCGTTGGAGATCATCTTGTATCTGACAACAGTATGTGGCATCCCACTCTCGACTCGGATGCACAACCGTCCAGCTGATATGCACGCGACGCATAGGACGAGAACTTCGTCAACGTCTTCCTGAGCCCGTGCGTGCCACCCCTCTCACCTGCTGCTCGTTGAGTGCACCCGAGTTGACGCAATAATCTCCCCTCAGCGCCTCGACCCTCGTTGTCGCGCGCTTCCTGCTCGAGATCCGCGCGGCGGTGTACAGGCCCAACAACACCCTCGTCACGGAAACGCTCGGGACCGACACGGAGTTCACGAGCACGGACGGAGGAGCGGAGTCGCGCATGTGGCAGTCACTCGAGTTCGCGAAGAAGCTTGAATCGGCGGGTGCGTGCGTTCTGCGCGGAATGGGCTGGCGAAGATGAGCTGATTGTGTTTGCTCTGGCTAGGGAACTCGGAGGATTCGTTCGCGAGCACTGAGGACGATGAGGCTGAGTACGAGATGGGTTCGAGACAAGGGAGGGTATGATGCCTAACGATTGACTGAATGTTCAGGGTATGATTGAGCGATTTAGCTTCGAGCTCGACATGGATACACTGTATGATACAGAGCAGTCATTACATAAACACATTCGGTTCACGATCGTATGCTCTTCATTGCTCAAGCGCTCAAGCTTGGCACTGGCAGAAATGAACAAGTGTCGCTGTCGGCCGTCAGCAGAAGTGACGTACGTAATGTACTGTACTATCCCAATAAGGTAAGACACCTTCCGGATTCGACAGACTTCTCCTTCTCTTCTCTCGTCTAATTTGCAAAGGCTGAAGCTTCCCCGTAGCTTCTGTGACAGCTCCGCTGTTGCCAAGAAATGCCATGCGCACTTAAGGCTGGCCTTCGCATCTTGGAGTCGCCTTCGACCTTTCTCCCCTCTTTCACGCTACTTGCACTTCAATGCTCCCGCCGTCGCGTACGTCACGTGGCGGTTCGAAGATGAAGGAGCCATGGCGGGTTAATTGACTCCTGCCGCGGTAACAAGCAATGGATAAGAGTGACAGCAGAGGGTTGCAACGAGGTAGCGAAGGGTTCAGCTGCAGCTTAAAGCGTGAAGGCGCGTAAGTAGTCGGTACGTACGTATATGTTGTTGCACTGCTATACTAAGATAATCGTGCATTAGATCTCTCCGAGTCCCCGGTGCTCGGCATATGTCTGCAACCTGCAATCGGAACCACCGGTTTGTCGTTCCATGGGGCAACACGCGAGACTCTGCGTGGACGCCAGGCGCCGACAAGGTTAATTCTAAACGCCAGCCAAGGGGACTCTCCATGAACAGCTTCGCACAGAGAACGCATGCGGAGGTATACATAGCGCTACGATCATCACTGCTCAGACAGTCGCACATAAATCGACATCGCATTCGGTGATTATCCTAGTACTGTGATGCGGACCGGTCCGACTCACCGTGTACATACTCCACTGCAGGAGGACAACTGATGATGTATCGCAGACAAAATCTACGAAGTCAACGCACGACCGCTCGGAAAGGCAAAAAGGAGGGCCAAAGCTGGAAGCTTTCAGGCTTCAAGCTTCAAGCCCGCGATCGCCAATGAGCCTGGTGCGCCGTCTTCGTCGGGAGTTCCTCCGCATTGGCATGACACTTCTCGGTGGCAGCTGACATGCAGATGGACTGAAGGAATTCGTACCGGCCCCTTCCTCGTTCAGCTCAGCTCGTACGAGCCTTGGTCCCTTATCTGGAGAGCAGGTGAGCAGAAAACCACGACGGCAAGGAGAAGAGTTGATGTGCCCGCCAGCTTGCATATTAGCTATTTCTACCGGCGTGCAGCGTGTTGAGTGACCAGATGCACATGCCAACAGTGCCGGACTTAACTGCGTACACTACTTCGACTGCAATGTGATTAGGTTCGTGGTCCCCGTGCTCGTCCTGTTCTTCATTGTTGGTGATGTGCAAGGTGCACCTGTAGTCTTCAACTTTCTACTTGGCAAGACGTTGCGCCCAGTGGCTCTGGGCGTGGGCCTGACTGCCGCCAAAGTCGAGGTTACCCGCTGGCGGTTAGGAGACTTCGAACCCCTCGAGTTGAGTGTACCTTATCCATAGTCTCCGCTGAGGAAATGCATTGAAGCGGTGCACCTGTAGTCGAGGCGTCGCAATTTCCGTTTCCCTCGGAGTCCCAGCTCTGCTGTGTAGCGCGATTCAGGGGGGGAAGGTTTACTGGCGATTGTACGAACCGTGGACGCTTCGTTGATTGTGGTCCGCGGCGCGATTGAACGTTTATGCATGACTTACCAACAGTATGGGAAAAGCGGTCGTGGGTGGTTCCAGAAGCAGCGTAGGACGGTCAATCCTGGCAGCTTGGTGCCTCGAAGACCATGGAATTCACCGGCGCCCCTCAGTCTCGCCGCAGTGGTTTGTGTCGAACCTCACTGCTGATCATCCATCAAAGCATATTAGGTGCTTTTCCCAAGCCTATAGGTATAGCAGGGGCACCGAAAGCTAACGGCGCCGCAATCAGAACAGAAGGGCAGCAACATGGCGTCGCGGTCACGGTCGAGGTCCTCGTCGACCAACATGCGAGGCTGCCGGCCGCCGTTTATCGCGCATGATACGGTGAGTAATTCTTGATCGCCGGGACTCTGCTCACTGATAGACTTTCGCCCAGGGACGTGGCTGGCCCTGGCCGCACCAAATCTGGGCTTATTCGGAGCGATTGGCAAGGCACGGGCGCACGACAAGTCTGCGACGAGTGCTTAGCGACTGCGCTGCGCATCCATGCACGCAGACTCACCCATGATCGAGCTTTTCAGAAGATGCATCGACTTGCAAACAACGTCAGCGCCGCCCAACAGCCTCCCCTAGCCTGGTCGCGACCCTCGCAGATCAGCGAGCGCGAATTGAACTGAATCTCAGTAGCGCGAAGCAACGGACGTATCGGGATCCCCGGCTTGTTCCGCGAGGCGCGGAGGGTGAAAGAGGGTGGACCGCGGGGCAGTTTCAGGGCGGACCAAATCCCCTAATTGGGCGAAGGCACCAAGAAGCCGCGCCGGCCAAAGTCAGTATCTAAACCCGGTGGCGCTCTGCCGATTGCGTCGCTGACGGGGCGAGGTTCGCGAATGTGCTTACGATTTGAACGACATAGATCTCGATTGCGGTGGCCGCGATGATGATGGCTGGCAACTGTAACCTGGAGAGCAGGCGCAGTCTTGGGTACAAGGAACGCAATCATGAACGTTGCGATACCTTCCGCATGGAGTCTGGACGACAATATGTGCAGACAATTTCGGTTGTCGTAGCCAAGTCGCAGGGAGGTCGTCCCCTTGGAAGCCCCTGCTGCGTGTGCCGGTCTCGATGCGCACAGAGGATCGAGAGCGCGTCTGGAGAGAGGCTACCAAGGTTGTACCAAGGCGGTACAAACGTTCCTACGGTTCCTTGTGGCGGAGTGGGGACCTCACGTGGGCATCCGCTGGCCGGCGATCGGTGGATCGGAGCCGCGCCATCGGCTTTTGGCTGGCCTTGGGCCGTGCACGCGATGTTCGCCAGCCGTTTCCGCCAGCTAGAAGCGGCCTCCCGCGGCTCGGTGCAGCCTCAAAGCAGGTAAAGTCGGGCTGTCAAGCAGGTATGTTCCTTAATATGTTCCTCCTGAATGTCGCAAAAACGGTGCACTCGATGGCGCGCATGCCGGAGAGTCGGGCAGCCCCTCGTCCCCGAGTCCGAACGGGTTAGTCCAGGGAACAGCGGAGCGCACTGCAGGAATGAACGCGAAGCATTGGTATAGTGTGCACACAATACTCTCCTCAGATCTAGAAGTGTTGTTCTGAGAAACTTTTCGCGTGACCATGAGGTTGCAGTGATAGCGGCAACGATTCTCTGATGCTGGCGCCCCGCTGGCCGCGCGCGCGAACCTCCCTGCACACTGTCCTCGACGACCCCCTCGACGATGCCTTCGGACCCCGATGGGCCCGCAGAAGGGCACGCAGAAGCCCCATCGATGGTGGCGAGGAGTCGACAGCAGTGGGGCCGACAGAAAGTACGGCCGGGGCGGGAGCAGTCAAATTTGGGCGCGCAGATCTCGATCGCGCCAGGTTCCATCAACGATCAGGCTGGCTCGACTGCGAGCTCCTGTCCTCGTTATCGGTATAGCCGCGACATAGGTATTCCCGCGTTGACTATATGAACATCCGTATGCTCGACCACACCAAACCCTTTGGCATGCAACCACGCTGACGGTGCGCCGATGTCGAGCCTCTCCGCGGACGCGCTCGTAGAGTACGCGAAAGAGAGCTTCACAGAGAACTGCTGTGCAGCTGCAGCAGTAGGTGCGTCTGTCTCTGCTCTGCTTCTGGTGACTCCTGCGTGCTCATGCACCTTCGCTAGCTCTCCTCATATATGACTGGGCCGTCACCCTCGGGCAGGAGTTTCGCTATGTATGGCGTAGCAGTTTCAGGGGATACACCGCGCTCTTTTTCTTGAACCGGATCAACATGCTTGGGATGATTGTTGGGATTCTGTTGGGTCTTGTACCATGGTACTCAGGAGAGGTGCGCTACCCCCTTGTTTCGGCGCGATCGAGAGACTGAGACCTCCCCATAGAGGTATGGCTACACACCCAGGTCTATGCTTCACACACGCTCATTCCCGCCTCAGTTGCAAGGCTGCTGTATTAGTGCTCGCGTCCTTCCAGATCTTGAATTTCTTTGTTTGGGCTGGTGCGTCCCCCGCGGTGTTTTTCCGTTCTCCCGCTGACCCCTGACGTCCTGCTCGCCAGTCGTTTCGTCCCTCCGAGTGTACGCTATCAGCAATCGAAATCTGTGGCTATCGCTGCTCACTTTCGCCTTGGCCATGGTCCCATTTGCCACCAACCTGGTGAGTCGCAAACACACCGTCATACGTTCCCCCATTACACCTCGCTAACCGCTCACTTAGTACAACTACGTCGAGTCGTCATATTTCATCAGCGACTTCAAGGTTCTTGTGGCGTGCGAGTACACCCAGAACTATTCCGACAGCCTGGGTATGAAGTGTAAGTGGTCCTGATGTTGCTCGTAGTCGGTGTTGGCTCAATTCGCGCGTGTGGCCTAACAGTGCTCATCCTCACTCGGGTCTCGGTTATTCTGGCGGACGGGCTGGTGCTCATGGTCACCTGGCGCCATCTTCGGGGGACTCTCAAGTCATCTCGTATCGGCACGAACAGAGTGTCACTAGGTCTTCTCTTGCTCAGGGATGGTATGTTTTCACCATTTGCTGTTCGATCTCGGTGGATATTAACGGTTGGTTCGCAATAGGAACACTGTACTTCTTGTGTGTATTTTGTACCCTGTCTCGTGGGCCGCGTGGCTGACATCAGCGCAGACTGCTTCTCTTGCTCAACGTCGCACAAATCATCGCGGTACTAGACTTCGGCCAGGTGCGTTTTGTGTCGTTATTACAGCTATATGTGTCCTGACGTCGGTCTTCGCCTCGCGCAGAACTTCGACCCGATTCCTGATTTCATCTTCCCGTGCGTGTTCCCCTTCCTTTTCCCCCGCCCGCAACACACTAACCATCTGTCCATCCAGAATCACCTGCATCATCATTTCGCGATTCATCCTCAACCTCCGTCGGTTCTCGTCAAGTACCGGCGACCCCCTCGAGTCGCACAGCTGGACGTCCGGGCCCGACGACCGGCCAGGACACACATCTGGTGTGCCGCGCTCGTACCTCTCGAGCATCATGTTCCGCTCGGGCACTGGCCGCGCCGTCGAGTCCGAGCGCACCGTCGCCTCGATCAACGACGGGATCATGGTCAAGGTGTCGACGTTCAGCGACGCGGACGTCTACCGGGGCGAGGAGGACAATGACGTGGAAGCGATGGAGCTCGAGCGCATGGCGTACCGCGGGCAGATCGACAGGCAGAGCTTCCAGCCGCGCTCGCCGTCGCACCAGACCCAGTTCTACGAGCCGCCCGACTACGGGCGCGTGCGCAGAGAAAAGGGGACGGCGCGTTAGCCCTCGTCTGGAAGAATGGCCGGTTTACATTATTCCTTGTTCCTCTGTGTACGGCGGGCCGCGGGCGGTGGTGCGTGGGTACGCCCCCTCGCTGAGCTGCAACTCTGTCTCCGCTCCAGTCGCAGTGCTTATGTGTCTCTGTATGTCGAATATCGCTGTTGTTTGTAACAGGAACTTACCCCAGACATACTCTCCCCCACTACACGAACCTTACGCACTCGTTTGCCATTATCGATCGTTCAACATAACGCCCGAATGACGCTGGTGACGAATCCCGGAGCGCGATGTTGTGCGTCTCACGACGTTCATGACGATGTCGTACACATGGCCGCCGTTTTCTCGCAACATAGCGGGCGGCTCCCATCAACTCCCGTTCAACGACAGATCAACCTCACAGGATGACAGTCGAGCTGTTCGTGACGTCGGCGCGCGTCCGCGCGGTGCATAATTACGTCGGTCTTCTGTCCGTGTGCGATCTTTCTTTTGCAGCTGGCTTCTGGCTTCTCGACGTCGATGGTAAGTTTAGCTCCCGCGCGAAGGCGCGCTAGAGTATCCCCGGTTGGTGTGGTTGTGGTGTGGACTCCATACTGGGACAAGGTGGCGCCGTAACACAAGGTACGTGCTTCTGTTCTTTTCACATGTCTGTTCGCACGTACGTATGCGGTACGTATCCGTACCTCTCTGAAGATACGCGCAGAGAGCAAGTGGTCATGAGTGGGCTTCTTCTACGACGGGCGCGCTATGGTATCAGATTCGGCGATGAGTCGTGTTTCAGATTGCAGGCTTTCAAGGTTCGCTGACGACAGCGCGATCTCGTGCCCAGTACCACTTAGTACCGTGTTTGCGGCGTTGAACAGGATACGTGAAACTGACATTGTACGACAGGCCGTAGCTTGCGTGAAATTGCCCTGGGAAGGCAGGCACGGTATTTGCTATTGCGTCGTTGCCCCTTGTTGTCCCGTGAAGCATGGGAGATGTCCGGTGAACTTGAATTACGAATTCATTGCTCTCCGGAGCCGCAGTACCGGGGACTAACCGGGGACTATCCTGCTTCGTAGTGCAGGAAGTCATGCTGCTTGTATAACCCACAGTGATATGGTAACCGCCAGCTTTCCACGGTCGTAAGACATTCGATATTGTCGTGGTTGAGCATATCCTTCTCCGCGACCGCATGGCCGTATACATCACGGATACTCGTCAGTACCCTACAGAGAAGCAAGGATGTCATTCATAGACTCCTCATACGCGGAGATCCTCACCATTGAATTGTCACTTCCTGTTGAGCATCCACATTCATCAAGTATAACCGTAGGCGGCAGGGCGCTGGGACTGAGGACACTTTCTAGAGCCTCTTGCTCCTCATTTGCCTCCGTCACAGTACAAGGGAAGGCACACGCTTCCCTCCGAAGACCTCATACGTCAGATGGATAGGTGAGCAAGATGAATTGTATTTAGAGCAACGGAGCAACTGTATGTGGGACATACCCCAGGTCCCAAGTGTATTTGGTACGCTGGCTCGCGGTGTTCTTAAGCGACGGTTGTCATCTGTAACACGGTTGCGTTACTGTCCTCTTGGAGGAGATTTCAGAGGCTACGCCCGTGTTCCTGCTGTAAGTCCCGGTACCTACCCGGAGAATGGCAAGTCTGTCGACTCAGGCGATGCATCCATCCAAACATAGCAGGCAGCCTGAGCATAGAAGCCGCACGCCCGCATGTACGACTGTGAGAAGCGTACATACATATTCATCCTCCAGATCCGTTATCGCCATGTCTCCGCAGGTCTTCGCTCCGCGCTCGATGGATACCGCTGCTACTACCGCGACAAGTACTTTCTGACATGACAGGTGTAGAAGTGTCGGACTCGGAAATACCTGTCAGTGGCTGCAGATGTCAGGCAAAGTTCCTACCGGAATGATGAGCCAATACAATCTTCACTTATCTCCACTTATGACATTACTTATCAAGATAAGCGATGCTAATAGTAATAGGGGATGGCGTCAGACGCTCTCTTATCTGAAGTTATCAGTCATTCTCTTACTTATCATGCTGCTTTACTCGGCGCACGCAGGCACGCTTTATTAGGAGCCTCCATCGCCGCGCACGCGCCCTATGTCCCCCCTCCTCAGAGTCAATGTCCGCCTCGGAGGAGACCTTGCAAGGCTTCAGTGATCATTTCGTCATCAACTGTTGCGGCGCGGCAGCGGCAGGTGCGTGAACTTAACATGCGACCAGCATCAGCAACAGTAACAGTGGACGGGGATCCTTAGCGCTGCTTGTGTTCGACTATGTCCTGACGTTCGAGCAGGAGGTCAACTTCATCTGGAGCAGCACCAACTATGTCTACGTCTTGCTCTTCCTCGCAAATCGCCTTGCAATGCTCGGGATGACAGTGGGATCCGTCTTGAACATGTTGCCATGGTATTCAATACTGGTACGTGTCAATTTCGTTATATGGGTCCATACACTCGCGGACGGAGGAGATCTATGACAAAGCCGCTCGCCTCGGGAATGGAGCAGGGGGTGCGTGCGTTGTGGGGACCCAGTATAGCACCCACGGCGCTGCCGTAGCACAGTACGCCACCACGCCCGGCCGTTCGTCGCAGCCCACCACGACGCTCGCCCGCCACGACGCGGCGCGGGTCGCCGCCCGCATGCCGCGAACTCGACGACGTTGTGCCGTGGAGGGATGTCTTTGGCGCGAGGAAAGGCGCGTCTCCTTGGACTCGCCGCCACATCCCCTCCGACGAGATGATGATGCCTGGGACAAGCGTCTCTCGCTTGGGGAGTATGCCAACGCAGTAGTATTCAAGGCCGAGCGTGGCGATATAATCGCACGGCGGAAGGTACCATGCGGGGGTCCTTCGAATTTGGCGCCTTGGCGAGCATGCGAAGCCTCGCTCCCGCACGGCGAGCCATTGTGGGTGTTGTCGTTCGTCTGGGCAGCGTATGGCCGCGACCGGGGGATATGATCATGCCGCTACTGGCTTTGGCCGGCTTCCGAGAGGATGCTTTGGGGAGGCCAAGTCCCAAGTGCACCATTGCGTCCGTGATGATACAGGGCACTTATCCAGACAGGAGCAGGCCTCTGCTCATGCACGCTCACTCTTATTCTTGTACATGTTCCAGCTGTTTCCAGTTTGATAGGTCTTTGAGCCAAGGGATGCAGTCGGTGCTTCCACCGTGATTGTGCTCTAACGACCCTCATATACCGTGCTACTGAAACATCGCGCTGACTACTATTACAGAGGTAAATAGACATGCGGTGTTTCATCAATATCGGAAGTGTAATATCCAACCTTCGTAGCTGCACCGTGGTCAATTGGTCTCTGGCCGGCTTTCAAATCCTCACATTGCTTCTATGGGCTAGTACGTATGACTTTCTGTGGTTTAAAATTACCCACTGATTCCGCGACTGTCAAGTTGTTTCAACACTGCGAGTGTATGCCGTCAGCAATCGGGACTGGGGCTTCACCATCCTTACCCTTCTCCTGGGGCTAACGCCCGTTGCCACAAACATCGTACGTTTCCTTAACGTCTGGCAGATGCAGAACACTCACTATGTGCGTACAGTATGCGAACATTGAGGCAACATTCTTCCCCGTACCATCCTATGCGTATTGCTACGGACAGACCGAATACACTGTAGTTCTTGCCAACAGGTTAGTTGGCAGTGCCTCGTCTTGCCCCTTAGAGTGTTCTCGCTAACTCACCACTTGCCGTGATTTGTAGATGTAAGTATGGATTCCACCATGACCTGATCCTGCCGGCTGATGCCCTATGAAAGTGGAGATTACGACCAGAGCGTGCCTCATTGCATCTGACGCACTAGTGCTGCTGATCGCATGGTACCAACTGCACACCAGCCTATACAACGTTGCTCGCGTGAGTGTCAAGTCGACGCTAGCCACGTATTTGCTCCGAGATGGTGCGTATAGCTGCATTGTCCATCCGTGCCTCACTAACGTGCGAACGTATAGGAACATTCTACTTCTTGTATGTCTCATTATCTCCGGACATCGCATTCGATCTCAGCCGTCTTCAGGGTGTTGTTGGTGCTCAACATCTGTCAGGTCATTACAGACTTCGACAGGGGAGTGGTGAGTTAGCGCGCATGCTCTCCCAACGAAACTCGCTCATCGCCATTCGCAGTTCTACAACCCTCTTCCGTACTTCTCGAATCCGTACGTCACACCTCGCTGACTGTACATACGACAGCACTCACCCGCGAACCAGGATAACCTCCATCATCATCTCTCGTTTCCTCCTCGGCATTCGCCGGCTCGCCCTCGCGACACACGACAGCCTCCCGTCGTACTTCTCCCAATCATATGAAACCGAGCGGCAGTGCGCGGAACAGGGCCGGCAGCGCTCGGGCATCTCAACCATAGCGTTCAACTCGAATACGGTCTCGCACACGGCCAGCGCGACCACGCGACATACTGTATCGCTGCGGCACCCGCCGTCCGAATGGAGCGAATACAGCCGCTTCACGACCAGCGGGGCGGCGCGATACGACAATTGGGGCCCAGATGAAATTGTAGAGCTAGCACGTGTACGCTATACGCAGTGACCCCGAGCGGACCGTGGACGGGGTGATACCAGGACGGGATCTAGGATGGATTGTAGCAGGTTAGTGTTGAGTTGTTCTCTGGCGGGGCACATGTACTGAGTTGTACCAGTTCTTGTACTACAGGTGTCGGTCGGTTGTATTTTAGACGGTTATTATATCATATGGCCTCGTAATGCTGAGCTGCGTGATTGCCGCGAGGTCTTGACAGTCGGAACTACGCAGTGTCATCAGTAGGACACTTCTTCGATGTCAATGCCGCTTTGGGCACGTCAACTTACGAAACAGCTTGGTCACCCCCAACTTCAGTATGCATGATCTACCGGTAAGCTCCATCTGTCTTCGCAGCAAATAGTAGTTGGCTCACGCCTGCTCACGAATGAGCGCCATCTGATATCGCGACGAACGGGCAGCAGGCTTCGACCGTTCACCGCCTCCACTCATATCATGACGCGCGAAGTGGATGGCCGTGATGCTCAACGTACCGCATACTGAGGACTGTCGGCGCGATCGAGGGGCCATACACTGCATTGGCTCGCAGTTGCTCCCTCACCTCACTCCGCGCAAACCATCATCTCCGGCTCGTCGTGGCCAGCCAGCGCATCAAGCAAGATACCCACGTCAGGTTCGCGGTCTGGAGAACCTCACCGGGCGCGGAACCCTAGACGGCATGTCATTCGCACTGCCTGAACGTCGCCGCTGCCCCACCTGGGAGAAGACCCCGTGGCAGCTATAGATATCTATCACTGTCAGGTTTACGTTCCGGCGTCGTCGCCACGGTGCCACGGTGCTTAGAGGTGGCATTCCCTCTAACCTCGCCGTCTCATATAATCTACTGTTGTCTCGTCGCTACCCACCCAGAGCTGTCTGGCCCGCGACCGTACCATGCTGACACTGGTTGCGCGCACAGTCGACGCGGACGTCCTGCAGACCATGAAGGAGCAGTATATCTTGAACTATTGCACCGCGGCAGGTACAGGTGCGCTTCGTGATGTGAACTTTCCTGAAGACAGTACTGAAACGTACTGTAGCTTTGCTTCTATACGACTACGTCGTGACACTTGGCCAGGAGAGTCGTTACATCTGGAAAGACATCCGTGCGGGTTACGCCGCGATCTTTCTAGTCAACCGACTCATTATGCTGTGTATGTTCATCTACGGGATATTCTCCATCTGCTCAGGGCACACTATGGCGGTACGTACATTCTGCACATCCGCCATGAAGTTTCGCTCATTGTCTTGGAGAGGTGATATGGGTACCCTCTATCATTTTCCCCAACACTCACCTAATGTGCGAAGTTGCGAGAAGTTACAAACATTCTGGGAATTTGTTTCTATCAGCACATACATGATGTGGGCGGGTGCGCCTACGTCCTGATGTTGGCTTGGGACTTCACCCTCAAGTCGTATGCAGCTGTTTCTGCGCTCCGCGTTTATGCCATCAGTAACCGTACTCTGTCGCTTGCCGCTTTGACAGCAGCTCTCGCTCTGATGCCAGCTATTCTCAACGTTGTGAGTCATGAATCTGACTCGCACAGCGGATCACAAGCTGAATGAACACTTCAGTTCCTGGCTGTCAATACAGTTTCTTACGTGGAAAGCTTTGGCGCGTCAACAATCTGTGACATAGATCTTACTGTCTCGGCACAAACTGACTACGAGTAAGCTTGTTCTCAATCCGTTTCTAGTCGCGTAGAACTGATGCGATGGTTATCAATTTTCCAGGCGTAAGAGCCTCCTTTCACGACTTATGGGTAGAGTCCTGTTTATGACGCCCGATGACAGTTATCATACTCAGCAGGGCCTCTCTAATAACATCCGACGTCATCGTCTTGCTGGTCACTTGGTGGCAGTTGTACGGAAGCCTGATGCCTCGTAGCCAACAAAGCCGGCCTCTTTCTACCCTTTCCGTACTGCTATTGAGGGATAGTAGGTCTATCTTCTTCCGATCACCATCGTCAACTCATCGCTCTAAATCTAGGCACATCGTATTTTCTGTACGGACTACGCCCTCTTCTCGCCCAGTGTGTGCACGCTCACGGATCTGTATTGGTTCAGGGTGTTCCTCCTTTTCAACGTCGCCCAAATCATAGCACAAATGAGGTTCAGCAACGTGAGTCCGTCCCATGTTCATGTCTTTGAGAGCTCCAACGAATTCCTCGGTGCAGGGGTCCAACCCAATCCCAAGCTTCATGCTCCCGTTGGTCCTAGCCACATATATTCCAGATAAGTTACTCATGCAGGCCCGTCAGTATGACGACTATCGTCATTTCCAGGCTCATTCTGAGTCTGCGCCACCTATCATCCACAATGCGAACCTACAGACAATGTGGAACCAACACATCCGCACCGACTTGGGATGCCCAAGCGTCAATTCATCGATCGATCTTGTCAACTATTATCTTCCGGCCGAATTCCCCTCCGTCGCGTTACAATGCTGATCAAACGCCATCAGAACTGCAAAAAGCAATATCACCGCTCGTCTCATTCGAAGACAGACCTTTCCACGCTTCTGGCGATGTATCGGACGGAGATACGGATGCGGATGAGACATGATCACAAGGGATCATAGATTCTAGCGATGTTCTGGTAAGTCTCTTGCCAGTGGAACAAGGTCATCGAATTGATTGTCGCTGCATCTCATCTAGTGCAGTACAATTGTATACCAAAGTCCGTTCAAGCGTCCTGACTGGCCGCGCTCTTTCGAAATGATTCTCGGCCTTTTGAGTGCTCTAGGATCGCGCCCCCGGGAAAGTTTGGCATCGGTCAACCGGCGACACTGATACGTCACGGACATTGGAATGTGAATCTCATGGGACCGCTGACACATTGACAGTGCGATGTTATGGATCCGTGGACACCGCACATGAATCATGGCCCAGCACAGTGGCAGATTGATATCACTACTGTTGTATAGGTGCGCTCTAGATGACAGTCAACTGACGCTCATATGAACTGAGTGGTTCTGACTGTTCTATAGAGTTTTTCCAATGCACGAGTGGCCGTCTCATAATGCTGAGAAGCGTGGTTCTACGTGAATTGCAGTGCTTTCGAATGTTCCGGCCACGCTGGCACAATCGAACGCCTTTGTCTGTACCATGGAAGTCAAACCACTCGGCCGCTGTGCCACCCCTGGCCCCTTTGCACCTGGACGACCGACAGGTAAGCTCGACAATCTTCGTTGAACTACAGCTTGCTCACACGCTTGCCTCCGTGCGAGCGCCGTGCAAAGATGAACCTGAGAGTCAAGTAGACGCCGTGCGCTGGCGGAACGGGACTTTGTGCAGTCATTACACCACCCCCGTCCACTGCGTCATCACATGTTATAGTGTGGATTCTATCATGTATGTAGCATGGTCGACGTCTGCATCCGCCTGGGCCTGCGCTAAGTTCCACTCCTCGCCGCAGTGACACTGATCGTGACCAGATGGCTGAGTAGGCACGCGATCTGCCAGTGGGCAGTGTCAACCTATACTTGTCGCGCGCTCTGCCTTGTTTGTATCTGGCACTCTTCTGTATCAAAGGTGCAGCATGAATTGGAGAAAGGGACCCGAGAGGCTGTCAACATCTATCATAGCCACGAGGCTTCGGCCAGCCGTATCTCCAACGTCGTCGCCTTAATTTGCTGAGACCTCCATCGTTCCCGCGCGTACCCATTTGCCTACTCACGTCTCTTTGGCCTACGGCATTCCAAGGGTGATTCAGCGCGCCATGGACCAAATGCAGACACAGACGGAGGAGCAGTATACACTCAATTACTGCGCTATGGCAGGTGCTGGTACGTTTCTCTGTACGTTTGACTCGAGACACCTGTTCACGCTACGGTGTAGCTTTGCTTCTGTATGATTATGTGATTACGTTGGGCCAGGAGAGTCGCTACATTTGGACGGACGTACGTGTGGGCTACGTTGCGATCTTTCTGGTCAACCGAATCAACATGCTTGGCATGGCTCTCGCTTGGATAATCGGTATGTGCTCTTGGGACAATCTCATGGTACGTTACCTGTATACATCTGTTCGACTGTCTACTATTGCTCATACGCATAGAGGTAATGCGGGAGTCGTCATTGCTTTGCTAGATTCACTGATTGGTTTTTCATGAAGTTGCGAGAGAATCCAGATTCTTCAGGACCTCGTGTCTATCAGCACTCTTCTTGTGTGGACCGGTACGTCTTCACTTGTAACTACCCCACTGGCCCTCATCAGTGTGACAGCTACTTCCACGCTCCGTGTCTATGCCATCAGCAACCGAAGTTCTCTACTCGCTGCTACTACTGCGGCGCTCGGTGTTATCCCAATTACGCTCAATATCGTGAGCCACGGAGCTGACTATTGATAACGCTGACCGATCTAAACAGAATTCTTCAGTTCGCGAACACTAGGACGATATCATACGTAGCTGAAATCGGCACATCGTCAATATGTGAAGAATCCTTCGATCTCTCGTCGCAAAGTAGTCGTGGGTGAATGAATTTCTTAGCCATGTCAAACTGGATGATCGCAGTGTTCTCATTTTTATTGTACTCTCCACAGCAGTAAGTTCTCCTCACATCAGGGTTTGCGATACCTCACCACATCGTTTAGCCGAGATTCTCAGTAGGTCGTCGTTAATAGTGGCGGACGTCTTGGTTCTTCTGGTCACTTGGTGGCAACTGTGCGGGACTGTGCGATCATCCGGACAAGGTCGCAATCGCTCTGCTCTTGTAGCCCTTTTACTGAGAGACAGTGAGTCGACAAATTCCCGCGGACCGGTGTCACTTGCTCATAATTCCTTGTATTAGGCACCTCGTACTTCATGTACGTAGCGCGCGGCTTCCCATCACGTCACCCCCTGCTGATTCACGGGCATGAAGACTGTTGCTTTTGCTCAATATCTCGCAAGTCATGGCGCAACTGATGCTCGCTGACGTGCGTTCCTCGATTGCATGTGTTGTTCAATATATGATTTACCTCTCTCGGTACAGTTCAATCCGATCCCCAATCTCATGCTCCCGTTCGTCCTTCTCAATGCATTGTAAGACGTACGCTCACGAAAGTTCCACAGCATAATCAATATCGTGATTTCTAGGCTAATCCTCAGTCTGCGCCGACTTTCGTTCACCATGCGCCTACCACTGTACAATGGAAGTGCTACCAACGTGCTAACAGTAGATATGCAAGAATCCGTCCGGCAATCCTTTCTATCGACGGTGTTCTTCCGCATAGGCTCTAATGGTCGAGGGAGCAACGCTAGTTCGGGACGTCCAGTGCCGCAAGAGCTGTCATTGCTCAGACTAGAAGGGTCGCTCGAAGCCATTCATGTCCCTTGGCACGTAAAGCCAGTGGATGCATGTGAAATTGAAGACGAGAAGGAGCATGGATATTGAGTTTCATGGATGAGGGGGACTACGCAACGTTCAGGTGAGATACCTTCTAGCGAACGCAGTCTCGAGCTGAGGACGTTACGACTCTTCCAGATTACTTTCATCCATAATGTAATCGTATACAACAGTCTGTACAGGTTTCTTATAGCATTCGGTGCGCTCGCGCGAGGACTCATATGATTGCTTGCACTGCGACCGTGTCCGGGTTTACTTTGTGTGGGGATCGTGCAACATGGTAAGTGAACCTATTCAAATATTCATGGCCACCGTACTACTGATGTGGTTTGTGCTTATCCATTGATGCTAGATTACGAATTTCAAAGAGCTTCGCTACGCAGAGCTCATGAATGCAACTGCTGACAAGCTGAGCACCGCGCAGTTGCCAACTTACATGGGGTGCATTCCTGTCAATTTGACATGCCAGCTCAAGCCACCCCGACAATGTGGCTCCCCGTTTGGTCCTCGACGCCGCCCATGGTGTTTTAAACATTGTCATTCCGGCCTTCTTCGTGCGGTTAGTTGCCTGTCAGCCCTGGCCATCCGCTATAGATTACTACTGCACTTAACTCATGTACAGTTGGCTCACACGCCTGCCTTCAAACGAGCGCTTTGCAGAGATCAGAGGTGATAGGCGCTAAATCGCCACCGCCTCCATCCTTGTCGTGACAACGCGCGAAGCGCAGGTTCGTGATGCTCGACGCATCGCCTCCCCAAGAACGTGCATTACATCACGGCGCATGATCGGCGTGGACTAATCACCCAACCCCGCTCGCGCAAGAGTCGGCGGTAAGACACCGCTGTACGCTGGCGTGCCAGTGTGTTCTGACGCGACCAAGTACTAGTGTTGGCCCATCCTTGCCGTTTACTCTCAGCCTTGTGCTTACATGGCAGTCTCGTACTTTTCGTGCTATCGACGGAAGGTGGATGGGACGATAGTACCCAGAAGGCGGATCACTGGCGGATCTGTCACGTCGACGAGATGCTTCGGCGTGGCGTATCTCCGATTGTGTCACCCCATATATCAGGCCCTAGGTTCTTCAATCCCGTCGTACGGACCTCGTCACCTATGCCCCTCCAGCTGGTGGCATGCTGACGTTTGTCGAGCGCAATGCTGAGGCGGATGCCATACAGACAGCGAAAGAGCAGTATGACCAGAGCTACTGTTTGATTGCAGGCGCAGGTACGCTCATCGTCCGGATCTGTTTGAACGTATCTCACACCATACCCTAGCTTTACTGATTTATGAACATGTCACTACACTGGGGCAGGAGGGTCGTTACATATGGACAGATATGCGTGCGGGCTACGCAGCAATATTCCTGTTCAACCGTCTGAACATGGTCTGCATGTCTATCGCCATAATCACGGATATATGCTCGTGGCACACCGTCGTGGTGCGTGCTTATCGGGGAAACAAGCTGTCGCTTCGTCTTGCTAATCTCCCCTATAGAGGTATGTGACCCACGATGGATATGCGTTTCAGCGACTGATACCTATTTTGAAGTTGCGGACAAGTGCAAATGGTCTGGAACGTCGTCATCATAAGCACGTCCCTCGTATGGGCCGGTACGCATGCACGGCTTCGTCAGTTTGAACCGATTCTCACTCCTGACTAAGGCACCTCTGCGCTTCGCGTCTATGCTATCAGTAACCGCAGTCCGATTCTTGCCGTTTTGACGGGCGTCCTTGCGCTGGGTCCGGTTGTCCTCAACATCGTAAGCCTATCCGACTTGCGATGATACACATTCTGAATGTTCTTTCCCAGTTATGCGACATTAGAACCCAGAATGTTATAGAGCCACTCGGCAGGTCGACCATTTGTGGTACAAGTGGGGATTACTCAACGAAGACAAGCTATGAGTACATCCATTTCTAGACTCAAGGTTGTCGTAGGGTGCTGACGTTCATACTTTACCGACTGCAGGTGTGAGCTGTGCGGTTCGCTGTCCACCGTATGAATATGGCTCATACAGTCGCCATCATCGCAGTCACCATTATCAGCAGGGCGTCTGTCATAACATCAGACATCGTTGTCCTTTCGGTCACTTGGTGGCAGCTCTGTGGAACCCTCCGATTATCAGGGAACAGACGAAATCGTTCTGCTCTTGCACGCCTATTATTGAGGGACAGTGAGTTGTAGTGAACATCCTCCATTACACCAGCATGCTCACCCTCTTGCTTCCAGGCACTGCGTACTTTATGTAAGAGCGTAGCGTATGTGGCTATATGCGCCGTTGCTGACTTACCCGAAGTTTATTTCTATTGCTCAATATCGCTCAGATTACATCGCAACTGACGCTTGGCTATGTGGGTCCGCTCTCCGTAAGCTGTGCTGTCCAATGTCTCACAGAGTACTCACCTGCAGCAATTCAATCCCATCCCCGCATTCTTATCCCCGTGAGCGTCCCTCGCAACCTCGCTGATAGATGTACTCACGGAGAGCGTGGATAGCATGACATGCATCGTGATATCCCGCCTGATTCTCAGCCTCCGCCGGTTCTCATTCACCACGCGCCCGCTCATGCACGATGGAAGCACCACCACCGTACCGACTGTAGACGTGCAAGATCCCGTCCATCGCCAATATTTATCGACTATCATGTTTCGCCCGGATGCCCTCTCGCAATGCGGCAATGACAGACCAATATCGCCAAGACCACAACGCCCGCCGCGACGCGGATCCGAGGATGTAGCAGAGCGTGGACCTTCCGAGGAATCCGACGACGTTCTGGACGAGGCGGAAGATGCAAATGACATCGAAATGGTAGACGTACATGTAAATGAGTCTCACCGTCCAGGTGAACTAAGTAAGTCTCTTCACTCAAAGACGTACTATGGAGTCAGCGCTGACTGATACGAGTCATTGCAGGATAATTGTAATATAGCTTAGCTGTGCATTAAAGCCCACACGAGTGCGACATGGTCTCGCTATAAAATCCCTTCATCAAAGAAGATAAGGGGCCGTATAGTGCAAACAACATTTGGTGACCCATGATCTCGGAGCCGTAGCTGATATTCCGAGGTAATCTGCTCCAGCGTTGGAGTCAATTCGAACCATCTGGACACCTACAAGGCCGTTAGACGCATGCGCAGGTATGCGCGTCCTCTGCGCGTCCGATATATGCGGTGAGCGCCCTTACAGTCTTCCCATTTGTAAGTTATGACTAGAACGCACATGTAGGTCTGCGGCACAGCGAGTTGACGACAGGCTCTATAGCGCCGTTGACCCTTCCTCGCGATCTATGCGGATCCCCTGACACGTATGTGCCACGGTGGTGTACAACCCGTAGGATTTCAGACCCCATTCATCATGCCCAAGTCTGAGTACCCAGAATCCGTGCCGTCCCTACGGCGTTACGTACAAGTTGCAGCCAAAGCGTCGGGGTTGACTTCGCAGGCGTTTCCCCCATCACCTCACCAGGCTGGAGCTATGCCCGAGAATCATTCTCATTGCTCGGAGTCCTAGGTGCGGGTGGAGGCTATGGCGCGCGAGTTAGTCTGGCTAGGAGCGGTGAAATTAAGCGCGTGTGCCACGCAGTCTGGCGCCTTTCTCGTTAAGGCAGTCCTCGCCTTTTATGGATTTAGACTCCTTGACTGCGCAGCATTGGCGCAGCAGGCCACGCGCATGATAACGAGGGACAGAAAGGTATATAAGACCCTTTGTTCGCCGCCTCCAGCTCACGTTCACCCATCCAACATGTCGTCTCCCCAGATCAACATCAAGCTCACTCGCCCGCCCAGCGGTCTCACCCGCAAGGTGACCTTCGAGACTCGTCCTTCCTGGGATGAGCTCGCTGTTCGCGTCCAGTCCCTGTACGACATCCCCACCGAGCACGTCGCCGTCTCTTACGTCGACAACGAAGGCGATGAGGTGACGATGAACACGCAGACTGAGCTCCAGGACTTCTATGCCACCCAGTCCGGCCCCAACACCGTCCGCTTCGCCGTGCGCGACCTGCGTACTCAGAGTCCCCGCGAAGCCCCTGCGTCGGGGAACGAAGACCTCGGAGCCAGCCCTGCGATCCAGCTCGCCGACAACATGGCCCACGTCATCGCGTCCCTCTCGGAGATGGGTGGCGCCAACGCCGACGTCGCTGAGAACATCCGCAACGTCGTGCGCAACACCGCGCCCTTCTGGCAGGCTCGCGGGGGCCCTCCAGGGTCTCCCGCCGGCCCATTCCCACCACCCCCGCCTCCTCCTCATTTCCCTCCCCAGCCATTCGGTCATCGTCACCACAGTCCCCCGGGCCCTGGGCTTCGGGGTTTCGCCACGGGGGGCCCTGAGATGTCGAGAGTGTACATGCCTGGACGCCGCCATCACCCGGGCCACCACGGTCCACATGGCGCGTACCCTCGACATGGTTCTCCGCCGCCGCCTGGCGACGAAGGCCTCGCCTCCAGTGCACCTGAGGGCGCTCAGCGCGGACACGGCCGTCACCACCGCGAGCCTGGTTCACCGCGCAGGTACGTCCATCGCTACCACGGCCCGCAACCCCCAGCGCCGCCTCAGGTTCGTGGCCAGTTCCTTCCAATGGACCCAGAGGCTCCAGGTGCGTTCCCGCCGCCGCCGGGCCCGCCTCCTGCCCACGAGGAGTTCGTCCACATCCCGCCCCTGCACGCAGAGGACGCGCCCCGTTCCCCGGGTGCAGCTCCGCCCCCGCCTCCCCAAGGTGAAGACCACCCACGTTCCCCAGGCGCCCCCGACGAGCGCGAGCGTCGCCGCAGACATGGCCCTGGACGTCGCCACCACAACCACGGTCCACCCCAGACTCCGTTCGACGCATTCTTCGGCGGAGGCTGGGGTACGGACTTCAACCGCATGTTTGGCTTGAACCCAGCTCAACCCGGCGCCGGCTTTGTTCCCGGTGGCCCTGAACCCTGGGCTGGGCGAGAGGGTGGTGCTCGGTGGGGCCAGCCTCCGCACGCTCGAGCCAGCCGTGCGTTCTGGGGCCCTGAGGAGTCGAGCGGGTCGTCTGAAGAGGCTTGATTGCGTATCTGAGCAGGGATCGATTGCTGAATAGAGTGTAGGAGTACGAGTAGGATAGTTGTAGCATGGAGCAATTTTGTGTATCATAGTTCGGGACGTGCTACGACAGAGTACCTGCTTCACAGTCTAAGGTCTGTAATACTAGTTTCATTGTCTTTACCAATTGTATGCATGTCGCGTCGTGCTCTGTGTTCTGATGTGCAACACTCAACACTCAAAGACATTCATGGTCAGCAAAAAATTGATGCGTGACGCTCAGTCTGTGTAAGTATGTATGGTACCAGGACGTGACGCGCAACGCGCGCGTGGCGACCCTTGAGAAAGAGGAGGAGGAGGAGGAGGGGGTCCATTTAGCCACCGGCCGATAGCGCACGTGCACAGTAGCTACTTACCACCATAGGACTACGTACTATACATATTGTAGACCACTTCATTGCTACATCAGACGACCCCCGGTGGCCCTCCATATCCCTGCCCTACATTCTCCCCGAAAGGGGTCACCTCTCGCGGCCCTGGCCCCCTCCTCCTCCTCCTGGGCGACCCTCCGAGGGCGCGCGGCCGCCGCGGCGGTGGTGGTGGCAAGTATCAATATCACATGTGACGTCCAAGTTCGCGTCGCAGCGCGTCCGCGGCCCATCCTCCGAGGAGCGACGCCACAGACGCGATACATTCGCCCTCAGACTGAACGTCTGGTGCGGCATCGGGCGTGTCGATTCTTGAGGCGCGGCCGTATTTTGGAACGTATGGACAGTGTAAGTATTGGAAACAAGAACCATCTGTTTTACGAGCAGTGGCGTGCAATTGCCTTCCGTAGTCAAGTACTATTCAACGCCCTCCGCTGTCGTGATGGTGTCACTGTGACTTTCAGGTTGACAAGCATCGACTATGAACAGCTCCTATTTGGTCAACCGGAGCGGCTTATTGTAGGGCCTAGGGGGACAGTGTCATGGCGGAGACGAAGCCCAGGACTCGTTAAGTACGCTGCTTCATTCCTATGCACTCGCAAATCCGCTGAGTCGCTCGCAGGACTCCTCTCGTCCAGACTCTTCTCATCATCCGGTCAATTGAAACCTGACTAACGGCCCATCGCGCGGTCACTATGCCGGGAAAGGACGCAAGTCAAGGGAACACGACAGCCTCTCTGTCGCGCAATGTGTGCGTATATGTTTTGTCTCGTGTACGTTCCAGGGCCCATACAGTTGGCCATATAACGATTCGGTTGAGACAGATTGTCCGTGACTGGCCTCGTACCTGCTACCTCCGGTAACACTACTCCTAGAAGATGGTGATTCTCACACACATCCTAATCGGCCGTGTTTCTGATTGTAGCGATGATTTTGTATGACTGCCTCCTAACATTCGTGAGTGAACTTGAGCTCTTTTGGCTCAAGCCGTCGAAGGGCTTCGCCGGGACTCTGCTCTTCGGGCTCAATCGCCTCGCGGCCATCGTATGGATCATCTCTGAAAATAGCGGTCCAGGCCCACCGGCCTTTAGCCACCCGAGGTAAGCACTGGCTACCGAGTGACTGCGATAGATATATAAATGGGGGCATGTGCTGATATCAGAACTTGCGTAGCTGCAAGGCTTCCGTTCTGCTGGAGGCCGCATCTACCGTATTAGTCAATGCTATCTGGGGAGGTATGTCTGTCGCTGTATTGCATGATCCTTCAAGTAAACAGTTCGCTGATGGCTAAAATGGACCTCCCAGCGATCTCTGCAGTCCGCGTACATGCCCTAACCAGACGGAGTTGGTTTCTCTCAGCTTCAACGTTTCTGCTCGCTGTTGCACCCATTTCAGTCACCGTGAGTACCCGATTCATCGAATCCTTACCCTCATAACTCACGTAGTCCTTTGTGCAGTACGGAATTGTATCTAACAAAGTTGACACTTACAAGATGGGCCAGACGCAGGTCTGCGTCTTAAGTGTGCATTTCTACGGAGCAGTCAACACGATGTGAGGATGCAATCACTTTTGATTTCATACAGTATCATTACCGAGCCACGTATCTCAACATCTGGCAGGTGTGAGTCAAGACTGGCAGATTGCAACATTCAAGTCTGACCCGTCATTCTCGCCCGTCTTGATTCGTGACATAGTTATGTTAAGCCGGGTTTGCAATTTAGTCTCCGACCTCGTTGTATTACTCGTGACCCTGCATCACACTCGGCCGAGACACTTGATCATGCTCCCCAAGAGGTCGCTTACTGGAGTGCTCTGTAAAGACGGTACGGGCCGTTTCTTTGTGTGCAGACCATCAATATTAATTGTATCTGGTAAATCTCATCAACAGGAACATTGTACTTCATGTGCGCCAAACATGCTCTAGTGCGATAAGCTAGCGGTTCTGATCTGTACTGTTGGACATAGAGCGTTGACCATCTTGAACGCGTTGGCACTGATCATGTACTTCACAAGCGTGCGTAATTGCGTCCGATGCCATATGTTGCTGACTTGCAGCGCTCCCAGCCCCCAGATTCTGTGAGCGACTTCCTAGTGCCGTATGTCGCGGGCCCTCCACCTACAATTACGCAAGCTTGACTGATGCTGCGTTACAACTGTCTCCAGGGCCACGACGATTGCTGCTTCCCGATTGATGCTCAGCATGCGCGCAGCTGTATACGAGCCGGGTAGCGTCTCCGAGCCAGGCACACTTGTGTTCGCCCGCCGGTTCGACCACTCTGGGCAGTCGGAGACGCAGCATGCGCGATTTCCTGAATTCGCTGGGCAGTTCGAGTTGGGTGCGTGTATGGTTCATCTACCGGGTCGCGGTGCGTCTGACTGAGGTGATTGCATCCGTACACGCAGAGGATCTCAGGGCGCCGGCTGCGACCACCTCGGAGGATGCGGATGATGACGAACTCATGCAACGCCACAACGAGATCGTCGAGGCGCCCCTACGGTGAAGACCCGTGGCTGCTCATACCATGGTACAATCGCGGTGTGAGCAGGAATCACGTCGTGTCTTAATTTGTGCTGTATTTGTATTGATCCATTCGATCAGAACAATCAAGCCTTCGTTTCCTGTCACGACTAACTTATCCACAGTCACAGAGCTAGGGATAAACTGAAAGCCTGAGGACAAGTCTACTCAGCGTCGCAGACTGAAGCTCAATACGGCGGCTGAGCGCTGAGCGGCCGAGTGACCGAGTACTCGTTTGCGGCGGCTGTCAGTGTTACGGTGGAAGTCGTCCGTCTCTTGATTCTGTTCTCTCGGGTTTTCAGTGCATTTTCCGACAACCCGTGCGTCTCGCGTGATGCAACAAAGGCACGTCGCCTGTATGCCTGGTAGTGAACACCTCCATTTCGTCGCAGCCACAATCTGTGTCGAGCCGCTTGATCTGGCATATTCTGCGCAGCGTGGTCCCGCCCGTTCCAATCCACACACCGCTCGAGGAAGAGTATAATAAGGTGCGCGACATACACCGCAGACCGTGTAGGGCTGGATCCGCTCAAATGGGACCCTAGTACCCAGTTTTCAGGCTTGCGATGCTCAATCGGCGGGTCACCGTGGTCAGCGGCGTGAAGACGAACGAGGAGCTGCTGGACCTCGGGGATAACCAGGCGTCGTTTGATGAGGCGCTGCATGAGGTATGCCCCGCGGCGTCACGGGTGTCCTAGTGCTCGAGTCAAATTGCTATTCACTGATGACCCGTGCCAACCACAGTTGGTGGACCCGGAACTGACTATCTCTCGGGAAGGGTATAAGCACCCCATCCATGTCACTGCGATCAAGCAGTGGCTCCCGCGGGCTCTTCCCTGCCACCCTTGAAGAATTAAAGAGGGCTCTCGAGGAGCTCGTCCCGGACTCTGAGACAGGTGCGCTGCTGCGCATGCCATTCCTATCTGTATTTCTTCGGAGCACAAGGCTGATTGCCTGGAGCAGAGTGGCTGCCCGTTCATGCTTATTCTATGGTCACGAAGATCGTAGCGCGAGCGAGCATTCGGTTGTTTGTCGGTGCTCCTCTCTGTGAGTGAACTATCGAGAAAGCTTGCACTACGATCATTGACTCTACTGCTCGAAGGCCGCAACACAGAGTATCTGGATATCATGTGCACGCACACTGCCAATGCAGGTCCGCTGCGCGAAGAGATTGAACGCGTCGTGGGTGAGGATGAGTGTATAAGGGCGGCCCTGGGACGGATGTGGAGGCTGGAAAGCTTCCTTAAGGAGTCACAACGAATGAAGGGGATGATCCTCAGTGAGTCGTGTCCAGCCACTTCCATACCCCCTTCTATCCCGTACTCGACGCTGAGCTCGTGCCTATTGCCAATGGCCCCCCTCCGATTCACCCTACAAGACGTGCTGCTTTCAAACGGGACGCCGCTCTCGGCAGGTACGCTCGTGACTGCCGTGACAAGGTCCACCCATCTCGACGATGCGAACTTCCCGGACACTGCGACGTTTGACCCTACGCGCTTCTCGAGCATGAGCGAAGAGGGCAGCAAGAACAGGCGGTGCTACGTGAGCACGACCCCAACGGACATCGGATTCGGCCATGGAAGGCACACGTGGTGCGTCGTTCTTCACTTGTTTCGCCCAGTATATCCGCAGAGAATCAGTAACGAGGGTGCGCAGCCCGGGACGCTTCTTCGCAGCGGACGACCTGAAGATCCTGCTTGCGTGCGTCGTGATTCGGTATGTCGTAAAGTTCCGGGGAAGAGGGCAAGAGGCCGCCGGAGAATGAGTGGTTCGCATATGTATGCTACCCGGCGCGGGACGCTCAGGTGTTGTTCAGGAAGCGACGTGTGACATAGTGCTGAGTCTGCTGACCCAACGAGGAGTGGTAGTAGTCAATGCGAATATTTTGATATTGAGAGATTGTGTCAAGCGATCTGGCAGATATAATACGAGTGTAGTCGGGACTCATACAATGGATTACGTGGGCTTGTCAAGATCTACCTCCACCGGGAGCTGCGGGTTCCCGTCCTTCCTACATGTCCGGTAGACAAGTCACGACGCCCGCCAACCGCGTACGTCTCGTACGTAGGCTGTCATCCCTTGTAAAGTCCTCCTAGTTCTACAAGTCTGTCTCTCTTGATGCTCGGCAGCCTGCCAATACTCTAGTCGACGCCTCTCTCGTCTGTAGGTCTTCGCCGCTCTTCGCCGGCCTTGCTAGCTCAAGTCGTGTTGCCACGGCGAGTTCCAAGTCGCAATGAGTGTTTCCATCGTCGTTGACCAATCCACAGCAGTCCCGCATCAGTGTGAGAAGAGAACATGTATATTGAGCAGGATAGACCAAGGGTAGACTGAGGGAGCTCGAGGAGCAGGAACTTCGTTGGAGGATCCAGGAGGAGTCCCGGGAGGGCGTCGCGCTGACCAGGGCAATCTTGGGCCTTGGCGCCGATTGGCGCGTCCTGTCGTCACGGAGCGTCACAGACGCGAAACATAACGCAGGTCACATCTGGAGAGACCGTGACGGCGACTCGGAGCGGCATCTGAATGCATCATGCACAATCCACATACTTGACGTGCCAAAATCTTTCGACACGTACTTTCTAGCCCGATATATGGAACTATTCTCATCTACGCACATAAGCTATCGGAAAGCAGAGCAAAAATGGAGGTTATAGTCCAAGGCACAGACTACGATGGCCTGTCATGAGACAAGGACTCGCAGAGTCAGAAAACATCGGCTGGCCGGGCCTTGTCAGCCAAGACATCCTGCGAATCACCACGAATGATGACGGTTCACTTACGGTTAAGGCTGGCGGGATGGCTTGTCTCCTGGAGCGTCACATCTGTGAGTGCTACATACCGCCTGTATTGAACGTATTTTGACGAGATATGCGTGACATTGCCGTTCTCAGCGATGAGCGCGGACTTGTCCTAGTTTCTGTCGACATCCAGTTGAGATTGCACAGGACGCAGACTACAATGAGGGCGACCTACGTTCTTTGAATGCGCACGAATAGCGCCGTGTTCTGAGCCCCTCGTTGGCAGTGACATAAACCGACTGCCTTGACTCTGAGTGGAAGAGGGTAGTTGCATGCATGTTCTACACACGGACTGCGGGATTGTCCCATCGCTTTGCTGACGATTGTGCTAGACGTTTTGATCCCGAGTCAAGGTTGGGCTGTACACGGTGCGCCGTGACTGAACTTCCAAAGGACCCCGTCTGACGATAAGTCGCGTCAGTTGCAGACGTCCCCATATACAAGACAATAGTATGAACAATAGGTGAGAGGTCCACTCACTGTCGATGCGTGAGCCACGCTTATGACGATCACGGCGAAGTATGAAGTTTCCGCCTGAGCGGACATAGGTCCGCCCCCCCCGCCCGTTGGTACTGCTGCCGCTTCCCAAGTTACCAGCTTTTCGAACAACCTGAGCTAGTAACATGGACTTGTGTGCTTCGTTGCGCCAACATCCACAGGCATTGATGTGAGTGACTACATTGGCCATGCTATGTTCAATGAGAACTTGAAGGCATTCATATGTGCCAATTCGAATCCGAGGTTGGCTATGTTCCTCGTTATGAACTCGGAAACCCAATCTCACGCTCCTCGAAGCGCACGAGAGAAAGATATGAAGTCGAGGCGCAGTAGAGTACTCGCGGAGTGCACGGAATATCCGCAGACAGACAGCCCGTCCGACGGAGCCACTCTGGACGTTCCGCGCATCACAAGGGTACATGCTCCATGCAGGTAAACCTTGCGAAGGTGCGCATACATACTTAGAATGAATAGCTCGGCAGCTACTGATGAACCAAGGCTCTCCAGTTGCCGTGGTGTGGCTCGCCCGTGAATCAATGGCATGGACGACTCGAGATGCCAGAACCCGACAACTGTACGTGTTGGGCACGGCCACAAAACTGGCCCAAAGAAACAATCAATTGTACCAAAACGCACCTCATGTGAGTGACGAATGTGTAGTCCTCATGGAAGGTCGTGCTTGCTGATGGCGCAGAATTCAGATAGGGCGTGCGGGAGCCTCAGGGAAAGAAGAAGCCAAGGGGGCCCCCTGCGTGATGTAACACGGTCACGCGACTCGTGGCCCGTGGCCGCGCTGGGCTTTGCGCGTTGAATTCGGGTCCAGCCGCTTCTCTGGTGGCCCGCCCTTAAACAAACCACGCGCGCCTGCGACCCCCCTCACTTCCGACCACCACCTCCTTTCATCTTCCGGCCCCACACCTGCCCACAAAAGACCTCTCTACTTCCCCAGCCACGATGAACAACAATGCGCGTTACAACTAGTAAGTCTTTGTGACGCTTTGACCGGGTGCCACACCTGACACAGCGGCCACAGCCCCCTTGTCCAAGATTGGACGGCACCCCCCAGGCGACAAGGGCCCATGCCGCCGTCTAACAATCAGTCCTATATGCCGTCCACATCCACATCCACGGCAGACCTCGCTGTGGCTGGCGACGCTCTCGATCTACGGTAAGCCATAAGACGGTTCATTGAAGGGTCAACCTAACTCTAGCCTGCTTCGTAGTACGGCCCACCATCTCAGTCCTGCGGCCGCAGCGCCTACATTTCATTTTGGATCCCGTCCGTGAGTGTTGTCGACGCTTTGACCGTATGGACCAATCCTCACTGGGACACCATATAGCCTACCACACAGGTCGATTCGCCCGCAGGCGCAGGCTCCTAGTCCTTTCTCATTGCCAATCCTTCCAGCACTCCCTGCCCGCCTCGCTCCAGCCACTGGCAGCCCTTCAATGGGCACTCCGGCGACGGCCACATTGACGCGGCGTCCGGTCCCAAGGCGGCGTGTCAATCCCTTGCCTGCGCGTTCCTCCAAAGCCGAACTTGGACGGACTACTAGTATGCACCAGCCCATTGAACAGGCAGGTCCGGTAGCCGAAGGGACCTCCCAAGCCGGCGGCAGTGCTTCCGCTACACTAGCGACCACCGATGCAAACAACGGTCGCCGTCAAGCGCAGTCGGGAGGTAACAAGCGGAGGCCCGAGTCTAGCCGTCAACGGGGGTCCCAAAATAAAAAGCAGAAGGCAGACGCAGCCACAAAGCCCCCCAATCAGTGGACATTCATGAGTGTCCAGTTCTCCGAAGACGGCCAGCCGACGGACGTAGCAATCCCGCAAGGTCAACCAGAGGAGCCCAGACAGTTGCCCTCCCCGGTCGTCAAAGCACCTCGAGCCATACGACCGAAGCCCGCGGTCGCGCTGCCCTCAGGTTCTCCGAGTCTGAAGACCCAAACACCTTCTCCGAACGAAACCGTCGATGGGGCATCCTCCCAGGTCGCGCTTCAGCATGCTCCGCGCAAAGCCGAGCACTCGAGCCTGCCGGTGCAGCCTGAGAATGCTGTCAACTGCGCTCCTCGGGACACCAGCGTCCCCGTGCCGTCCCACCGCATCCTCTCAGGCTCTAACATTCTCCTTCATGATGTTCATGAGGCTGAGGATACGATTTTCGGGGAGGGTACTACAATCACCGGGTCCTCAACCTCTAACTCACCGACACTCTGTGAGTTCGACCCGGTAACCCCTTCCAGTACCGCAGGGAACGAAGGGGACGCAGATCCCGCTGGCGCTTCCCTCTCCGAGAAGACGACCTTGTTCGCAAAGCCTGTGGACGACGCTCCGCGGGACGGCACCGTGTCGGCTGACGTTATACCGGTGTCCTACGACTTGGACGAGGCCCTAGTAGAGTCCTCGCAGGTTGGGGAGCTCGAACGACTAACCTGGCTGGCGGACGACTTCTTTAAGGCATTCAACGCCGCTGCCCCTTCCAGTACCGCAGGGAACGAAGGGGACGCAGATCCCGCTGGTGCTTCAACCCTCTCCGAGAAGACGACTGTGTCCGCAAAGCCTGTCGACGACGCTCCGCGGGACGGCGACAAGGTGTCGGCTGACGTTGTACCGGCGGCCTACGGCTTGGACGAGGCCGTAGTAAAGTCCTCGGAGATTGGGGAGCTCGAACGACAAACCTGGCTGGCGGACGACTTTTATAAGGCGTTCAACGCCGCTGATCCCTACCTCTGAATGCGGACAGAGGCCTCGTCGTCGTCACGGTGTGGCGAACCGCTGGTGGGTATGTATCTATCTCTAGGATCGTGTCCCCGGCGTTCTCCATGGCCGTCGCACCTGCTTTCGTGCACGCTCTGCATCGTTGTCACTGCTTTGTTTAACTGACTGTACAACCCATCCATATCTTGTACTGACTTGACTCACCCGCTTTGTAATCCGATACCTCGTATACTCGATACCTGATTTCGTTGTCTCTGCTACTACTTAGTGTCTTCTCCAGTGTTTCTGTTGCATCTTCTAGCTGTACCATTGCATGCTGTGTATCTCGGTTATACTCCTGCTCGTCTATCTGTATACAGTAATAGGTTCCTGCTGTAATGCACTCTCCGAAATTTGGAGGCCATCGTGTTGGATAAGTGGGCGGACAGTTACCGACTGACCTGGCCAGTTGCGAGAGGCTGTACGTTGTGGCCGCTTCGATCGTGCTCGGACTGCACGTGTAGTATAACAGGAGCGCCAGATTCACCTTCTTGAGAAGGTCGTAAGTTAGCCGTATGCTACAGTTCCTCCCAGGTACTTCCAGGTTGAACGAGCCTTCGCCGGTGATCATCCACGATGTACAGTGTAGTGGCCGCCAGCCGACATTCCACAGGACCTGCCAAATCCGCATGACGTGTGGCTAGCTGCACTTCGACTGGAGGGCGGTAGCCTGCCTCCGCTTGCGTTCGGCTCACCGGAACAGATGCGCGATCCAACCTCCCGTCTCAGACTCGCAACTGTACGGTGTTAAGAAAGGAATGCCGGGAAGTTTTCAATTTCGACCCCAAAGTCCAAATGGTAAGCGCTACAGCAAGGGGGCAGGTAAGATAAATAGCGAGCATAGGCGTGCAGAGCGTGACGGTACGTCGGCGGATATGTACAGTAGCTACTACGTACGGAGCGACACGTCCTACAATACAGATCAGCGGTGTCCGTAGCGGGCGAGAGGGCGCTATGCTCCTAGGCGGAGCATGGCAGGACGGAAACGCAGAGGGCACGCTCATGCGTTGCCGTACGAGTGCGACCCGTCGGCGTACGGGTAGGGCGCCTTCGTCTGCATCAGGCCCTGGTTGATGTCCGTCGTCGTGAGCTTGTACGGGCCCTGCCAGAGGTCGCTCTCGTCCTCCAGCTGCTCGACGTACCGCCGAATCACGACCACGATATCTGCAGCGGTGTCAGCGACCCCTGTTCCCGCAGAACGCGCTCTGGCAGTGGGACTCACAGAGGTGGACGAGTATCAGGACAGAGAGGACCACGGTGATGATGATCTTGCCCGCCTTGCTGACGTGCGTGTCGCACTGGTCGATCGAGAGGTTGTTGTTCGCGTTCGACACGACGCAGTCCGTGGTGATGTTCTTCTCCGTGTAGAGCGTCCAGAGGAAGAGCCCCGAGGAGACGAGCGACGCGATGAAGAGGATGATGGACATGGCCGAATACGACTTGACGAATCGCCGGTTGCGCGTGATGGAACCGATGAACCTGCGATGCGTCAGCGGCGTGAAAGACGGACACGAGAAAGAGGATCCGGGATCAAATGCGGTGGCCGAGTCCCGGTACAATTGACACGTCTGTACCATGGACGGCGAGACTGAACCTTACAGAAGCAGACATGGGCAAGCTACATAAGCACCTGCCATGCTCAGCCAGTCGAAGTCCGCCGCGTTCGGGACTATCCCATGTCTCATCCGACGAACTCGGCCTACGTGAGGTTCACAAACGCGGCGTCCAAGCTGCCGAGCCGAAGCATGGTGGTGACGGAGTGCAACATGCCCATGCAAGTAGTTGATTCAAGCCAGACAGCATTTGGCATCGCGCAAACCAACCGCAATGACTGAATAAGAGACTCACCCGAAGAATGACGTCAGAGTCATGAGAGTGAATATCGACGCAACGACGATGAGGATGATCTCGGACCGCTTGGGGACATTGGCGTACCCGTCCGCCTTCGTCAAGACCACTGGGATGCCATCAGTACGTGCTTCGTACAAGAAGAACAACGAGCACTCACAATGCACGGCGTACCAGGTGACGGCAGAGACGAAGCCCGAGAGGAGGAAGGAGAGCACGGAGAAGAGAAAGACACCCGCGCGGACGGGGATGCAGAAGCAGAAGTGTCGCGAATGCATGGCGCTGTTAGTACGATGAATGTGCGTTGAAGTTCGTCACTTGGCGGCTCGTCGAACAAAAGTGAACTCGGGCGGCGGGCGATAACCTGAAATGAAGAAACGCGCCCCGAGGAAAGGTGCGGACGAGGAGAGAAAGGAGAAGGGAGAGGGCAAGGAGGCCATGAGTGCGTATATACGACATGGCCCAGCGCCCATGATCATGGCGGTGTTCCAAGCGGTGCGCCACATCACTCGACAGGCGGCGCGGGGTCCCCGGAAAGCGCCCATCTACATGCGAGTTCCGTCTCCCAATTGGGCAACACACCGCCTTCCTCCTTCCTCGGTGCGCCGTACGCTGCTGCGCGCGACTGCGCCTCCCACTTCCCCGGATACACCGACAAACGAGCTCGCGCAGCACGTCTAGTTCGACGTCCGAATCGCACACGCCGCGCAGTGCCTCCGAGTCGTCGACCAGCAAAGCACGCCAGGCCTCCCAAAAAGATCCCTGAATCCCACCTCGGGAAGACATCAGCATCGTTCCCCCGCTCAACCGTGCGCGCCCGGCTCGCCATGTCAACCGACTCGGGCTGACAACTACACCCGACCACGTATCTCTGCATGAGCCCCCTTGGCTTTGCAACCTAGGCAACTCAACGGAGGCCGTGCCGGACAGACCTAAGCAGCACGTATACTCTGACGGCGAGTACTTGGAGGCGGTGCCGAGTCAACTTCGCTTCGGAGGGCGCGCGCGCAGTTTCTCACTCTCTGGGTCAGCGGCAGTCTGACTAATGGCGGTACTGTTGCATCGCTTTGCGCGGCGGGAATGTTCAAGCCCCTGTCGAGGGACTCGGACGCTATGACGGCGATGCGCGTAGTGCGACAGTGTGTCTCGGCGGGCTCGTCTCAACAGCGCACCTCATTATGACTGTCCGGCGTGCCTTGTCTAGCAACTAGCCACAGCACGCCCTTCCAAACGAGACAACGATGCGGATGTCTCACCCGCGCGCACCACAAATCGAAACAGGCGGGTGACGATCGATAACGGCAGCTCATCTGGGGGGATACAGAGGGCTACAGTGAGTTCCACGCTCTTCTCAGTAGATCCGCTGCATACCGGCTTTCTAATAAAATGTCACAGGTTAGATGGAGAAATGTAGGCCGCACTACATACCACTGTACCGCGTACTAAACGCAGTAGCAATGGCCGCACACAAGCATCCTCCGTTACGCGACCCTCTAAGCTAGACTCTAGAACACCAGAGACAAGCGGACCGCCTCCGACACATGCAAACTTTTGCAACAACCATAATCCTCGTGTTTTCGTGTTATGTACATTGTATACCGGACGCGATGCGGGCGCCCCCGAGCCCGACCGCGCGCTGTGACTCGGCGGTCAACTTTATTGATCTAGGACAGCACAGATCTTCAAGAGGACGTCATACTATAGCCGCCACTTGACACCATGTAGGGTATCACATTCTTCACAAAGTCGCAGCAATACAGCAACGTGCCCAACTACACAGCACAGGTTCGTTCTTATGTTCAAATTGTCTGCGCAAAAGCATATCAGGAATGCAGCTCCAAGACGAGATTGCACAGGTGATATACTACGGATCGCTCAAGGATCCAACTCGCCGGCCGGCCGTGGCAGCCCCGGACGGATGCTCCAGATGGGAGTTGACGAGCCTTACTGAGAGGTGCACTCCGAGTCGACAGCTTCTGAATCATTCTCCTCGTCATCCATGTCGCTCGGGCTGCTACTTTCGGCCTCAGTTGGCTCATCTTCGAATCCATGGGGGTTCTTCCGGAGGATATCGACGTCACTGATCTGCATGGACAGGGTTCGCATGCGCCTATCGCCGGCTGAGACAGCACGAGAAAATCGACGTCGGCGGAAGGCCTTCTGTCACGCAGCCGGCGAAGATTTGCACGTCTGCATTTTGGCAGAGGTGGTTTCTTCTTCCGAGCGTTCTTCGTGCGAGTGATTGCATCCAGCTGGTCGTACGTGGTCGTAAGCTGCGCCGATAATATGATCTCAGCGGGTAGCTGAATCGCACACCGCATTGGCCAATGTTGGCCTACCGTACGGACCACCGACGAACGCCATCCCGGCGTTGTAGCCCTGCTCAATCTCAGCTGCCGTCAGGTTTGCACTCTCGGCAAGCAGCGTTCTGCGTTCGTTCTTTGCTTCTTTATCCGTGTCGCTGCAGTCGCTGACCTCCTCGCTCATCCAGTCGGAATTTAGAAGTGGAGTGGGGTCCCGCTTGTACTTCTTGATGTATGCGAGGACAGCGGCGGTGCGCACGTTTTACAGCTGGGGTGTGTATTCTTGTTCAGTACATGCCATAGGTGCCAAGTACTGACGCCGAAGGAGCCAACTTACCTGCTTCTGACGTCGATCGCGGCGCTTGTTGAGAATTCGATGCCGTAGGTGCCGCGCTCCTTTATGGCTGTCTTTCTGCTGCTGATAAGTAGGCCCTCCGCCAAGCACGGAACTTGTCCTTGGCCCACTCAAGGAGATCGCCTTTTGTGAAATTGGCGTCCGCGAAGCTGACGGTCCATGTGGCCGGGTTCTGTCCAAAATGTCAAGCGGTGGACACGGCGCGACGTGCCAGTGTGAAGGTCGGACGACCCACCCTCTCATCAGTCCAGACTACATGAACAGCACGGTCGAGAACGGCGCTGTTCTCAATGGAGGTGACATCGCGTTCGAAGGCGAGACATACGATGTGTACATCTCCATGCGGTGTCTGCTTTAGGGCCTCGCTATCATGGTTGTCCCCGACGACGCTCGCAGGGCCATTGATTGGGAAGGGATTAGGCTGTAGCCCGGGAATGTTCTGCGGCGCAGTGACAACGAATTTCTGATTTTCCCTTACTCAGACAAGCTCTGAACAATCGCATATAGCACGCACGATATATCGAAGTTCGTTCCGAACGACTCTCCGTTCCGAGGTGAGCAATTCTTTGTACTTCACAACGCTCAGAATTTGTTGCTCATGTTCGCCTTACATGCGCCGCTTTCGGACCGACTTGATTGCCTCGCCCCCTTCACCCTCGTCATCTCCGTCACAATCATGGTCCACACCATCCCGCTCGCTCGCTCAACCTGCTCAGCCGCCACCCCCCCCCCCCCCCCAACACGCCACAACTCCGCAATCTCAGCTCTGAGCTATGCGAGTTGCCCGCATATCGCGACGTTTGGCTGTGCAACAAGCGGTTGTGGGACAAGAGGGCCTCTCTGTAGTATCACGAATTCCTGAAGAGGGGGAACGGGTAGCTTTAGGCTGCCTCGCTGTCAGTCGGCAACGAAATGCTGAGATTGCTGTAGAGCGGGCAGGCGGGGCGACCAGGCTGCCACATCGTAGCACGATCACGTGGGGGAACGGTCGTAAACGCGGTCGCGTTCGCGCCGCCCATACAGCCTGCTCCTTCGCCCATCCCAACCGCTCTGTCCATGCCCACTTTGAATGCGACCTCCCCGATCGACAATTTCCCTGTGTCTACACCATTAAAACCTGGCTATACCTGTCACGGGGTACGCTGTGCTCGAAATATACACGTCCCGAACGCGGAGAGTGTAGACTGAGAAGAAGTACATACATACTGTGTGCACTTCAATATCGTTTCCACCAAGTATGACGCATATATGCGCGGGTCGTAAACGTCCTACTTGAGCTTGTGCCACTCACAAACCGACTCGGATATGTATATGTTGTTTTCGTCCTCGACCACCAAGGTAGTCCTACCGACGACAACAAAGCGCACACAGCGCAACCACTAACATTGACACCAACCCGGCGACAAACAACAAATCGTCCTACAGACTACAGCGAGCGACAGTCTATGTTGTACGACAAGTGTCCCAAAAATAACCAGCGGAATCAGAGGTAGCCCGGAGGAGTCCAATCATAACGTAACAGAAAAACTACGACAGCGAACCCAAATGAACAAGACGACAACATGTACGTCACGGAAAGCCCGAACTACATAAAAGAGTGCGTCTGAAAACGAACGACAGCGAACGGCCATGACGATTATCCAGGTTCCGGATCCCCACCACGGGGATTTTTTTCTACCCTCGTTCCTCACCTCACAGAATGTCGATGTCGGCTGTCAAGTCGACGACCAAGTCAAGGAGCGCATCATCAGCGCGCTTCCGCTGTACGGCAAGAGCGCTTGCACGAACGCATCCGTCACCGGAGGTGTTGGCGACCCAGCCCGCGGAGCAGCTGCTGACGGCGCAACGTCCGGCAACGCACGAGACGCGGCTCACACCAGGGAGGGACGAGCAGTCGACGCCGCTAGCACTCGCTAGGCCCACGCCAGGTGCAGAGACGGAGCCGCTCCTCGAAATGGAGAGGAATGGACTGGGCACAGTGCATCCACCGCCTGCCGGAACATCGAACGTCAGCAAGGCAGCTCTGACACGAAGGAGACATTTCCTTACAGCTCTCAAGTGTCGTGTTGACATTGAGGCACTCGTACGCGCGGGACGAGCCACCGTAGACACCGCAGACCTATCGATTGATGAGCACCCTCCAGACGTGTGACGTATCCTTGTGCTTACAGTCTCATCTCGTCCGCACGTTGCCTGCGCATCCGCGAGCGTCCGCACGACGCCAGTGGACACCCGAGCGTGGTTTGCGAGAATATCACGCTTCCAGGGGGTAGATGAGCCACAGCCCTAATAAGCGGTGAGCATCCTACGTTGTATCTGGATAGACGCGATTGTAACTGTGCCTACCTTCGGGTACGAACCGCAGACGCCATTGCACTCCTTCCACGGCGCGGGGCAAACACACTGGTCGCCTTCCTTGACATACGGCGGCTCGCAGTTCCATCCGCAAGAGATGCTGTCGCCGCAAGAAGGAGCGGCCTTCGCATGGGGCGGGTAGGTACAGTGGGTGCAGTGGGTATCATCAACTGGGCCGATGTTGAGCTATGTACATCAACGATATCAATCAGGTCAACTGCCACACGTCAATGTCAGTTGCGCACTCACCGCGGCTTCGAGAAGCGCGTTCAAGTCTCCGAGACCCAAGAGCGGCACGAGTGCATCGAGACCAAGTCCGACGTCGACCTCGAGGGGCAGGAGCGAGATGCAGATACAGATGTCGATGTTGAGGAAGATGCCGAGGATGTCCGCAGTAAGGTCGATGTCAATATCAATGGCTGCGAGCTGAAGCGAGGAGCTAGTGAGGTGCCCGCAAGTGTCCTCGGACGAACGCAAGACGTGGTGCTGCTTGAGAGCGCGGGCAGCTGGAAGGGGTTTCGGCGGCGTCAGCGCGTGGAGGGAGTTGCGCGGGCGCGCGAGGGCTGTGATACCCATGCTAAGGAAGAGCAAGAGGGCTGAGAGGACGCGCATCTTGACGTGACTACACCGAACTGCAGGATCCCGTAAGAGTAAAGACTGGCGGTGTCGAGGACGCGACACAGGCGAGATGGAGGAAGGGAGGAAAGAGGGATAGGATGTGCGACGCGCCCCTGCGTTTTATATGCTGAGAAATTTCGGCCACAGACAGATCGGAAGCCGTCAACGGCCCTTCATCGCTCAGTTTGTGCCGAGGTGGGGCGCCTCTGCGCGAGCACATCTTCCGTATCAAGCAGGGGTCCTTCCATATCAGGGGAACCTCGACCGCGTCACGTCACGGAGACCACCGAGTGTCAGGCAGTGACATCTAGTGACGCGCGATGGCATCCGTCTATGACATGCCGCGTCGAAGAAGCAACACGAGTCAAATAGAGCCCCGGAGACTTTGACCGCCCTGGCGTCTCCAGCCCGTCTCGCCCGCACCGGCCAGTCGGCACTACCTACTGCTTTGGTTCGGCCGCACATCCTAATCAGCCACCCACACATGGCTCAGCGATGCGGTGCACACTGACGAGAATAAAAGGATGAGCACTTCACTCCCAAGACTCGACTGACCGAGTGCCCTGACCCGGCGAACCAGCCGGCCGGAGTATGCGCCACTGATACTCGTCGGTGATTGCTCAGGGCACATCTCCGTCCTTGACAACTTGAAGTGCACTCGGCGCTTCTACGACGGAGTCTCTTGAGCGGCACGGGCTCTGTATAAAATATTCTCGGGATCCTGGACGCCGCAGAAAACCCGCTCATTGAGGGCGAGACGCCATAGCCCGAAGTCTGGGGACCGCAGAGACAATGACTCTCGCTCGGATGCGCCATAAGCCTTAGAGTAACCTGACGCAGCCTGAGAGACGACTCACCATCCAATACTGTGGCTGAACCGGTAGTGAGAACGCGTTTTCACTACTATCCCCAGCCATCATGCGTGAAATCTGCGGATTCAGAGTTATAGAGTATTCACTCTAAACCGTAGGAACACACACAGATATCCTCTAGGGTTCTAGAGTCCGATAACGTGCTCTCGGCAGCCTTGATAGCGAGAGACCCATTTGCCCGCTAACGCGTTGAGCTACGTACTGTACCACATCTGGTTCAACCACAGTATCAACGACAGCTAATTCTATATTGCTAGACCGACCCCTCACCAGAAGAATGTCCACAGCCAGAGGGCGCGAAGGGCGTCAGACCTTTGCCCGGCATTGTATTTGGGTGCCCCACATGCTCTGCCAGTCGACATCAGCCGCAAACGTCGGTCTGGCTCGCTCTCGATGCTACCAATTCCGGTCGAAGTTTGATGAAAACGCGGATGTGATATCGAGTCCGACGCGCTCCGCCTGTCCACGCTCTTCTCGAAGGGGCATAGCAAAACGAAATTCGCTGGATTTGAGATAGAGGACCTGGGTAGACGATTGTTGGCGCGAAGGGTCTACGACGGAGTTTCAGAACATATTATGGCATCACGGGAATTGAAAGTGAATGCTCATCACGTCGTCCCTAGCCTTCTCCAGCATCTCTATCGCCGTAATCGCACCTCGAGGTCGACGCGTGTGCGGACGGCGCGCCTGAAAATGATAAATTGTATTGAGCATCGGTTTGCAGAACACCGACGACCTCGGACTTGTCCTCAGTCGTGTCTGGGCATCCATAGTATGGGTGGCATGAGGACATGGATGCTGAGGTGCATTCAATCCACATAGTACTGGGAATCGTTGTGTAATTTCCGGCATTTCAGTCTGAGTTGGTGACGGAGGACACTTACCCGCCGACTGTACGTACGTCGTACATAGACGTCTTTGAATTTCACTGACGGGCCTATGCCCACATCTGCCACGTAAGTAGTGAAGATGGCCGAGTGTCTCGAGACAGACACCGAACGCGTGACAATCTTGCGTGGTTCTAGCTTGCAGGAAATCGCGGACGAGCATTTCTAGTTACCTAGCACAGAGCTAAAGGTGCGGACACCGACAGTCGGTGTGGACGTGGCTTGGCCGTGGCTGGTCCGATTCAGAGCGCTCCTCCTTGCACAGTGTACATCCCGATTTAGCAGGTGTTGTAGAACGCGCGTCTGTCTAACAGTGCATCCCGAAAAACGTCACCTTCAGAAGGTCGATGCTTGGGGATTCATGCGGACTGGAGGAGAGGACAAACAAGCGTGACAACTGTAGACTGCTGGCCGTACTCCGGCAGGAGGTCACCACTCAATCTGTCTGATATCCTGGCGCCGTTGGGAGCACTTTTGTAGCAGCAATTACACTACATCTTGCAGATTTCGACCTGTAGGTTTTGCAAGCGACGAAATCACTTGCTTCCATACAGAGCTCGTAGTTCTGGATAAGGAGCCTCGCCATACTCGCGCATTTGATGAAGCTTGGGTTTTTAAATAGAATGTTTTGACACCGTTTCTACGCACTCTGCCAAACATGACAGCTTCTCGCAGAAAACTACTGGTGGAAACGGATGCAACACGGTACTTGGAGTCAGAGAGGGAGGAACGGAGCAAAACGAGTTGAAGTCGCGTCCTCCCGGGACCCGGACCTCCGTCAAGACGGCCTCATCACATGATATGTAACTGTCAAGGTCACACAGCGTGACCTACGTTATGTTTCGCGTCTGTGACAGCAGAACGCGTCTGTAGCCGCGCGGCGCGTCGTCTGTCTTGCTTCCACAATCCCACTTGACTTTCTTTTCAACTGTCATGGCTCGCGATTCCTTTGGCGGCGCGCGTGGACGAGGGAGAGGTTCACGCTTTGGCACCCGTGGCAGCTCACACTATCGAGGCGGACGTGGTCGAGGAAGAGGAAGGGGCCGAGGAGGCGCACCAGCGGACGCCCAGCCCCAGCGCGAAGAAGATGGTACTCAGCTCGCGGAACGGTTTGAACAAGTGGAGTTGAACGACGAGGTTGACGAGAAGCTCGGGTTCGCGCGGGTTTTGGAGGGTTCAAGGAGAGAAGGATGGTTGATCAACATGCACCCCGTAAGTAGTCCGAGTGAAGTCTTGCATCGATGTTCCACGCCGCCCTACTCTTTTCTTTGCTGGCTGGATCCCTTCACTGTCACTCAGGGCGAAGCCCTACGTAGACAATTGAACGACATACCCCTTCCTTGCTTCCGCTCCCCTTACAGCTTCTCTGAGTACGACCGTGGGGGTAGTGCAAGCGTCAGGGTGATGATGCAATTCAGCCCATGTCCTGTCTTGTTATCCCTGTCTTTCAATTAACTGACAGCTCGTATAGACACTTGTCAAGGATGCAGACTGGCCGTCGGGAAAGGCGGCCGTAGACTTCTACTTCATTCAAGACGACGGAGGAATGTTCAAGTGCACCCTTCAATACGAACCATACTTTTATATTGCCTGCAAGGTATGTCGCATAGCTCTCATTGTTCCCAATCTGACATATCTCTGCAGAGCGGCATGGAGACGGTCATTGAAGAGTGGTTGATGAAGAAGTACGAGGCCTTCGTATATCGCATCACTCGCGAGCGGAAAGAGGACTTGAGCCTGCCGAACCATCTCATGGGTCACCGCCGCCTGTACCTTCAGCTCCATTTCCGGAACGTCTCCGACCTTCTCGCTGTAAGGCGAGACCTGATGCCGCTCGCGCTGGCCAACAGCGCGAAACTCGATGCCGTCGACGCTTACGCGGAGGTGGTGAACTCCACGGCGAACGCGACGACCTCGATCGAGATTGAGGGGGAGTGGGACGCCGACGCAGGCCCGTCTCGGGGTGGCCGTACAGGGCGTGACAAGGACCCGCGGGAGGGTATTATCGACATTCGCGAGTTCGACGTGCCGTACTACTTGCGTGTGGCGATGGACAACGAGATGCGCGTTGGTCTGTGGTACGCGGTGACGTTCACGGCGGGGCAGCCGGCCTTCACGCAGCTTGTGGAGCGTGTCAAGCGTGCGGACCCCGTCGTCATGGCGTTCGATATCGAGACGACGAAGGCGCCGCTCAAGTTCCCTGACCAACAAATCGACCAGGTCATGATGATCTCGTACATGATCGATGGCCAGGGCTTTCTCATCACGAATCGCGAGATCGTGAGCGAAGACATCGAGGACTTCGAGTATACGCCGAAGGAGGGGTATGAAGGGCCGTTTACGATATTCAACGAGGCAGACGAGGTAGAGTCCTTTCATGCGCTCAGTACGCTACTTCGACTTGACGAACATTGCAGGCTGCAACCATCCAGAGGTTCTTCTCGCATGTGCAAGACGTGAAGCCGACGGTGATGGCGACGTTCAACGGAGACTTCTTCGACTTTCCGTTCCTCTATGCGCGTGCGAAGGTGCATGGCATCGACATGTTCCTCGAGACGGGCTTTGGAAAGGATTCGGAGGATGAGTTCAAGAGTCGTTGCTGCGTCCACATGGATTGCTTCCGCTGGGTGACACGTGATGGTGAGTGGTTCGGATGAGAAGGGGTGCGGCGTGCGAGTGCGGCGTGGGGGCGGGGCGGGGATCGTCGCAGGAGAATGACGGCTGCTTACGACGCGGGGCGGGGATTGGCTGGGGAAAGGGTAAAAACGCGAAAAGCGCCCCAAGTCCGGCTCAAATTTGGTTTTTTTTCGGCCATAGATTCCCCTCCCCGTAGGGAGCTCGGAGATTATCGGGTTCCGGTGCATTTCGTGTATCGCGCAAACGGGGCGAGGTATGTACACGGCAGCAGCAAAGAAATAGGGCCCCTCTGCGCGGCACAGAAGGAAGGTCCAAGGCTCTCCTCACGCAGCATGGACGTGGACACGTGCGCCACCCTGCAGAGCGTCGCGTCGTAGATAGGTCAGTGCGTGTGCGTAGACGCGGTCAATGGATACACTTACCCCTCCGCACCTTGGCCGACTGCCCCGTCAGCGAACAGCGCGGACCGCACGAATGCACGACTCGCCACCATGCGCGCGGAAGCGCATCGCAACCTACGTGGACGGCCGACTTGGGACATCGTTGGGGCTCGAGTATCCGTCTAGGTGCTGCGCTCGCGGGACGTCGGTACGTCGGTACATTGCAGTGTACGCCAATGACCGCGCCGCTAGCCTCGCCCGGCGGAGATCGATCTACGTCAGCGGCCACCCGTGCGTCACAAGGACAATACTCACCAGGTTCGACATAACCGGGTCTAATCATAACACCCATTCATAGTCAATGCAGGCGGACTAGGAGATTGCGCGCGACGTACCTTCCATCCAAGACTCGAGCTCGCGGTACCAGCAGAAGTACCCTCCGGAGGGCAGCGCTTGCCCAACTCGTCGATCCGTTCGCCTGTTGTGTGTGTCCAGCCGTGTATGTGTGATGTGTGGAGGCTGCTTGATAGTTATAGGCACATCATCCAGTCCTGCGTCGGCTCCTCACGGTACACGCCCTTGGTCGTTCGATGTTCCGCGCAAAGGACGGACGATCAGCGGGATGAACGCGAGACAACCGCAAACCCACTTACCGATCCTTGCAATCTGCTCGCCAGGTGGCATCGACATCTCTACACAACGCTTGCCGTGCTCAAACTCGACATCGTGGTGAATGAACCTTGGAGCCACCGAGCCCCTCGTGGCGCAGGACTGTAACCCTCAAGCGTCGGCCGACGCGAGCCTGCAGCCGTTGTGCCGGTGACATCTGCCCAGGTGGACTTCATCAGTCTTCGTCCCACATGCGGACCTGGCTGTCTACGTACCTTCGCCAACACCCCGCTCGCCGGAAGACGATACATACATACATTGTCATACACGACCATCTGGGGTCGGGCATGGCCGCAATGAACAAGCCATGTGGCAATTTGACAGGCCGGGGGAGACCGTGTGTCCATCGCCTGCGGTCGACGGCGCGCTGTTGCTGCAGTGAGCACACTGGCCGCTGTCCGCGACGTACCTCACCGCGTGGCGGTGGGCTTGCTCGCCGGACGGCGATCCATATATACATTACCGGTCCGTCTGCAAGTCTTGCGGGCCGACATGGCTTTGGTCCAGCTCGCCGGACGTCGATACATACATACATTATCATTCGCGGTTGAGGCTTGAACCCAGCGCGATGCGACGTTCGCTGTCAACTGACGTGAGTCAACCTGAATGACCACATGTACATATGAACGAAGATGAGTCACTAACCTTCGCGCAACGTGTGCGCCTCGAATACAACCGATGGCGCGTAGGCTGTCGGCGACTCGGAGCCTCTTGTTTGCATAGGTCGGGCTAGACCAATGTGCGTCCGTGTGGATACACAGGCTGGCCGAGTGCTCTGTCCGCGATCGGACTTGTGAACAAAAGAACGTGGAGACACAGTACAGTTAAATGAATGACCTACCTAGTATGTTTCGTCTAGATGAAAGGAACGAAGGACTTGTTGCCCTTCGTCCGGTCAACTCTGCTTCGAACTGTGCATCATCACTACCGTGACGGCCACCGCTACTTGCCACTGACGAACAACATCCGTATGTGCCCCATCGTGTACTCCACGCCGCCACGCTCACACCGTGACCATGCTGCCACAGTCGTAGGGTCGCGCGGCTTGACACGCCGACCTGGATGATCGCGCGGGCTCGCATGGTGCCTCGTTGACACACAGATACCCAACCTACCATGTGTAGCGTTCATTGGCCGAGCCCCCGCGACTCCCGCAACCAGCAGCAAGTGTACGAGTTATGAGAAGTGATATATATATTGCACCAAGGACCGAGGTTAGACTCGAATGCACTTAGACGGGGACGCTCAGCACACGCAGACGCAAGGGAACGATGCATGATACTCACAACATGACTAGGCCCGTTACCAGTCTACTCAGCTGCCCGGCCCCTGCAAGGTCCCAAGGTACTGGCACTCCTGACTCGCCACGCCGACGTCTCGCCTCTATCTTTCTATATAAGGTCAGCCATCACCTCGTCGACGGTTCTCACACTGTAGCTGACGTACTGGCCCACAGAGAATACGCCCGGCGGAACCAATCTATCCATTCCGGGAATGCAAGACTTCTATGAAGCCATCGCCAGTGACGTCGCGCAGCAAAGTCATGCATCCGTGGATAGGCGGGGGATAGCGCGATGTGATTCTGCAATCGACGTTCATCAGCTTACGGGCTGGGAGCGTCTTGAACCCTCGTACCTTGTATACCAGCATGCAATCGAGCCACGCCGGTCAGGCCCTGTTCAACTCAGAAGTCAGTAACCAGAAGCGATCACGCAACTGACGAACACACCTCTGCCTAGTAATTGAAGCGACCTCGTCCTGAATGTACTCAATCGGAACGTACTTCAGTTCTTCGTCCATGAGGAGCACCTTCTGGATCGGCACGCGCTTGTACTTGGGGGCGGGCGAGCCGCGGAGGAGGAGCGATGGGGATCTCGGACTCGACCTCGTGCTCCGGCACAGCATCCTTTGTCTCGACGTCGGCGACAGAAGCCTTGTCAGGCCTCCGGATGCGGAGCTCCGCCTCGAAGGCGGCAGAGGTGACGGTGCCACACATTTCGCATGGGGCGCTGGCCGGGGAGAGGGCGGGAGGAGCAGTATGTATTATGTTGTATACATCCGGACTCCGACCCGCGCAAGGCCGGTCTGCTCGGCGGGTGAGCTGTGCGACTTACAGTATCACCTCAGGCAAGTGTTTATCCCTGCGTCGACAAGCATAAGCACTCGTCAGTTATGTAAGTGAGGCGGTACTATGCGCCAGAGGCGTACTACTCTTACCCTCGTGCTAGTCCCGCCGTGTTCTTCTCGACATCTAACGTCCACGTATTCTTTAACCTTGTGTTGCGCAAATTGTAGCAGGTGTACTGCAGTGTGTGCTGGCCGAGTCTGGATGTCAGCCGGCGCACCAACTGTCCGTGCGCAAGTATTAGCGGCGAACTTGATATCAGTGGCAATTGTTACTATATCGGGAAGGTGCTTACAGTCAGTGCATTCCGCACGCGCACCTTGACTTGTTCCTCAACGCGATGGGCTGGCGATGGGCTGTCAAAGTCAAACAAAAGGTCTGTGAGCGGAATACCTTCATATCTGGAATAACAAACTCACATTATCTGTGTCAGTTAACTTGTTTGGCGGTGGCTTGTGAGGATCAGTTGGGCTGACTCGGATGAAGTATGACTAGTACTAGTATATACCGGTGAGTGGCGTAGTAGGCGGTGTCAGCAGAGCGGACTCCGGCGGCGGAGGGGCATAGTGACATTCAAAAATCGTGAGTCAGACCATCCAGCCCCCCAGGATATATACCACTCCTGTTCGGCTCTTGTGCATGATCAACGCTGGCAGACTTCAAGTTGGAATCAGATTCAAGGCCTCCTCGGCTGGATCATGCTCATACTGTGCTCTTCGCCTCATGATAGTGCCACAGATGTGTGGCGTGCATCTCCTCGGCTACATACTAGTAGTGTTGATTTCCGAATGAGTTATCAATGAACTGAACCTTACTACTAGTGGCGTTGAGGTTCGGAACCGATTAGACCCAAAGACATAGTAACTCTGATCTTCCAACCCAATATGGTCATCTTCCATGATCATTCTCAATTTGACAGCTTCGTCGGTGGATGGGCGGTCACACCGTGAGCTGATTACTCGCACAGAATCCTTAACTTGAAATCCCTTCACTTACGTTGCCCTCTTACAGGTCTTCCGTGACTATACTACACTTGATGAGCACCTTATTATTATGACTGTGAGTGTGTATAGCCCATGGATGTGTGACTTACATTGGCTACCTATCGTGATACATAGGACAAGTAAAGAGCATTGTGCATTGTGTGATGATTGATCTCCGTGGCAGAAGCAGAAGCTCTGAAGCTCGTGTCAAGCCGATCTCTCCGGACTGAGCGCTGTCAGGTGACGCGTGTACGATACACGTAGTTACTGTGGCTAAATGGAATTACCTCCTCCTGTCAGTTCTATTTTTGCATCCACGGCCCTCGGAATGCATGCCGTCACACATCATGTGCCACTATTGCTTCGCACAAGTACACTTGTAATGACTCGACACACTCAGTGTATTTGTCTGGTATGTATCTCCGTCACATTGTCATGTATATGGTTTCTGTACCGAGCACAGGTTATCATACCAATACACAGATAATGGGTCATGTCTCATGGCATGTACACTGCAAGATACGGACCCATCAATCAACACCGCACCTCAATACCATCATACGCCGCTGAGGCGAGACCATAGACACGCCGCTTGTTGACAATGACACCGCAATCTCGGAGGTGAGTACTGGTGAATGGAAGCTACACCTTCTCATGTATGACACCGCAGTCCATCTAAGTCAGATATCCAGGCCTGAGGCTCACCATGAGCCTCTCAGTACTATGGCATACTCAACAGTCGTTGAATCCACTCACTTGAGAGGTACAGTATGCCCGAATTGCATAAACATGTATTGTCGTGCTTCAGTCGTGTGACGAGAAAACACTGCTCGCGGCCTGGCTTCAAGGATGTATGCAATCGTGCACCCAAGGTGCCGGTACAAGACCGTGCATCTCGGAGAACAGTGGCGGTAAAACGACGCCGGTAGAATAATTCCCATTCGCTTCCACGGACAACCTGTAGGATCCCAGAAAGGAGATGGCGACTTGGCCACCATGACCGAAACAATTGGTGCGCCGAGGTATAAAGCGAGGGGCTTGGGGCGTAGCGAAGCATAGGTAAGCTTCACTCTTAAACAGTGCAGAAGCGGACGTACTGACGACCTCTAACGAACAGCCACTGGCCCGACTGCTACAACAACGACAGGTAAGCTTTGCGCTCTATCCTACCTTCAAGCCCACTGATCACGGGCGATCCACGGTATGCTCTTGTACTGGCTGTTTCATAGAGGGGAGGTATTGTGTGTGGTAATAGCTGCGTCGGCGGTCGTTAACTGCGGGAGGACGAAAAGAGGCCGCGGTCAAGTCGGGGGCGGAGACACTCACCGCGTTGTTGTGCAGGCAGGTACATAGCAATCAGTAGAACAGATATCGACATACCTTGGCAGGCTGCAGCAGCGGTCACATTAATAGTCCGTGTACTTCGCATTTGTGACCTCATCATCGACAACAAAACCCGGTGGACAGCTCCATTTGTCCACTGGATCATTGAAGCAAGATGACGCGAGTCCGCTTGGGCGTACGGTGCACATCGCCAGCCTTGTGGCTACCTAGGTGCCGGGGTAGGTGGAGGAGCCTCACATCCACTGAGAGCCGGAAAGTATAAGGGGATGCACATACACTATGTTGAACGTTACTCCATTGCAACGGAAACCAGACGCAGCCGGCACTATAGAGGTAGACTGTAACAAGCGCAAGTCGGACATCAGCACGTAGGTCGGATGTCCAGAGCACCGGTGGGGACGTATGGTACATTACCGCAGCATCAAGATGAGCCCAATGAGCTTTGTTCTGCTATCTCTGTGTCGAGAGAGACTGTGTGCTTGTGCGGATCCGACTAATGTTGGGAGGGCGTCGCTGTATCTGAGTCTGCGTGCTGTGGCAATGAGCGAAAATTGACGACTCGGAGCTGTTACCAGACTACTTCAAGTTAGACCTCCTCCGCTGTGCAGCCACCACCACGGAGTGTATGAGTTGACGGTCTCGAGTGATGTCCATCCTCTGTGTGCGTAAAGTCGATGGTCGTGCATGCCAGAGATACTGTGACATAGACATCGTCGGACTGGCAGACCCGCTCAGAAGCCAGTCCGCATGCAAACGCGCATGGTCGTGTGTCGGCGGGCAAGGACGGAGAGCTGGAGGCGGAGGCGGACACTACCAAGTCCATGCTACGGTCACCGTGACTCAGCGCCACAGCTAGTCGCGAGTCCGAGTCGGAGGAGCGACGCGCTGCGCAGGTTTGATCTCAGCCGTCATCAAGTCGCCATGGCTGCTCTCTCGTTCCTTTCACTCTTCTCGATCGTCTTGCTCACTCTGACCCTGTGTATGCGCCCTCAGAGAACTCAGGTTTCTCTGTCAATGTAAGTTCTTGTGTTCATTCTCTAGTAATCGTAATCGTCCTTCTAACGGCCCACGGCTGTAGTCGACCACTCGCCGCCGCCAAAACCTGGCGGATGCGCTACTCGCCACGACTCAACTTTCGCCCACGCCCCGCACGCAATGCTTGCTCCCAAACACCCGTGCTGCCAAGGCGTGAAATGCGCTCTGCGCTCTGCGCACCCTCAAGCATGTCGTAGCTCAAGTTGCTAGTGTGACTCCCAACTCAGGCTCCGGGCCTAACGATTCCCAGTACGGGTCTAGTTCACGCGCTCGGCTCATCGTCTGTCAGCTCGACAGATTCTGTCGACAAAGCTGCAATCGGATGGTTCCGGCAGTATGCGCATAGAGGAAGTCGTTGACCAGGAACCGTAGCACCGGTGAGTGGCCACATCTATGATCCATACCTCTTCCCATACGTGTCCCGCATCTTATGCATATGTCATTGAAGTACGCTACGTACGGGAAGCTGAGTATCGCATTGATACGTTTGATCCGGAATTTGGGCTCTCCAGCTGCAAATTCCGTTTTCTTCGCTGCACGGTACTACAGGGGCCCAAACAGGACTGTTCGGCTGCCTGCAGCGCGAAGTATGTGCTGCATGCTCAGTTCGTTTGCGTGCACACACGTAGTACGCACGTCGATTGCGCCGGACGTCTGGTAGTGGCTCGTAATATGTGTTCGTGTGCGGCCGACAGGCCTACCACCATCTGCCGCGTCGTCGACGTCGACACTATGATTTGTTGCCGCGGGCGCTGCCTGGATGCGGCCACGTACCTGTGTGATTGCATTCCTGACAGTCGTGTCAGGCAGAGTGTCAACGCCCGATTCAAAGGTCTCAATCTTGTCGGTGCCAGTGCTCGCTTCATGCTCGTCCCAGATGCTTGCAAGATTTGCGAGCGAGCGAAAAGAGCAAGGTGGCTGTCTCCTTGACTTTTGTCTCGGAATCATCCTGCATTCGGTGTGTGAATTGTTATCATTTCCACATCGAAGGGCCGCGTGCGATTAACGGCGAGCCTGTCGTGTATGGACGCGCACTCCGTGATGACTGGTTAGTGGACGTCGCAAACGCGCGGATCTCGAGATATACTGCCATCTATGACGTGCTCTTCTGCATCAGCCAGCTCGTATTGGGCATTCCGAAATAATCAGCGCGCACACCTCTTCGCGTTTCGCAGCTGCAATAGCAGGGGACACAGAGCTGCCATGGCCGTCCTGTCAGCCTCAACGAGATCGTACGACGGCCGACGGACCTGGACTTTGACGGGAGGCTGGCGATTGCCTGCTGTCGACAGGTTCCGAGGTTGCGGCCCCAAGCCAGGGCATTCGCTTGGGCGATGGTGTCTGCGCCGCCAGCCTCCTGTCACTTGGTGATTCTACAGCCCAAGCATCCGGAACGCGAGACCGTGTAATGTATTGCATATAACGGCGGAACACACCGAGTCAGCGATCGGCGAGCAGCTGATGGTTGCTGCCCTGTCGGGCTCGCATGACGAGTACTCAACATCACACTGGCATAGTGAGGGGCTATGTTTGCTCCGAGGGTGCAAGTGTTCCGAGACATGTTGCAAATGGGCAGTATGGATTCGTGAGGATGTGTCCGGCGGCTACGACGCGACGTTCCTGTGCGCCTCGGCGGCGCATTTCGACTTTCACTCGCCCGGCTCATGCACGTCCACATAGCTGAGCATCCTTCGAATGATCAGCCAGGGCCTCATCCCTCTGAGCTGAATCGTGGGCTTATAACGAAGATGTGGCGTGTAATCGTCGAGTCTGGGGCGATGACGCACTTTCTGACATGCAGAATAGCTCATCAAGCTGTCTGAGTGCGAGCTCTTCAGCGTGACATTCCAGACATGAGACGAGAGCACTGACATACATCTGTCGCCAACGCACAAAGTTAGGATCACATGAATCAAGTATCCCGAGCGAAGGCAGCGGAAATGAATGTCTCGCCATGGTCTGCACACACATCGAACACGATGTATAGGTGAGTGTTGCATCACTGGGGAGCACGGGAAGGTCTACCGTCTCTGATCACAGTGGATGATACACTGCGATTCGCGACTCACAATCGCGCGATTCGTGGGAGTACTGCTCATTGAACGACCTGGCCGTTCCATGGCAGTTTACCGTGTTCGAACCATAACGAGCGCAAGGTGTCCGCTGTTTCCGCTATAAATGCTTACGTTTCATTCCCGTTCAGCAGGCTCATCTATCTGGACTATTGGTCGAGAGAGTAGATCCGCAGTCGATTGTGTATTGAGGGTGAAGGGGCATTCGCCGGACGGGGTCAGGTCTGCTGAGAAACCAATGTATCGAGAGCGACGAGTGGTAAGTGATACAAAGACCAATCTCTCTGTTTGCTAACGAGAATGTCGCATGCCGTGCATAGCAAGTGGTGCCGCGCACATACATATCCTCGCTCCGGATCGCCACAATCCGATGACATGCACTGAGCTGCACGTAGCCTCTACGAGGTAGCACACGAACATTGGCATGCGCGGCCTCCGATTGTTCAAGCACCGTCGCAGAGTCAGGTATGTTCGATTGCTCTGTTTCTCATGTTCATGATGTACCAACTACGGAGGAAACGAACAGTGGCCCTGGTTGATGCACGACAGTAAGCTACGGATGTACATCGTGATGCAGGAAGCCCAGCGCGGGACGCGGCGGATCGTGACGAGTTGTGGGCGATGTACGAGGATGAAAGAACAATAATCAGTGGAACAGAAGGAAGAGAGACACAGAGAATGAAGCAGGAGACGTACTACTGTTCTATGCAGACCAAGTCACTCACCTCTACTGTCCGTAGACTTGCTCGTAAGCCTCGTCCGTCGCTCCTCTATAAGCTGCGCGCCCTTCATCATGGTCGCCATAAGGTTCAATGGCTTCGGCGTGTCGAATACAATGTCGTCAAGAATCTCCGCAATCAGTGCGAAGCCCTGTTCATGGTGAACAGAGGTTCTTCGATACGGCCCGTGCATCCTTCGACGGCGCTCTTATGGAATCAAGCCACGGTGAGCTTGGGTAGTCAGTCCGCGACTCCCGGATCCGCAAGGGCTGTGTTCGCAGTAGCGCGTATCACATCCACTTCAGTCATCCGTAGGCAGCCTATCGGGGAAGATTGACAGTGAGTCGTTACTAGTGTCATCTCTGCAAAGCCCCGAACCGTTCGACTACAGTCACGGTTCCCTCTCGGCGAAGGCTACGTCGCTCTCGCCTGCTCCGTTGTCATCGACCCGACGGGCGACGGTACGACTCACAGCTTGCACATGCATCCAGGCGACTACTCGTCTCCTGGAACTTGCTCAATAGGACCACCAGACGTTAGTACTAGTGCAGGTGCGTACTCTGGCACGATGCATAGTTCATTGCTGACATGAAATCCCCCGAGGGCCTGCGCCGTCCGCAAACCAAGCCGTCTGGACGGGGGTGCCTAGGATACTTGGGAATGACGGTGGTGTCGCGCGACGGTGCGTTTCACGCAGCCCGTCTCTGCGCGCGGATGGAGACGTCGCGCTGTGGCAGCGTGCTTTGTTTCTCGACAATCATGTTCAGTATAGTACATGGGATCAATAGATTTATTCGCCGCGACACTATGTACATGTTCCGTGTGACTACATGGCTGGCACTCGAGGCAGCCACCAGCCGCGCAGGAAGTAGCGCAGAGGCAGCAGCAATACACGCGCTGCGCGTCCAACCCTCCGTCACGTCTGAATCTCCGCCCGCACATTTGCGCTTCAGACGGATTGTGCGGACACGAGCGCATACGTGCCGTTCTGACAATAGGGGGGTCCTTCACCACCGCCGTTTGAAGGCTCGCGGCGCTGCCCGTCCGCCGAAACACAGCGCGCGGACGTCGAGACAGAGCACTCGCCGTCGCAACGTCAGCTGCTCTCCACAGGCGGACTCGAACGCGGGCACAGCTCTACGGACGGCGAGGGCGCGGCGCATGTCCGGTGCGCGTTAGCAGGGAATTCTCGGGTGCGGAGGCATACCTCTCGCTCTCGCGTGCACGGCGTCCTCGGAGGCGAGTATGTTCCTCCATTGCATGGACCGCTGGTGAGCACGCAGCAAGTGAGACGATGTCCGCATCCGCTGATACGATGCCTCCCAATCGCATCGGTACATGGCACGACACGCCGCATTCGCCTGTCTGGCTGACCGGTCGCGAGGAGAGCCCGGTTGGAAGGGAAGGGAAGGGACGGGACAGACTGCACGTACGTGCACCGCCGTTGACCTTGCGCTTGCTCGCTGCACCGTGAGTATACAGCCAGGAGGGGGAGCTCGCACTGGCGACTCACCACTGCGACACCGAAGCAGCCGCCAGCACAGAGACCGCGCTCGAGCGTCCACGAGCTGCGCCCGAGCAGCGCGCACGCACGCACCTAAGCAGAGCCGTGCATCCCGCAGTGCCCGCGCCTCTAGTTGCGTCCGTGCCAGTGGCACCAGCAGTGCTGCGAACGCGCGCCACATTCGCTTCCGCACAACGGACATCATCTCGCTCGTCGCCCGAATGGTGGACGGCGACTTGGGTTGCTGATGAATGCCCCGGGTCCCGCTGGCGAGGTATAAAGGCAGAGGCTGCGGAGGGCGGCGGGGCATCGGTGAGTTGCACTTCCACCCGCGACCGATAGTTTGCTTACCAGACCGTGTATTGACAGAGTGCGACGGCGAGTCACCAGAGCGGGTGTCGAGAGACCGACGTACGTGGGCTTTTTCGGCCTCTGCGAGCTTGCTGATGACGGGTGCATTGTGGGCGCAGCGTCCCACCCGCTGCAACACGCGCATCATGCCCATCTTGATCGGGCGATGGGCGAAGGGTGCTCGACGTCGCCGGTGGGGACGCGGCTGCGATGTCAACGGAAGGGCTCGTCAACGTTTTGCGTGGGTTGCTCGAAGAGAGGTGCTGTAAGGACAGGCAAAGACTGCGTTTACGTGCCGTGCTCTGCGCGATGAGGAGTCGCGAGCGGGTGGCCGCAGAGGTGGAGGTCGTCGGTAAGACGCATTGCGCGGTGTCTGTAGAGTCGAGGGGAACGAGTGTCGCGCAGGCCGTGCAGCGGGCCGTGCGCGTGCCGCTGACGGATGGTGCGGTCATGTTCGCTTGCTTCCTGTACTGCCCCGCCCTGACCTGGATGTGGCGTCACTTCCCGCGTGTCTACATTCGGCGCATGCTTGCTTCGTTAGTTAGGCGGAGTTGTAGCATGCCCAGGAGACATCTCTGGCAACGAAGACATGTCTGGGTGACTTGTGATGAACGGAACAACAGCCATGAAACAGCATGGAACTCACCGAATGCTAACGAGCCCTCGCTGGCGCGGCAGGATGATTACTCTGCTTGCACCATGGCCACGGCGCGGCGACAGTGTGCAGCGCATTTGCGTGGCGCGTCTCGATGTGCTCCGTGTCTGCTCGTCGACGTGACAGCTGCCGAGAGCTGATGGAGCGAGTTGCGTGACGGAGAATGGTGTTGAACGTACACGGTGGTGAGCCAGCAATGCGCGGGGATGCGAAGCGATCGTTGCTGAGGGCACAGTACGCTCTATGCACAAACCGCGTTCGAGCAGCTTGCGAGCCGTCACTAGGGACCTCTGCTGGTCGGCTCTGCTGTCTTGGGCGACTGCGGCGAATGCGTCGGGGGGAGTGAATCGCCGGGAAGGCTCGAATGCGCGCGATAGCTACGGAAGAAGAGAGCCCGCATCTCCGTGCCGGATATGCGAAACGGGGCATTGGGGGTGTCTCCAGAGTCGCCCAGGCCGTGCGCGTCGACTGGTGCAGGTCGTGCGCGCGGGAGGACGGTGGTGAGCGAGCAGGGCGGGAGACGGCGGGAGGAGAGCGACGCTGCAGGGGGAGGACGCGCGTCGTGGAGCGAGGACAGACGGTGCTGGCGAGAGGACGGAGAGAGCGTCGAACAGCAGCCCGGTTGACAGGGCACCGCGACGGCGTCACGTCACGGAAACCGCCGAGTGTCAGGCAGTGACGTGCCCGACGCGCGATGGCATCCGTCTATGACATGCCGCGTCGAAGAAGCAACACGAGTCAAATAGAGCCCTGGAGACTTTGACTGCCCTGGCGTCTCGAGCCCGTCTCGCCCGCACCGGCCAGTCGGCACTACCTACTGCTTTGGTTCGGCCGCACATCCTCCTCGGCCACCCACGCATGGCTCAGCAATGCAGTGCACACTGACGAGAATAAAGGATGAGCACTTCACTCCCAAGACTCGACTGACCGAGTGCCCTGACCCGGCGAACCAGCCGGCCGGAGTATGCGCCACTGATACTCGTCGGTGATTGCTCAGGGCACATCTCCGTCCTTGACAACTTGAAGTGCACTCGGCGCTTCTACGACGGAGTCTCTTGAGCGGCACGGGCTCTGTATAAAATATTCTCGGGATCCTGGACGCCGCAGAAAACCCGCTCATTGAGGGCGAGACGCCATAGCCCGAAGTCTGGGGACCGCAGAGACAATGACTCTCGCTCGGATGCGCCATAAGCCTTAGAGTAACCTGACGCAGCCTGAGAGACGACTCACCATCCAATACTGTGGCTGAACCGGTAGTGAGAACGCGTTTTCACTACTATCCCCAGCCATCATGCGTGAAATCTGCGGATTCAGAGTTATAGAGTATTCACTCTAAACCGTAGGAACACACACAGATATCCTCTAGGGTTCTAGAGTCCGATAACGTGCTCTCGGCAGCCTTGATAGCGAGAGACCCATTTGCCCGCTAACGCGTTGAGCTACGTACTGTACCACATCTGGTTCAACCACAGTATCAACGACAGCTAATTCTATATTGCTAGACCGACCCCTCACCAGAAGAATGTCCACAGCCAGAGGGCGCGAAGGGCGTCAGACCTTTGCCCGGCATTGTATTTGGGTGCCCCACATGCTCTGCCAGTCGACATCAGCCGCAAACGTCGGTCTGGCTCGCTCTCGATGCTACCAATTCCGGTCGAAGTTTGATGAAAACGCGGATGTGATATCGAGTCCGACGCGCTCCGCCTGTCCACGCTCTTCTCGAAGGGGCATAGCAAAACGAAATTCGCTGGATGTGAGATAGAGGACCTGGGTAGACGATTGTTGGCGCGAAGGGTCTACGACGGAGTTTCAGAACATATTATGGCATCACGGGAATTGAAAGTGAATGCTCATCACGTCGTCCCTAGCCTTCTCCAGCATCTCTATCGCCGTAATCGCACCTCGAGGTCGACGCGTGTGCGGACGGCGCGCCTGATAATGATAAATTGTATTGAGCATCGGTTTGCAGAACACCGACGACCTCGGACTTGTCCTCAGTCGTGTCTGGGCATCCATAGTATGGGTGGCATGAGGACATGGATGCTGAGGTGCATTCAATCCACATAGTACTGGGAATCGTTGTGTCATTTCCGGCATTTCAGTCTGAGTTGGTGACGGAGGACACTTACCCGCCGACTGTACGTACGTCGTACATAGACGTCTTTGAATTTCACTGACGGGCCTATGCCCACATCTGCCACGTAAGTAGTGAAGATGGCCGAGTGTCTCGAGACAGACACCGAACGCGTGACAATCTTGCGTGGTTCTAGCTTGCAGGAAATCGCGGACGAGCATTTCTAGTTACCTAGCACAGAGCTAAAGGTGCGGACACCGACAGTCGGTGTGGACGTGGCTTGGCCGTGGCTGGTCCGATTCAGAGCGCTCCTCCTTGCACAGTGTACATCCCGATTTAGCAGGTGTTGTAGAACGCGCGTCTGTCTAACAGTGCATCCCGAAAAACGTCACCTTCAGAAGGTCGATGCTTGGGGATTCATGCGGACTGGAGGAGAGGACAAACAAGCGTGACAACTGTAGACTGCTGGCCGTACTCCGGCAGGAGGTCACCACTCACTCTGTCTGATATCCTGGCGCCGTTGGGAGCACTTTTGTAGCAGCAATTACACTACATCTTGCAGATTTCGACCTGTAGGTTTTGCAAGCGACGAATTCACTTGCTTCCATACAGAGCTCGTAGTTCTGGATAAGGAGCCTCGCCATACTCGCGCATTTGATGAAGCTTGGGTTATTAAATAGAATGTTTTGACACCGTTTCTACGCACTCTGCCAAACATGACAGCTTCTCGCAGAAAACTACTGGTGGAAACGGATGCAACACGGTAGTTGGAGTCAGAGAGGGAGGAACGGAGCAAAACGAGTTGAAGTCGACTCGTCCTCCCTCCGTCAAGACGGCCTCATCACATGATATGTAACTGTCAAGGTCACACAGCGTGACCTACGTTATGTTTCGCGTCTGTGACAGCAGAACGCGTCGGTAGCCGCGCGGCGCGTCGTCTGTCTTGCTTCCACTATCCCACTTGACTTTCTTTTCAACTGTCATGGCTCGCGGTTCCTTTGGCGGCGCGCGTGGACGAGGGAGAGGTTCACGCTTTGGCACCCGTGGCAGCTCACACTATCGAGGCGGACGTGGTCGAGGAAGAGGAAGGGGCCGAGGAGGCGCACCAGCGGACGCCCAGCCCCAGCGCGAAGAAGATGGTACTCAGCTCGCGGAACGGTTTGAACAAGTGGAGTTGAACGACGAGGTTGACGAGAAGCTCGGGTTCGCGCGGGTTTTGGAGGGTTCAAGGAGAGAAGGATGGTTGATCAACATGCACCCCGTAAGTAGTCCGAGTGAAGTCTTGCATCGATGTTCCACGCCGCCCTACTCTTTTCTTTGCTGGCTGGATCCCTTCACTGTCACTCAGGGCGAAGCCCTACGTAGACAATTGAACGACATACCCCTTCCTTGCTTCCGCTCCCCTTACAGCTTCTCTGAGTACGACCGTGGGGGTAGTGCAAGCGTCAGGGTGATGATGCAATTCAGCCCATGTCCTGTCTTGTTATCCCTGTCTTGGAATTAACTGACAGCTCGTATAGACACTTGTCAAGGATGCAGACTGGCCGTCGGGAAAGGCGGCCGTAGACTTCTACTTCATTCAAGACGACGGAGGAATGTTCAAGTGCACCCTTCAATACGAACCATACTTTTATATTGCTTGCAAGGTATGTCGCATAGCTCTCATTGTTCCCAATCTGACATATCTCTGCAGAGCGGCATGGAGACGGTCATTGAAGAGTGGTTGATGAAGAAGTACGAGGCCTTCGTATATCGCATCACTCGCGAGCGGAAAGAGGACTTGAGCCTGCCGAACCATCTCATGGGTCACCGCCGCCTGTACCTTCAGCTCCATTTCCGGAACGTCTCCGACCTTCTCGCTGTAAGGCGAGACCTGATGCCGCTCGCGCTGGCCAACAGCGCGAAACTCGATGCCGTCGACGCTTACGCGGAGGTGGTGAACTCCACGGCGAACGCGACGACCTCGATCGAGATTGAGGGGGAGTGGGACGCCGACGCAGGCCCGTCTCGGGGTGGCCGTACAGGGCGTGACAAGGACCCGCGGGAGGGTATTATCGACATTCGCGAGTTCGACGTGCCGTACTACTTGCGTGTGGCGATGGACAACGAGATGCGCGTTGGTCTGTGGTACGCGGTGACGTTCACGGCGGGGCAGCCGGCCTTCACGCAGCTTGTGGAGCGTGTCAAGCGTGCGGACCCCGTCGTCATGGCGTTCGATATCGAGACGACGAAGGCGCCGCTCAAGTTCCCTGACCAACAAATCGACCAGGTCATGATGATCTCGTACATGATCGATGGCCAGGGCTTTCTCATCACGAATCGCGAGATCGTGAGCGAAGACATCGAGGACTTCGAGTATACGCCGAAGGAGGGGTATGAAGGGCCGTTCACGATATTCAACGAGGCAGACGAGGTACAGTCCTTTCATGCGCTCAGTACGCTACTTCGACTTGACGAACATTGCAGGCTGCAACCATCCAGAGGTTCTTCTCGCATGTGCAAGACGTGAAGCCGACGGTGATGGCGACGTTCAACGGAGACTTCTTCGACTTTCCGTTCCTCTATGCGCGTGCGAAGGTGCATGGCATCGACATGTTCCTCGAGACGGGGGAAAGGATTCGGAGGATGAGTTCAAGAGTCGTTGCTGCGTCCACATGGATTGCTTCCGCTGGGTGACACGTGATGGTGAGTGGTTCGGATGAGAAGGGGTGCGGCGTGCGAGTGCGGCGTGGGGGCGGGGCGGGGATCGTCGCAGGAGAATGACGGCTGCTTACGACGCGGGGCGGGGATTGGCTGGGGAAAGGGTAAAAACGCGAAAAGCGCCCCAAGTCCGGCTCAAATTTGGTTTTTTTTCGGCCATAGATTCCCCTCCCCGTAGGGAGCTCGGAGATTATCGGGTTCCGGTGCATTTCGTGTATCGCGCAAACGGGGCGAGGTATGTACACGGCAGCAGCAAAGAAATAGGGCCCCTCTGCGCGGCACAGAAGGAAGGTCCAAGGCTCTCCTCACGCAGCATGGACGTGGACACGTGCGCCACCCTGCAGAGCGTCGCGTCGTAGATAGGTCAGTGCGTGTGCGTAGACGCGGTCAATGGATACACTTACCCCTCCGCACCTTGGCCGACTGCCCCGTCAGCGAACAGCGCGGACCGCACGAATGCACGACTCGCCACCATGCGCGCGGAAGCGCATCGCAACCTACGTGGACGGCCGACTTGGGACATCGTTGGGGCTCGAGTATCCGTCTAGGTGCTGCGCTCGCGGGGACGTCGGTACGTCGGTACATTGCAGTGTACGCCAATGACCGCGCCGCTAGCCTCGCCCGGCGGAGATCGATCTACGTCAGCGGCCACCCGTGCGTCACAAGGACAATACTCACCAGGTTCGACATAACCGGGTCTAATCATAACACCCATTCATAGTCAATGCAGGCGGACTAGGAGATTGCGCGCGACGTACCTTCCATCCAAGACTCGAGCTCGCGGTACCAGCAGAAGTACCCTCCGGAGGGCAGCGCTTGCCCAACTCGTCGATCCGTTCGCCTGTTGTGTGTGTCCAGCCGTGTATGTGTGATGTGTGGAGGCTGCTTGATAGTTATAGGCACATCATCCAGTCCTGCGTCGGCTCCTCACGGTACACGCCCTTGGTCGTTCGATGTTCCGCGCAAAGGACGGACGATCAGCGGGATGAACGCGAGACAACCGCAAACCCACTTACCGATCCTTGCAATCTGCTCGCCAGGTGGCATCGACATCTCTACACAACGCTTGCCGTGCTCAAACTCGACATCGTGGTGAATGAACCTTGGAGCCACCGAGCCCCTCGTGGCGCAGGACTGTAACCCTCAAGCGTCGGCCGACGCGAGCCTGCAGCCGTTGTGCCGGTGACATCTGCCCAGGTGGACTTCATCAGTCTTCGTCCCACATGCGGACCTGGCTGTCTACGTACCTTCGCCAACACCCCGCTCGCCGGAAGACGATACATACATACATTGTCATACACGACCATCTGGGGTCGGGCATGGCCGCAATGAACAAGCCATGTGGCAATTTGACAGGCCGGGGGAGACCGTGTGTCCATCGCCTGCGGTCGACGGCGCGCTGTTGCTGCAGTGAGCACACTGGCCGCTGTCCGCGACGTACCTCACCGCGTGGCGGTGGGCTTGCTCGCCGGACGGCGATCCATATATACATTACCGGTCCGTCTGCAAGTCTTGCGGGCCGACATGGCTTTGGTCCAGCTCGCCGGACGTCGATACATACATACATTATCATTCGCGGTTGAGGCTTGAACCCAGCGCGATGCGACGTTCGCTGTCAACTGACGTGAGTCAACCTGAATGACCACATGTACATATGAACGAAGATGAGTCACTAACCTTCGCGCAACGTGTGCGCCTCGAATACAACCGATGGCGCGTAGGCTGTCGGCGACTCGGAGCCTCTTGTTTGCATAGGTCGGGCTAGACCAATGTGCGTCCGTGTGGATACACAGGCTGGCCGAGTGCTCTGTCCGCGATCGGACTTGTGAACAAAAGAACGTGGAGACACAGTACAGTTAAATGAATGACCTACCTAGTATGTTTCGTCTAGATGAAAGGAACGAAGGACTTGTTGCCCTTCGTCCGGTCAACTCTGCTTCGAACTGTGCATCATCACTACCGTGACGGCCACCGCTACTTGCCACTGACGAACAACATCCGTATGTGCCCCATCGTGTACTCCACGCCGCCACGCTCACACCGTGACCATGCTGCCACAGTCGTAGGGTCGCGCGGCTTGACACGCCGACCTGGATGATCGCGCGGGCTCGCATGGTGCCTCGTTGACACACAGATACCCAACCTACCATGTGTAGCGTTCATTGGCCGAGCCCCCGCGACTCCCGCAACCAGCAGCAAGTGTACGAGTTATGAGAAGTGATATATATTGCACCAAGGACCGAGGTTAGACTCGAATGCACTTAGACGGGGACGCTCAGCACACGCAGACGCAAGGGAACGATGCATGATACTCACAACATGACTAGGCCCGTTACCAGTCTACTCAGCTGCCCGGCCCCTGCAAGGTCCCAAGGTACTGGCACTCCTGACTCGCCACGCCGACGTCTCGCCTCTATCTTTCTATATAAGGTCAGCCATCACCTCGTCGACGGTTCTCACACTGTAGCTGACGTACTGGCCCACAGAGAATACGCCCGGCGGAACCAATCTATCCATTCCGGGAATGCAAGACTTCTATGAAGCCATCGCCAGTGACGTCGCGCAGCAAAGTCATGCATCCG